TAAGTTTAATTGTACCTTTCGGAAAAAAAGTCAATATTTGCATTACTAGCTTTTGTGTTAATTTATTGTTGTGCATCTTTAGGCATCAGACTTCATATTCAATGTGAACCATGAACAAGTGTTCATACCGCACGTACGCCAAAATTGTGATGGAGTAATACAATTCTTGCCTAAAAACTCGTCGAGATTAGTTTAAATAAAGCTATGTTTACAAAAGACTGTTTACTGTGGCCCGTGTAACCAGGGCATAGTTAGGAGCGTCGCGTCGGCTGAATTAGGCTGAATTGGAATTTCCCTCGATTTCCAAAGGTATTTATTTATATCTGCCATGCGGAACATAAAAGAGATTGTGGTTTTGGTTTTTCCGCTGTTCGGCACATTGCCGGAAATGGCAATTGTTTGTCCTTTGCTCCTTCACTTAATATTATACATACATTTGCATGTTTTGCTTAAAGAAGCTTCTTTCTTTTTCTTATTTTCTTCACTTATAATGACTGTTTGGCGTCATCGTTACCTATTCCCTATACGGCATTATGCAGAGTGAGTAAAAAAAAAGCGGAACCCAAACACCCAAAATGTATTTCAAATTCAAAAAAGTATGTAGCACCAAAAATAATTATGACTGTAAATCCAAGTTCATAAACTACGCTTAGATGACCCTAAAACCTCTTTTGTCCAAAAATACTATTTCAAGAATCCTCGTCACAATTGTCTTCAAACATCACCAGCGATAAAACCTCAGTTTAAAAGTAAAAGTCCTTTTGAAGGCCCGTCTTTAAAAAAAAAAAAGTTTGCCAAAGCAGGGTTGTTCACAAATATATTGTGTACTACAGTTGCCGTTGACACAAGTTTTCTGTGTCATTTTCTTTGTTGTTCCAAACAGTCAGAACACACGATAAATTCCTTTGGGGTGGGGGGGGGGGGGGTTGGACGAAACAGGTTTAAGGGTCATTGCGTTTAAATGGTGATATTCTTTGAACGGATTGAGCAATTTCAGTATTTTTTTCATCTAAAAGTAGTTTCTGAAATTGGCTTTCCAGTCGCTATTATTTTTGGTGCTACATATATGTTTAAATGAAATATATTTTGGGGGTTTGGGTTCCGCTGTTTTTGTTACTCACCCTGTCCGTAATAAACATCCAAATCAACACAACTGATACCTCATGCTGTCTCTGAAATAGACGCACAGCTCTATGTTTTCTTATGTTGCAGACAAGAATAAAAGATGTCCGTTCCACTCTCGTGTCGATAGTGTATACCCCGAAGTAATAGCTCCAGGATAAACAAAATAGACCCCTCAACGTTTCTACAAATGGGGCCGTAAACCAAGTTATAGATTTGTAAGCAATGAATATAGGTGATGCATAGTGCTATCGATTAGACTGCCATAAAGTACAAAATCGTAAAAGTTAACTCCAGGTCTGACCGTAGGTCCTACCAGAATCATTCTAAAATAAAATATGCTGTTATAGGATCGAATCGTAAGGCGTCCACATTTTTTAAAGATTTGTTCAGCAATGAAAGAAGCATTCTTAAAACTGATTCAGTACTTACTGACATGGGTGTATTCGTTGATGGATTCTTGCAGCCTTTAGTTAAAATGACTAGTTTGGAGCGCAGACGAACTTCGAAGACTTGCCGTCAGTTTTAAAGAATTGTGCGAACGAGTTAAACCAGTTTGTGCGCTTTAACTTTCTTGCCTGACACTGTTACCAGTGCGTAATTATCATTAAAACGTGATGAACAGTTTGTTTTGACTAGTAGTATCGGATGTCACTGACATTGTATGGAAGTGGAATCATCCGGGTAATTCACCCTACATGTACTTGTTTCATAGATGTTTTACTACATCCCGATGTGGTGATAGCTCACGTGTTTCTGCCTGTTCAGAGCACTTCCTTAATAATGATACATCTTTCACTTTCACAGTAAATTGACAGCGACATATTCTTTGTACAGTAGAAGTGGTTTTATTGAGAGAACTTGTAAGTACATGTACCGCTTTGCCTCCTGAGTTTGTAAAGGGTGAGTAAAACAAGAGGAAACCCAATGAAGTTCTGCATGTAGCACTTTCAAAATATAGCATATAAAAAGCCCAATCAATAAGCTTTCTTTTAGTACAAGAGTCACTCAAATCACTCATGTACTTTTCAAGTAACGGAATTTTAAACGAGGTTTCTCCCTATGGATCACAAAAAAAATAAGTGTCCTTTCAGCAAAACGAATATAATTCAAATAGGGATGTACATGAGATGAATTGTTTTCGTTTTGCTGAAAGAACACTGACCTTTTTCGTGATCCGTGGACAGAACTTTAAAACGGTGTTTGCGTTTAAAATTCCGTAACTTGAAAAGTACCTGAGTGATTTGAATGATTTTTGTACTAAAAGAAAGGTTATTACTTGGGCTTTCATATGCTAGATTATAAAAATGCTACATGTAGAACTTCATTTGAAAAATGGTCCTAACTTTGGGTTTCCTTTTTTTGACTCAAACTTTATTTGTAAAAATATAGGCCATTTTCCTTGTTGTCTGTCTCATTCGTCGTCGTTGAAAGCAGCGATCAAAGGTAAGAAAACCATCGCACGAATTGTCAAATGTTATGTGGCATTTCCAATATTTACAAATTACAATCCTGCTCATTGAGGGAATGTCTGTACATGTATTGTAGTTGATTTTACGTGTAGTCCTCTTTAGTTTCTGTATTATGTTCTATTTCTCGAAGAATATTTACTCGGAATGGCTATCCAGAGGTGTCATTTTCTTGGTTACAGCCCGATAGTCCGAAGGTTCGATAGTCCGAAGGTTCGATAGTCCGAAGGGTCATTAGTCCGAAGGTTTAATATTCCGAAGGTGCAATGGTCCAAAGGTTCGATAATCCGAGGGTTCGATAGTCCGAAGGGCCCATTAGTCCGAAAATAGAATAAGGTTAATTAATCCGAAGCTTCGATAGTCCGAATCGACAATCAGGTTCGATAGTCCGAATAGATGAAAAGGTTCGATATTCCGAATATACGGTAGGGTTCGATAGTCCGAATTGACAATAAGGTTCGATAGTCCGTATTGAGAATAAGGTTCGATAGTCCGTATTGAGAATAAGGTTCGATAGTCCGAATGGGCAATACGGTTCGTCACTATGACACTTCGGACTATCGGACCTTATTGTCGATTCGGACTATCGGACCATATTGCCGAGTCGGACTATCGGACCTTATAGTCTTTTCGGACTATCGAAACTTATTGTCAATTCGGAATAATGAACCTTCGGACTATTGAACTATTGATTATTTTCGTTTCGGACTATTGAACCTTCGGACTGATTAACCTTATTCCAAATTCGGACTATCGAACCGTCGGATAAATGAACCTTCGGATTAATGAACCTTCGGATTAATGAACCTTCGGACTATTGCATCAAATGTTCGGATTAACGAACCTTATTTCATTTTCGGACTAACAAACCCCCTCTTATGGGCGTTTTGTGCATTCGGACTATCGAACCTTTGGACTAAAGAACCTTCGGACTATCGGACCTTCGGACTATCGGGCGGCCCCCCCCCCCCCTTTTCTTCACCTATTGCTACATGTGTAGGTTTATTGTCCGTATTCTTCACCAACTTGGATACGACAAAAATTCCTTTATTGGGCCCCTGAGAAAATATGGCTTAATGTTGGGCTACATAACAGGCTCGGATCCAGGCGGGAGTTGGTGTGGTTAAGTGGCCAACCACCACCCCCCCCCCCTCCACCCCGGCCCCGCCCCACGACTTACCAACGTTAATTATTGGCATAACCCTTGCAAGGTTCCCTGAATAAAGTTACACGCGTTATTGAAAATCTCGATTAATTGAATCAAGCCTTTAGTCTTATAACTGCAACGCCTCGTCTACCCCCCCCCCATAAAACCTTGGAGTCTAACATCTTCATCCGTCAACTTCTTAAATCCTGGATCCGCCACAGTTTTGCGCCTTGTGAGTAGACTATAATTTCCCGTCCCTGGATTCTCATGGGGCAGGAACCCGTCAACCCAACGAAAGTTGCGTTATCCACTTCGAAAGCCATTATTCTACTCGTCTGACTAATAAGTATTTCCTTGATTCAACCAATTACTTCATTACGGAGAAGACGATCGAGTTTTTCGTAGTTCACTTTTTGTTTCATTTTCTGCGAATGGCGCTTCATGACCTCACGCCTCTCTCTTTCAGTACTAGGGCTTTCAGATCAAGGAAATTCAGGGAAAATTACTGTGATTGTTACTTTCTATTCATGTTATTACGATTAGAACCCCTATAGGCAAAAGGGTATAACTTGAAAAAAAAGAGCATTTCGAGAAAAATCAGTGTCAAATTTCAAGGTCCTCTGTTTTTTTATTTTACCACAAATCAAACCAATGTTTCTACCACGAGTTGTGAATAAAATAAACATTAGAAATGTCAGTTTCTTGTCCTTATTGAGTTTTTAAAAAGGCAATTTTAAACCAGAAAGTTGCGCCATTTTTTTCCATGAAGTATAACAAATATAATAAAAAGGGTTTTTGGCAAAAGGATGTATCTTGAAAAAGCATATCCAAATTCACTATAAGTGCACTTCCACTATGCGTATAATGTATACCTAATAACAAGGCAAAATGATGTATCTTTTATGCCCTTTTGACATCAGGTCACATCTAGCAAAAAACCCAGAATATGTCTCAACATACGCCCTTTTGTCAAAGAAACTGAACCAAACATGCACAATTTTGCACGAGATACGCCTGAAAAGGAAGGACATATGGACTTGAGGGTTCGTTGAAGGAACACAGCGCCCCAAATAACCCCAGAAGTGACTTTATCTCAAAAAGGCCAAGATTGAAGTTACACCCTTTTGCCTTGAGGGGCCTTATGCGAGCTCCAAATGGACTTCATTCTATCCCGAAATTGACCACCGGGTTGTAGTTTTTCACTTTCAAGATTTGTCTTTTCTCTTTAATTTCAGAACTTTAAATATTTGAATTCGGATTTTCTGCTGCCGAAGCAGGCCATCCACCAAGATGGCCTTGCCGGCAGGACTAGGGAGGACCAATCTTCGGCTTGGAGTCACCATGCTGAAGCTAGCTCTGGTACTCTCCATAAGCACCAGCTGGATCAGTCCGGTCCTTGCCAGTTTCATCCGGTTCAAACCGGACACCGAGTACGTCTACACCTTCCATTCCTCCACGGAACTGAAGATGGTTCGGACGCTGCAGGCCGAGTCTAAGGTATCGAGACCATTCAACTTGAGTAAACAAAAAGTCACGCACTTTAATACTTTGTAATTTGTTATTCAGAGTTTCCGTCCTGTGCACAATTGTTAACTCTAAAATTAATCTTTCACTCTCAATTGTCTAGTATGTTGTATAAACAAGGTTGCATTCCCTAAGGATCCGACATGAGGTTAAATGTCAGAGATCGAGATCAGAGGCTTTGAACATAATGTTGTAACATCACTTCTAGCCTGCATATAACCATGGGGGATTTTTTTCCCGTACGCCCAATAATCGTCTGTTTCTCTAAATCATTAAGGATTGGGATAGGCAAAAGTCTTCCATTACACGATGCAGGGAAGCAGCCAAACATTCTGGGGTTTTTTTTCTATCTCTCCACGTGGACTGCGATTTTCTTACTTTCATATGAACTCGTTTTCAAACGCTACAGGAATTTGTTTAATATCTTCTCTGCCCATTGAAAAAGAATGATGATGTTTATTCGATGGTTTGATGTCGTTGTTTTTGTTCGTTTGTTTGTAAGTTTGATGGTTTGTTTTGGTTTTTGCAGTACTCTATCTCTATCATTCTTTATCGCACATTTGACAACAATGGAGCATCGAATTGAACTGACTTTTAAAGGGAAGATACAACATTTGCAAACATCACAAAACGAAATGATCAAATTATCATGAAATACCTTACTGGATTGTTAGGGAATGACAGTCTAAAGCATCCTGTAAAATCGTGGCTCCTGGTGTGCTATCATTCTCAAGAAATATGGTATTTTTCCAACGCTGGTCGGCCGACCAGCGTTGGAAAAAACTGGCTTTTTTCAAAACCTGCTTCTAATTTTTCATAATTAGTTATTCATTGTTTTCTTTGCAATTGATTGCACACCTGTTAATGGGTACAAGCCTGCTAGACTGATTCTCTGACTTTAAAATTCTCAAAAGTCTATAAATTGCTCCGTTTCATCTTAAGTCGGGTCGGGGAACCAGACTACAAGAACATGATAGGTTTTCTTGGTTTTTCCAGCATCTACAAGCCCAAAACGTGAAACAAGTCATTTTAACAATATTTGCTATAACATACTAATCCTCCAAACCCATTTATTTCTGAAAATTGCAGCAAAAGCAAATGTTGTACATTCCCTTTAAGTCTAAATTTTGTACTGTACTTTTCCCCCCAGTAATTACAATTGCAACAAATCTCCAGGCTCTTGAAGATTTCAATGATTTGCACGCCCAAGTTAACTTTTGAAAACCCGGCCTTGTTCTTATAAAGAAGCAACATCATTGCGCGTTGCGCATAAGGACAACATGCGGGCTGTAGTCGGGCCACTGTATGAAAGTCCCCAAAGAAACTAACAGTTTCTCTTATAAGAGGAAATTCGAGTGCGTGGCCTTAAAGCAAACTTAAACTGCCGCAAAGTATAGTGTTCCATGGAAAGGAAAAGTAGGCCTGATTTTCCTGTCAGGAAATGGTGGTTATTTTAACTTCGCAAAGCTTCACTACAGGGTGAGTCAAAAATAGCGGAACCCAAACCTCTAAAAATATATTTCATATTTAAAGAAAGTAGCACCAAAACCAATAATGACTAGAAATCCAATTTTATAAACTACTTTTAGATGATAAAATATTTAAATTGCTCAATCCCTTCAAATTGTATCACCATTTAAACACAATGACCCTAAAACGTCCTTTGCCAAAAAATGCGATTTCAAGATTCGTTGCTACAATTGTGTTCAAACATCACCAGCGATAAAACCTCAGTTTAAATGTTACGAATATTCACGGAGTCATTTTGAAGGCCCGTTTTTTTGTTAAATAAAAATGGATTTTATAAATCATATTGTTTGCCTAAGCAGGATTGTAAATAAAGATATTGTGTTCTACAGTTGTCGACAGTTGTTGAAACAAGTATTCTGTGTCATCTTCTTTGTTGTTCCAAACAGTCAGAACATACAATAAATTGCTTTTTTTGTTCCAAACAGTCAGACACACAATAACTTACTTTTTGGACGAAACAGGTTTTAGGGTCAGTGTGTTTAAATGGTGACATTCTTTGAACGGATTGAGCAATTTCAGCAATTTTTTTCCATTTAAAAGTAGTTTCTGAAATTGGCTTTCCAGTCATTATTATTTTTGGCGCTACATATTTTTTGTTTAAAAATGAAACGTTTTTTTTTGGGGGGGGGGGGGGTTTGGGTTCCGCTTTTTTTTGACTCACCCTGTATAGCGCTGCACTGCGGTAAACTCAAAGTTGTTGACCTTTTTTCACACTAATCAAACTTTGTACCCTGCTAGATGAAAAAAAAGCTTAAATTTCTGATGAGATGGAACTACAGGCTTTATTCACAATTAACTTATGCTGTTTATATTTTAATGTCATCATAGATTGGCTTCGTGTTGGTGAAAAGTTCCAACAGTAGCAACGAGCTTCAGGAGATTTACCTCCGGGTTCACTCGGTGGTCGTAACCAGCCAGGAGGAACGAGGTACCAAAAAAAAACCACCCAGGATTGATTCCATTAAAGTTTGTTTTTGACGGAGCATGTGACCCGCCTACAGTGAATTGTGATTTTTTGTCTCCAGGGTTCTTGTTAATTCTATATTTACAAGGTCTTAAACGCATGGGATCCCACGCATTCATTTTTTCTCCGGAGTTTCCGGCTTCACCCTCAGGCGAAAGAATGACTGAATTCAAATGTCGCCAAAACGACTTGGCGCACCTTCCATAGGTCATACTATTATATGCTACAGGGGAAAGCAGTCTTATTGTGCATTTCCCGTTGTTCGGAGGTCTCTGTTTACACGTTGCTAAGGCGACATTTACACGTTGCTAAGGCGACAGTAAACAAACCATTTCACGGAATAAAGAGCTCGAACAGTACCCCTATAATATTTCAAGAGTCTGGAAAGTCCCCAAACTGTTTTTTTCACAGTATATTAAGCAACTGTGATTGAATATAATTAGAAGCCATAATGGTAATCAATAAGAGGATTGATTGCATTGGGTTAAGTCCCAAGACAGATGCACGTAGAGAAAGAGTGAGGTTTTGATGAAATTTGTGTAAGAAAGAAGTAAAAAAAAAAAACGACTGTGCGTTGTCTAAATAAGAAATTTTATCAAATGCAGATTTGAGTGTCATTATTGAGCTGTGTGAAGGTTCTAGACCGACATACCGACGTTCTTTCGTTAAATACTCATTATTTTGTCAGAATTCGTTAGAACAAAATCGAATTCCATGCAGAGCATGAACAGTTATGGACATTATATCTTCTATTTTATAACCTCGATCCGTGATATATCGGACAACATAAGGTCTGTTTTTTGTACTTTATTTCAACAACCGACATATCAAACAATGTTAGATGATACAGATTTTTGTGAGAATAGTTCAAATGAAGACACATTTAAAGGTCATCTTCTCAAAATCGTAACATTTACCATTGCAAGTGAAGAGCATTTTTAACAGATGATTTTGACCTACATAAAATTTCTTACAACATACTTATATAATAATTATTGGGGAGGTGTGGCCTAGCAGTTAGGGTTGTGACTCATAATCAGAGGGTCAGGGGTTCGAATCCAGCTGCTGGCCGTACGTTGTGTCCTTGGGCAAGCCACTTCTCCCCCACTTGCCTCACTCCACCCAGGAGTATATATGGGTACTGGCATTAGTTGGGGAGTAACCTGCGATGGACTAGCATCACCTCCAGGGGGACCGGTACAGATATTTTCAGTCGTTTCATGCCACTGAAACCGGAGATAACGCCGGCCTGATTGGACCATTATTGGCTCGGGACAGACCTTACTTACTGTTACTTATAAAGACCTAATAAGACGTCGATGTCAGTGTTAAAAAATGCCACATTTTTCAACCAAATCTTTGACCGCAGGAACTTAAATCTATTAGTGAATTGAACGAGAACCTTTTTACGTCAGCATCATTGAAGAAGCCCACATAATCTTAGAAAAATATATTTGTTGGCATATGTCTTCTCCGATTTAATTTGAGTGTCACTGAATTGTTTCTTTTCAGTTCATCTAAGCGAGGAGAGAGATTTCACTGACTGGTAAGTTTTCATTCTGAACCAGGCTGCCCATATCGTTGTCGACAGGAAGAACTGATGGCAAGCAATACAGAAGTTATCCACTTCTTAATAAAGCAGCGCAAGAACCATCTGCTTATTTTCACGATTATGTGTATAAATTACTTTACAAATTTCGGGTACTTTGTAGCTTGACATTTAGTTTCCCCAGGGCGGAAAACTGAATTTTTTTCTTTTGCGCTCCCATTTCAAAAATGAAACTAAATAAAGCTTCTTTTTCGAAGCTGGATCGACCAGATTGAAAAAGCAAACAAACACGTTTGTAATATTCAAACAAAACATACAAATTGAAAACTAAAACTGTTGGAAGTCCAACTCGTTAAAGAGACATTGGACCATGTGTCTTTTGTTCGTTAAACATATACCTTATGGTTTGAAAATCCCGACAACTATAGCAAAGATTTACAAATTACACAAAAATACATCTTTAAAATTTCTAAACCCCTCCACCGGACTATACGTCACTTTCAGAACGACCAAACACTGTACTGACATTTGGGCGGATATCATCAAGAACAAGAGTGCTTTCATTTGGCCGAGGGCCAAGGAACTACATCTCCCACCCTGTGTAAATTTTTAGAGTCGTGAACATGTGCCTATGTGCAAGATGGCAAAAAAGAAAGACGAAAAAATTGCCCGGATACTTTCAGAAAAGATAACCGTGTAAACTTAAATGAATAAACATAGGCCTACGGAAATAAACAAAACGAGCACAAGTTGAATTTCTGTTTCGAGTTTTCAAAGTTTGGTTGCAAAACAGGCATAGAAAAGTTCCCTACGTTGCGGTTTCAATAGCGCGCTACACTCAAAGAATTTGGTTCGAAAGTATAACAAAAGAGTATAATTGACGCAGTTCTGTCGTACATCAGTTTGTCAGAAACATAATAGCTTTTGCGCACCTACAGAAATAATTCAAAGACCAAATGCAAATCTCTAAACCAACGCGAAGAACCGTTGGAAGAGTGCAATGAACGCACTACAATTGCAATTAATTTGATTGCTGCTGTAACGTACTCGTCCGGTTTACAATATTGGGGAGGGCGTGGCTAAAATCGTTTATTGCGTGCATCTAAACTCTCTTGTATAGGTTTTCATTTGACATCAGCGAGAATGGAGCGATTGGCCAGATATATTTCCCACGTGACCAGGATGATCACGTGATAGGTGTCAAGAAAGGTCTGGTCAGCCTGTTGGCAGCTAACCTGCAACATCCTCCACAAGACAAGGTATGAGAGAAATTGAAGATAACATGTAAACGTAATGCCAGTTATAATCAGTTGGACTTGTTGCATTCCGGTGTCATATGAATTCCGACTCCTATGAAAATCGGAATCCTTTTCCCAATTATTGGTTGATCCCTAACACGTGACAAGTCACTCCCCCATATATATAGACCTATAAATGGGCTATTATCATACTTATGCATGCGCAATACTACCAATGAATCCATATTTTATGGAGTCGGATATTTACGCTACACCGAATCATGATCATGTAAACAACTCTGGTGCTGCCCCAAACTCATATACGATACTAACATTTCTTTTTTAGGTGCTGGCACTTTCGTTTCCTTAAGAAAAAAAATAAATAAACAAAATGTAAGTTTTCCCTGCCCCATACCCTTTCCATACCTCCATATTCACTAAAAAGTGTGTAAGGGAACCCTTGACAGAGATATGGAAACACACAAAAAAATAAGGGTTTTTTAATCAATAATAGCCATGGGCGTCGCCAAGAACTTTTCTGGAGGGGGCAAAGAAACTTTTCCCCACAAAATCCCTATATTTTCCAGCATTTTCCTGATTGATCATTTTTTTTCAAGGGTGGGCAGGGACATCCCCCTCCCAACCAATTAAATTAACAACAATATGATTTCGCGCCTCTTTTTCTTTCTTTCTTTTTTATTCTTGTCGGGGGGGGGGGGGCAAACACCGGCCCCTTGCCCCTCTCGCGACACCCATGATAATAGCTACACCTAAATACGTCAAATATGTTTGTTGACAGCAAGCACATTCTTTCAAACCATTCAATTTCATCAATTAAATAAACAGGTGTTGGGAAGCGACTGGAGCTACGACTGCAATGAGACAGGTCATGAGGGTCAGCACGAGTCGTCCTACACGGCTCAGATGGCTCCTGGCAACGATGGCATCATTGTCTTCACCAAAACTAGACGGACTCATCCAATACCTTACGGCAAATCCAAACACCAAAAGGTACATGTACTCACTCGTACCTGGGGAGGGGGGGGGGGGGTGCGTCTAGTTTGTTGACGTTTCTCCCCCAAAACACAAAATAACATGTTTTTAAATTGAGTACAAAATGTTCACATTATGTTTCACCGGATGCAATAGCTGCAAGATATTGATCGTCCACCTAACAAAATAACAACAGAAAGTATAGTAAAGCAGAAAATAAGTAATGTTTGAAAAAGAAGTTCAAACATTCGTCAGTAAAAACAAATGTTGAATTGGTAGAGAAGGGGTGATCTCAGCATACAGAAGCCCAGTTTTTTTTTAGGGAGCCCAACTAACAACATGCACTGTCTTATTTAGGAGATTCACTATCACCCAGCTATGCAGCTCCCATCCATGGTGAAGATACTCGACCACTTTGATGCTCCGAAAGAATCAGCACCAGGGTAGGATGTTTATATTCACTATTTCCTGCCCACTAACATTCCATTTCTATTACCGTCGCCATTTTCGATTTTTCTTTCGTTATTCTTTTATAGGAAGGGTATTTACAGAAACTGAATAATTCTATTTCGATCATTTCTGAGGGTTTACAAAACTTTATCCAATTAATGTTTAGGAAATGATTCGGAAAAACGATCAAGGGGATCTTGTGAAACTGAATCATGTTTATACAATTTTTCATGAAATGGCACCAGACTACCCCTGTCATAAATTTAGGAAGGCTTCAGCATTGCATAATTATTCTACCAGGGCAAGTTCCACCAATTTTGTTGTTCCAAGAATAAAAGGGCCAGAGTGCAATACATTTACTTTTAATACCGGAATTCATGAAAGGAATTACTCCCCAACAACATCAAATGTTCCAACAATCATCCTAAAAAGGGCAGTGAAGAAACATCTCTCTTCTCAGTCATTTGCTTAAGCGGCTGAGTTTTTATCATTTTTTAATGATCACTCTTTGCTATTTTCTGTGTAATTGAACTTGTTATGATGTACTTGTTCCCCCCCCCTCCCCCAGTGGAAACAAGTCGTCTTATAAAAACAATTGGGTTATCCTTGGCTTTGTATTTACATGTAATACGTTCATTTGTATATGTTCCACTGTATGTTTGTTTGTATTTGCAAAAATAAATAAATAAATAAATAATCACTTCGGCATTCATACAGATTTGAAGATTTCGCGCAATGTCCTTTTATATAGGGCCCACTTTTATCTCGAAATTTCAAAGAATTTTGCGAAAGAAGAGGATGACCTATCATAAGTATCATTCTTTAACCAAAGCACTGATCCAGATCCAGATCAAACGATTATTGATGATCTGTGTTTCCCGACGGTATCGTTAGCCGGCCACCGATAAAACAGTTTGCCGCCCTCTAATAAAGAAAGGTGTTTAGTCTAGTCTGGCTCCTGAATTCGCCACGCGAATAAATCATACTTAAGCGTCTAGGTGTAGAACTTAATAGCGGAAAACTTTGAAGTTGACACACTGCATGCTTGTTGATCAAAACAACGTATTTTGTGTCAAGGTATACAACATGATCGGTTACGATGATACTAAACTATCTCAATGATTTAACTAGATTGGACATGTGCTTCATTCTGCATAAACGGGAAAGATTTTACTTCCTCACCCCCATCACAAAAGGTCAGTAGGCCCTTGCTCTATGACTGCTGTCAGAATGTGCGTGGTGTAGCCCGGCCCCATCATGCATGTTGTTAGTGTTACGCACTGGACTAAACCTAAACGCTGTCTGTGCTTCAGCACGGAGTTTCAGTACGGAGTTTAGCTATGTGCAGGGCCTTGGATACAGATGTTTAGTCCTGTAGACGGGCCCTAGACTTTGAGTAATACGACTAGGAGTTTTCTAATACTATAGTACATTAAATTTGTCATATTATTACTGATAGGCCTAAATATAGGCCTATGGGCTATGTGTTGAGATAGCTTGAGTAACTCTAGCCCCATAAATGTGGCCAGTCTACTGGACTGCCTCCGTAAACATAGGCCACACAGCCACCATCTTGGAAACTGACTCGGCGAAATTTTGAAAGTGACTTCCACATTGCGACTTCAAACCCAGTTCATTTATGCTTTAAAAATACCCTTACCCTCTTAATAACAAAATTAGAACCTGCTGCCAGTGTCAGTTGCCCAGCTGCTGCGTAATTTACGACATTTTCTGGAGCCTTCTTGGCAACTTGGTCCAACCATGGAGCTATCTCCATGGTCCAACCGAACAATGCCCTCGCGCAGATCGTTCACCTGTCAATCACGCGTGCAGGACGCACGCCGCAGGCCCAGTGGTAGTCCGGTTCCCAGACCAAAAGATTCTGACTATTCCTGATCACCGGACTACCACTGGGCCTGCGGCGTGCGTCCTGCACGCGTGATTGCCAGGTGAACGTTCTGCGCGAGGGCATTGTTCAGTTGGACCATGGAGATAGCTCCATGGTTGGACCAAGTTGCCAAGAAGGCTCCAGAAAATGTCGTAAATTACGCAGCAGCTGGGCAACTGACACTGGCAGCAGGTTCTAATTTTGTTATTAAGAGGGTATTAAAGTGTATTTTTAAAGCATAAATGAACTGGGTCTGAAGTCGCAATGTGGAAATCACTTTCAAAATTTCGCCGAGTCAGTTTCCAAGATGGTGGCTGTGTGGCCTATGTTTACGGAGGCAGTCCAGTAAACTGGCCACATTTATGGGGCTAGAGTAACTCCAGCTGACATGCTCATATTCATTCACATGCTACTAGCCCAGGTGGACTCCCTTTCCTCCCTACGTAACGGAGGGAGTCCTGGGTAAAAAGTGCTCAAAACCGAATGAAAACATTTCTGACCAATAATTTCAATATTTTTACCTTGTTGGAGAAGCTAATTTTTACGTCGTAGTATTCTATGTATCCTTATCTGTTAGCACGCTGGGTTCAGGAATTCCATATGCGATGCTGACTGACGTCAATCAGGAAAATAAACTCCAAAGCAATGCTAAACTTGTACGTGTTTGTAGACTCTTTTCATTAGTTTCTCACCGCCGAGTCTATTCCAGTCGTACATGATATACGTCTGTGCAGCGTGTAGTCTGGTTCCCTAGACCGGACAATTATTCTCGACGCTCATATCACGTCTGGTCCGGGGCCAGACTATGCAGCATGAATATGCAGTGCGCACGCGCAATTTGCTTAGTAACCACCCTCATACGCACCGAGCGTGTTTTCGCGCCAGTTACCAGAAACACGTTTCGGCTTTGGTCATTGGTTGAGCGATTTCGTGACATCGGTTGGCTAGAGTGACGTCACGGTTCCAACCAAATCTAAACAAATGAGGGCGCTAGCGTGCGTGCGCGCTTTCGTACCGTACGCACGTACATTGTACATGACGTACGACTCGGGGAATAAACTGATGAAAAGAGACTACAAACACGTACAAGTTTAACGCTGCTTTGGAGTTTATTTTCCTGATTGACGTCAGTCAGCATCGCATATGGAATTCCTGAACCCACCGGCGCAATAGATAAGGATACATAGAGTATGTAGGCGTGAAATAAGCTTCTATAACGAGGTAAAACATAACAAAACTCTGGTAAAAATGTTGGGTGGTTTCATGTAGAGAATTCTTGCCCTGGACGTTAGTCGTATTGCAATGAAGACTTCGTCCAACCTGGGCTAACATGCTACATATGAATGAATATGAGCATGTCAGCTGGAGTTACTCAAGCTAGTGTTGAGATAGTTGTGATCAACCATGTCAACAGACATCATGATCATAGAGACTGATTGCTTTTTCTCATATTTTATCATTCCTGACCCTGACACAGATTTCAGCATCGGCATTATGGGGAGGAACAAGCAGGAGATGATATTGGTAAATAATGTTTGGAATATTTTTACTTCTAGAATTAGAAGGCTTCTCTCCGTCAGCCGTTCTAGCATGGTGATTTTTCGGGGGTCAGCACGCTGTGGCTTTTGGAAATGCCCTTTGATAGACGAAATACCTTTGTCTGAAATGATAGACAAAATACCTTTGTCTGAAATTCCACTTTCTGAAACACAAATCCACCCAAAAAGTTGAGCTGGTTGATCTATAACACTGAAATGTTTTAGAACGATTGACATTTGGATCATGGGACAATTTTTTGGGTGGAAAATCTGAGTTTTTACTCGCCAGCCTCACATTGCTGATCCGACGAATACAGCGGTGATGTTCATGTGTGTTGACGTACGTTGCGCGTGCGCTGGTCTTCGTGTGACCTCAGCAGGTCAACTCTACATTCGGCTCGACCATTTGGGATGGAGGGGAGATTGAATGCTTTGCATCACGAAACAGTACATGTACATCATGATGTATGTCATTTTGGTGCGCTGAATACGCTGTGCTACAAGATATCAGTTTTGGTGGACTGTTTTTTTAAATTTGACAAAAAAAGGATGAAAAGATCCATCAGTAAACAGTCCTCCAAAAGTGACATCTCGACACAGCGCAGCGTATTCAGCGCACCAAAGTGACATACATCATGATGTATTTTCAAACAAAAGTTGTCAGAAATGTTTCTCAGTCACAAATTAGTTTGTTGCCCAACATACTTTTAATGACTGGTCATTGTTGAGCTGATGGGAATCTTGACAACAGGGTTGTACATTCCCTTCATGGGCTTGAGACATGTGAGAAGGTGTGTTGGTTAGTCTTTGACATACGTGTGTGTCGTATTGAGACATGGCTTGTCACTACAATTCAAACCACACACAGGGTATTCATTGATTTCTATTGTTTGAATGACACTCAGAGTTTCCTGAGATGCAGACTGTTTCTGAAGGACAGCTGACCTTTGTTGGAGAGTTCTACTACCAGTCACCTACTGGACCACCTGATGACGAGGATATTGTCACTGACTCCATTCACTTTAGGAAGGTACTATGAACTCAATTTAGTTATCTTTCTTATGCCGTTTTCACATGCTCTTATTCACCATTCATAAAAACCTAAGACAGTTTACCCATTCCTATTGGTCGAGAGCCCGTCACATGGCCGGTTTTAAACGGTTGATAAAGACCGGCTGGCTTGTCTTGGAACAGTTTTTCAGTGTCACATGAACTTTTCACTTTTTTGAAATCCGGTGCCTTTTGGTTACTGTTTTATTGGTTGAACGTTCACAATGCACACGTAGGCATGCGCAGTACTACCGGTGAGTCAGAATCTCATATTCCTTAATTCACAATACACTGGCACAGCTGCGTTGTGCGCCACATCGCGCAGTACGCGCGACGCGTGTCCCAATCTCCATATAAGGAGTTGTTTACGACTCTCGCGAGACTGGACATACCATAATATTGCTAGAGGGGTGTCCTGAAAAACATGAGGTAAAATTGTGGAACAAAATCGTTGGAAATGTATAATTTTTGACTGGTTTGGGACTAGTTTTAATTGGACCGAGAAATTTTGATTATTTGACCAAAAAGGTATTTATGAATGGGGAAAAAAATGTACTTGGCCGGTATTAAACACTTTGTTTAAGACCGGTTGGAGCACGGATCTTAGACACCAGGATAAACGACTGTTCTGAGCTCTAGTACAAAATGCACTCAGTGGACTTGCCTTAAGTAATTGGTTAGACGCGTGATAACGGGCATTAATACCCGTTGGCGCGTAATCGCGAATTTTCCAGATGTGCCATTGTTGTGGGTTTTTGCATGACATCTAAAACGGAAATATTCATAAAACTGTAAGCAAAACTACTTCTTATTTAAGATTTAATTGTTCCAAATTATTTAAGAAATAAATACTTCAGGATATAACAGATGGTATTGTGCAGTTTTTGTCGTCATTGATGAAGTATTTACCCAGGAAATAAACATCAAATTTCGAGGAGAACACTGTTTACCAAAATTTCGTTTTTAATGGGGCTTTTATTAAAAAGGTTTAGAGAGATGTGATGCCGAACCGATGAAACAAAAGCGACATATCATTGTTCATCTTAAAGCTAAAAATATTGTGCTCGGCATTACCATGGTTATGTAGTTATCACTTATCAGAATTCAATAATAAAGACCAAAAACGTAGACTTATGACTATTCAAAAATATAATTCGCTGGCTTGACAGACTTCGAGGCCAGATCGGGCGCAGAGCCTTGCAAATCTGAAAGCCACCGCGCGTGTGGTCTTTGTTGAAAAGTATTCATGGTATTTGCCACCAGTACAGGCCGTTATCACGCGTCTAACCAGGAGTTGGGCCGAGTCGTTTATCCTGGTGTCTAGGATCCGTGGTTGAAGTCTGGATGCTGATAATGACCAGTATTTAATTAGTTGCGTTAGAAATCACACTTTTGGTCACAAACCTGGGATGTATGGATGAATGCGTACACACCGATGTAAGCAATACCCCACACACTGATTAGAGCTGCTAACTAAGAATTAGAATTTGATGAGATCTGGTTATTAGTAGGCTTTTTTGTAATGGAAATCTCCAACCACACAGCCAAGGGCTACCACATGTTGACAATACTAACAATAAATGAAGAGTTTTAATTGAGAAAAGGAATCTGTTGATGTTACGTTAAAACTGTGATAACTTATAAGAAGGGAAATAGCAAGGTCATTGCAAGGTGTTTCACAATTAAGGTAGTATGGGGGAAGAAACTTGAAGGGCACTGCATTGTACAAGTCTTTGAAACACACAGAATATGGATGAGAGGTGGCTTATTTGTTATTTCTTCTGTATCCTTACATGTATGAATTAGACCTTACTGAGCTGTATATTTCATTTTCACTCTGATGCTAGCCGCAAGATGGCCATCTGAACTTTGATATGACATCCTTGAAGGAAGAGATTGCTGGCAACTTGACATGCATGAGGACAGCACCTATGAAAGGTATGATGCAGAGGCAAAAATAAGACACGAAAACTGTTCAGGAAAAAGAAACTGTGATAGTTGCATGACATGTAGCCTGCAATTCAATGGAAATTATTGAGACAAATATCGTCAATTGATTGGCAAAGGTTAGTCTTTATCCAAGACGTTAGGTTATCGATAATGGAGTGCCGTTGCACTGTACAGTGTAATACACATGTGACTCATTTTGAGGTCGCTGATTGGTTCCCTTGGAAAGTCTAGGCGTTTCTTTTTAACCGGTCCGCACCGGATGACGTGTATACCCGCAAAGGTTTTGCGGTATTCGGAATGGATGACGCAGGGAGCGAGGCCGGAAATAACTGTCAGCGACCCGCCCGCCAGATATATTGGTGTACTGCTCGAGGGTTATGGCTTCAACCCACCTGGCTTGAGGTCGAGTGAAAAGTAATCCATCGCCTCGTTCTGTTCTTGTTAAAATAATCCCGGCGTGAACTGGTTAAAAAGTTACCCTTCCCATGCTGAATTCCCAAGACGCTAGTTGGTTCCAAATATTTCATGTGGGAGGGCGCAAACTGCATAACAAACAGTACACAGCGCCCGCATTAGGTGATCCACAATTGATTACTAGCTTTTGAAGCAAGACTAGGTAAATGTCTAGTGTCCAAAGAAATGTTGCACTAACCCTTAAACCCTACCCTGATACAATAAAAGAATTGAAAGCGTCAAAAATAAACCCAATAGAGTACATCTCTTCCAACCTTAAGCGATTGTCTTTACCTTTTGTCACACACAGGATCCCATGAACAGACCCATTGTTTTCAGAAGCTAGTTCAAACTTTACACTCGGTGCCTGACGCTCAGAAACTGGCAGAGATTGTGTCTCCAATGTACCAGCTGCCACTGTCCAGGTATGCAATACATCATGTCTAGGTAGTGTTCTCATTTTCATTAACTGTTTGAACTTGTGTGGGAAGAAGAGGGACAAGCCATTTTCAAGCACAACTCAAAAACAGTCTTAAAGATATAGTCCATCATTTGTAATTGGTGCGTTTTGTTCGTTTGAAGCAACAAATGTGCACAAAATCTAAAGAAGGGTACTGAACAACTAACCTGATGAAGTTTGAGATCAGCTTCAGCTGTATATTCTGAGAAAAAAAGCATTCTAGGATCTCAATTTCAAATCAAAAGTTGCTGAATCATGTTTTGAATTGGGCCCGAATTCAGCGTCTGAGACACGTTCTCACTGAGCCGATTGCAGCTACGCGATGTCGCGCACTGATCCGACAAATCATAGCAACCACGCGCGCGTGTGCATTGTGCCAATGCTTGCGCGCGCTTTGCCGAATAACAAAACGAACTACTAATTTAAATTTCCTACGGTGCGTCTTAAGAAGCACCGTTGGAAAGGCGTTCTTTCGTTGATTACTTAAAAATGACAGCTTGCCAGAAAGAATAATTTCACAGGGAGTTTAGTCCCCACTATCTTTCAACCAGGTATGCATTTCAACAATAATTACACCAGTTGCTTTTCGGATAGCTGCAAATGATGGACTATAGCTTTAAATACCGGTTCCAGCAGGTCGTTTTATGCTCATGGTTTACAACATTGCAAGCCCTAAGACCATCGCTTTAGTGTCAAAGGATGTATGTTCACAGCTTCATTACTCCTGCACTATTCTAAGATTTTGTGTGGTCGTAACAATTTCTTTTCTCAGACGTGTTCGTGACAAGCAGGACAGGCTGAACATGCTGGATGCAGTTGCTGAGATGCACACTGATGCCTCCCAGTCACTCCTTACTGATCTCATCCTCCTGTCTCCAAAACCAAACAAGGAGCTGGTAGAGAGACTACTCATTGCCTCTGCTGGCTTCACATACACAATTTCAGAGGTAGTGAATAGACTCCTTTCAAGTTGTTTCTTAGGATTTAATTGCTGTCTGTCTATATGGCATTGAAATTTCCGCATGATCAGAGATGCCACTTTTCCAGTTTTTAAAAATATCTCCCAACATTCTGTTTTTTCCGGCTGTCAAAATAAACTGGAAAAAGAGAAGAAAAAGTGCTTTGTTTTTTGTACCTCATTAGCGCTCTTGAGTTTAGTTTATTTAGGCACACGTATGCACGGCACAACGTTGGTCGTTGAAGTAGTCTTAAAAACACGTCTTTGTTGTTGCCGAGCTGGCATACGATGCAGGCGGCCAACATACTTGCACGCAGTATATAATGGCGCCTTGCATGTGCTTCAACGTGCTAAAGCACACAAAGCATTCAGCTTGGAAATAAGTCTATCATTTCAGTCATCGATGGTTTCTGATTGCAGTGATATATGTGAATACAAAAGACGCCAGGTACCAACCATGTTTTCGTCGCGCATCGCGCAGTGCAATAGTCATGTACACCGACGGTGTTGTGGAATCGTGCATGTTTCGTGTCGAATATTAGTACGTTGGAAATTCGGGAAGGCAGAATAAATATTAGGAATATGGAAAAATTCAAAGTGATTGAACGAACCGACAGCTTAAAGAACATAGAAGCAAAAATAAAACATAAATGGAACTGGGCTTAGCTACAAGATAAAGATGACAACGGGGACTTTGTGGCAGAGTGGCTTTTTTACAAAAAATATGTTCCGTTTTTTCCAAGCAGCTGTTCCGTTTTTTTCAAGCAGACCAAGTTCCCGTTTTTTTTCAAGCAGACCCTGTGGCATCTCTGAATGATGATAGTGTCCAAAATTAATCGTAATCCATTCTCGTTATTGATGATTTGTTTTCAGCATTACCTAGAGACTGTAGAAGACATCGCCTTTCATCCTCAAACATTCCCTGGTAAGGTTTGGAATCTTTCCTTTCTTGAAAGACAAACAAAATGAAACTGCATTTCCTTAACCCAGATAATCCAGTGGTTTAATTTGTTTGTAATCCCAGTAGCCCCATCTCTACTGGGCACAATGCTTTTAAAGCAAAAGAAGTGCACTTACTAAACTGAGTACGAGTACTTGTACTTACGAGTACGAGGACGAGTACTGTACATGTACTTACGAGTACGAGTACAAGTACTTGTATATCCGAATACGGCCATACGGCAAATGGTTCATTGTGCATAACTGGGCCCAGTCAAACCGATATACAGACCCACTCATTGCTAGCTGTTAAATGTGTTTGTCCAGACGTGCACAGAGGAAAATCAAGAAGCTTCGATTTCTCCACAAGCCTATCAACCATTTCAAACTGAAAGTATCGATAAAATAAGTCTGTGGTATAGCTACACTATTTCCCCCCGAGTACTGCTATTCGAGTACGAGTACTTGGATGATCGAGTACAATTTCGACATGTCAAGTACAAGTGCTTTGCTGCTCGAGTACTAGTACCATCATAGTGAGTACAAGTACTTTGACATTCGAGTATGAGTACGAGTACTTCAAAAAGTACTCGAGTAGTACTCGAGTACGAGTACGAGTACTACAACATTGAATAATATACAATTTTTGTGGACTGTCATATCCTTTGATCCCAACTGGCTGATCCTCATTGAAAGAACCATTAATTGTAAATCTTTTTGTTACAGAATCCCTAAAAGACCCCGAGATACAGAGGGTTGCTGTGCTGGTACTCGGTGCCTTGGCTGGTCACCGATGGAAGGCTGGATACAAATCTCAAGCGGAGCTCATTGTCCGCAAGATTGAGAATAAACTTGGTGTGCACGGTCAGTTACAAACAAATCTCTTTAACCCTAACCTTCTCAAATCCTCCAAAATCCTCTTTGCAAAATGGAGGATTTTGCAGGATTGAGGTTATATGGCAAAAGCGTGTGGCTGATTTGGGAGCATGCATTGTCAAGGTGTTGGGCTGGACCTCGTGCTGTTTTGCTCAGCCGTGCATAAATTTAGCCGTAGATTATACCTGAAATCCTTTGCACTAGCTCCAGGATGTCGCTGGCTCTGCCTCAATATATTGACAATGATTGCCGGAGGATTTTGCAGGATTGAGGCAGTGGTCACCCCTCCAGACAAGGACCACATTTAAGAAATAACGGAGGGTTTTGGAGGTTGCATCCTGGGTCATTCCGTGTCAAATCAACACGCTTTTGGACCCGACCCTCACAGATTGAAACAATATTTGGTGTGATGATTGGCCTATATGAGAAACCCCAGAACTGATTTTTTTTGTAAATTGACTCGTTAGTTTTTGAGATACGGGTCAACGAACTTTTGACTAATTAGCATGACCTCCGAACTTTAAATACTTGTATCTCAAAAACTATAGCGCCTACAAAGCCAAGTTGTACATCATATTAAAGTTCTTTGAATGGCCTCCATTTCATAAAATAAAACCAAAATCGTAGCATGAAGTGCAGAGAAAATGCGTAACAAAATGACCTTTGACCTCAAATTACGAAAAACAATATGCTTCAAATTTTGTAATTGTTTTTCAAATGTTAGTTTATGATGTCAGCAACAATCTTAAAAAAAAAATTGGGATGGGCGGTCTTAAAGTTTTTAAGTTATGGTTTTTTGAAGAAAGCCTGTCCATGAAAAAGTATGCATAATATTAAATGTACATGTACATGTACATGTATATGTATACATTGTACTTGTACTGTGTACATGTGCACATTTTACCTGTGCATCATGTTTGCCCTTTACAACCGCATAGTCTCAACTCATATCCAAGTCAGGTGTGTTTACAAACACAAATGCCCCACAACCGTGACTGTTCCCATGACATAACACCACTCTTTTAACATCAACTTACACGTACGTACCTTGGTCACATGGAACGTTCATTGACAGCATTAGTGTCTTCTGTAGGTTTTATATGAATTAATCCCTAATCCCTATGATCTCAGAATAAATACAAGATTTTTATTGTTTTAGCCACTGTGACCTTGACCCTTGACCTTTGGACCCCAATGCGATATGCCTATTTGGATTACCAAGAACGATCCACAAACCAAATTTGAAGTTCACATGTAAAGTATTTCTCAAGTTATCGCACTAACAAAATTTCTTTTGTTTTAGTCACTGGGACCTTGACCCTTGACCTTTCGGCCCCAAATGCAAAAGGGTTCTTAGGATTACCAAGAACAATACACAAACCAAATTTGAAGTTCATATGTTAAGTATTTCTCAAGTTATCACGCTGACAAGATTTGTCCGGACACACACACACACCCACACACGTTTGTTTTACATACGCTATGTGGACATTCCTTTGTTTTCGTGTAGTTAAGAAAACTCGGTACAAAAAATAACTTCACTTAAACTGTGAGAACTCTTTTAACCCAATTTTTTTTCTATGATTCCCTATAGTGTTTCTCGTCATTCTGCTACGGATAAAACTAACCCAAAAATGCCTTTATACCTGTTTTTCAGAAAGGGCAAAACGTTATGTGGACACGGCTTAGTCCACATAATAAAAACACAACCTGCATTATGTGGACATCTTTTGTTCACAAATCCACATAGGGAATGTAAGACAAACTCACCCCCACACACAGCCACCCACCCACCCACACTTGTTTCACATGACTAGTGTGGACTTTCCATTGCTTTCGTGTAGTTAAGAAAAAACAGTGAAAAAACTCATTTTTCTCAAACTGTGAAAACTCTTTCAACCCAATTTTTTTTCTATGATTCCCTTTAGTGTTTCTCTTCATTCTGCTACAGATAAACCTAACCCAAAAATGCCTCTAAACCTGTTTTCCAGAAATGGGGAAACACTGTGTGGACGTGGGGCAAGTCCACACAACGTCGGTGCTACCTACATTATGTGGACGTCTTTTGTTCGGAAGTCCACACTGCGTATGTAAGACAAGCTCACCCACACACACACCCACACACACCCACACACACACCCACCCACCCACCCACGGAAGAACAAGGCGGAAACAGTATGCCCCTTCGGCTTCGCCGCGGGGCATAAAAATATGTTATACCGGTCTATGTTACTTTCATTTTTCGCTCAACCAAAGTCTGTGTTGCAGTGTTCATCTCCTCGGCGGAGATCTTGTATACGCGTCCTGTTTCAGTGACCGGTTCCACTGCTGTTAGTACATCCATGCCGTGAATTACAAGTGTGTCTGGTTGATAGGGGAACTTGAAAGATGGAGATGGCCCATGGGGATGAAGGAAACTCAGTTCCACTTCTTGGGATGCTGGAAGGATCTCCTGAACACATGCTAGCCACCAGTAACAGTCATACATCACTGTAACATACCGGTACATGTACCCCTTGATATCTGCAAAATCAATACATGCAGTTTGTCCATGGACTTGGAGGCAAACTGGTTCCTCCCTTGAGTCTGAGGAGGAGGAAAAATCAAGCACCAATAATATTGTCTTTAGACATCGGACAAAAACAGTGCAGCTTTTGTGTTCCTAGAATGGTACGTGCAATTTGGAATCTTTGCCTGAGAATATCCGCTTCATTCTTCATCTCTCGCCGAGGAGATGAACACTGCAACACAGACTTTGGTTGAGCGAAAAATGAAAGTAGACCGGTATAACATATTTTTTATAAGTAATTTTGTTCTGCCCTTAATATATATGAGTTGAGACTATGCGATTGTAAAGGGCAAACATGATGCACAGGTAAAATGTGCACATGTACATGTACACAGTACAAGTGTACATGTACATGTTTACTTGTACATGTACATATTATGCATACTTTTTCATGGACATGCTTTCTTCAAAAAATCATAACTTAAAAACTTTGAAAGCGCCCATCCCAATTTTTTCTTAAGATTGTTGCTGACATTATAAACTAACATTTGAAAAAAAATTACAAAATTTGAAGCATATTGTTTTTCGTAATTCGAGGTCAAAGGTCATTTTGTTACGCATTTTCTCTGCACTTCATGCTACGATTTTGGTTTTAATTTATGAAATGGAGGCCATTCAAAGAACTTTAATATGATGTACAACTTGGCTTTGTAGGCGCTATAGTTTTTGAGATACAAGTATTTAAAGTTCGGAGGTCATGCTAATTAGTCAAAAGTTCGTTGACCCGTATCTCAAAAACTAACGAGTCAATTTACAAAAAAAATCAGTTCTGGGGGTTTCTCATATAGGCCAATCATCACACCAAATATTGTTTCAATCTGTGAGGGTCGGGTCCAAAAGCGTGTTGATTTGACACGGAATGACCCTCCTAGCAAAAATGCCTAGGGAGTTGGGGTTAAATTGTGGTTGAGAAACGTCAACAGGCAGTTACTTTGTATTGGAATATTAAAATATTTGGACTTGTTCAGTTGGCGAATTGACATTATCTGTAGGAAATTAGCAGTTCCTAACCAGAAACCACATTTCCGATGATAATCTCACTTTTAAAGGTACATGTGTATTTTGATTTATTCCAGACTTTCTGGAAATGTCTTGGTCTCTGGTCAACATTTTCTTTAGAAAAGATGTGGAAATTTATGACCGGTTCTGTCAAACCAAGAATATGCTGGAAAATTGCATTTTAAGATAACTGAAACATGATCTATTATCACATGGTGAGTCAGCAAACATCATCGCTATGTATCCTGATGTATTTAGTGACTATAGACTCTACAGTTTGGCTTGAAAACCTAGACCTGTTGTAATTTGTTAGACCGGCCTGGCTGCTCATTTTGGGGAGTGTTGCCGGTTGTAGTGTTGGGCACGACATGTTCACAAAATACCCTCAGGGTTTACTGTTAAACTAAACTATTAGAAAGCAGGAGGTCATGGGTTCGAGTCCCTGCCAAGTGATTTTTCCAACTTTCACTGGGGAGGTAACACACTGAGTATACAGTGATTATACGTCGGTGAAGGGCAAAACCTAATTTGATTAACATCACCCCGACGCAAATTCCATCTTATGATAATTAAATGCAGTACCCACTGCTACATGTACATCAGATTCGAGCCAACCAACTGATCCAGCAAGCCCGGCGGTCTAGTGGTAAGACGTCTGCACTAGAAAGCAGGAGGTCGTGGGTTCGAGTCCCTCCCGAGTGATTTTTCCAACTTTCACTCGGGAGGTAACACACTCGAGTATACAGTGTTTATACGTTGGCGAAGGGCAAAACCGAATAATGATAAACTACTCATCTTTCATTTCTGACCTTCTTAGATCCCTGGGCCTATGAGAAGACCTTGACGTCTCTGACTGAGGATGAACGAGAGGAGTTTCACCACGACACGGTGGCATTGATTGAAGCTCTGGGCAATGCTGGGCTGCATCGCTCCTTCCCTCACATCCAGAGCTATACCAACCACAGCGCTACTCATCCACTGCTGAAAAGGGCTGGCTTACACTCCATGAGAGACTACCATCATGACACGGTGAACAAAATGTTTATCCTGTAGAATGACCAGACTGTATACAGTGGAACGTCGCTATACCGAACAACGCTATGGGCTCCGTGCGCCAACGAAAGATGGCGCCCTTTTCAGGCGCGGATCCAGGATTTCTTTAGACGGGGGGCACACTTTTAGAGCATTTTGCTCTGAGGAATAATGCGAGCGCGGAGCGCGAAGCCCTTACGGCGTGGGGTCCGGGGCCCGCTTAAGGGCCCCGGGAAATTTTGGATTCTAGATGCTCTGTGGTGCAATCTGAGGCGACTCCTGGCCCCTTTCCCCCTGAATTAATTGAGCAAAAGTTGTGAAGCTTATAAGGATTTTAAAAAAATATATATACTCTTGTTTTTACAACTTTTAAGCTACTGTGTACTTCAAATGTGCAAACCATGTATTTTCGTCTTCATAATTTCTTGCATTGTGACTCAGATTGTAAACTGTTGCAACGGGCGATGCGCTGGGACCAAGGACTAATGCGAACGCGGAGCAGTGTCTTACGGCGTGAGGTTCGGGGCGCGGGCCCACTGAAGGCCCCGGGAAATTTTTGATTCCAGAGATGCTCTGTGTTGCAATCTGAGGCGATTCCTGGCCCAATTTTAGCAAAATGTTGTGAAAATTGCAGGATTTTTTTTTCATTATCGCTTCGGTTTGCGGTAACACCATGTGTTTTTTTGATTTTTAGTTCATTGGTTTAGTGTACTCTTGTATTTCTTAATACAAGCCTAGTTAAGTTTCTTCTGTTCTTCACTTGATAACCAGGTATTTTCGACTGCATAATACATTTCTTGCATGTTATTTTTGAAAAGGAATTGGATAGGCTTAGTTTGTAAACTGTTTTAAGGGTGCGTAGGGAGATCTTTCCCGAGGACTAATAATGCGGAGGGCGAATGTCTTTCGGCGTGGGGTCGGGGGCCCGCTTAAGGGCCCCGGAAATTTTTTTGATAATTGGATGCTCTGTGGTGCAATCTGAGACGATTCCTGGCCCCTCTTTCCCTGAGTTATTTGAGCAAAATGTTTTAAATTAAATAAGCATTTTTTTCATTGGTTTATATACTCTTGCTTTAACAAGCCTTTTAAGTTTCTTCTGTTTTTCACTTGATAACCATTTTCGTCTGCATAATTGTTTTCGTGCATTTTATTTTTGAAACGGAATTGTATAGACTTAGTTTGTAAACTTTTGCATGCTTTCTAATGTTTTGTATCAAGTTTAAATTTTCAGTTTATCAATAAGATAAGATTTTCTACGGAAATTTTCTACGGAAACTGACATGTTTTGGACTCCTTGAAAAGCGCGTGGAAGAAATGCTGGCAAATTGTTCTTACGAAAACACACCTCTTTACTAATAGTGTGGTCCAAAGAGCAGCGTACAACGTATATGTCGCGCTCAGACACGAGCGTGTTTTTCGTACAGGTACATACGCTCATAATGAATCGCATTTCATAAACCGATATACTATGCAGGGTTACGTATGGAGTACGTACGGTGGCTGGGATCGCAGTTTATTTCGAAGCTTCTCGAGTTCCCAGTACTGTGTCATACGGCCAGTACACAATGTTTGCAGGCCGCTGATGTTTAATATCGGCGCCGGTACTTTTGTTACAAGGTTGCCCTCCTCCTTCCCTCCTTTTCTCTCTCCTCCCCCTCTTTTCCCACCTGTTTTGTTCATTTTATTTTTTTGTGGACTCAATTTGACGGGGGGCACGTGCCCCCGCGGCCCACCCCTGGATCCGCGCCTGCTTTTACCTAGCAACGACGTCTCATGGGGGGGGGGACATTGAGCTGGTTGACGCACACCGTTCCTTGTGTGTGACGCACGTACACCAGGGATGTACACGCAGTGGTATGGCAGTGGTACGGCCGCGCGTCGTGGCAAAATTGCAGTCAGGTAAGATGGCATCGGTCGGTCACCCCCAACTGTACTCTCTTTGCTGGTGAGGGGGTTCTTGTGAACGGAGCGGATAGTGAACATTCGGCAATGCTGAACATCATCCTTGGCTCCCGATTTTTGTGTACAAAATGTACCGGACATTGTTGTTGAAAGTTGTTAACATAAGAGTGACAAGTGGCTATTATTTCCCCAAGGAATAGAAAGGAAAAGCCACAACTGCAGGCCTTGCACTAACTTTTTTTCCTGGCTAGCCCACTGGGCTAGTTAACTGGATATTTTACTAGCCCGTTTAGAGTTTTACTAGCCCGTATACAAAAAATTATCACCGAAAGCATTATATAGTTTGATCAAAATTTTAACTGGTAGGTTTAATACTGAATTTTTCACTAGCTCATTGGGCAACCAAGGAACCAAATTTAGGTAGCCCGGAGCATTTTTCGCTAGAATTTGTACGCCGGGCTAGTGCTATTTCGAGGCCTGCCATTGCTGTAGGTAGTAAGCTAAAAAACTGTGTAATTACATAATTCAATAGTTGGCACATGTTCAAAGTCGTCTTTCAGTCGCCCAGGCGTGCAGGGTGAAGTTCTGAAGGGTGCTATTTGTTGAAAGTGAGTACCGGAGCACCAGCAGCTTAAAATCGCTTTACCGGACGATCGCTATTACGAACAATTTCTGTGGATCCTGCGATGTTCCTTATAGTGGCGTTTCACTGTATACCCTTTTATGTCTAACCTAACATTATATATCCAGAATAGTTACTCAGGGGGCCAACTTTTGCAATGTGTTCTTGGGACACTTTGGCCCAGATTGCACACTTCTAGATGAAAAGATCATTGAAAAGTGAAATATAAATGCTCGCACTGCTTTACATTAAAAACTTACATTTTTCTGAGTTTTTAACGTGCAAATGAATTTTTGGATTCAAAATTTTGATCATCAAACATCAAGCCATTGCCATGCTAGTCTTCATTCCAGTCACTCTGGTGTCTTTTTGGAAAGGTGCTTGAAATGTGTGTGTGCTAGGATCGCCAAGTCTAAAACTAGATGCATTTTATGCAGCGCCAATCTGATGTTGTTAATAACAAGGAATTTGCATCGGGGTGATGGAGATATGTAGTCTATGTACAGACCACGGTGTACGCCATGGTCTATTACATGTGAGCAAATTCGCTGATTAATTATGCAAGACAACTGCATCTTGACCTCTAGATTTTGACCAATCGGTGGGCGCTTCTATATCGGGTCTTCGGTCATTCACCCGTTGTCGCGTCATAGACATGGATTAAAAAAAATCCCCCAGACACAGCAACAAAGGCCGTGGTCACGCGCTCTGTATTATGCTACGCGACATGCGCCCGGCTGTTGTTGCATTACAAAACACTGCATTCGAATTGACCAATCACAGTATTAGTTCTGATTTGGGAGTGAAATGACGTCACGATTTAGTAAAGTCGACTCTGATTGGCTCAGGCGTGAGATCGCATAAATCTGCATGCTTTGACATATCAGACGTTATACAGGAGACTTGGCTCCGTGGATAACGGGTGATACTCAGACTAGCAGATATGTCGGTGAACGGCAAAACCCAACATTGAATTTGTCTAATGTTGACAATTTGGCTCGAAATTTGATGGCTATATTCGCTACTGGAAATATGAAGGGGCAAGGCAAAAAGCCACTGCCAGGCCAGATGTAAACAAACAGGGTTTTCAACATTTCCTCTGTCATGTCTGTAAACGTTTGTCATAATGTGAATTTTCTGTGACCCAGACCTTTGAAGTACATGTAAGTCTAGTAAATAATATGAAACACAAAACTTGGCAATGGCCAGAAGAAAGTGCACCTTTATATTCTAAGTCAATTGTGTCAGGTTTGTGTATACTTACGTTGTAATTTTAGTTGGTATACCACTCAGAATCTGTTACATGAAGCCTGCAGGCGTATTGTAATCACACTCAATTTCATGCACAACAAAATTGGGACATCCAGTCTTTGAGAAATAAGGTCGGTCAGATTTTCTTGAAAACACCAGAATACTGTTAAAATTTGGAGTGGATTTTTGATGTGAGGTGGTTAGGGTTATTTGTCATGAGCAGTGTGTGTGTCTCTCTCTCTTCTCCTTACTTGGCTGCACTAGACATTCCTATAAATTTAATAGGTAGTCTGAGTCATAGTTAGGCAGATATCAGCCAAAATGACAGGGAATTGGGCATTTTTACGTACAAGCATTAAATTTGGCACAGTTCAGGACTATGGTCTAGGTAATGTTTTGAGAAGTGGAGCCACTCTGAAAACATCCTTTGTCTTCTGTGGCGGCCATTTTGAAAATGGAAGCCATGTTTCCCACCAATTTTGCAATAAAGGCCATTTTTACAATTAAAATGCCCCCGATTCCTCAATAAACATATCTGGATGACAGTGAGATTCTCTTGCACTCTTTAGCCTTCCCTAAATTGAAATGCACTATAGTAGGTCCTTACGCCAAATAAGGTATTTGGCGGCCATTTTCCAAAATGACAGCCACTGGCGACAGAGGATGTTTTCAGAGTGGCTCCACTTCTCGAAACATTACCTATACCATAGTCCTGAACTGTGCCGAAAGTCATGCTTGTATGTAAAAATACCCGATTTTTTTCACATATCTGCCTAACTATTACCTGGGCCCAATTCTATGGGGTTCTTGAACAGAAAATATTGCTTGGCCAATTATGGGCTGGGCAAAGAACAAGTTAAAGTATGACCTTTCAGGTGATGACCTGTTTGTTGGCTTAATGAATAATGCTGTGCTTTATAGTGAGTTTCTGTGTTCAAGTAGCGCAAAGAAATTGTCTCCTGGTCCTATCTTCACAGGCAGCGGGGATTCTGCTGAAGTCAGCCTTAGATGAAGATGAGAATGAGCATGTCAGATATGAGGCATCCTTGCTTTACAAGAATCACCCGATGGGCGGTGACCAAAATATCTCCAAGTTTGTCACCCCAGAAGAGTGAGTATAGGAATACTGTTATGCCCACATTTGAACAATAAAACTCTGTGAACATGAAGGATTTCTTTCAGGCGGTGCCAACAACTGAGATACCCTGGTATCTCATACATATGGCCTCTGAAGCCTTCATATTCGTTTTCATGTCTGGATTTGGTCAGTGTATCACGATGAACAATGTAACGGAGGTTTTGTTCATCACCATGAAGAACAAAGTCAGAAGCCTTCATATTGCGGAGATTTTCTCTGCCTGTATTTGGAAGATAGATCATGATATTAATATGAAGGCCGTCAGGAGTTGTTATGTCCAGTGAATCTAAGATCTTTGCATATCTTCTCCACTTACAGCTCCCTCTGGCTTCAGCTTAACCATCATGGTCTTGCAGACCCTGTTGCTCTCTTTATTAAAAGTATCAGTTTTTGTTATGTCCAAATCCTTTGTTGAGAGAAAGTGGCGATAGCCCATAACGGATTGCTTGCATGGACTTCTTTGCATACAACGCTCTGTCGTCTCTCCTTAACGTTAACGTTAACAAGACCAGGGAATTAATCGTTGACTTTAGAAGAAATCCCTCTGTCATTCAGCCTTTGAGTATCAATGGATCTGAAGTGGAAATTGTTGACTCTTTCAATTTTTTGGGTGTACATATATCCAATATTCTGAAATGGGTGACTCATGTGGACGTCATTGTTAGAAAAGCCCAGCAACGTCTGTTCTTTCTTAGGAGATTGAGGAGTTTCCGTGTCAGCCAAGGTCTGTTGGTGAAGTTTTATCGGGTAGTGGTTGAGAGTGTTTTGACACTCTCAATCGCTGTCTGGTACGGCAACACCACGGTGGATGACCGGAGACGTCTCAATCGTGTAGTTAATACTGCCAGTGCAATAATCGGTTGTGAGCTTCCGGTATTAGACAAATTGGATGCGTCCCGTGTACTGAAGAAATCTAGGTCAATCATTCATGACGAATTCCATCCTGCTAGTTATTTATTTGAGCTGATGAGAACAGGCAAACGTTACAGAACAATCCGGGCTAATTCCAATCGCACTCTCAACAGTTTTTATCCCAGTGCAGTACGTCTAGTAAATGAACAAGTGTTAATATAGTTTTAACGTTTTAGTATTAATTTATTCGGTTTTGAGTATCAATGCATTTTTTAAATAGTAATTGTATAAGGTGTTTTATCAGTAATAAGTCGTTATTAACACATTTTACTCATTGATTTATGTATGTATGTATTTATATATATATTTTTTTTTAACAGCTCGCAACGCCATAATGAATTTCAATGTATGTTTTTTATATACAAATGACAATAAAATTCTATTCTCTTCTTCTTAGACCGCCATAAAATCGCTATACAAACTGGTCAAGTTCTGCATGGCCGTATTAAAGCTTCTACTACTTCCAAAGAAGTACCAGCATACTTCGCATAAGATTCTAGTCGGCGAACAGCAAATTTAATTTGTTTCTTTGTATTTGTAGTGTCAGAGGCATGAATTAATTCCACAATATCGTTGTCGTTTATAAGCAACACAAAATTGTTTGGAACATCTGCCATTATGCTCGAATGGTAGTGCCTTGTCAATGGAGGGCGTTTTGTACTGCTGTAAAAAACGCATGATGTGATCTAGCGTGCAATAGATCAAAAGGGATGGGACGAAAATGCACCGAGAATGGAACCAAAAATGCTCGGTCTATGACGTAGGCCCTGCAGTGGTTTGATTTATGAATGCCACATGACCTATAATCCTCCAATCAAATGACAAGGATCTACGTGGGTGTTATAATTTATTGCACTCGCTAAGACAATATTGCACTCGTCTTCGACTTGTGTAATATTGTTATAGCTCGTGCAATTTATTCTTGTATCCACCTCCAAGCCATCCAATATTATATAATTATCTGATATTTGTAAATACCATTGTTATTTCCATTTTTAGATATTCTGCCGTCAACTCCTCCCAAGACGTAGCAACCACTGCAGTGAGTGTGCCCTCTAGACATCGCGTGAGGCGAGGATTCTGGGAAGGAATTGAATTCAAGTTGGCCAGTCCCTCCATCCACTGGAAAAAGCTCATTGGCAGCACAAAGACCGGGGCTGAGTTTGGCTTGACCATTAGGAATGAACTTGACTTGAAGATTTGTACGTATTTCAGACTTTTTCAAACATTTTTCACATTCTTTTGGTGTTAATTTGTGAAAGGGGGGCATAGAATTTTGTAACCTAATGTTTTATTAAGAAAAAGGAATTGTGGGACAGCGTGTAATTACAGAAAAGGTACATACTAGAGTTGTACTTAAACAGAAACATAATAATTCCTGAGCGCTCGGCTAATTATTGACCCTTAACCCATTCTTAAAGCGGAGTCCATCATTTGCAGCTATCCAAAAAGTAACTGACGTAATTATTGTTGAAAAACATACTTGGTTTCAAGATAGTAATGGCACTAAACTCCCTGTGAATTTATTCTTTTTGGCAAGCTGTCATTTTGAAGAAAACAATGAAAGAAGACCATTTACAAAAGATGCATTTTTGGAGATTTCTTGTAGTTTGATTTAATTCGGCGAAGTGCGCGCAAGCGTTGAAACGATGCACGTTCGCGCGTGGTTGCTATAATTCATCAGTTAAGTGCGTAACATCCCGTCGCTGCAATGAACATGTTCTGGATGCTGATTTCGAGCGCAATTCAAAACACGACTCAGCAACTTTTGATTTAAAACCGAGATCCTAGAATATTGTTTTCGCGGAATATACAGCATTCAGTGAGCTGAAACTTCGTCAGGTTAATCGTTCAGCACCCTTCTTTAGATTTTGAGCACGTTTGTTGCTTCAAACCAACATAATGCACAAATTACAAATGATGGACGCTACAGTTGGTCACAAGTCACTAAAATGTGTTATTTGACATGTGAGTGACATAATTACAGAGGTATGATGTCAATTGTGCTTTACAAAAAGATAAGCCTTGTACAAAACAAATGAACACTTGACATTTTTTTTGGTTCTGACAGCTCCATTGAGTGGTCACCTGCGTGTGGATCTATTAGACGAGGCTTATGCCACAGTTGTCGTTGGGCTTGTTGGGTTTTCATTGGACATTGCCCGGGCCCGATTCTGCTTCAATGGCTTCATTGATTATAACCTCAACATACTGCAGGTACATTTAGCTTTGTCGTATCTTTTGTGTCACGTTTTCACATATTTTAGATGGATTGGCAACATTCATGGTGGTTAAGTTTGTGATTGGACATAGTGCAACTTACTTATTTTGCTGACTTCACCATTCAAACCTCCAAATCTCATTTACATGTATGATAGCATTACCTATACCTACAGCGTGTGTCAATAAAAACGCAGGATTATAAACAAAAATATTAAGAATATAAACCACCCCTATTCATCATAATGTTAACCCTCTTTTCAAAGTACCTTTCCTTCTCTTCACTATGCTTTTTGTCCCATCTCATTTGGACAATCCTGTCCAGAGATAGAGTACATTGAAGAAGGGTTATAAATTCCAAGCTGGTCTGATTTGTGAAATCACACATACCTAATGAAAGGTTTGAATTCAGTACAGGTGAAAGTATTTGTGGATCACAAAGAAGGACATGTGTGGCAGGATTAGGCTTACATAATCCTTTAGTCCACAATCAATGTTATTAGTCAATAATTCATGATGCTTTGAAACGATGATAGTCCAGTTATTAAATTTAAGTGATACTTATCATCAGTTGTTTCAAAGAAAGTTTTGTTCTGGTTTAATTGTCTTCAATGCATACCTACATTGTACATAACTGGTCGTTGTGTTAAGGTCATTGAATCAGACCAACCCGCTTCAGAAGGGCTTCACAAAACTTGTCATAACTTTTGAACCAAAAGTCCAAATTCCACCAAACAAAAATCTTGTCAAAGATGAAATTATGGACAATCAAATCCTTATCAAATTAGGCACACCAGTAGCATAATTTTCTCAGAAAAAAAATCGCTTTGAATCCTGCGTTTTTATTGACACACGCTGTAAAACTTAAATGTCCACTTGTCACAAAAAGTTACCGAAACAGCCCTGTGTTTTGTCCACAAACATAATAATAATAATAAAATAACAAAAATATTCTTATAGAGCGCCAAATCCTTCAAAATGACAATCAAGGCGCTTAACAATCATTAACAAAAACAAAAAACAAAAACCTAATTACAAATATGAAAAACCTTTAAAAATTACATATTGTACACTAATATTATTAATGATAAAATAATATAAATACAAGCACATTAGCATTAAACCTAAGAACAAAACTAATCAAGCAAAAGATACGTGTTAAGGAAAAAATGGCATATGAAGGACCTATTGATTAATGTAATGAATGATAAAAATTTAAGAAGGTGACAAGTACAATGTATAACAAGACCATTATATAAGACCAGGTATAACAAGAACATGAGTCTAGTTGTCCGTTTTTTCCGTAACACGACTGTTGCACGCTTTTATAAATACAGTCAAATCAATGGGCGATAAGACGCAATTAAGATTTGGTCGCATAAATGTTCACATGTGAATTGCTTTCTTAATAAACAAAATAAATAAATGCGTTATATGTTTGGCCATAATGTCATCTGATGCTATGTATTGTTTCAATCAGGAGTTTGGCGTGGAGCGCATCAGTGACTTTGTCAAAGCATACGATCTCATCGTTGGGCAAGTAATTGGAAACATCCGCAGGGCAGTGGACATTGTTGTTGGTCTCTTCAACGGTGACATAAGCATCTCTCAGCTATTTGACGACTTTGTTCAAGCTCTGGAGAACATCCCCAGTAACATTACTGTAAGCATGTACATGTAAGACATAGTTGGCAGGCTGTATAACAGTGTATTACCCTTAAAACATATTTTGTGAAAAAAAGCAGTTCAGAATTCCAGCTTTTGTTTCATAGCATTCTAAGACAGTTTAGTGGGGCTGCTAAACACATAAATTATTTGCCTTGCAGAAAAAAAGTATTACCAACCAAAATGCCACGCAAAGTTGAGTGCATATTATGGATTGTCAGCTATTTCTTGCTTAGCATATCAATCCGCTAAGCCTGAAATAGAGCCCTGATATGACATAACGTGTCATAGTCATATATTTACTTGTGACAGGTTCTCAGCTCATTGGCTAAGCATGTAATTTTACTAGGCAGCTGTAGATTAAAGGTACAGTCCATCATTTGCAGCTATCCAAAAAGTAACTGATGTAAAAATTGTTGAAAAGCATACTTGGTTTAAAGATGGTAATGGGACTAAACTCCCTGTGAAATTTTTCTTTCTGGCAAGCTGTCGTTTTCCAACAATAAAGACGCATCATTGGAAATTTCCGTTAGTAGTTCATTTTTCTATTCGGCGAAGCGCGCGCAAGCCTTGACACGACGACACTGCTTTAATTCGTGCATGCCATCGCGTAGCTGTAATCGGCTCAGTGAGAACGTGTCTTGGACGCTGAATTCAGGCCCAATTCAAAACATGACTCAGCAACTTTTGATTTGAAATCGAGATCCTAGAATATTTTCTCAGAATATACAGCATTCACCGAGCTAAAACTTCATCAGGTTTGTTGTTCAGCACCCGTCTTTAGATTTTGAGCACTTTTGTTGCTTCAAACCAACATAATGCACAAGTTACAAATGGTGGACACTACCTTTAATTGCATGGGTCCTTACACCTGTTTCAGATTGGCATCCGGAGTTGTGTCTAACCGAATAGCATTAGGAGCTACATGTACTCGTCGGTTGGCCAAAATAGATTTTCCATTGACTTATCTGAGGAATCAGTCTGAAGAGCTGCAACAGTCGATTCACTAAGAAGCTCCAACCTGTTTCATCTTCAAAGAGTTCTTATACTTAATTTCTAAATTATTCGGAAATCTTGCGAAAAGTTTGGTTTGGCAGAACTCTGAAATGCCAGTCTTAAACAGGTGGGATCTCAATGGAAATAAGCCTCTGCAATTGGCTTTCTGGGCTATACCAGACAAAATCAACTGCTCTTTGTTTTCTTATATTTGTGTGTTGTTGGTTTCATCTGAATAAAATAATAAAAATAGGTGTATTAATTGGCTTACACTGCTTATGAGGATTGTCTTGTAACGTTTTGAATGATTTATGTTCTGTACATAGAACGTGAGATCTGTGGCTACCAAGGCTGTGTCCAGACTGTCTCAGTTTGATCCTGATCAGCTACCACCGTCCTTCAGAGGTGTCATTAATGTGGTCAACAAGGCTACTCAGTTATTCAGTGATATCAAGACAGATGTCATGGAATTCTACCAGGTCATTATGAAAAGTTGTGGTCGTGTCCATCACAAAGTCCCTCGCAAGTCATGTCTCAAGTCATATCAAACGCCGATCACAAACCAAATTACAAGTCATTCACAAGTAAGATAACAAGTGACAGGGGAGGAACAATGACAAAGGAATGCCTTGGCCACCATTCAGTGAAATAGCTTGACTGCGGGCTTGATGACTTGTGATGGACTTTTGATGGATTGTGTGGACTTGACCTACATGTAAGCCCAGATAATAATAATTATCTTCAAGTAGACTTGAATCCTTGATCCTGATTGGTCGATCCATGGCAACAAGCCGTGCTATGTAAAAACCATATAGCACGGCCACGGTCCATCCCGCACTCCGGGTATTGCGCTTTTCTAAGATGCGCGCGCCATTCTGTACACCACGCACATGTAATAAGATACCCGCTGAAGGTTCCTGTACAGCATGCGTGTTCCATCTTTACTGTGCGTCAAGTTTGCTTGAAGATAATTTCGTTGTCCCACTCGCGGTCATGGAACATGGCAAAATGTAGTGCGTCTGTGTCCCAGGTACCACTCGGCCTTCGGCCGCGTGGAATGTGGGGCACAGAGGCACTACATTATTCCGTGTTCCACTTGCGCTCACGGGATTACTAATATTAACTTGAAGCGAACTTGAATCGTGCTGTTCCTGCTGCACAGATGTGTAATACGATAACCACTGTCTACAGCGTTTCATCTTTTCTGTGTCTGAGTTTGCTTGAAGTCATTCCAAGAACGCAAGTGGAATGTAGAATAATGTAGTACATTTGCATTCAATTTGCCACAAGGCAAAAGGCTGAATGGTATATGATTATACAAATATTGAGTGGTTCAGCGTGGAATGGGAGGAATATTATTGCAAGGTAAAATCTGGACTTTTCCATTTCACGAGGCGAAGCCGAGTGAACTGGAAAAGTCCACATTTTACCGAGCGATAATATTCCTCCCATTTCACAATTTAAAGCCACTCAATATTTGTTTTATATAACTGACGTATAGATCCTTGTCATTTGATATATTTGAACTTTTTTCAATACGAAACTGGAGGAAAATTTATTTCTCTCTTCCAAAACCCCCCCTTCACAAAAATGTTTTAACCCAACGCTGTAGTGTTGGCTCTTTGGAACAATACGCGCACACCAGCATGCATTTGCACACAAATACCGCATCATGATCCTAACTGTTGAATAGTATTTCCCATTCCCCATGGGCGGAAAGTACTTTTTGAGCCGCGGCATGAATGGGAGCAATAACGAATGCCACGTGATGTGAGTTCCACCAATCAAATGACAAGGATCTGTATGTCAGTTATATAAACACAGATGTGCTACATAGTATTTTAAAGAAACAATTAAGGTCCTGTTACACACATTGATGAACAATTGACGTAAAGTTTGGATTATTTGATCTGATAAGACAAGAAATGTAAGTCGTGAAGTTACAAAGCAAACCAACTACTTGTCACATTGATAGCAAACAATATTATGTTGTGTATTCAGGGCAATATTTAGCCAGGACATTGTGGGAAAATCATTGATACATGTGCATCTCTTATCAAAGGACTTCAACTGCATCTAAAGGAGTATCTAGAAGCTCCAAAATTGGTCTGGTCTTTTTACTATTAAAAGAGATTGTATTTGTTGGTATATGAAGGATCAATTTCACTTGTTAACCAGTTGCGCCGGAGGCTGTGAATACACGCAAAAGTTTTGCGGTAATCGGAACGGATGACAGATAACACGTGGGAGCGAAGCCGGAAGTATCTGTCAGTGACCCGAGGCCGCACTGCGAGGTCAGAAATATGAGTGTGCTGCCCGAGGGTGTGATGGCTTCAACCCGCCTGCATAGCTGCCAACTATTACGAATTTTTCGTAATTACTACGAATTGTTTGTTAAATTACGAAAATACGATTTGCCACTAAAACATTACGAATTTCCCATTTTCTACCTAACGAAAACAAAAAATACTTGTAAAGTGGCGTTTATGACCGAAAACTTCTGGCTAAATGTTGCGATAATGGATGGACCGGTGACAAGTCTAATAAGCAATGCGGTCAAGCACCTGATAGACATGTGCGCAGTGGAGTACTTGAGGACCAGACTAAAAATATTGTTCAATGGTGTGTCATTTGTGTGCATCTCGTGGATGTGTGGTTGTGTGTACTGTATGTGAGTACTTTTCAGTGACGATCGTGAGCACATTCGGTCGCTTATTGCCGGGATGAGACCCATCAGTGCGAGATTTTAATCATGGAATTTGATTAAAGTATGGTTGGAAGGATTGGTAATAAGAGTTTGAGTTTATCACAACGTCCAGAAAAGATAAATCAGCATGCATTTGCAAGGTATGTTGGCGGGATACGGTGGCCCTAAATCATTGTGTGTAAAAACATGATACAAACTCGAAACTCAACATCGATAGCATGCATCTCATAAAAAATATGCGCACATGTTATTATTGTTATTATTTATTTGACTTCAACAAACAAATACAGACAGTAAAACAAAATTAATTTTAAAAAGAATTATTAAAAAAAAAAAAAAATTATTATTATTATTATTATTATTTTTTTTTAAATATCTTTTGGCCTACAGTACATTATTATTCACAACAAGAAGGGTATGCACATGAACGTGTACATGTAAACCATGTACCTGTACTCGATGGTGGTAAGGCTAGTACATACACTTTTGATAATATGAGCAGTTGAAAATGACCGCGCAGGTTGATTACTAATTGGGATTTTGAAAAGTTGGCAGCTATGCGCCTGGCTTGAGGTTGAGTGAAAAGTAATCCCGCGCCTCGTTCCGTTCTTGTCAAAATAATCCCGGCGTGAACTGGTTAATGCAATGTAAGGAGTTGAGGTAATGGATCTTGACATGGATTTATATCTGTCCAGGCCGTCAATGAAGCAATCACAGTCACCTTGCCCTGGGCAGCAGAGCAGATCTGGAAGTCTATTACCACAATTGGAGATGCCATTGCAAATCTACTCAAGTCACCACTGAAAACCATCGGAGACATCTTTAAAGGAGTCCTCAAGTAAGTTTGCAGACTTTATAAATGAGTTTGCAGGGATGAAAGATGTTAAATAATATTAAAGGGAATGTTCAACATTTGCTTTTGCTCCAATTTTCAGAAATAAATGGATTTGGAGGATTAGTATGTCATAGCAAATATTGTTAAAATGACTTGTTGCACATTTTGGGCTTGTAGATGCTGGAAAAACCAAGAAAACCATTTATGTTCTTGTAGTCTGGTTTCCTGACCCCTCTTAAAATGAAACAGAGAATTTATAGACTTTGAGGAATTGTAAGGTCGGAGAATCAGTCTAGCAGGCTTGTACCCCTTCACAGGTGTGTAATCAATTGCAAAGAGTTTTTGCAGCAAAGAGTTTGCAAGCCGTTTTTGAAAAAAAAAGCCAGTTTTCTCCAACGCTGGTCGGCTGACGTACTGCTGTTCACTTGCTAGTGACCGCTAACACCTTTCACAAAATTGTATGCAGGAAAAAGCAGGTATTGCAAAGCATTTTGGGTACGTCACTTTCAATAAACAACATCCGTGCATTTAGTGAGCAAGGGTCATGTGTACCAGGAACGTGCTGACCCTGGGTATACAGTCGAACCCTCACAAGCAGAGCACTGTTAATACAACATCCCGCTCATAACAAGCAAAATGTTAGGTCCCAAGCCTCTGTTTTTCTTAGTTTTCCATACTGATAATACAAGGCACCTGTTATAACAAGGTCATTTGTAAAGTCCCAAGGACCTTGTTATAAAGGTGTTCCACTGTATACAGAGTTGGTCACATCACAAGGTGTAGCTGCAAAATAAGCCTCTGTACTGATGACGTCACACTTCGTTCACACGTGTGCTTTTCTATGGGAGCCTGGTGGGGACGACGGTTTCATATCCCCATAGGAAAGCCCATACATAAACAAAGTGTGATGTCATCAGTACAAAGGTTTATTCTCCCACATTCCCACTATTGAATGAACAGGCATCTTTATTGATATCTATAATTATAGGCAGATCATCCAATTTTGAATGTTCTTCCTTATTTCATAGCATCAAGACTGCAATTACTGAAATCATCAATGCCAAGAAAGAGGTGGAGAAAGCCAACTTTTTCAAGGAAGGTGAGGCACTCTTTTACTGAATTATTACATTATTTTGATTGTTAAATTCTTTGGCAGAACTGTGATGAATTGGATTAGAAATGGTTCCTTGGATGACCCACTGAATTGCACAGAAATCCCTGACAGTGTTTTCAGACTTCAATTTATATACTCAATATATATACTTGTTTTGTGTATATAATAATAACCGGCATTTAAGAACGCTCTTATTAGTAAACTAAATCACAGCGCTTACAGTATTATTATTACCCCTGATCATTGGGCCAATTAAACATTCCAAATACCATCTCAGCTCCCTGGGAGTATACAGCTCGATGCTGCCTGTTAGGTGCAAGCAAGCTATTTCAATCACATAACCATGTCTGCCCTCACAGGTACCCATTTACTCCTGGGTGGGGAGAAGCAATGAGTGACAAAGTGCCTTGCCCAAGGGCACACGCACCATAACCCCAGGCTGGACTCGAACCCACAACCCGCAGAATTACCCGCAGACCACAAATTCAATGCCCTTAACCACGAGGCCACAGCACTCCACATATGACAAAACAACGGGAAACCCACAACACCACCAAAAAAAAAAGAAATTGAAAAGCAATGGATGATCTTCATGGGGGGGGGGCACAAAAAATAAGAAAATCGTACACAAAAACACTTCAAATGCCTGCTATAATCAGCTTTTGGCAGCTTAACCTCTCCTCTTGTCAGCTAAACCCCCTCCCCCTCTTGATCCAAACCCGGATCCGCCCCTGAACCCCCACGAGGCAGATCCCCCATACCAATGACTTCCATACAGTTGCACCCAATCATTATACTCATTCCCCTTAAGGGGCTGGGTACCCATTTACGGTATGTTCTTATTGTTTGCATTTAAGATGGTTGTAAAGGCTGTGAGAAGATTATAGATGATGTGGGTGGTGGGTCAGAAGCTTCAATTCTCCCTTCCCCCCCCAAGAAAAAAAAAGAGAGAAAGAAAAGAAAGCCTTAGCCAGTATTAAACTCTTGCTGTAAATTTCACAATAGAAAATGTCAGAAACTGGAGCTAAAACGTGGCCATTGACAGTACGCATCATGAACGGCGCCCCTAGCATCAGATAAAAAACATCCTTTCCCCCCAAGACCTCCCCTAAGTCACTACTTGGTGTGCCACTGGTGTCAGTAACAAATGTTACCCAACCCAGCAAAATGATTCCAAAGTCCCCATTGCAACTGCAGAGTAAGCACCCTTTCTACCTTGAGACTTATTCTGTGGGAGCATGGTCAGATATAAACGTTAGTATTTTTGTTAAGCCTGAGGCACAAGCAAGGACCATAATCATCCCATGCATTCCATCTGCTTGCCAGGTCAGAGACCCTACTGGTTTGATCTGCCCAAGGTCATCGGTGAGATGCTGAAAGAATTAAAGGAACATCTCGGCAACATCAGACGAGATCTTAGAGTTTGGGTGGATGAGATTGTGGGTTCCTCAGATTCCGTCAAGAAGCTGACAGGGGGAGCAGTAGATTCGGTGAGGGTAGTAACTCTCAGGATGCATGAAAAGAAGAATAATTTACTTCTCGGCAAGAGCAATATTCCTTTTTTGCCAAGAGAGTTAAATTTGGACATTTTTAATATTTGAAATTAGAAAACATATCAAATGCAAAATTTGAAACACGAAAGTAAATCATAAAAAACTCGCATATTGCTAACTGAAAAATCCTTGTTTTTTTTTATTAGTCCGGTCACATGCTGATGTAACAAGTTCTGCCAAAACAAACAATTTGCTACAATGGTCATCCAATTTGCATCCCAAATTGTTATGTATTTTATCTACCATTAATTAATATGTCAGATGATCAATACTCAATTTTTTTCACCAAATTCCATAGTATTTTAAAAGTTGCTTCAATTCTACAAACAAGGAAGTGTAATTGTTTATGTTGGATTATTCAACAACCATACTTTATGTGTGGTCAAAACTAAGGTCACGACGATCAGTTCTGCCACAAGAGCAACAGTTTGTTCCTGAGTGATGAAGAGATACAATTGTAGCAAGGTGTCCAGCTGAAGGACACAAACAACTAAGATCTCTTGACTTGGTTGGAACTCAAATTTCAAACAGTTTACACAAGCTCCACAATTGTCTTCCTGGCCGATCCAATCTCTGTCATTTCAGTCTGCTGTTTCACATTATGTTTTTCTCTCACCACTATAGCGCACATTGAGGAGGCGAGTCCAAGATGAGATTGAGTCCATCTTCCAAGATTTGATGGAACCCATTCAGCCCATCGTGGATCTCCTACAACCATTCTTTGAGCTGTATGACCTTGTGTTCAGTACTGTTGATGCTGTCAAAGAAGCCTATCAGACTCTGAAGGAAGGGTGAGTGTGTGTGGACAGACTACTCAGCTCTCAACATTACTAAGCACCAAAGTGAACGTGATGAATATTTCTTTTAACTGCTTCTTGGTTGAGTTTGCTGAACAAGAAGTTTGCTGAGCAATATTTTCTGCTTACTGGCTCCACTAAATTAGGCCCAGATCATTCATTCAACATAATACGCTCACCGCGATGTTACGCCATATGTACTGGGTTGTAGTCTTATCAATCACAGGACAATTGGATGTCACTAACGAGTCAGATAAATAGTGTCTTCAGTAAACAGTTTATTTGAGTAGCTTGTGACTTGATTTGAGAGTGGATGGCTTGTGATTATGAGGACTTGACTACAAATTCCTGAATGTGCCTATGATTGGATGCATTCCTGTCACACAAACATATTCAAGACATGTTTTTTTCTGTACATCACGTGAAGTTTAAATGCATTCACTGTATGGCATTTGTACATGGGCTTTACTAAGGCGTTCGGTGGTGTAGATGTCTTCAATTAGCGTAAAGGAATTCAGGCGTGTTCATAAACAGAGCACCACCTAGACTTTGCCACGGAGAGTCCATTTTTCAAGTTTACGGTCGACAAAACATGGCCGACTTGCCACGATTTGAACGAATGTCAGTAGACAACTCGAGGTAATATGATTAAGATCAGAGAATAGCATTCTGCCGCCTATAATTCAAAAACACCATCTTGATAAAAAGAAAAGAAAAGATCGGACAGATCCTTGAATCATACGCTTACGAAACTACTGACCGGAAAAGTATCCCGCGCTGCGAATTTATCGACCATCTGCCACAATGCACTGTGAAAAATGAACTCTCTGTTGCAAGCTCTTGGTGGTGCGCTGTATTTGGAACCGCCCATATTGCCATAGCTTGGCTCTTGTGAGAAAGCCTGCTGCCAGACAGAGTCAAGATGTTTGGTTTTTCTCTTCAGATACCAAAAGTCTCAAGCTCTTGTCATGAAACTGTTTGGACCTAAGGCCCACGAGAGATTTCCTAGGAAATACCGAGAACCTGGCTCAGGGGAGTGTGCATCAGGAGGTTTCTACCCGACTGACTCGGCTGGATATTATGAGGATCAAGGTGTAGATCTGGAGATTTCAGCAGGAACAAAGGTGCGTATTTCATTCTGTATCACCAACATTTGCACATTTTAACCTTGCTGTCCTTCAGCAAACCCCTTTACACTGTTGTTCCGTCAAGGCAGAAGTGAATATGACCCTATATTGCATGTAGAAATTTACATGTGATATACCTTGGAATTAAGTGATTACATGTTCTCTAGAAACAGTGATTAAAATTGAGTTCATAAATACCTAAGACAGTTTACCCATTCCTATTGGTCGAGAGCCCGTCATGTGGCTGGTCTTAAATTGTTGATTAAACACCGGCTGGCTAGTCTTAAACACTTTTCCAGTGTCACATGAAATTTTGACTCCTATGAAATCGGGTCCCTTTGTACCTTTTATTGGTTGAACGTTCACAGTCCTCACGTAGGCATGCGCAATACTACCAATGAGACCGTATTTCATAGTCCTAAATTCACAGCTGCGTTCTGCGAGCAGTACACGCAACGCACACACCAATCTCCATATAAGGAGTTGTTTATGACTACTCATGAGAGACACAAACGGTGTTTAATAAAACATGAAGTAAACTTGTTGAACAAAATCGTTTGAAATTTATAATTTTTTACTTGTTTTGACTGTTTGACCAAAAAGGTATTTATGAATGGGAATAAATATGTGCTTTGCTGGTATTAAACACTATTTTTTAAGACCAGTTTGGAGACTGGACGCTTATAATGACCCTCGCCTTTGGCTCGGGTAATTATCAGTGTCCAGCCCCCAAACCGGTATTAAACACAGTGATTAAAACTGGCCAAGCACACATTTATTCCTTATAGATCTCTCTCATAGGACGCCGTCTTCGTAGGAAAATTACAACTGCGTATTCAACACCATCAGGTGCGTGTGCACGCAGTGTGCAAAATGTTCTAAACACGCGCGCTTGTTGCTCGACATTTCTTTGAAATACTGCGCAGCCGATGCACGTCACACAAACTTTACACCCAAAATGCAGATGCAGGTTACAATCTGTAGGAAGTGACGTTATCTGAGAGAGACCTATTCAAACCCAGTTGGCGACATTGCTGCACAGAATAACAGCTTATTATCAGCTTTGTGCATTGTCTAGTTTTTCATTAGTTACTTGTATCTATTTGTTGTGTTGTCTTTCAAAAGACCTTTATTCCTAGTAACTGCAAAAGCAAGTATCCTGGCACCCTGAAAATTGTAAAAAATAGTAATCAAGAAAACATGAAAGTAAAAATCATACGTCACTATAGTAAAAGGAGGTATCTACAGTCTACAACAATTTCTTGGAAAACTGTGTACTTTCATTTTCCAATCCTTGTGTAATCTCATTTTTTTGATACTTGTTGTTGTTTTTAGTTGGTGGCACCATTTTCAGGCGTCCTATTCAAGAGTGCTGGTAAACCCAACCAGGTTACTCTGGTAGCTGGTGGTGGGGCCTTCCGAAACATCAAGATCTTCATTGACAACATCGAGCCCAATCGCACCATCTCTGAAACTGAGGGAGTGAATGTAAGTAGAAAACAGACTTGATTTGGTACACGCGTTGTCGTTGGTGGGCCCTCATTTTGGATGGAATCATTTCAGTCATTTTTGTCAGTGACAGGTCACCATGCAATGAGCTTAAAGTTGCAAGTTGTTACTACGCAGTTAAAGGGGACAAAGCCACATTTCAAAGGGTTGGCCTATTTTCTTTGTTTTTAGGTGAACCTCAATTCAAGATTCCTCCTATACCTTACCTTAGTTTTGTTATTCTATTATAGAAAACCCTTTTTTAATCCATTTTTGTGTTGCCTAAACAAAGGTTTGGGAGACACTTACCAGTCGTAAATTCTATATCCCCGTTTCCCTGTCTAACCGTATCTCTGTATGTATGTTAAAGTTTAGAAGTTTTTGAAAAAAATGTTTTCACTTCTACGTGCTTTCATTGATGTTGATGAATCTAGGATGCAGTGACCTTTGGATGGGAAGACACAATTCGTCATCAGATTACTGAGGTCAAGGGTCATGTAGGAGTCATTAGAGGTCATTGTTCGAATGTGCTTCGAATGTTTCTTTGTCTACAGAATTTGATGGATTTTCATGCAACTTGGAAAGAGGGATCCTTGGGTGGGGTTCATGACAACTCAAAAAGTTACGTACCACTGGATGGTGCTTGTTCCTCAGAATTACAAATAGCTCACTTATCCGACATTAAATTCATTTTGTGGTGACAAGCCGCAACTTTTGTTTATGATCTCTTTGTAATCTCTTCATTCTGGTCTATAATCTGTCCATCCACAAGGTGATAGCTGGTACCGTCATGGGTACAGTCGGCAGGTCTACAACCTGCACACCACCCAACTACATACACCTGTCCATGAAGAACTCTAAACCTAACCGCCTGGCAGCCATTCTAGACATCGCCCTAGATGACGATCCTTCAGCTTCTGATGAAGCTGCTAAGGAGGGCTATGTGGACCCTAGTAACTACCTTGCCAAGAGGCCCCTGGCACTACCAAAATGGACTCAAGTCTGTGATGATTACAAGCTGGTATGGAAGGTAGGTCCTAGTAATTTTTGTTTGTTACTTTTTAAATTTCTTTCTGGTAATGAAACCGAGGATTCCTCAAAAGTGCCCTAGGCACTGTAGCTCGAAAGCCTGAAGAAACCTGTAGAGAGAAGACAATGAGAAGAAATTACAGTTTTAGAGGTGGGAGGAAAAGCCCAGTGGAATATTCTGAGGAAAACCCACGGAATCAGGTAGGGACTGAAAACCCAATCCACATATTGGCCCAGGCGGGATTCGAACCCTGGTCACGGCAGTGGAAGGCGAGGAAAGTACCGCTACGCCAACCTGACTCTCTAATAACACTCAGTAATATAACACTCTAATCAAATACCGTCGTGTCCGTGCAACAAGGTCGTATCTCCTCAAATGGGCCGTATGTGAAACGCGAGTTTCAGAATGTCAAAAGGTTGCATCTCACACTTAAAATAACCCGGATGTACACACAAAGCCAATGAACGTTGCAATGTGACCTTGTTGCACAGAGTGTACTCGCGTGAGATATGACTTTGTTGCAGAATCGAGTTACGACCTTGTTGCACTGACGCGACGATACATAATCAGTAGTATTATTTGACCGTTAACCCCAAATCATTCAAATACCACTTTGCTGTGAGTTCATCCTGCAGTCGATTTCACGAAATAGCGTGTAAATTACGCCTTGCATAGGACAACACATTTATTGCACAGCTATGCAATAAACTGACGATCGATTTCACGAAACATGGAGTAGCTGGGCAACGTTATAAATAATCTAATCATCTTGGACGAGAATAAACAGCATTTACAATGGCTGTTTGTGTGTGATTTTGTTCTTTCATGTAAAAGTCGTTGCATCACCTCCGCCGACCATTTTGAAAATAATTTTGTCCGACTTTCTTCGGAATAATGCGGCAACTCTAAATGCTCGGTCACGACTAAAATAGCAATCCATTTACTTCAAACACAAAGCTGTGAGTGTCTTGTATCAACCTCGATAAGTTGTGCAATAACAGGTGCCATGATGATCGTGATTTGTTGGTAAAATAGGTCATTTTCAGTCACTACGCCACAACTTCAGCCACATAAAATGATTGCGCAAGTTACGACAAAAGTTGTTTGCGCAAGTTGCGGAATTACGAACTATGAAACTTTCATGAAATTGACCTATCTCCGTTTGCGAGTTGGCCATGCCCCTTAGACACCCCTGTGGAATTTGTGTACACTAAGTTTTGTTTGTCTCAGATGTTGTGCGTATGCACCCGTTTGTATATCATGTAATGGGCCAATATTTCACAAGCTGCGTACACGCGATTCTAACGCAATTCTACCGCGATAGGTTAGTTGTCATAACTGAAAGGTTGCGCAGCGTGGATGTTGCGCAACTTTTGCAATAAATTGTGGCACAAGTGGACTTATGCCATTGCGGCGTAAGTTTCGTGAAATCGCCTGCCGAGTCAACATTTTCAACAGTCTCTAACTTGCTGAGTGGCCTTATAGTCAACCTTTAGTGGGGAATCTTGTTAAATTTGGTGACTTTACCATCTGGACAAGGCGTTATATACCTCCATGTTCAGAAATCATTGGAAAACCCAGCATTCATTGTTTGGGGGGGGGGGGGGGGGGCTTGGAATGTGGGTTCCTGTTTATGTTTGATGAGCTTAATAAAGACTGCATGTGGGCAATTCCACGGTTACTCACGTTACATTTCGATGTACTTTTTAGATTCCTTGGGCTGTAATTACCTTACTGAAAAGGTGTAACAACTGTTATCCCCATGGTAGATAGAGTAGACCTGGACCAACCTAAGCACCAAAGATTACATCCAGAAAAATGCGTTTTGTATGATAAACAAGACGCACAAAATCGGTTACTCACGTTACGAAAATGTAACATGAGTAACCAATTTTGTGCGTCTTATTTATCATACATAACAGTGATAACACATTTTTCTGGATGTCATCTTTGGTGCTTAGGTAGGTCTAGGTCTACTCTATCTTCCATGGGGATAACAGTTATTAAACCTTTTCAGTAAGGTAATTACAGCCCAAGGAAACTCAAAAGTACATCAAAAATGTAACATGAGTAACCGTGGAATTGCCCATAATAAGAACCTGCACTTGAATCTTGTTCCACAGGGAGAGACAGTGAAGGAAGGTACTTTGCTCGGACGCGATAATAAGGACGGAGAGACGAAGGACACCAGCCCAAAGCGCCAACCTCCCCCTGACACAACCACCGATAGACCTGACCCTAGCAAGAGACCACCACAGCAAACATCTTCTCTTAATCAAGCAATATCACCAGGTAAACAGAACAGCTTGTGAATAAGTCATGCTCTATTATATTTATACGGTGGAACACCGCTATAACAAACATTGTTCGTAATAGCGAATGTTCGGTACAGTGATTTTAAGTTGCTGGTGCTCCGCACTTTTAACCCGGCACGCCCTGGTAGTTACTAAAAGACGACTTTGAACACATGCTGACTATTGAATTGTGTAATTACATAGTTTTTGAGTGTACTACCTACAGCAGTGGGTGGCTTTTCCCATCTATTCCTTGGGGAAATAATAGCCACTTGTCACTCTTCTGTTGTCATTATTCAACAACAATATTCGGTCCATTTTGTACACAAAAATCGGGAGCCAAAGATGATGTGTGAACAACATAATCCCATTGTATCTATGTTTGATGAATACATGTTTATTTCTGTTGTTGTTGTTATTTACAATCTCTTCACTGTTGTTTTCAAGGCAACAAACAACAGACCCAGGAAACACTTGGCCTTCCAGAGCCAAAAATAGGCTCAGGTTCTCCTTTCAAGAACTTCTCTCTGAGGAACTTGAAGATTGGCTCCATTCTGGCATTTGCCCGTAAGATTGGACTGGAGAAAACAGCAGATGACTTACTGACAGTTGTCAAGACGATTGTTGTGAGTATACTGGTCTAAAGCATTTATTCTTGAGGATTATTGAGTAAAAAAAGATTCATTGGTTCACAATTTTTCAAAATAAATTTCAGGTAGGGCCTATAAGGCAAAGCTGAGCACTTTCTTATGCACTCACATTGCAAATCTGTTCAAATGTAAATTTTGTATTTTTCATTAAAAATATCTTTGGTCCTGAATTCTAATATTGACCCACTAGTTACATAGTGCCATTACCGTTGAAAAATTGTGTATTAATATCATAGAGCTATATTAAATTACTAGAGCGCTAACTCCTCATTCTTGCGCGCGGAGACGCTTTGAAACCATTCTGGGCACAGACATTTTGAATTCATGTGTGTGTTTGTAGAACACAATGAAATTAGATGGATTAAATTTTAAAAGTGTACTCTAATGCAACACGCAAGTAGAACATACACAAACAACTTAAACGCGTCATGGCGGCTCAAAAAACGTCACGGCAAAAAGCATCTGCAGCGGATACACGCTCGCGTTGCGCTGTTTTCGCAGAGCTCATTTGCTGATCATGCGTTTTGGTTTTAACGGTATGAAATACAAATGCAGATATGCATATATAGCCGTACAAAAGCCGTGCAAAATGTCGAGTTTTCATAGGCTTGTGCAAAAATATGGATGCGCTCAGCAGGCATCACTTTGTACATAAGTCAGCGCTCAAGTAATTTATTATAGCTCTATGATTTATGTAGAGAAATGTATTTTTTTTCCTCCATTCTTGATACTCCCAATATTGTAATCTGTTAACTTCATGACCATTATTATGGTGTTATAAATTAGCTAGTGGAAGTAAGCTTTTCATTGTTGTCTTGGATGCATTAATATTCCTCTGGTCATGCACCACTGAGCAACATTGTCTTGAAAATAGTACTTGAAAACCTTCTTGGGACAGTTTTGGGTAAAATAATAAGAGCACATCCCAGACGTAAGACAATTCCATCAAAAGTTCAAGGGACATTTAACTTTATGGAAACATGAACAAAACAGAACTCCTGTTGATTGATAGCCACAATCATTCAGGATTCATATTATTACTTTGTGGGTTACCTTCTTTTTTATGGGTAGCCTTTAGTCAAGTCCCACGCGCTTACCCGGACACTTGACGCACCCCGGATGCTGACACGTAAAAAGACTAGCACGAGCGGTGAAGCTGCGAGGGCCTTTACCATCTCGTAGAGGACGCTTATGTTTTCTTACATATGTCTACCGATTTGGTAGACATGAATTATGCATGACATGTTGTGAATGCGTTCGCACCTTGTTTTTAAGAACAAGTGTGGAGGGCGCCCTCAGGGGCGTGCGCACGCGCGTCATCACCTCCAAATTGGCATGTCGGTGGTGATTGGTTCATATATATCCGCAACATGCATGATTCATATTATTCATATGTACTTGAAAAAATGCATAATGATTAGCTCCACGAGATGGTAAAGGCGCTCTCGGCTTCGCCACTCGCACTGGTCTTTTTTCGTGCCAGAATCTGGGGCGCCATGGGTCCAGGTAGACACGCGTGCCTTGACTAAAGGCTATTTTAGGGGGGGGGGGGACACCCTGCATAATTCCATGATGAGAACTTGTCAAACATAGATCTGCTTAATTTTCCTCTTATTAGCGAATTCCATGTCTTAAAGTGGAAGTTCATGGAATAATTTAACTGAGTAGCACAATGTATAACATGGAATTCCCAAATCTTTCTCTCTCATAAACCTGCAGAAACTAGTGAGTGACAAGCCGTGCATTCTACCGGAGTCTTTGTCCAATGACATGTTGAGGATTGAGCTCCAGCAGCGCGGTCTCAGTTCACAGGGTGACAGGAAGACTCTACTCCAGCGATACAAACAACCCGAAGATCGTAAGTACAAGTTGCTCGTCTGTGTGGTTTAGGTTTGTTTGTCAGCTGTGTGTGTTGTACCTGAGGCTGTTTCATAGTTTTGAGAGTGCAAAGCAAGTTTAAATGTGTTGCATATTGACAAGCAAGAAAAATAAATCCAACAAAGGAGACAAAATCTAAATTTTCAAATATGCTCAATTCTATTCATTCACAATTCCAATACATCAAAATGCAATCAAATCAACCAAACTGCATGAAAGTACGACACACATCACTTAATTCACATTACAGTACACCATCAAAATCAAACTTATACAATCATAATTTAGTACTTAAGTCTTGCCTGACCAGCAGCAGCAACGTCATGACAACGTCCCAATTCGTGGCATCCTACGAGGAGTGAAACGGGAGTAAAATGCAGGTCTGCCCGCCGACACGGACACGAAAAGTTCGGTTAAAGTCTCATCACGAGACGGGTAGCGGACCCGCCGAAAGTTCTAGCGTTAAAACGGCAGCTCACCGACAACCAGTCATGCCAGTAGGACAGCAGTACGGCATCCAGTCGAGTCAGTATTACGCCAGCACGCCGACACGATGTCTGCCCGACGACAGGTGAAGCCACCATCAGCGCTCAGCACAGAACACACACGTCCCACAGGTAGAGAAACTGCACGGCTCTTGACAAACGATATGGCTCGATGTACATGTAAATGGACCAGCCCTCCAGCGTAGCGTCAACGAAATGTGCTGCAGTCAGGACTATTAACGTGGTTTTAACCCATTTATATAATCAAATAACAATGAGGAAAATATCCCTGGATCGCACCACTTGGGCACGTCTGCACGAACTACAGGCTTACGTAATGATTATAAAAGAAACTAACATTCTAAAAAATTTGCGGCTGGAAGCCTGAGACTCTATAAGACACGTCTATTTCAACTGAAGGGGTGACTAATTCAATGTAATTACAGAAACCGTAACAAATGTCATAAAACATTTGCAGCAAAATACATCGGAGTTACAGGCACATGGGAACAAATTTGGTAATAGTTCAGACACAAACCAACCGATTTGATGAGAAAAAAACATGCTCACAGTGAAGAAAGGCTGGTTATTCCACCTGATATGGTATCATTCGGAAGAAACAAATTTTCAGATTTGGTTTCAAGAAAAGTGTGCTTGTGGTGCTATTAAAAATGTGAAAGTGCTTTTTTTGAATCGGAATCACTGGCAACAGAAACCATTTATGAGACCATAAAATAGTGTAAAGGTTTTTTCTCTGTCTTCTCAACATGTATAGTATCCATGGAGCTTTTACTTTAACGTGTTAGGGGCCATTCAAAATGTTTGATGTTTTTGAATTTCGATTTTTTTTTCTTCTTTTTTTTCGAAAATGTGGTTGGGTTGGTGGGTCAAATTAATTTAGTGAAATTATTGCTAATTGAAATTCACTTCTTTCAATTAAAAAGATAGATAATAGTAAGTAAAAGATCTTTTGACTTGGCAATTCAACTCTCTGCATTTCTGATTCGTCCCTTAGCCTGTACCTTACGGTTACGAGTACATTATGCATCTGGTAGCACATGTACAATGTACTGAGTATGCCTCCATCGGAGCACAATATGGGGACCAGTGTAGTATAGACTTACATGTAAAGCATGCGTAAAATCAGTGGGCCGTGCAAATGGAGCAGGGTACCAGGTTCATTTGTCTTAATGCAACACCACGAGCGTCCGTTACCAATCGCGACAAATAAACCTACTTGTGTTCAAAACTACCCGGGCAACCTGCATGCATTATCTGCGTGCAATGAACATGGCAGCACCCATGGCCTGGAAAGCACGAGTTGAGAGTTAATTTTTTTCTATCCAGAACGACTCAAATTTCTGAATAAACTTTACGAAGAACACCTCTTTACGCCAAGACAACACTTGATTTTTGTAGAGCGCGCTGATACTTATCACCATGGAGCTTATTTTTTATAGCTCTATGTTATCACCGTTTAGAAATGGACTAGTTTTACGTGTTTCCAGGTGGATTCCCTACATACGGGAATGCTAGTTGTTGGTAAGGTACCATATACAGACTGCAGCTGATTTCCGCCGTAACTGAGAAGTGGGCATTTATTGAATTGAAAATCAAAATTTTAGATCGAAAATTGGGGTGGGTGGGTGGGTCAAAAACATTAAAAAAAAAAAATTGAAATTTAAAAACATCGAAAATTTGAATGGCCCCTTAGTTGTTATGTACCCTTCTCAAGATTTCGAACAATTTTGTTGTTTAAAAAAACCCAAAGATTTCACAACATTTAAATGATCCCTAGTACCTTTTAAATGTGTTCAACATTTGAAAATGTGCAGTGCGATCACTTCCCCTGATGTCATTTTTGTGAACGTGTATGCTTTTGGTCCAAGTAATGGGCCCTTGGTAACTATGAATCATAATGATGAAGCCTCGATGACACTTTTGTCAAAGTTCTTAATCACACAAGCGCGTGTGCTCTAACCTTACATTTTGTAAACTCATTTTACTTTAACAGTTTTACAGCAAAGTGCAGTGTGTATAAATGATGTGTCTATGTACCGTAATTTTCGGAATATAAGCCGCGGCTTATACGTTGATTTTGCCCATGGAAATGTTTACTGCGGCTTATACACAGGGCGGCTTATACGCCGAGCCTTGAAGAATAAAAATGGTATTCAAATGTATATTTAATGTACTGGTATATGAAAAGATCTGTTGCTGAAATAAATCATCAATTAAGAAAGTCATTAACAAACCGAAAGCACGTCCCACGAAAAGGTACCGAGCGGTAAAAATCTTTGGTAAAAAGTACGGCTAGTGAAAGCTGTCTATTCGACATCGACAACCGGCTATACGTGATGCTGCATGCATGCTGCATGGATTCCCCATGGACCACACCATTTGTGGTAATTAAGGGGTGTTTTTTCTTTGGAACAATAATTACCAATATTTCTGCTGTTTAAAAAAAGAAAAAAGACAACTAATACCTTTTATGGAGTTCAAAACATATCTTTATTTGATAATCAGTTGTTCAACGTCACAATATAATTTTTTTCTTGAAATGTATTCAAGAAACGATGTAAAACTCAAAACAGGGGTTAAATCACCCCTTAGGAAATTAATGGATTCGTCCATAAAAATTTCAGCATCGTGTTGACTGTTTTCGAAGAAAGTTACGATCGAAACTTGAATTTTTGACGTTACTACTCATTAGTAATCACAACAATTTGAAACGTTTTGTTGTAAAAACGGACCTGTTTATTAGACAAAACAAATCAGCGTCTGTTGCCGAAAAGCAGGATTTGTAGCGTTCCAGTCAGACGACACATGGTGGGTTGCATAGTCTCTCAAGTGCTGGGGGAAAATGTTATCATTCACCGGCGCAGGCTACCGGGCCATGCACTGACGGGCCAGCCGGCAGCAATTCCCGTTTTTTATTTCTCATGATCAATTTCCCTATTTGTTTGTGAGAGTATCGACTGTCAATGATTTGATATAACTTTTGTGGCCCTTTTTATAGCTTTCGTAGTGTAAATGGAACTGGTTCAGAGCAGTTTGACTAAAATTTAGAGGTCTTACAAAATTGAAACCGCTGCGGTCGGTGCGGCTTATACGCCGGTGCGGCTTATACGCCGGTGCGGCTTATACGCCGGTGCGGCTTATACGCCGGTGCGGCTTATACGCCGACTTCAAATCTTAATTTGCAGATTTTTGCGTGCTGCGGCTTATACTCTGGGCAGCTTATATTCCGAAAATTATGGTAAGTGTAAGGCAAGTTGTTGCAAATTCAACACTGTGATGGATAAAATGTGATCGTTCCTATTTTTGTAGGCTGCCCCCTGCTACAAGTCTCCCTACCCAAGAATGTCTACTGTAAGATAGATGAAAGCTGCCTGGGCGTGGAGTGCTGTATGAACGTCAAACTCTTCATGGTATCTCTGGCCTTCAAGGCATTCATGCGCTTTGATCCTTGCGAGTTTCAGTTTGTACTCGGTGTCAACTCTTGGAACTACACCATTCAGATCCTGGATGCCGAATTTGGTAAGTCTATACTTTTGTTCAGTGTTAATTTACAAACTCCTGATTTTTATGCATTAGAAATTTGGAAAAAGTTGACTTTGTTAAGGTTAAGAAAAACGTGAAGAAAAAACTGATTTTGGAATTAAGTTATTAACAAACACTATTGTTTTCTCCCCAGGCAAAGAATGGGACGTGCCAGTGCCCTTTGACATTCCATTTTTGGATGATATGGAGCTGCATCTTAGGTAGTAACCTTTTATCTTTTAATTCTAATTTTAAAGTTGTCAAGTTGAATAAAGAAATTGTGCAGAGTGGGACAGGGTTTGAGCCTGCACCCTCCGGATTATCGTTCTGGCAATCTGTCAACTGAGCTATCCAGCCATATGTTGGTAATTCCCCAATTCAGAGTTGTAACGAGTCACTGAATTTTGTGACCCGAGTCGAGTCGAGTCATTTTAAAGAAGTGACTCCAGTCGAGTTGTGTCATTTTAAATAAGTGACTCCAGTCGAGTCGAGTCATTAGGTCAAAAGGTCGAGTCGAGTCGAGTCAAATATTTAGCTCGAGTCAATTCGAGTCACGAATATTTGAACACTTTACCAAAATTTATAAAAGGAGGCCATAAGTTTAGCCAGCGTTCGAATCCAAGAGCTTTAGAAGAAATCGCCCAAAACCAATGATGAAACAGCGAATTAGAAAATGTGTTTAAAAATCTGGTTCCTGGGTAGTATTTTGTGCGTTCTAGAACCATGAGGTGGGAGTCTGTGACACGTTGTGTATTTGTACATGACTGCTATTCGCAAAGCGAAGTGAGCATAAATTTTGCACCGTAAGTCATTGCAAATACTTTTCGCAAAGTTCTGCTTTTATTTTTGGGACTCGAGTCTTATTAATATTAGCCTTCGCTCGAGTCGAGTCTTCTGATGAGGGACTCGAGTCGAGTCGAGTCATTTGCTCGCAGTGACTCGAGTCTAGTCATTTACCCTTAGGGACTCAAGTCGAGTCGAGTCACCAAAAATTGTGACTCGAGTCGGACTCGAGTTGAGTCATTGACTCGAGTCATTACAACTCTGCCCCAATTTGTCAACGTCTTTGTGCAGTAGTCAAATGTGTCAGAAGCCGTTAACCCATAGGTTTAAACCCTGCTCCAATCAATTTCATTGTTCAACTTAAAATTATTATTTTCCCTTTTGTTTTAATTTTTGTAAAATGCTGCTGGTGTTAGCGATATTGTCCATATCATCTCTGTAAGCCTTATGAAGGTCTCTGTGCCATATCTTTTGTTGTCTTTTATTGCAGTATAAGGATACCATATTGTGAGAAATTTGAAGAATTGTTTGGAAACATTTAAATCCATTCCCCGTGAATTTCATATAAAAGGATGTGATCAAAGTGCCAATATGCATTAAGGTTCATTTTATAATGTCATTAACAGATAATACAGGTGCAAGACATTTGAGACCTGACGGAAAGAAGACTTTTGAATTTGAAAACTTTATACAACTTCATATAACTGTATAGAAAGACAAAGTACACATACTTTGGACTTTGTGCATAAATGTAAAGCGTCAATTTTGGGAACGCAATCCTGGGAAAACTGCGTGTGAAGTGGAGCAGAGAATTTCTGGTTGATTCTTCAACAAAGACAGTCACAGTTCAAAGTATTGTCTTTGCAAAATCTTTTAAATCTTTATTACAACTCCCAAATATCTTTTCGACTGCCAAACGCCAACTGACTAACTTCTTTTTAAGAACAAAAAGGAAACCTTGAACTTTATTCGAATTCCTTTCCAAAGGATCACTCGCAGCTGTTCACGTGCCATGCATAATTATAGTTACTTTTCACATCACGATGAGATTTGAAGGTTTGCATGGTGGCAAGATACTAAGACAGATAAGTTTGCGGTAGCACCATGTGAATAAATCTCTTTTTGTGAGTATGTGTGAGAACCACACATCGGTTCTTTTTAGAACCACACATACTCACAAGAGATTTGTTCACATGGTGCTACCGCAAACTTATCTTGTCTTTTCACATCACTACAAAACACCATCTATTATTTACAATAGATGGCGTTTTGTGACCACTTTGGAGAGCTTCATGGTGGGGGGGGGGGGGGGGGGGGGGCTACTGGGGTCACGTCACATGGCGTGTACGTACTGGTTTGTGCGCATTTGGCGCAGAGTGTGCACAACTAAGTTTATTCTGAATGTGCACAAACCTATAGCATCTTTGCATGAGTATCAGGCATCATCAGTGTGCATTCCAGTGTCCCTGCCATTGGTCTCCCTTTATAACCTCTGAGGGGTACCTGTGCACCAAGATCACAAGACAACTGCACAGGTGTACAATTATATAATGTTGGATGGCATTGAGAATATTGCACGAGTCGGAGTTGAGTGCAATATTGTTATAGCGAGTGCAATATAGTCTTGTATCCCTCAAAAAAAGTCATCCAATATTATTATTGTTATTTATATCAGGCTGACGTACTTCAAAAGACTTTCAGGAAACTGTCTTTATTTCCCAAATTTCATGGAATATTCTTCTCTTACCGAAGCAAATTTGGCGCCACTCTAAAATGCATTACACATATGCTGCGTCCGTGTGCAGGCGCGACGGTACTGCGTGCTACGTTCTGTTGACTAGTTGACAACATTGCTTGCGACGCTCTTGATCGTGCGGGAACCAGCAAAAATGCCTGGATGAGGACAGTATGAAAAGTAACATTGTCCTCACCCAGGTTCTTTTACTGACATAATATTGCAGTCATCCGGGTACTTCTTTTCAAAAGCATGGAATACGCTGATATATTTTTACCACTGGAAGTCTGATATAAATAATAATTTTGAATTAGTCCATTGTATATCCTGGCCTATCTCTGCCCTTAATATTCCCCGCAGGTACGGCATTGAGAAGAGCAGGACTCAGCTACTGGTCAGCATGTCCGTTGGTTTCTGCCCAGCGACTGGTGATGCAGATTGTTTGCCATTTATCAAGGTGTTGAAGGATTCTGCTATTCCTTTACCTATCTGTCATCCCAATGGAACCATCACATGGCCAGACAGTAAGCAGGAGGAAAAACTATAACAGAACAATATTGATGCATTCAAACCATCATTGTCCTAAAAGTGTGCAAAATTATGGTTAAAATGTAAGGGGTTGATATGCTGATAATTGATGATGCAAGCAAAAATCCTGTTAAAAGGCTGAAAATAAATTGAAGGGACTGATTCTGCACAAAGAGAAGAAGTTACATGTTCATATATATTGATTCATATTAGAAACTAACTATACACTGTTTTTAAAAATCTATACATTAATTTGCGAATTCCTAAAATAGTTCTGATGTGTCTATCCCTACAGAAGTTTTCTCAGGGAAAAAAAATACAAGCAAATGACAGTGCCAAAACCAAAATCATTAAGTAAATAAAAAAAACAAAAAAAAAACAAGAACTGAAAACTAGAACCCTGAAATAGACCATAGTTCGAAAACAAAATCTTATCTGATTTTAGTTGACCTGGAGGAGTATTTCTCCCGCGCTGCCTTGAAGAATCTACTCAAGGAGACGGGTGAGGAGCTACTGAAGGCAGGCACTGAGGCTGCATTGAAGTTTGTCCTGGAAGAGCTGGGCATACCAAAGGTAAGCTCAGACATAGTATGTACATTGTTTTCTCTTTGCTGAAAGAACACTTACCTTCTTGTGATCCGTGGACAGAACTTTAAAACGGTAATTGTGTTCAAAATTCGGACGCTTAGGCCAAAAAAAAAAAGTCTCCGGTTTCTGGTATGGAGCTTGTCCAAAAAGTGGTGCGGCGATGCGGCTTTTTTTTTTTTTTTACCTGACTTTTTTGCTTCAAATGTCGGCTGATGACTGTAAATGGTGCCTGACTAAACTTAGTGCAAATATATGGGAGTCCAGAGAGGTCACATAAAGCTTATTCTCGATCATAACCCCATCTAAAAAAAACGTTAAAATTGTGCAGCAGCAGGATTCCAGTCAAACAAGTGAGTTTGGCGGTTTTGAGACATCATCTTTCATTGAAAAAAAAACTTTTTCATTTTGCCGACGCGCAGGGCTACGGCGACGCGCGCGCATACCAGAAACGGGAGACTTTTTTTTTTTTGGCCTTAAAAACTACAATAGTGATTTGAATGATTCTTGTACTAAAAGAAAGCTTATTATTTGGGCTTTCATATCCTAGATTTTGAAAGTGCTACATGCAGAACTTCATTAAAATAGTGGTCCTGTTTGGGTTTCCTTTTTTGACTCACCCTATACAATTGTTGTCTGTTGTGATACACAGCCTGTCCCCCCCAAAAAATGCTGCAAGCAGAAACGGGCTCTGTGTCCTTGGAATATTGAAAAATGTTTCATGATGCTTATATAATGTTAAACCTGGGATATTCAGCTTTCAAATGCTATTTGTTTTATCAATGTTGGGGTTTGCCAAACCAGAGATATGGTCCGTTGAACACAAACACTCAAAAATCAATTTGTGCCTCTTTCCGTAAGTTGATCTATAAACAGCAGTATTGCCAGTATTATACACATGTATGATCGTGTAGAAAAACAATTAGTAACATTTGAATAGGTGAAGTAACGCTTTTGTTATTCCTGTTATAATGTTCTTTTCATTATTTGTAACACACTCTCCAAATCATCATAATAAAATATATCTTCTGGAATTGCAAACTTCAATTGAAGGTGGATTTGAACTGGTGCCATGTCTTGTCATGTAATTATTAGGCCTAACAACTGAACAATGTAGAAAGTGGCACAAATGGATTTTTGAGTGTTTGTGTTCAACGGACCATATCTCTGGTTTGGCAAAAGCAAAATTGATAAATATCCCAGGTTTAACATATCCCAGGTTTAACATTATATAAGCATCATGAAACATTTTTCAATATTCCAAGGACACAGAGCCCGTTTCTGCTTGCAGCATTTTTTTGGGACAGGCTGTAGTCCATAGGTTTTGTACCAACATCGGAAGCATATTCTTCAGGCGCCATTTGCACCCCTGGTGTGTAAAACATTGACTACATCAAAGCAGACATAATTGTATACTGTCTGTGGAGTTTGTTGTGGCCTGTTCAAAAATCAAGTTACTTTATACCAGTCTGTTTGGAGTCTTGTTATTTCAGTTTTTTTGTTTTAGGAGTGTCATCATTGAATAAACCACAAGAAACATTTGTCCGATGATAGTGCGTTTGAAGTCCACCCTGCTTGATCAATTCCTTTAAATTCAATAATTCAGATTAACCTTTTATTGTTGCAAGTTGTACAAGTTACACCCATCATTATCCCTCCTAAGGAATTATTGGATGGTAAAGAGCCATGCCCAACGCCCACCAGTTTGAGTAAGATGCAGCTGATAGCCACACTGGAGGAGAGGCAACTTGCAACCAATGGAACGAGGATGGAGATGGAAGCCAGGCTATCGCAGGATGATAGAAGTTAGTAGAATAACTCAAGGAAGGCTGCATACAAATCTTGTGGCTAAGACTGGCAGTTGCACAAGGGTGCAGACCAGTAAATCGGTCCGAAATTGCCTGCGCCGGCCAAATCACGATTTCCATGCCCTCAAAATCTTCGGTATTTGAGCATGCTGTTGGCCATGAACTTGAGGGTTTGTAAAAAATATGGGTGGAAGCCGTGCACAGGACTGGGAGCTTGCAGTTCTGTGTAATTTTGATGTTATTTGGAACCTAAAAGCGCTCTATTTTGCAATGGAGTGTAGGCATCGTTTTTCAAAATGGCGATGGGCTTCAGGACTATTTTGAGGGGTGATCATCTTCAGATGGAAATTTCTCCTAAAAGTCATCAGTTGACCCCCCGAAAATTGAAAAGAAAATGAAAGATGATGAAATAAGCTTTAATTTGATGTGTGTCTCGAACACCTTGGAGAATTGTGAGTATTTTTCCCGAATTTTTGAAATGGGAGCATTTACCATTGGGGTCTAAGGAAGTTTATTTACTGGTCTGCTACCACAAGGGTTTATGGGAAATGGCTTCGGCCACTCCAAGAGACCATTATCATTTTGCGGCCATCTTGATTTTTTTCCATTCAAATCAACGTTACCAAAGCGAGGCTGAAAGGAAAAATAGTCTGGTTCCTTTTTGCACAAAAAACATAATCATTCAGTACTGTAATTGGATACAGGGAGCATGACTGAAATGGTGGCAACATGATAAAGGTCTATAGGCTTAAATTGGAAGCCGTAGCCAAGTATTTTGGTCTTTTGCATCATTCAGAAAGTTATCAAAATCAGTTGTTATGAACACCAGATGCTGTTTGAGGCAATGTTGTAGTCGAGTACTTTTTTCGGAGTACCAAGTACTGACGAGTACTTAGATTGCCGAGTACCATTCAAGTCTGAGTACCTTGCCAACCGAGTACAAATACAGGTCTCCGAGTACAAGTACTTGTACTTAAGAGTACGAGTATGAGTCAGAGTACTTGTACTTCCGAGTACAAGTACGAGTACTAGTCCGAGTACAGTGTGCTTGAAGCCGAAAATTATGTTTTGATTACATGTGATGAAACTGTGGTGTGCGCACATATACAGCAAATGGGTCATTGTGCATAATTGGCCACTCAAGGCTAGCTGTTTATCTGGACGGTGCGCAGAGGAAGTCAATTTCTCCGGCAACAACCACTTGAAAGTATCGATAACAAAAATTAAAAATATCGAGTATTGCTATTCAAGAAGGCATACATTGATGATTAAGTACAATTTCGACATGTCGAGTTCAAGTACTTTGCTGCCCGAGTACAAGTACCGTCAGCTCGAGTACTCTGATATTCGAGTACAAGTACGAGCACGAATACTCTAAAAATAGTACTCGAGTAGTACTCGAGTAGGAGCAACCCTGGTGTGTATGAAGCATTAAATAAAGGCTATAGGAATGGAGTGAGAATTCAATGTTATGTGGTCAGTACTTTGATTTAGGCCTGATGAGAAGGTTGGGGGGGGGTTGACAATCTACAGAAATATAGATCTTAAAGTGCCGAGCAAATTTGCTGCAAGTCTGTGATAAAAACCAGGTTTTAACATTTAACTGATAAACAGTCTTTGTGTAAAACCTCCCTGTGCCCAGAGAAATGATGATGCATAGCAGCCTTTTTGAAATTGACTCTGTAACGGCCAAAGACAAAATTGGACTTATTAAAGTTGTGAAAACTTGTTCTGATTTGTACAGTGTGTCGGTTCTTCACATTGCCGGCGTTCTCCCCAGAGCTGGCAAAAGTGGCCTACTGCTCCCTGACTGAGAACTGCCTCCGTCTGGACTGCTGTCTGGAGCTCAACATAGAGGACCTGAAATTCCGCCGCTCGTTCAAGGCCTTTGTGGAAGTAGATGCCTGTGATTTCACATTCTACGTCGCCTTTCAGCACTTGCAGTACAAGAAGTTGCTGCTGAGCTATGAATGGGGTGAGTCTGTCATTTTTAAAATACAGACATTCTCAAATATATTGTGTGAATGGTTGTGAACCATTTTATGGTATTTTGCAATTTTCAAAACATGCTGTATGTCCAGTCGTTATATCGCGTACTTGGATACTGTAATTTCATTGGTCAAGAACGGCCACGTGCCTGGTCTATAATAACGTATGTACAATGGTAACCTCATATACAATGCGAGTTGCATGCGCGCATGTAGAACCTGCACGCGCGCAACTGAGCTGAGTTAGCTAGCTGTATGCAATGCATGCGCAATAACATATGCTTTGTCTCATATCCGGCAGGAAAACCTGCAGTTATCAAGAGTTACACCGCACTGATTCATTTCTTGCAAATTAAGTTTCAACTATTTATCGTTTTGACTTATTTGACTTATAACAAAACAATTGTTGACTGCTGTGATGTGGGATATGCCGTTTTTAACCTCCTGGGGGTGCTCTGCATACATGTAGCACCCTCGGCTTTGCCTCGGGTGCCTATGCGCCCCTCAGATGTTAAAAAGTCATATCCCATATCACACTCCATATCAGTCAACAATTGTTAAATAGTATCTCTTGATCACATTAATATAATACAGCCATTTGCTTACCATTCTGCGTCTATAATATCCCTGATAATGAAAAAGGTACATGTCAACAGATTTGCCTAGTAGTCCCAGGTTTTCCAAGTAGTTTTTGTTAGTAGTGTGGTATTCTGCGGGAATATTTACCAATAACTCTTAAGGAAACTGGTTGAGTCATTGATGCCTTGATGACTTGGGGCCGGGGAGACTTGGTGCACACACAGACAGACACAAGGTACTCACAGGTTCCATTATCCGAGACGACTGACTGTTGCTTAGTATCATGCAGCAGACTGCAGGATCAGGGTCACACCTTACTGGTTTATTATAGGTCTACATTATGCATGAAGTAACGCAATGCGCAAGTGCCATTTTTACCAGTCACAAGAGTAGCATTGTGAAGTAGAGCAGTTTGAAGTGACGTCCAGTTGTGACCAAGTCCCACAAAATGAGTCTTAAGGACTATTTTCACTTATTGGGTTTCATATGAAATAGGAAATGCATACCTTGAATTTCAATTTCGATAACATTTGTTTCCGTCAAAAGCAAAGTAAAAGCATCATGAGAACAATCAGTATTTATATTAAGATTGAGGCATGATTTTAAAAAGCCGAAGTTTATAGGGGATTTCAAAGAATTTAAAGAAAAACAGACAAACCAATAGACAAGTACAAATGAAACACAAACAGTAGACAGGGACGGACTGAAGAACATACAGACAACAGGGGTCAGAGACATTACCAAATAATGAGACTAAATCAATAACATGAGGAAAGAAGGAGCGAAATAGCTATTTGGAACGGAGAAGGACAAAGATACTATGCTGAATAATGGGTCAAAAAGATGGTTCTTGAAACTGACTTTAAATTGGCCTACAGAGAACTATGGTTTTGTAGACTGACCAAGTCCATTCCACAAACGAGGCCGTAGAAACGTAAGGTGTTTAGGGAATGTGATGTGCGAATGAATGGGACATACCTATTGCATGATCTAACGTGGCACTGATGAGTATCGCAAACTGAAGTGAAACATGAAGAGAAGAAGCTGGGGAGAAGGTTATTAGTAAAGTTGTACACAATAATAGCTTGCTCTGCATTTTCATAGATCTCTCGGTTCTGTATCTTACATACAGCTTTATGTGGTTGAAAGCTTGGCCGTTCCTGTGACATTCAATTGTAAGATTATGTTAACCAGTTCACGCTGGGATTATTTTGACAAGAACAGAACAAGGTGCAGGATTACTTTTCACTCGACCTCATGCCAGGCAGGTTGAAGCCATCACCTCGGGCAGCGAAATCATACTTCTGGCCTTGCTCGCTGCATGCGGGTCATTGACAGATATTTCTGGCCTCACTCCCTGCATGTTTATCTGTCATCTGTTCTGAATATCACAAAACCTTTGTGGGTATACATGTCATCTGGCAAGAACTGGTTAAACCTTTTACTCAAAAAGTAGCTCAGGCCACTCGTTTGGGGTCAGGTCACATTTCAGTCGTCAGCATTTCACAAATGACGTCCATTAAACCACACAGGACAACCAGAACAGCAAACCATAGGTCCCATCGCCCTGAAATACTCCATCAACAAACTGGACGCGGAGAAGGTGTTTGAGATTGACTTTGGAGCATCTATCTGCAAGAGTGCCGATGATTGCGTCTTTAATGTGGACATCATCCAGGACTACAGAGTTCCCATTCCATTCTGCAATTCCAACTTCTCATTCTCCCTTCCAGGTAGGAATAGGAGTTTCATTTGATCCTTTGTAATGATGACAGCAATAACTCCTCATGAGTGCTCATGAATAGAAGGCTTCATGATGCTTTCCTGAATCAGTAGATATTGCTGGGTCATTGAAAATTGCAACTCCAGACAAGAGTGTCTTGTCTGTTTTATTAATCCTTAAGGTGATATATAAATGTGGTGTTATTAGTATCTTAGTGGTATTAAAAAGAAATATAGTCCTGAACATTACTTTTATATGCCCTCCATGCATGAATACTATAGCAAATCAAAATGAGAGCTATCTGTGGGAGACACGTTCTGTGTGTGCACACTGGTTTACATGCATGTGTGATCTGATACACCGTACCCTCTGGAGATGTGTGTACAATAGGGAACAAAAGATCGTATACGTCTCCACAGGGCAATATCTATAGATGAATACGTCTCCACAAGGTTTTCACGAAATAGATATATGGATTTTACTCAAAAACTAGGAATTTCCAAGATGATCTGTCGCAAATGGAAGAGTTTTAGAAAAGGGATATTTTGTCCGAATTTCAGCCAAGGAAATTAATTCTGGTTAAAGTAAGAGCATTTTTAAACGACACTTTCAAACTCGAAAACTTTATAGACGAGAACAAAGGAATGTCTCCACAAGGTTAAAAATTCCAGTATGCGTGCACACATGCTGGAATTTGTATCCTTGTGGAGTCATTTCTTTTTTCCGTGTACTAAAATTTTAGAATGTGAAAATGTAGTTTCAAAATGCTCCTATTTTAGCCAGATTTCTTGGGCTGAAATTCGGACTTATATCCCTTACATAAATTACTTCAATGTGCGACATATCAACACGCCTTGGAAATTCTTAGTTTTGGAGTAAAATCCATATATTTTGTGATAACCTTGTGGAGATGTATTCGCCTACAGAAATTGCCCTGTGGAGACGTATACAATCGTTTGTTCCCTATTATACACATGTCTCCATCAGGCAGTGAATTACGAAACTAAGCATGATTTTATTCTGAATGCTCCAGACATACGGCGGCAGTGATATATACAGTCGAGTCTCGTTATAACAAACTCGTTCGGACCTAGCCAAATTGTTTGTTATATCAGAATTTTGTATTAAGAGGAACATCAGTCCCATTCATTGTGCACATAAATGCACAGTCGGGACCAAGGCTTTATGTTTGTTATAACCAGAATTTTGTATTAACCGAGTTTGTAACTAACGAGAGTCGACTGTAATTATTCAAACCCGTACTAAATTTCTTTGTGCACGAGATCGTAGCTTATAAATGTCATTTCCTCAGTACAGATGCAGTACTGTGGTTCTGATGCCCTACAAACCTTACTTTTTGTCCACAGGAGGAAACACCTTGAGGGAGTTTGTGAATCAAGTCGGCCGGAGTGCTGGGCAGCAAGCTGTCAATATTCTCCTGGAGTTCATTGGGCTCAGAGATAAGATTAATGATGGACCATGTGACACCACAGCACTGATAAGACCTGATGAAGAAGGTGAGGTTTTGTCTCCACCAAAAATGTTTGTTTTGATGTCTAAACAAAATAAAAATAGGAAACCAACCCTTACCCACGCACAAAATGAAGCGGAACTGCGTAGCACTGAAGAAAAGTATAAGTGATGAAAACAAAAGTTAAAGCAGTGCTCACCAAGAATTATTCTGGCTGAATTTTCGGCCCCGCTGGGCCTTCATCGGAGCTATGACTGTTTGAATGCAGAAAAATCCACATTCAAACCGCCTGGCGTGAGTGTTCCAAGCTTGTTGATGATGCGTTGTTCCATCTCCAAGCGCTGGGCGTTCAATGTTGTCATAGTCAGGACACACACGCGCATGACGTCACATGTGTGTGGTGGCTTGGAGAAGTGGCGCGCCACAGGGTGTCTGGGAAGATCCGTAAAGCTAACAGAGTTGAAAGCATTGAGGAAGGTAGAGCCCAACAACCATCAGGACTTTTTATTGGACTTTATTACCTTAACCTGTTGGCGCCGGGATTATTTTGACAAGAACGGAACGAGGCGGGGAATTTTTTTTTCACTTGACCTCAAGCCAGGCGGGTTGAAGCCATCACCCTCGGGCAGCACACTCATATTTTCGGCCTCGCTTGCTGCGAGTGGGCCACTGACAGATATTTCAGGCCTCGCTCCCTGCGTGTTTATCAGTCATCCGTTCCAAATACCGCAAAACTTTTGCGTGTATACAGGTCATCCGACGATAAAAGTGTAATTGTAAAGAATATGTTTTTGGTTATCTACAGAGTGGAGGATTTTGAAGGATTCAGGAAGCTTTGTAGCAAAGATCCTGTGGTTAAAAGTTTTAAATGTAGCACAGTGAGTGTGCCAAAGTAATCTAGGTTTACAACAGTGCCTGCTTTATTCCAGGTTTTTAAATTCTTTTTAGCTCATTGCTCGCTCTGTATTATTTTTTTTCCTCCCTATCCAGTATGCACTGAAGTGAGCCTACCACCACTACCCAGTGGAGTGACTTGTGCGTTCTCAGACCGCTGCCTTGGCATACGATGCTGCACTGAACTGGATCTAGAAATCACTGTATTATCAGTCAACATGTGGCTGATTCTAGACCCCTGTGAGTTCACGCTGTCCATGGGATTGGGAAAGTGGTCCTTGACATTCACCATATTTGACTACCATTGGGGTGAGTGCCTGTATACGTTTACAGTATGTGAGTAAATTCAGTTCCAGTTTGTACTTTTGAGATTAGTACCCCTTTATTGGCCACTATGAAGCTATAATTTAGTGCAAAATGTTTGAAGAGTGCTTTACATTTCCCTCAAATTTTCTCTGGACTCTATCTTAACCACTTCGCGCCAGTATTATTTTGAAATTGACCAGATCCAGGCACGGGATTGTTTTTCACGAACCTCGATGCCAGACAGGTTCAGGCCGTCATCTGCGGGTAGCACAGTAAGCACACCCTGATATGTCAGCGACTCGCTCGCTGCGAGCGGGTTGCTGATAGATATTTCCGGCCTCGCTTGTTTCGTGTTTATCCGTCATCCATTCCAAATACTGCAAAACCTTTGCATGTATACACGTCATCCGACGTGAACTGGTTAAGACAGTTATGAATACAGTTTAAAAATCTGGGAAAAAAATATACTTTTCCAAATGTATTGACGGACCTCTCCAAATACAAATACTCAACACAACTCTGAAGCCACTCTCCATATACATGTGTGTTACTGCCCCCCCCCCCACCCCCAAATATTTTTTTTAACTAGAATCCAAAACAAACTTCAACTAGAATCACTTGTAAGTGGAATCTGTACAGCCGCCCTCAGGTCGACCTTGTGACGACGCCTAACAGTCAGTGACTGACTTTTCCGGATCAAGCTGTGCCTTAGCATATCAGTCACCAATTTTGTACGATCTGAGTGTAACTGTTACAAGAAGATTGATATCAGTCAGCGCTAAAGAAAATCAACAGTCGTAGAGTAGAAATATGTCAACTTCTGCGCCGCGACGGAACATGTTTCCAAAAGGCGGGAATCAATCGCAGTCGCCCTGTGTGAAGTTATGACGTCGTGCGCGCAACCAGATCATCTAATTTTATTGTGAATTGTCGTCGAATCATGGGTGACATGAGCATGATTGCAAGTTTTCCGTGTCGAGATGCTGCTTGTTCCACGATAATCAAATGATTTTGTAAGTTCTGTGACCTGACCATGACTTGTGATGCTGATGGTTCTGTTGCCGCGCAAGCAAATCGCACGTCAACCTGAGGCCTGCTTAATTAATATTTTGGTTGGAAAGATGAACTGTTTCGTATTTTTAACCAGGTACCCAGGAAGAGCTGAAGATTGGCAAAGCCTTGACTCTTATCTACACCATTGATAAGCTGACTGAGGACAAGGTGTTTGTATTGGACCTAGCACTGTCCCTGTGCCTCCCAGACTCAGACTGTAACACGCCCTCTATTGATATTCTCAAGAAAACCCGGGTGCCCATACCACTCTGCAATGAGAATTTCACATTCGCACTTCCAGGTAATGCTTTTAAACTGCTTTTAATTTGACACTTTATATGTACAAGGGCCCCCTCATGGGACACCATGTTGGATCATTAGATGGATCTTGTTGACCACTTATAAGACAGTGCATGAAGTACACATGAATAGTTTCTTAATTAAAATATGCACAAAATAAGCACAGTTGATACAGATGTATCAATATTACTTGATTATTCAATATTATTTTGATATTGATATCGAAAATATCGCAAATGCGTCAGATTATCGTCAGAATAAATCTCCCGTTTATGCTTTTACTTCGTGTCTAGCGTTTGCTGTATTATAAAATATAACTCGGCGGCAAAATGTACTTGTGATCCAAAATGAAACATCGTGAAATGCCAAGCGGCGTCGCTTTGTGCTCTGCATTCATTGGAATTGCAGTCTCCCCCAATGTAAAACCTCAAAAATAAACCGCCTGTTCTGGACAAACTCTCAGTGCTGAGATTTGTTTTAAAAAGTTTCCGCAATATGCTCCAGAGAAGGCCATGGGAATTGGAACTTCATGTTTATTTTTTTAATCAAAGTGCGTCTTTATGGTCTTTAACTTTTACATGGGATAATCCATATATATCAAATATTCTCGATATTGGATTACACATATATTGATTGTTAAAAATTCGGATATCGATGATGCTTAGCATAAACTTGTACTGCTTTCACATTAGTGGAGGGCGTATGCATGGTGCTAATGTGTACAAGTGTCTCTCCAAAAGTGGTACCAAAAGTTGAATGTTGACATGTGTTTGCTTCATTCCGTAGGGGATGGGACTATTAAAGGCTTCTTGCAGATGCTTGGGCAGAACGCTGCTGAATCAGCAATTGATGCTATTCTGGAACACCTAGGGCTATCTGTAAGTCTTTTAAAAAGAGGTTATTTATTAGCAGCAATTTGAGATTTAGATTACGTAACAGTGATGAAGTAATTTCTTGAAGGAAAAACTGAACCTCAGTGCATTTTTTAACGTAAGTGGGAAGTAACCACGGTTGTCTGCGATTGGGCCCCGGATGACCAAGGTTCTCCTATGACATATTCGTAGTACAACCTTAGCAGAACCCTAGCATATCCGGGCATGTCCGTAGGACATTCGTAGCCAATTCGTAGAGATTTCTACCACGAATGAGCTACAAATCTCCAAGAATATGCACGAATAGCCACGAATAACACTACAAATAAATACGGTTGTCCTACGGATGACCCACAGTTGCACTATGGATTAATTTTTACGACGGTTCACCACGGAAGTTATGAACACTTTAAAATTTCCATAGCCCCTCCACGGATATGCAAGGAAGATGACCACGGATAACCATGGATGTGCTAAGGATGAATACGGTACTCCCATGGTTATTACGAATTTCAAACTGTGGAGATCCGTAGCTTCAAACCATAAATGTGTGACTGGGGCTTTGTTGAATCCAGTAAACTGCAATGGAAAATTGACTAAGTGCCTTTCATTATTTGTTTGAAAGTTTGTGATAAAAAGTCTCATCCTCTTTGAGTCACCCCAGAATTGCCATTGTAATAATTTACCTGTTGAATCAACACCTGTTGTTATGCAGGAATTCATCAGTCGCATGCCATGTGTCCGTCCACAAGTCACCCAAAATGGTTGGCACAGAAGTAAGTCCATAATTCTGTCGTATTCCGACTTTAATGTGTGTAATACTTCTCTTTGTCTGTTGCATTACTCAAATATTTTACTTTTGATGCTGATATTGTAATAGGCACAATTTGGTGACAAAATGACGTGCATATATATTTCTGCGTTTATTTCCTGAAATATTTCTTGCAACCTTGTCTGTCTTCTTCAGTGAAAGATTCACTGGCATTATTTTGTATAAGACCTTCCAGAAGATCCTTTTTTTATTTGTTTTCTGAGGTTTGCCCAAAATTTATATTTTATTATACAGGGTGAGTAAAAAAAAAAAGAAAACCCAAATGTCGGGACCATTGTTTTAGTGAAGTTCTGCATGTAGCACTTTCAGCATCTAGGATATGAAAGCCCAATTCATCAGCTTTGCTTTAGTACAAAAATCATTCAAATCACTTATGCACTTTTCAAGTTACGGAATTGTATACACAACTGCCGTTTTAAAGTTCTGTCCACGGATCACAAAAAAAGGTGTGCGTTCTTTCTGCAAAAGGAAAACAATTTACACACATCCCTGTGTGATTTGTTTTCATTTTGCTGAAAGAATACTTTAACCATTTTGTGATCCATGGACAGAATTTTAAAACGGTGGTCGTGTTTATCATTATTACTTTAAAGAACCTAAGGCCAAAAAAAAAGTCTCCGGTTTCTGGTATGGAGCTTGCCCAAAAAGTGGTGCGGCGACGCGGCTTTTTTTTTTTTTTTTTTACCAGATTTTTTTGCTTCAAATGTCGGCTGATGACTGCAAATGGTGCCCGACTAAACTTAGTGCAAATATATGGGAGTCCAGAGAGGCCACATAAAGCTTATTCTCGACTATAACCCAATCTAAAAACACGTTAAAATTGTGCAGCAGCAGGATTCCAGTCAAACCAGTGAGTTTGGCGGTTTTCAGACATCATCTTTTATTGAAAAAAAAACTTCTTCATTTTGCCGACGCGCATGGCTACGGCGACGTGCGCGCATACCAGAAACCGGAGACTTTTTTTTTTGGCCTAACCAAACATTTAATGTGGAACCTTTCTTTGGCTTCATATTCTGAGTTTGTCATAGATATATCAAATGCACCTAAAACATACAGTAGTAGGAATCTTTCAGGATGCTTGGGTTCAATTGCTGCTTGAGTTAATTTCTCAATTTTTGTAAACCAGAAAGCTCTGCTTTCTGTAGAAGGTTGCAATAAAAGCATTGTTTTCACATATGTGTCTAGTTTGCCCCAGGGATGTCAGACTTTCCCACCTTCCGAGAAACCTGATCTGCACCCTCCCAGAGAAGTGTCTAGGGTTCGATTGCTGTCTACAGCTTCCCATCCCAGGGATCAGTCCCATCAGCACCCAGGTCTCCTTCATCTTTGATCCTTGTAACTATCAGCTGTCAGTCAGTCTAGGCAGCTGGAGTCTGGATCTGCAAATCTTGTCCTATCAGTGGGGTCAGCAGAAAGAGGTCGACATTGGCAAGGCAGTAACTATAAGGTATGTTAGAGGCAGTACTGATGGTACATGGTATACCTCATGCATAATACCTCATACATATTTTTACTACACCTCATGAATATTCATGATCAATTTGGAGCACGTCATTGGCAGATTCCGCCGCGCGTCGATCCGGGAAGTACAAATGAAACGTGCCCAGGTGATATCATCCCTGTGAGTATCCCGCTCGCTGCCGTGTGGCATTTTTTTCTTGTAGCACCAGAAATTCCCTCTGGAACCTGCCTCAAAGACATGTAGTCTGTGACATGTAATCTTAACGGAACCAGTCTGTTGATGTAGTCCTTGTAACTACTGCAGTAAAGACACATTAAAGAGTGTTGGCACTAGACTATTTCATGAACTGACGAAGAACTTGAATATCATGTAGATGCAAAATCTTCGAATGTCATTATCGACAAGGCAAGGAGGCTACTAAAACATATTTATGAGGTGTAGTAATGGTTTATTTCTGGAAAATAGTTGGAATTACTGTCCCTCGAAGCTTTGTGTCGGGAGGTAGTCAAGCTGACTTACACCTCGGGACCAGTAACTCCGACTACTTCCCTGTCAAACCATGCTGTATTGGTATAATAACCTGTCTCCTTCAGGTTGGTAAAGGGAATACTGACTGTAATACGCCTCATGCATATAGCCAAGTTTGTTTTATTGGTCAGTGTTAATTGCATCAAGTATACAAACATTGACTGCTTCGAGTGGTGTAAAACGAGCCTCCCAAGGTGATCCATGAAGCATTCTATTTTTCCCGAGGCGAAGCCTAGGGAAAATAGAATGCTCCATGGATCACCGAGGGAGGCTAGTTTCACTACACACGAGATAAAGCAGTCAATATTTGTTTTATAACACCTCTCCCACAGATTCTGCTTGATTTTTTTATTTTAAGCAAGAACTGATTAATATAAAATGTACTGCTATTGAATATGAAGTTAGGTGAAAATTTACTAGCACTGTTCCAAACTACCCCTTCACGAAGTGTTCGAACCCAGCTATGTATTGCTAGCGCGCGCTTGGGAACAATACGCGCAACGCACATGCCCATATGCATTTGCACACAATACTGGTTGATGTGCGTATAGTGCTTTGGTTGCTACGGGTATGTTACTTTTGGCTGTGCACAGCAAGATAGCAAAAATAGCGAATACCATGTGACTAGCTCTCGGCCAATCGAGATAGAGAATCTGTGGGTGAGGTGTTACTATTTCCATTATGCCAGATTAAAACAATATACATGCATCTGTGAAATTGATATATTTACTAGATACACAAATTTGAATTGTGGATAAATGTGTTTAAAAATGTAATTCTTCGATTTGAAGTTTACCTTTTATGTAAGGATTGGTTCATTATGGTCTGTAAGACTCAGAAAGTGAATAGAATAATTTCAGTTGGTTTTTCTTGTTTATTCTTCACAGTCTGACCATTGACAAGTTAGATACAGAGGAATCCTTCCAGATCAACTTGGACATCTCCATCTGCATCGACGCTGAGTGTACAACCACACCAGTCCTTCAGGATTCCCTGGTCCCTATCCCATTCTGTAATCTCAATGCTTCCTTTGAGCTGCCTGGCGATGGCAGCTTTGCAGGTCTTGCCCGGAATCTCTCAGGGAACGTAGGGGAGTTGGCCATCCAGGCTGGTCTCCGAAAACTTGGAATCCAGGTGAGTTAAGGAAAATTACAAACTTGTATTCTAAAAAAGGAGAAAAGGAAATGCCTTTGGTAGAAGTCTAGACTCGGTACATGAAGAGTCGATGGCACTTCTTGACCACTCTTGAGAACCCTGTGTGTACACACTTACGGAAATTTGTATCCTTATGGAGACATCTCTTTGCTCTCGTGAACTGAAATTTTAGAGTGTGATATTCTAGTTTCAAAATGCTCCAATTTTAACCAAAATTACTTTTCTGGGCTGAAATATGGACCAAATATCCCTTACATAAAATACTTCAACTTGCAATAAGCACACAAACACACCTTGGAAATACACCTTGGAAACAGCCTGTACGTGCACACATTCATCTGCATGTGACATACAAAAAATATTTAATCTTAATGTCTCAAACTCATTGCATCTTTAGTGAGTGCCTGGTGTAGTATGACAGCAAAGAGTCTGTCTAACTCTCTATTTGTCACAGTTTAGGTTGTACTTTAGGTGCCGGAGGCTATAGATTTAGTAATCCATTCGCTTTCGAGTCAACTCGTACCTTGGGCAACTCGTACCTTGGACAACTCGTACCTTGGACAACTCGTACCTTGGACAACTCGTACCTTCAATTAAGACGACTCGTACCATCAGAACAAAAAGTAGAGTACGTGACTTAGTATGCACAGTGTGTGGTTCCTTGACTCCGAAACGATACGATTCTTTTCAAGTCAAAGTTAATTTTTATCCCACAGAACCACATTCAAGATCTAATGGCTTTGCCAGGCAGTGTGATTTTCCGCGTTGGGCCTGCCGCAGGGCAATGAAATTGACTGCCGCGCCGGCCTCCGAGGGTGCGAGCAGCGGTCGGTCGTGCGCGGTACCGTGCTGGTGACTCGGAAGGACTGCGCGGCGCGCAGACAAGCAATCGTCTCTTGAGCAGCGCAATGGTTCATCAGAAACCCGCAAGAACATCTGAAGAAAAAAAAAATTAGCGGTAAACACATAGTTTTGGGATGAAAATATATCGATTCCGTAATACGTTTATTTGCAATTTTTTAAGTAGGCCTAAGTCTCTAAATACCGTTGAAAACGGCAAACTGCAACAATGTCACCGTGCACGGACGGTCCGACTTGTTAAAATGATATCAATTAATAATGGTGGACAATATAGCAGCAATTATCTTTCGAGCAGCGCAGTGGTTCATCAGAAAACCGCAGGTTCATCTGTAAAAAAAAAAATTGCGGTAAACACATAGTTTGGGATGAAAATTAGTATTTCCTAACAAAATTGGAAATATTCACGTCTTATCATTCCAGTCCAAGATTCACGTCTTATCATTTTTGCGGTGATAATATATATGAAGAGAAAAGTAGTTCAGGCGATTATAGGGATCAATAATAGGAAAAATATTGCAACCTGACGCCACTTTTTTCTTCATATCATCTCAATGATGGGTCATTCATTGCAAAAAATATGGTAAGACGTGAATCGTGGATAAAAACATCAGTTCCATAATATTTGCACGTAGCTTAAGTCTCTAAATGTAACGGCAGACTGCATAAAAAATGTCACCGTGCACAGACGTCCATATTAACCGGTCAGCGCGGCGCAAGAACCGTGTCACTTTGCACGGATGGCTACCGTAGGTTGACCACAAACGTACCAAGTGGGCCTGTGCATGCCGCGCACACAGTACGTGTAACCTGCCGCGGCCAGCTTCGCGCTAAATAAATTCCTCTTTTGGGGGGAAAGTGAGCCCATACCAAAAAGAGATTCACCTTTATTTTAATAAGCAGTCCACTTTCAATGAGTTACGGTCCACTTTATTCAGCCTCGGATCATTATCCTGACTGACGGTACGACTTGACTTGCGCGTGATGGTACGAGTCGTCTTAACTGAAGGTACGACTTACCGAATGTACGAGTTGTCCAAGGTACGACTCGGTATAATGACGTCGAGTTGAAGGTACGAGTTGTCCAAGGTACGAGTTGCCCAAGGTACGAGATGACCTGTTACCATCCATTCAGTGGGCATGGGTGCACCACGAAAATGGAAGCAAGTGCCCTTACCCAGCACTAATTCCTGCAAGTAATCATGGTAATTGTGGTCATTCATCACCGAGTCCGCAGATATGCTCTCACTCTGCAACCTGCAATACATACTACATGAACTTGTTACTTTCATCTCTTCCATTCTTTAAGTGCTGGATTTTGTGAGTTCTACAAGCTTGTGTCATTCTTAAACACAGCATCCTGACAGATTATTTTTTGTGAAATTGAAAGGAAATTATCCAAATGTTTGTTGCAGGTATCGACTAATGTCTATTGACTGTTATGTCATGTTCAGAAACCCAATGTTTTTTAATTTTGCAGAGATATGTTAGCAACCAGCAATGTGACATGGAGATACTTGCACCAAGTGAAAACAGTAAGTGGCCTGTCCATTACGTTGTATCTTGTAAAATAATAATCACTCCTGTTTTATTGGTTATATGTGAAATTAATTATGTTATAGTGCCAGCTTGGGAAAATTAAATTGTTTGATTTCTTTCAATGAGTACTTGCAACTGTCCAAAATGATGCACAGTAATCACTTTTATGGCCAATGCATCATCGCAGATCATCACAGATCACAGATGTTCTGTAATTTGTCACTTTTACATTATTTATTTTTCCTCAGAATGTCCGCTGTTAAGGCTGCCACCTCCATCCAGCCTGTTGACGTGTATAGTGGATGACCGCTGCCTGGGCCTGACATGCTGTGCCTCCCTTGACCTGGTCTTCACTCAGCTGTCCACCACCGCTTACGCCCTCCTAGACCCCTGTGAAGTCCAGCTGTCTGTCGGGCTGGGGTCCTGGTCTAAGAATCTGACGCTCTTTGAATATGACTGGGGAGTGGGTAAAGTGCTGGATATCAGTGACTCTGTGCGCATAGAGTAAGTACACGTATTTGTCAGTGTTGTAGTCGATTCCCACAAAACCATTACATGACCAACACAACACCTCCAGTCTCAATTCAAGTCACAAGCTGTTCAAATGAACTGCAATAAAGGCATTCCTTTGTAATTGTTCGTACCCATTACTTGTGGCTGGTCGATCTTGTGAGTGGTCTCGACTACAGCACTGGTATATATAATGTCGCTGGAAGAAATGTTATCAATGGGTTTTGATATAACATTGTATCAATATTAACTTGATTTACGGGGAAATTCATCATAAGTACTTCACAGCAGCATATATGTATTGGCACTGCAGGGGAAGGGGGCTACATCGGTAATTCGGGCGATTCACAATGCAGAGCGTCACCAATAGATTGCACGGAGAGTTAATTTTTCCCAGTGCATTGTGGGAGATAGTCGACAAATTCGCAGCGTGGGACATTTGAAATTGTTCGTTTTTTCCGGTCAGTAGTTTCGTAAGCGTATGATTCGAGTACATGTTTGCCCTTTTATTTTCTTTGTATCAATATGGTGTTTTTTGTAAGGCGGCAAAACGCTATGCCCTATCTATAACATAATAGCTCAAGTTGTCTACTGACACTCATTCAAATGGGCCATATTTTGTCGACCGTAAACTTGAAAAGTTGACTCTCCATGGCAAACTCTTGGTGGCGCACTGCATTGTGAATCGCCCGAATTGTCTGGTACAAAGTTGCCTCATTTTATTTATTTTTATCCCCCTGTATATGTGTGCGAGTTTGTTTCTGCATTCAATAGGGGACGTTGAACAATAGAGGACAATAGGGTCCCAAATTCCTGAGAAATTCTTTGAGAAATAGTTTACTTAGGAACTTGAGATTTGGTTTGTAGGTTGTTCTTGATAGTCTTAAGAAGCCTGCTGATTTTGGGGCCGACATGTCAAAGGTCAAGGTCACTATTGAGGAACCCTTATGGGGTTAGGGTAAATGCCCTTGCATGCATGGAAGAAATCAAGAAAGGCCTTTTTAATTGTGAAAATCCATAATTTCCCTAATTCTTTTGAAAATGTATATTTTTGGCGCAGATATAATGTTGACAGGCTCAGTGAGCAGAAGGAGTTCCTGATTGACCTGTCAGTAACCCTGTGCATAGACGGCACCTGTCGACCCATCCACCTGCTGCAGGCAGCTCATGTACCCATACCAATCTGCAATCCCAATGCCACCTTCACCCTGCCTGGGGATGGTACCATCTCTGGCTACCTGGATAGCTTGGCGGGCCACGTCACTGATGCAGCTGTAGACCTGGTACTGGACAAATTGGGTCTGAAGGTGAGATTGTTGACTTACATTTATGGGTCTGTTATTGATTTACCTTGCGCAGAGTGACCTGCTGCCCTTTGGGCCCCAGGTAACCGAATTTTTTGAATAATTTTTTTTTTTAGGGCCAATAACGTTCACCTCTTATCTAATCCTCATTCAACCCTTGCCAAATCAGCTGGTTCAATGAACTTTGCAGCAGCCAGGGGTACACCCAGGCCGTGTCAACAAACTTTCGACCAGGCCTCCTGCCAAGTCTCATTGAAACATCAACAAAGCCCTGTAACTTGACACAGTCATCTCCCTTCATAACTGCATACCACAGCCACCAGTCAATTATCTTTCCAGCGCACTGTCTGGCAACTGTCTGGACACTGTCTGGCACGTGGCTTTTTGTTGTATTGCTATGAATAGGGTCTTGCGTAGTGCGGGAAAGTACCTGCTGCCCAAAGGGCAGCAGTTGACGAGTTGTTGCAAAGTTTTTTTGTAAACGCTGCGCAGGGTTTATCAACTCCTTGCGTACATGGCGCTTCATCATTTATACTGATAGTGTCTTCATGTGAGCATCAGCATCATAAATATGTTCAAGAGTCCCTCCCAGTTGTCCCTCCCAACTGTCTCTTTGTATTGTTGAGGGATACTTGTGCACAGAGTCAATACTAAACACATTCACACATTTGTGTCAGTTTTTCTTCTTATTTTCTCTCTTTTCTAACTGGGTCATTCCACTGGGTTGGGAAGCAGTGCATGTTACATCCATATATTTGGTTATATTATTAAAAGTATCAATGCATTCTAAACAATTGCTTAACAAAATATTTGTCTTAGGGTGTTTCAATATTTGAGAAAGTTTGAAATCATTTGAAAGTACTTTGACAAAAATATGACCAAAAATGTATTAATTCGGACGTAACATTGACACCGTGTCAAAGTAACATCCAATAATATATTTTACACGTATGTCAAATATTACCTAAACTGACATTGCATATTTACAACTGGACACCTAAGCACCAAGAAAAGCTTTTGTTTTGGTATAGTCAGGGTTCAAATATAGCAGAAACAATACCCCAAGTGTGGATGTAACGGTGTAAAAATCACTCAATGGAAGTGTGACATTTGGGTTTTACATCGTGTAAATGTTACGTCCGCACAACCAAGCTATCATTTCTGTTCCATTTGATGTCTGACGACCATAACAAAAGCTTTTCTTAAAGTAAATTTGGGTAATGTTTCGCAGAAATTAAAAAAACAGGTACAAATGTCATATTTGGAGGTAACACTGACACGGTGTCAATGTTACTTGCAAAATGATATTTTTTGCTCATATTTTTGGCAAAATACATTGAAATGATTTCAAACTTTCTACAGTAGTGAAACACCCAACAACAAATATTATGTAGAGCAACTGCTAGAGAGGCATTCATGCTTTTCTTAATATGGTCATATGTCACACTTTGTTCCCCAACCGGGTGGAATGACCCAACTGCAAAAGTGAATACTTTAGACAAACAAGTTGTGCTCCAAATTCAACTGTATTGGAAAAAGAGAAATGTAGTTGGCCAGTTACGTTGTCAAAAAAATTTTGAAATCTCAATGTTATCATGGATGTGAGTGGATTTAAGTGGGTGTTTTCTTCATGCTTATTCCTAGAACTTCCTGTCCAGAGACACCTGTTCTCTTCCTCCAGCACTCCCGGTTGGTAGTGACAGTAAGTAATGACATTTTGTACTGCAATAGAAAGACTTCAAACATTTTTTCTGACAGTCATGCTTAATACTTAACTTGTATCAACCCTAAACCCCTAGGTTGTGTGGAACTTCATATTAAAGTTGGAGATTTCAGGACTGTTAGTGTTAATTTTGAAAGAAACTGACATAAGGATACCCCAAAATGTTGTTAATGGGCATCTTTGCCATAGCTTTCCCATGACATAACCTCCTCAATGTCTGAACTGATATTTTATGGCTACAGCTTCTATTTTTGCCATTGTTGCAAAATAATGATTTGCCACAGCCATTGGAAATAATAGTAATTTTAAACACAGCCTGAATTCAGTACTGGACTTGCCATTGCAAGTATTACTGAAGAAGTTAACAAATGTAAGTAAATGGCACACTGGGAATATCACAGACTTGTAGACAAGTGAATCTCAAAGGCAAATGAGTGGCTAAGCTTTCCTACAGCTCACTTGAGTAGCTTATCACTTCTCAAATCTGAGACCGATTGAATTGTGATTGACTGATGATGACTTTTGAATCCTGTTTTGGAAGTTTTCACGTAGTGCAATTTACAGTTTTCCTGGTTGAAACCTTCCATTGAAAACTATCACATTTGCATGAGTACTCTTGATTAAAGGTATAGTCCATCATTTTTAATTTGTGCATTTTGTTCGTTTGAAGCAACAAACGTGCTCAAAATCTAAAGAAGGGTATTGAACAACTAAACTCATGAAGTTTCAGCTCAGCTTCAGCTGTATATTCCGAGAAAAACAGCATTCTAGGAGTTGCTGAATCATGTTTTGAATTGGGCCTGAAGTCAGCGTCCGAGACACGTTCTCAATGAGCCGATTGCAGCTACGCGATGTCGCGCACTGATCCGACGAATTATAGCAACGGCGCGCGCGTGTGCGTCGTGCCAATGCTTGCGCGTGCTTCGCCGCAAAACAAAACAAACTACTAATTTAAACTTCCTACGGTGCGTCTTAAGAAGCACCATTGGGAAGGCCTGCTGTTGTTGATTTCTTCAAAATGACAGCTTTCCAGAAAGAATAATTTCACAAGGAGTTTAGTCCCCTTATTATCTCTCAACCAAGTATGTTTTTCAACAAGAATTACGCTAGTTACTCTTTGGATAGCTGCAAATGATGGACTCCAGCTTTAACTCCTACATTTTGAATTCCTGTTTCAGGTTGCCCTGTGCAGATTCCTGACAGCCTTCCCAACTTGTCCTGTCACATCAGCAGCCGTTGCACAAGTCTCCACTGCTGTCTGAATCTAGACTTGAAGGTGACCCAGATCAGCTCCAAGGCCTGGTTGATCATCGACCCCTGTGACTATACGCTGTCTGTTGGGCTAGAGCTGTGGTTCTTCAATGTCTCGCTGTTTTCTTATGAGTGGGGAATGATGGAAAGTTTCATGATTGGAGATGCACTGAACGTCAGGTGATTTTATATAAAAAAAGTATATTTCAAGCTAGTGCAAGAAGTGTTTTGCTCTGTGCTCTGTAAATGCTTCATAACTGTTACATCTACACCTATAAACCTGCGAAAAGAAATCAAAAGACTACATAGTACACCAGAACATAACACATTTTTGTCATATTTTTATCTTATGGAGGAAGCTGAAATTTTGTTTAGATATTCCTTGTGTCCAGAATTATGCACATGCTGGGCTTAGAAAAGGTAAATATGTCCGTGGACGACGTGTTTACCAAAACTTAATCGCAGATTCACGCTTTCGTCGAAAACATCCTCATTACGAACATGTCTTGTGAAGACTTACGTACGCACCTGCATGCAACCCCCAATACAGCTTAGTAACTGTGTTGCACACGGGCCGGCGCGTGTAAGTCTTCAGTCTTCACACAGGGAGTTAGTACTGAGAATGTTTTCTAAGAAAGCGTTGATCTGTGTTTTTTTTTGGTAAACAGTTGCCCATGGACATATTAACCATTTCTAAACCCAGCGTACGCATAATTCTGGACACAAGGAATAAGTCAACAAAATTTCAGCTTCCTCCGTCAGGAATAATATGAAAAAAAATTGTTATTTTTTTCACTACCGTAGTAGAATTAATACCTTGGACGTCAGTCGTAATGCAGTGAAGTAATGCAGTGAAGACGTCGTCCAACCTGGGCTAGTTAATACTGTCACTTACACTTAGCTTCAGAACATCCTCCATATGGCATTGCAAAAAAAATATTGTTGAGGGCTTAAGTTTTTGGTTTGTGTGACCTCAAACAGTGTTCTTTCTGTTCAAGAAATTGAGAATTTGATGTAAATTCAGGTTTCTTGATTCAAAATTCCCATGCCCAATTTTGTTGGTATTGTGGTTTTGTTTCCCGAGACTGATTTACAATTGCCTTTTTATTTTTTAGAAGAGCCTGATGTGATGATTTGTTGTGGCCGCCATAGACTTATACTGAGGACAAAATCTTGACTAATTTGTATTTTCAGTCAATTTTAGCAGTGACTTCTAACAAACAAGTACCAAATTGGATTCATTTTGTCCAGGTTTTCCATTGACAAACTTGATGCCACCAAGGAGTATGAAGTGGATCTGGCCTTCTCTCTCCTCATTGATGGCATCACTACAGACTTCCCCATCATGGCTGACCAGAGAATCCCAATACCTCTGTGTAATGCCAACTTCTCCCTGGCGTTGCCTGGGGATGGCTCAGTCAAAGGTTTCCTGAAGGAGCTGGGAGACAATGTGGGACAGGCAGCTATCCAGCTGGTACTGACAAAACTCAACCTACAGGTGAGATTGACACACTGGAGCACTCAAGGGGGATTTAGTGTCTTAACCACTTTGTGCCGGGATTATTTTTGCCTGAAAATTTTTGATTTACAAAAGGCAAAATTTTCCAGCCAACTTCTGATATACAGCCAAACGCCACAAAGACTGATTCGCAAGAGTTATTTCAACAGTATTTGTATGATGTTTCTTGCCAAAACCTCATATGTCTGTGTGTCTGCATGATCCATGCAAATAAATACAAAACATATTTGTGGCATCTCAGTACTAACATTGCATACATGTATTTCTTACATAATAATATTCATATTTTTTTTCTTATACCTTAACCAATCTTTCTGAATTATTTTTCCTCACTGTGTAGAGTTCATTTAGTTCTTATTGATCTGTCATTTTTGCAGGATATGATCATTGGAACACCATGCCAGTTGCCTTCAGAGATGACGACAGGCACCCGTAAGTCGGTTTTTAATTGATCAGTTTCTACTTAGCAAGCAAATTTTGAAACTTGGCCCAGTCAGTGGTGAACTTAATATTACTGTAATCATGACCTGGTACTGGTTGAGCTCACATTGTTGAGCTCAGATTGAACTGCTGACTTCTAATGGTGTGCATTTGCAGGTAGTATGGGAACCGGTATCACGGTCTCACTTCTCCGGCGTGCCAGCTTCTCAGGGTGGATTTGGCGGATTAATGAGCACATTACAGTGCACGTTACATGAGCACTATTCATGCTCATGTGTCCGCTGTGCTAACTTTTCCTCGGGCTGTGTTGTTGTAAAGTCTACCGGTCCTGGCCATACAGTGAGGGACACCCAAGAATGCGTTATGTAACACTTCCTGTGGGTCAAGTCATATTGCAAGCATTCTGAAGATGTGTTCCCATCGTCATTGCGTGTGTGTTGAGGAAAAATTAAGAAGCGTGTTCCTTGCTCGGTCGTAGTCCATCACATGCATGTCCAATTTGCAACCACGTTCAACCATGGTTTAAAATAAATGTGCATCCTTCAAGTCTTTTTGGTTATTAGGCGGATGTTGGGAGTTAACTGCGCGCCCCACCATGCTTAGGTGTGGATTCGATGGTACCCTGTGACGTATACATGCAAACGTCCTAACTTCTTACGTGCACCAGTACAACCCCAAGGAACTCAGCAAACACATTAAGTTGGCGAAAGTGAACACTACTGTGCAATTTTGTGCATGCGTGTTGAAGCGTAATTTCCAACTTGAAGAAGCTAGCACGCCGGAGAAGTGAGACCGTGACACCGGGTACCCTATTGAAGAAAAATATGGGAACCAGGGTACCTGTAAAAGATGGTCTTATCAAAACTAAAGGTGTCTAAAGGGCTTTATGGCTTTACGGTGTAAACCGGTTTTCCATGTAGACTGGTTTTCATTCAAAATGTCATTGAAAAACTTTTCATTGTCTGAGAAGTAACTAATTAAATTCAAGACAGACTATACCGTCTGAAACGTCAAGAAAACACTTTTACAATAAGCCTCTGTTCTGGTGACGTCACATTTTGTTTACTTGTCTGCTTTTTTATGGGGCTATGAAACTGTAATCCCCACAAGGCTCTTATAGAAAGGCACACGTGTAAAACAAAGTGTGACGTCATCTCTAGTTGATGCGTTGATACGAGAGGTCGTCTTCAGCCGACGCCTTCTCGGGAGCCTCTAATGGTCACCTTCTACGCATCCCCGTCCAGCTTCAGCATCCTCAGCTCAGCAGTATCTTGTTGCACTGCGTCCTTCTTCAGCTGGTCGACGTACAAGAGTCGACATACGAGAGTCTCCATCACTAGTACAGAGGCTTATTTCTTTCTTTTTTATAACCGGCACATCTCTATAAAAAGATCGTTATCAAACAGAGAAATTTATCACTTTCTTCTGACAGCAAAAGCGTGGTCCCAGTAATTATATCCAAGCCTTTGGTCCTTTTTTTTTTTTTTTTTTTCACTAGACTGCCCGATGATCTCCCTACCCTTTTTGGAGAATGTCATCCAATGCTCCATCGACGATCGCTGCCTCGGCATCCAGTGCTGCATCCATCTTGACTTTGTCATCACTGAACTCATGCTGAGTGCAAGGATCCAAGTCGACCCTTGCAACTTCCAGCTGTATGTGGCCTTTGAGAACTGGGAACTGAACATCACTCTCTTCAGCTACACCTGGGGAAAGGTGGAAACTGTAAACATTGGAAATGCTGTAATGTTGAGGTGGGTTTGGTTCTTATGTTTCTTCTGTTTCTGGGCCATTCTTTGGTAACTGTGTGACATAAAATTGGGCTTGTCTGATTTTTGAAGCTTTACCCCTTGTTAACTACATCTGACATATTACTTTCACTGATTCATCAGGTTAGTACTTTTCACTCTCTACCTCAGAGTATAGTTTCTACTTTCACAAATTGTGTCAAATATTAGGAGGGGTCATCAAAGTTTGGTCACGTGTGTGACATCAGATGTAAAAATGTTATCCGACCCACACCGGAAATTCACGCTTTTCTCCACAGTTCTAAGGACACACGACCATACTGATTTTGGAGTAAGACTAGTCTTTTGTGATTTACAGACTGCATAAACAATGTACAACCTCTGCTTTAGTTTTACTAAATGGGAATTATTCTGTGGTCACGTGTGTGACATTTTGATCGGTCATGTGTGTGTCATTTTGAAATTATATTTATGCACGGAAAGACCAACTTATGAAACTTCTTAAGAAATTTGCATCTTTACTTACTAGCAACACTTTAATGAACAATAATCATTTGTGTTACATCACATTAAAAAGTTCTTTTTCCCAAAAAATTAATTGTGGTTCAATTTCTGAAGAATCGCCCTTTAATAAGGATTAGAGATTTGAAGAAAACAATTATCAGTTCTGATGATTTTTAATTCAAGTTACCACATTTTAAAAATTAAACCTTTGAAATTTGTAACACTCGTTAATCTGTAAAAGCGGATTGAAAATACGACTTCAAGATAAAACACACAAAAATCCATTTAAGAACTTTTATTTGAACTCCATGTAGAGTATCCGTGTAGAAAAATATGGCAATGTTCTATTATTGTTGTCAAAGGATAACAGTATAAAATGATTTGTACCTTGCATTAATGCAAGAATTCAATAAAGAAAAAAATGCCTGTGAAAATTGCCTTGTGTGATTTGGCCCCCTAGTAATTCAAATTTGTAACATTTGCTATTTGCAGCTATTCCATTGAGAAGCTGACAGCCAAGAAAGTCTTCTCTGTGACTTTGAGTCTCACGTTGTGCATTGATGACACCTGCACCATGAACCCAATACTTGACCACGTCTGGGTTCCTATACCCCTGTGTAACACTAATGCTACATCATTCACCTTGCCTGGTGATGGCACAGTGGAGGGATTCATACGAGAGCTAGGCGGTCGCATCGGAAACTCTGCCATTGACCTGGTGCTGGAGAAGTTTGGCCTGAGTGTGAGTGTGCATAGTTTGAATCAGTTGTCGCATTGGCTTTAAACCACTGTCCTATCCAAGGTTACTGGTAAATCTCTTTCATAAAATACTATAAAGGAATTGCAAAGATTGTGGGTAGCGTGCCGCCATGATCAGATTGAATTGACTGGAATGGAGGATCTATGAGGGTATAAGGGGGTTAACCCCTCCCCCTTGGGGCGCGCAAAAAAATATTTTAAAAACGGCGAGTCCAAAATCCGTCACACATAATCCTCACGTCCCCTTAAATATGCCTCAGAATGCAAAGCACCTCTAACAGGGGTGCATGACTTCAGTAAGGGAATAAATGTGTGCTTGGCCGGTTTTAAACACTCTGTTGCAGACTGGTTGGAGTCTGGATGCTGATAATTACCCTAATGAAGGCAAGGGTAATTATCAGCATCCAGAAACCAGCTGGTCTTATACAGAGTGTTTAATACTGGCCAAGCACATATTTATTCCCATTCATAAATACCTTTTCGAAAGAACCCTATAGCTGTATTAAGGTAGTGTCCATGTCGTAAACAACTCCTTATATGGAGATTGTTGTGCACGTCCCGTGTTATGCACGATATCGCACAGACCGCAGCTGTGCCTGTGTAGTGTGAATTTAGGACTACGAAATACTGACTCACTGGTAGTGGTGCGCATGCCTGTGTGTGCATTGTGAAAGTTCCACCAATAAAATGGTAACTAAAAGGCACCGGATTTCAAAGGACTCCAAATTTCATGTGACATTGGAAAAGTGTTTAAGACCAGCCAGCCGGTCTTTATCAACCGTTGAAAACCGGTCATGTGACCAATGGCTCTCGACCAATGGGAATGGGTAAACTGTTTTAGGTATGAATACTCAATCATAGCTTAACCCTTGCTCCCTTGAGCACAACCTGGATCTGTCCCTGTATCTGGTTAGTGGAGGGAGAAATGCAATCTTCACACAGATTGGCACAACACAATATGGTTACTTTGCTTCATATAATACACCCACCTGCAGCTTTTTTTCAGTCTCCAATTTGGGCGATTCACAGTGCAGTGCGCCAACAAGAGTTTGCCATGGAGAGTCCATTTTTCAAGTTTACTGTCGACAAAACATGAACAATTTGAATGAGTGTCGGTAGACAACTTGAGCTAATTTGTTATAGATTTGGGCATAGCGTTCTGCCGCCTTACAAAAAAACCCACCATATTGATAAAAAGAAAACAAAAGGGTAAACAGATACTCGAATCATACGCTTACAAAACTACTGACCGGAAAAACTAACAATTTCAAATGTCCCGCGCTGCGAATTTGTCGACCATCTCCCACAATGCACTGGGAAAAATGAACTCTCCGTGGCAAACTCTTGGTGGCGCACTGCATTGTGAATCATCCGAATTGTAATTTCAACATACTGACAACAGTTTTATCTAAATACATGTTGTAAAGTGAGTGTAATCTCTTTCTGCTCTTAACCCCACTGCAGCAATATCTGCAGAGTGTGCCTTGTGACAGGGGAACACCAGGCACTTTGAGGAGTGGTAAGTTTGATGCGGTTATTTGCCAGTAGTAGTTAAATACCTACAATGTGCCAAATAAGAGCAGGACTTTGAAGTGAAGAACAAACCTTGTTCAAAAACACGGCACTGGACGTTTTTCCTCCATTCAGACTTTTATACCGTGAAAGACCCCTGACGTGTTGACATTTGCTAGTGTTGTGTACCATACAAATTTGTACAGAATTTTAGGTTACAATAAAGTTTAATTTACTAATTTTGTAATGTTCCTCTCTGAACCTGCTGTATATTGTGACTTAGCTGTGTTTGTTCTTTATAATGTCTTTTAATTTCTGTCAGCGTCTCCAAATCTAACCTGTACATTGTGTACATTGTCACGGTCCAGCTTGTCAGGCATTTGGTGTCACCCAGCTTCCTGTCTTCCTCACATGCAGTGTCACCTATTACAGGCTGAATTGGCACTGTCACTGTCATTTGATATACTTGTAATTGATTCTCTTTCTTCAAGGCTGTTCAGTCATTGATGTCACCCAGCTTCCTGACTTCCTCACATGCAATGTCACGTATTATATCCTGAATCGTCACTGTCAATGTCATTTGTAACATTTGTAATTGTTTCTCTTTCTTCAAGGCTGTCCAGCCGTTGATGTCACCCAGCTTCCTGACTTTCTCACATGCAATGTCACCTATTACAGGCTGAATTATCACTGTCACTGTCATTTGTAATATTTATAATTGATTCTCTTTCTTCAAGGCTGTCCAGCCGTTGATGTCACCCAGCTTCCTGACTTCCTCACATGTAATGTCACCTGTTACAGGCTGAATTGTCACTGTCACTGTCATTTGTAAAATTTGTAATTGATTCTGTTTCTTCACGGCTGTCCAACCATTGATGTCACCCAGCTCCCTGACTTCCTCACATGCAATGTCACTTATTACAGGCTGAATCGTCAACTGTCACTGTCATTTGATATATTTGTATTTGATTCTCTTTCTTCAAGGCTGTCCAGCCGTTGATGTCACCCAGCTGCCTGACTTCCTTTCTTGCACTGTCACTGACTCGTGCCTGGGCATCAGATGCTGTCTGGAGATGGACTTGAAGATAACGACTCGCAGCGTCAGTGCCTGGGTCATCCTGGATCCCTGCAACTTCACCCTGTCTGTGGGCTTTGAGAAGTGGGAACGTAGTGTCACCTTGTTCCACTACCCACTGGGTGATGTCATGGAGGAAGTTGTGAATAGTGTCCTGACTGTAAGGTATGACAACAGAGACATTTTTTAACACCCGAGAGGCACATAGCACTCAAGGCGAAGTTGAGGGTGCTATGTGGGGGTTAAAAACGGCATGTCCCATATCACAGCAGTCAACAATTGATTTGTGCCAATAACTCAAAAATATAAATGGTTGTAACTTACTGTGTGAGAATCAAATTAAATCACTGCGATGTAACCTTTGATAACTGAAGGTTTTGATGTCCTGATGGACATAAGACTGAGCGTTTGATGTTGCAGTTCTCATTGCACAAAGCTAGCCAGCAGGTTCCACACACATGCGCAATGCGCGCAATGAACACAGTGCGATATCACCCTCAGTGTGTGAGATGCACTTTTATTGTCCAGATACGTGACCACCCTGAACCAATGAAATCAAAGTGTCCAAGCACACGATATAACATCAGTGGTTGAAGCTAGGACTAGTGCAAGATGATGATGACATGGCAATTAGTTGATTACTAAAGAAAATGGCAATTAATGTATAATCTAATCAATCGCAAAGTTGTTGGCAGTTGATACTTTGCTTCAACTTGAACACTCTGGTGACAGTTCCTAATAGTGGTGTGCATCGCAACCGGGTACCTGAGAAACCGGACCGCTGGTGTATAAGGATCGGGTACCCGTAACCAACTTTAAAAATTACTTAGTTACTTCCCAGACAATGAAAATGAAAGGTTGTGAATGCCATTTTTGAGAATTTTCAAAATTAAACCAGGCTACATTGAAAATCAAATAAGATTTCACGTTTATGTGCATTTTAACATGCAAAAGATGATGCTTGCGAAAGTTGCAGTTTACACCGTTAACCTAGAAAGCCCTTCAGACAATTTCTAGAATTTGAATTTTAGGGTTGGGTTTCTCTTCCGGGTACCCGTTTACACGTGATTTAATTCAGTCGGGTACCCGGTTGCTGTACTACCCGTAATTGCACACCACTAGTTCCTAATAGTTTAACATTGTTACATTTCTTGACTGTGTAATTTGCATTTCAACACGTAGATGGCGAGTGGCTAAGATCACCGAAGACAAGCAGTTTGAGATAGACTTGTCCCTAGTCCTCTGTGTAGATGGAGCATGTGACACCTTGACAGTGTTTGCTGGCAGTCGTCTGCCCATACCGCTGTGTAACACCGAAGATGCATTCACTCTGCCTGGTACGTTTACAGCTCACTTCTATGGCCAATGACTTTGGGATGTTGTGATATATTGACATTGGTCAGAAGTAAAGTTCACATATTGCATTGTGATGCCAAGTCACTTGCAACAGTTTCAATTTATATTTGTTGCTTTTTAGTGATTACTTTCCAAACTTCGTTTCAGTATAACTGAGAAGGAATTACTAAGATCGTATGGTACATTTGAATAGCTTGTGACTTGATCTGGAAATACATGTACAACACTGCCTACACGTACACATACAGTGGAACGTCGCTATACCGAACACTGGTATACCGAACATTCGGCTATACCGAACATCGTCCTTGGCTCCCGATTTTTGTGTACAACATTTACCGAACATTGTTGTTGACAATTGTCAACATAAGAGTGACAAGTGGCTATTATTCCCTCAAGGAATATAAGTGAAGAGCCACCCATTGCTGTAGGTGCAAGCTCAAAAACTGTGTAATTACATAATTCAGTAGTTGGCACGTGTTCAAAGTCGTCTTTCAGTAACTACCAGGGCGTGCAGGGTGAAGTTCTGCAGAGCGCTATTTGTTGAAAAGTGAATACTGGAGCACCAGCAGCTTAAAATCGCTATACCGAACGATTGCTATTACGAACAATTTCTGTGGATCCTGCGATGTTCGTTATAGCGGCGTTTCACTGTAGTACACATGGTCGTACATACTGGTTCTTGTGGGGAAGACCTTTCCCCCCCCCCTTATTGTTCTCCTTTGTTCCAATTGAAATCTTTAACTCTATAGCGTTAACCTTATGGGGCAGATACATTTCTAAAGACTTCCTTGTGGGGTCTATTATTCTATTGTGTTTACTGTCCCATAAGGAACCATGATCTGATACACTGTGCCCTCTGGAGACATGCACACAATGGGGAACAAACGATTGTATACGTCTCCACAGGACAATTTCTATAGATGAATACGTCTCCACAAGGTTTTCACGAAATAAATATATGGATTTTACTCAAAAGCTAGGAATTTCCAAGGTGGGTTGATTGGTTGCAAATGAAAGAGTTTTAGAAAAGGGATATTAAGTCCGAATTTCAGCCAAGGAAATTAATTCTGGTTAAAATGAGAGCATTTTGAAACGACACTTTCAAACTCGAAAACTTAACTACACGAGAACAAAGAAATGTCTCCACGAGGATACAAATTTCAGTATGTGTGTACATGAACCTTGACTCTCATGTTAAGAAGTTTCTGACGCCTGTGTAACATTTTGCAACCTTTTTCCACTTCTCAGGTGATGGCTCAGTGTCAGGCTTTGTGAGTTACCTTGGTGGTAATGTTGGTCAGTTTGCCATAGATGCAGCCCTGCGTCATCTTAATCTGACTGGCTTTCTGACAGGAAACGCATGCAGCTTTGACACACAGGGTATGTACAGCTAAACGCATTTAGAACATAACAGGTGCAAGAAAGTTCTCAATTACAAAATTAACTGTGATCATTTTCTTATTTAGAGGTGATTTTAGATAACTCTATATGGAATCAGTACAAAACCAGTCGAAAGTCACACGGCCATATATGAGATACTGCCAGATAATTTAACACCCAAGGGATGCGTAGCACCCGAGGCAAAGCCATCAACAATTGTGTTGTTATATCATGGCAATAAGTCAAAAAGATGAAGGTTTGAACTCACTGTTCCAGAAATAAATTAATCACTGCAGTGTAACCTTTTGATGACTGTTTTTCGGACTTCAAAAATGGGGACAGTTAGCTAGCTGTAAATCTTGCATACATCTGGAGGTATCCCTCCTGGTGTATGCAAGTGATATGCATGGTATGTACAGGTCTGAAGCCCGCCTCCTGAATTGAAAATCACAACAGTGATGTTTGCCCGCAACCAGCCTATTGCAAAATGGCAATAGGCTGCGCCATGAATGTACAATTTCAGAGGTGATGATCGAGCTTCAATATTTGCTGATTTCCAAATTGTCTCTAGCAAATATTAATAAAGAGGGAGAAAATGCTGTTCAGTATTTAAAACCTATGCGGTTGAAATGCCTGAAAATTACCTTCCTGGTCTGAGACACGGATGATTTTGCATACTTTTTGAGGTAAGACAAGAGTGACTTTTTTTTTATAATCGTGTGTTCAATCACCATCCATGCACAGAGCTAAACGGCGATTTGAAAATTAACAATCATGATGTGCACGCAGGGGTGATCCAATCAATGACTTTAAGTGGAAGCTAGCTATCGGGTCCAATATTTTCAGAGGGCTGGGAAACAGTCTGTTTGCGTATGTTCACAACGGGAACATGTAGCATGGCAGTAGAGAGGTGCACTTGTTGTCACCCTCGTGCCCAGTGTGCGGGTTGGAATGGATCGGTCACTTGTTTGTCTTTCTCTCTAGATGTCTGTGCCAGCTCCACTAGTATCCTAGGCAACTGCACTGTGATTGGTGAGACCTGTACAGAGCTCCGATGCTGCCTGGAACTGGACCTGAAGATAGCTGAAGTTTCCGCCACGGCATCATTCAAGTTTGATCCCTGTGACTTCACCTTCAAATTGGGTCTGGAGAAGTGGTCCTTCCATGGCTCTGTCTTTAGCTATCAGTGGGGTAAGAGCCTGCTGAGTCTTTGGTCATATAAGCCTCCGTACTGATGAAATCACACTTTAATTCGTCACCGACACCACGAAGTAACACTCCACGTGTTAAACCAAATTTTTTTCGATTTTCATTTTTTTAACATTTTTAAACATTATTCATCAAGGCCTACCATTGCACATAGTTTCAAAGCTTCAAGAGCTTTACTTTAAAAATTACTCTAGTTATCCATGGCAACTTTTGCACAAAAGTGACAATTTTCGTTTTCACGAAGTAACGTTCAAGTTCCATTTACCATTGCAATGCATGGCGCGCACTCTGCTCAAATGTGAGCAATAACGTTTTTACGAAGTAACACTCTACTTGTTTGAGCCTGCGCGCGCTGACCTGAAGTTGCACTTTCCTCGTGATGTATACATTGAAGAGTGTTACTTTGTGAAAACGAAAATCTACAGTTTCGCAGCTTTTCCGGTTTGACGAACTAACACTCACCTTTTTTCTCTTATTTCTTGTTGAGTTAATACACAAACGGGTGAAAAACAGCAGATTTAATAAATTCAATTCATCATGTGTCCACAACGAGAAACCCAACTGAAAATACTCTGCCGTTTTGACGCAAAGTGTTGTTTTAGAAGGTGCTCAACTTTAGATGCCGTTTTCTCCGATTGCTAGTTTTTACTGGTATGTACATGGGTGTTACTTCATGGTGTTGCTGACGAATTGTTTACTTGTGCGCTTTTCTATTGGGCTACGAAACCGTCATCTCCACCAGGCTACCATAAGAAAGCACACGTGTAAACAAAGTATGACATCATAAGTACACCGGCTTATTCAAAGAGTGCTTTAGGAGGGTGTCAATAAAAGGGGCTGGCAAATCACATAAGGGATTGATGTCCACTACCGAGTCAGAGTACCTTTGAAAATTGATAACGATAACCGTCAATTAGGCGGCGTAGATATTTAATGGAAGAGGTGAGTGGGCCTTGTTCACGCGTTGGCCATTTTTGTTGAGTTCCCTGAACATATATCATTAATTCTTAACTGTTGAATGGGATGGCGCCAGACTATTTTTACAGACATAATACAGCCTTTTTTTACTGTCTTTTTTCTTAATCTGGCTTTAAACATTAGGGAACGTTTAATTACAAATGATAAATTATTCATTTAAATTATTCATTGAAACAGCTTGGAATCCCTACACAAGTTCCAAAAATGAAGATTTTACCTCACTCTCAATCCAGTATGGCCGATTCGTGAATAAGGCCCATATTGAAAATTTTGGAAATAAAGTTCATTTTTACAGATTTAAAGAAAACCCTATATTTTTATATCCAGTTTGGATAATGAAAATGAAATTTAAGATTTCAAATTAAAATACAAATGCAACCTGAAAGGCTTTATTTCAATAAGTCACTTGCAGGTTAAATTTGAAAAATTTGGAACGCTGACTTAATCCAATGCTTTGCACGTTTTAACTGTGCATTCTCCCAATCAAAGAGACTGTTACTATATCACATGATTCGGGGCAAGCCTTACGCTAGCAACCCCCAGCTCCAGCATGGTCTGGTGTCTTTGTGCCATTCTCACCCATTGTGAACAATGTATTAGTGCTGAGTGTCTCTTACGTAACTATGCATGAGCTTGCCCCAAAATCATGTGATTAGCAACTGTCTCTTTGGACTGGAGAATTCAAAGTTAATATATGCCAAGCATTCTGAGCAAGTCAGTGTACCAGATGTTTTCAAAGTTAAATCCCAAAGGGTATAGGTGACTCGCAAATGGCTTATTCTGTAAATATTTTGTATTCTGAACCCCGGTTGTCCTTGTTGTGCCCTCCCATCCTGTACATCCATGGCTGTGTGAGGTATTTTGGTACTGAATTTAATTTTTGTGAAAGTAATCATGTCAAAATTAAGAATTAACAGATGCTGGAGCATGATATTGATACTTTTTTAATTGTAGGAGAAGAGATGACTGTCGCAATTGCTTCAGGAATGAATCTGAGGTAAGAGATGAAAAATCTACGTCTTGAGCACTGCATAGTCACTAGCTTGTTGCTTGTGACATTTTCTCTTGGTTCTTGCTTCTTGGTTGGTTCATCTTCTAGAGACACCGGGGCAAACCCCTTCTCTTAGCGATAAGTGTCACTGGGTTCTTTCACGTGCATTGGATTACACAACACACGGGTCCTACAGCTTTACGTCCCATATGGATTCCTTTGGGGAACTAACCCAATGGGCAGGTTTTCATGTGCAACCTCTATGAGAGAACACGGCGAAAATAGGCCCTTTTTTTCGCATCTGTCGCCGCCACTACATTATGCGACAGAGTATACCTTCGTTCTTACTACAGTATGACCCTAACAATATATTCTCTCAGAAAATGAAACAAAACTTGAATAAAACACTGATCTTTCCTCGTCAAAATTATGTTCAACACTGCATTTTTAGTTAAAAATCTCCCAGTTTTGTGTGTAAACCTTGCGTTTGGCCAAGAATTGGTCCATTATATCATCACAATGTTCAATAGCGCCACCTGGGAGCTTAGTTCTCTTAAGTCATTTGTCTTCGTCTCGCCAGCTTTCTAACGATACTTATTGTGATTGGTTCAGGTTAAGGCTCGCCCATAATCATTTCCAAAAGACTTGTTTATCTAAACTCCAATAAAATTTGCTGTTGCTCATGGCTGAGTGCATAGGGTCTGTTTATTGTACATGTGCACACACACAGCACATACACACAGAGCCTGAGAGCTCTTATCTCTATGTCCAAGGTCAGCTGCTGTACTGCGCTTTTGACCAGTTTACATGGGGTCCTGTTGACCACAAAGGTTTTGATATGCATCTGAAGGAGGAAGCAATAATGGTTAAGTGCCTTGCTCAAGGGCACAAGTGGGCTCGAACCCACGCCACCGTTGCCTCTGAAACACCAGAGCATGAGTCCGGTGCTCTTGACTGCTAGGCCATCTGAGGTCACGACATCACTGAGTAAATGTTGAAATTATCAATGGTGTGGTGTGACAAAAAGCCACGATCCCTATTGAATATGGTGTAGTCTATGAATAATTTTTTTGTTGTGTAGCTTTAGCTATGGACATTCCTGAGGGATTGGAACTTCATTATGGTCAAAATGTAAACCGCCCAAGAGTTGTGACTCCTTCTGTGTCCTTTCTCTATAGTCTTAGTGACTGTCCAGTTTGTCTAATGTGTATGTACTGCTCTGGTACATAGCTGACAGGTGATTGCATAAATCACATTGCTAGAAGTACAGCTGAATGATCCTTTTGATGTTGTATGTCACATTGTTGGGTCCGGTGATATAGGTACTGGAATTTTTGTGGGGTAAAGTTGACATCTTGTCCAGGAGGACAAATGTACTTCTGACAAGTTTGGCTCAAAGATTGGGGGATTGTCTGTTTTCTTTGTAGATGTGTCTGAGAGTGTCGTTATCCTGGAGGATTAGATTAAGTTCATTAATTTTGTGTCATACTTGTATTCCAAATCCAAGAATAATAGTTGGAGATTGGCTAGCTGGTTGTCAAGATCCTCTGGGTCAGAGCAAGATGAAATAATCGCGACTGAGCACAAACTCTGCAAGTTGGTAGATTGTAGCACTGCTGTTGTTATCTGAAATGATGTTTCGGAGGGCTTGTAGTCTGTCAGCATGCAGAATATTGAGTAAATATGTAAAAGTAATTTCATCAGCAAAGATTAAAAAAGAGATATTAAATCAGTGTTAGTAGGTGTGGCTTCAGGTATAAACACACAAGCAAGGTTTTGATTAGGGTATGACTATATCTCCCCTTCCAGATACTCTATCAACAAGCCGAATGATACTCAAGAGTTCAAGTTGGGCATCAAGCTTGATTATTGCATTGATGGGTTGTGCAGTAAGAACGACATAACGCGTGACATCCCAATCCCTGTATGCAACCCACTCTTCAGCAGTTACAGTCTATCCGGTGAGTTTACAGACAGGTGTCTCATGGGCACCTATTCTAAGGGATTAAACTATTGTTGCCTTTTATCGTCTATGATTGTCTGTTGGAGATTAGTGCGGGCGTTGCGTGAACTGGTTAAGCCTATCCCTGTTGATATTGGTAATGTTCTTCAAGGCCCTTTTATCCAGAGTAAGGTCTGTTATTTCACAGTTCACTTGGCACGTTATTACATACACCTAGACAAAATGACAGTTTCAAACTCAGTTTAAATGGCTGGAATTTCAATAAGATGTGACTAGCAAAAGGCACATTCAACATCTCACTGTCCGCATCCTCACAACACAATGCAATTTTAAATTTGTTATTATCTTTGGTGTTTTCTTTCTCCAGTGGACGGCTTCATAGAGACAGTATCAGGACAGGTCATCCAGGGAGCATCGCTAGCCCTTCTATCACAGCTTGGAATCGACCCAGACTTCTTCAGCAGTCAACCGTGTCTCAACCCCATGGGGCCTCAGTCTTATGGCAGTAGGTTTCTTGTAATCTATTCCTAATACAACATTTGATGAAGCAGGCCCGGATCCCCACCCCCACTTTATCTCCGTTTTTAGTAGCATGAAATGACTGAGAACATTTCTATTCCCTTGAATGGGATGCTAGTCCATCGCAGGTTACTCCCCAGCTAATACCGGAACCCATTTATACTCCTGGGTGGAGAGAGGCAAATGGGGGTGCACTGGCTTGCCCAAGGACACAACATATGAGCAGCAGCTGGATTCGAACCCGTGACCCTCTGATCATGAGTTACATGTACAAACCCTAACCACTAGGCCACACTTGTCTCCAAATGGTGCATATGTGCCCCTGAGAATCTATACAGTAATACACTAAGCTTCTAGCTTTGTCTGGCAAAATCTGCCTAGATGTGAACCTTAGACCACTCAATCAAATGTTACGGTGTAACCTCATTTCATTTCAGATTGTCCCAGCATGCAGTTTTCCAGTAGCCTGACCTCCCTGGCTCACTGTGGCTTTGGCATACATCGTGAACCTTGTATCATTCAATCAAATGTTACAGTGTAACTGCATGTCATTTCAGATTGTCCTAGTATGCAGTTCCCAGTAACCTGACCCCTTGGCTCACTGTGGCATCCTCAGCACTTGCTTTGGCATACAGTGCTGCCTGGATGTGAACCTTAGACCACACAATCATATGTTACAGTGTGACCGCATTTCATTTCAGATTGTCCCAGCATGCAGTTTTCCAGTAGCCTGACCTCCCTGGCTCACTGTGGCTTTGGCATACATCGTGAACCTTGTATCATTCAATCAAATGTTACAGTGTAACTGCATGTCATTTCAGATTGTCCTAGTATGCAGTTCCCAGTAACCTGACCCCTTGGCTCACTGTGGCATCCTCAGCACTTGCTTTGGCATACAATGCTGCCTGGATGTGAACCTTGGACCATTCAATCAAATATTACAGTGCAACCCCATGTTATTCAAGATGTCCTAGTATGCAGTTTCCCAGTAATCTGACCTCCCTGGCACACTGTGGCCTCCACAACTTTTGATTTGGCATAAAATGCTGCCTGTATGTGAACCTAATTGGACCATTCAATCAAATGTTACAGTGTAACCGCATTTCATTTCAGATTGTCGTAGTATGCAGCTCCCAGTAACCTGACCTCCCTGGCTCACTGTGGCATCCTCAATACTTGCTTTGGCATACAATAATTACTGGATGTGAACCTTGGACTATTCAATCAAATGTTACAATGTAACCTCATTTTCTTCCAGATTGTCCCAGCATGCAGTTTCCCAGTAACATGACCTCTCTGGCTCACTGTGTTATCCTCGACACTTGCTTTGGCATACAATGCTGCCTGGAAGTGAACCTTGGACCGTTACATCATTCATTCAGTACCTCTATGGTGATAGATCCATGCCTGGGCCAGCTGACGCTGCAGTTTGGCAACTGGCAGTACAGTAAATCCCTCTCACACCTGGATTTTGATACAAGTCAGGAGATCACTATTGGAAACTTTGTTATGCTCAGGTAGACTGTTTTAACTCTTCAAGAATCCATTAGGCCCCGCCCACTCGGTATGTGGTGAACAACAGGTGCGCCTGTCTAATGCCACATAACATTTGCCAGCCATGTGCTTCATTCACAAATGCCTTCTGTCAGAACTATATATGAATATATATATATATACCGATATGAAGTATTCCAAATGCATGAGGAATGCAAATAATAGAAGACACATTCACTGCATAAAGGTCCATTGATATCATCATTAGGACCATATCCTTTGAATGGGATTTTCAAGCTGTGTGCTCTGTGTATGAGATTATGGGCCCCCAATGGAAATAATCCCCGGTTCAGACTGATATGTTCCAGAGTCATGTTGAACTCAATAGTTTAGAAGTGAGTGCAGGCGACCCAAATAGATTTTGGGTTCAGGCAGGCAGGCAGGCAAAATGAGTACACTGAAGAATAGTCTACAAACATATGAACACACAATCTTAGTAAGGCCAAAAAAAAAAGTCTCTGGTATGCGCGCGCGTTGCCGTAGCCATGCGCGTCGGCAAAATGAAAAAGGTTTTTTTTCAATAAAAGATGATGTTTCAAAACCGCCAAACTCACTGGTTTGACTGGAATCCTGCTGCTGCACAATTTTAACGTGTTTTAGATATGAAAAAAAGTAAAACTGCTGCAAACTGCTTACTGACTGGATGGACCTGAAATATATAAATCTTAAAATTAATGTGGCCTGACGTTGCGAACTTAGCAAGTTCTTCTTCAGAGGCTACAACAGAAATGACAGAGGTACATACATTAACATGGGGGTGCACACAAACCAAAAGAAGGAACAGAACAAAACACAATGAAACTTACATGTCAGCAAGGAGGATCACCATGAAGGGATACTGCAACAGAGAAGTTGAAACATGAAAAAAAGTAAAACTGCTGCAAACTGCTTACTGACTGGATGGACCTGAAATATATAAATCTTAAAATTAATGTGGCCTGACGTTGTGAACTTAGCAAGTTCTTCTTCAGAGGCTAAAACAGAAATGACAGAGGTACATACATTAACATGGGGGTGCACACAAACCAAAAGAAGGAACAGATAGATATGGTTATGATCGAGAATAAGCTTTATGTGGCCTCTCTGGACTCCCATATATTTGCACTAAGTTTAGTCGGGCACCATTTGCAGTCATCAGCCGACATTTGAAGCAAAAAAAAAAAAAAAGCCGCGTCGCCGCACCACTTTTTGGGCAAGCTCCATACCAGAAACCAGAGACTTTTTTCTTTTGGCCTAACCATAATTATAGACATCTTAACAAAACTTAGACCTGGCATTTTTCCAAAATTATCGATATCAAAACGCTGCATACTATAACTGCCATGCTACGCAAACATACATTGTAGGCGCAAGAACGTGCAAGGGGACGGTCGCACGATGTGCGCACGTTAGTTATGAGCAGACTGGGAATTTGCGTAAAATGACGGTTATAGGACGTAGCGTTTTGATATCAAAAACGCACATTGTAAAAGCATCCAAATGTCGGGGGTCTGTTATGGCGGTCATAACCAAAAACTGGGCAACTTTGGTTGTGACTGCCAAAACATTCCCCAGGTCTAGGTTTTTTTTTAAGATGGCTATGTTGGCAACAAGCCAGCATTTTGGGATTTGTCGTACGGTTAATAATAATTCACAAACATTTGCATACATTTGCATACATTTGCATTGAGTTCGGCTCGTGACTAGAGTGACGTCTGAAAGTCACTCCTCCTTCTGAAGGACTGACGGTCGATTTTGCACCATCTAGCACGTCTAGTCACTCCTAATAAGCCTTTTCGGAGTTCCAACTGCGCGCATTCGACACTTGTGACAACGCACATTGTTTGTCTCAAATGCCCTTTGACAGTAGGCCTACCCACAATGCACAAACAGCCTTTTTGTAAAGTCAGTGGCGCAATGATGTCAAAGGCCATTTGAGACTAATAATGCGCATTGTCACAGGTTATGAATACGCAGTTGGAACTCCGAAAAGGCTTATTGTTTCAGACATCAGATTTTTCATTTACTTCATTTAAATCTTGACTGAATTTAGTTTTGCTCGGCTCTTGAACGCCAGTCTAAACTGGGAGTTAGCCTCTACATTTGGCTCTAGGGGCTATCCCAAATGAAATCAGCTGTTCTTTGTTTTATTATCTTTGTACATGTATTATGCGTAGTGTAAGTTGTAAGTCTCTAGCACTCTGTAAGAGCCTTTTTGAGTACCAACATTTATACTATCATTACCGTAACTTTTTTCACTAGCCAGCCGGGCTTCTAAAAGCAGACTCTTAACTAGCCCGCGGGCATTTTCACTAGCCCGCATGATTTGCTTTGATAGAGTCAATAGTACCATCAAACAAAAATGTTATTCTAACAAGATATTTCCTTTTTGCTATGTGTTTGCCAATGCAGGTACACCTTGGAGCTCATGGATGGTGAGATATCAATGAGTCTGTCCATAGATGCATGCATCGATGGTCAATGTACAGGACAACTCATGATCTTAGATACTGCAGTATCCCCTCTTCCTATGTGCTTCCCCAACGGAACCATATCCTGGAATAATCTACCAGGTAAGGCTCAATTGCCTTCATGGAGTGTTTATTTGAATTCCACTGGTTGTTGGAGTGGAAAAGTTGATTATGATTTAGGGAATAACAGGAATTGAAATTAACAAATACCTTTTTAACAAAATATACAATTAAAATGCTCGAATTTTTTCGACTTTTCTTTCGGCTGTATTTCCAGACTTTTTGTGTTAATGTTGAGGGGCCATATTTTAGCTAAAATGCATGTGATATGCTACCCTGTCTATTCAGTGCATTGTTATTTGTCTTCATTGCATTATGACTGACGTCCAGGGCATGAAGTTCTGCTGCCATATCAAAACAAATTACAACAAATTTAGACATAATAGTTACCTTTCTGATTTTGTTAAGCATGATGTAGCTTGCGAGGTCGTCACGACCTCTTCATTCAGCATTGTGGCATAATCCCTCCGCTCACCTGACCACCTTAGGGGCAGTCACGTGAGAGCAGATCGTCATAGATGGCGGGCAGGTCGTACCCAGCATCCCTGTTGAGTGTTGGGTTCTGGGTCTTGATCTCTATGGCCTCCCTGATGAGGAGGTCATAGAACTCATGATCCAGGCGCGGTTCTACGGGGGGGCTAGGGGGGGCTGTAGCCCCCCTAAAATTTTGTCTAGCCCCCCCAAAATAAATTCCGTAAAAAAAAAATTGCATTAGCAAAAAGAAGGATTGTGATGTACATGCGAACGGTCTCCCCCTAAAGAAGAAATAGCCGTGACAAGGGTGCATTAGTTAATATAGTGCAAGGGCGGATCCAGGAGGGGGGGCCAAAGGGGGCCATGGCCCCCCCCCCCCAAAAAAAACGAAACCAATTTTTTTTTTTTATGTGACATCGCAATAAAGGCAGGCAATGAGTACACCACCATCTTTTCTTCAAAAACAATTGGTTAAACTGGTCAGAAATTGCCTCAGATCGCACCACAGAGCATCTAGAATCCAAAAATTGTTCGGGGCCCTTAAGCTGGCCCCGAACTCCACGCCGTAATTTTTTGGACCCACTTTTTTGGGGGGACCAAAAATTGTTTGGCCCCCCAAAAAAATTGTGTTCTGGATCCGCCCTTGCTATAGTGTGAATGATTATAGGATTTTATTGGCGCTCCCCATTCATATGGCATGAGTCCCCCCCACCCCCCCCCCACCTATTGATTTTCGGAGGCCTAAGTGTCTGGAAAAAATAACCGTCTACATTTCAGCACGCCTCCCTGAAAAAAAATCTGGATCCACCGTGCTAGCCCCCCAAAAAATATTGGTTCTAGAACCGCGCCTGTCATGATCATGATCAATATAACTCATGATCAAGATTTATGAACGGGAATGTTTAAAACTTGATGAAATTTCACATTTTGTGAAATGTGAGGTAACAATTTTGCTCTAACAAGGCACTAGAGGCGAAAAATCAAAGTGTGCCACGTTGGGGGCCTTGCCACGTTAGGGTACACCAAGAATATATTGATAATGCTTAAGTGAACCTAATAGGACAAGTTGCGTTTGCATGTACATCGGTGGTGGCACCGTGAAGTGACGTATCGTGTTTATCCAGCATCCGTTCCGAAAACCGCAAAACCTTTGCGTGTATACACGTCATCCGACGTGAACTGGTTGATTAGTTTAGCTGATCCATCAAGCATCCATCCGATCCATCGATCCATCATCCATCAAGTATGTTGCTTGAAATATCATCAAAATGCGGTGCAGCTGATGTGTGTTTCGAAAATTTGACTCCCAAAATGCCGATGCACGTGACAATTTGTAGGAAGTGACGTCATTTGAGAGTGACCTATTGAAATGTCAAAGTCCATAGCATTTCCCATATGGGGCAGATATATTTCTAAAGACTTCCTTGGGGTCCATTGTTCTATTGTGTTTGCTATCCCATAAGGAACCCTGTACATGTACTGTTTCATGCGTGTATAGCATGAAGTACGCACGACTTACTTTATTCTGAATGTTCAGAAAGCCATAGCATCTTCGCATGAGCATCAAGCGTCATCAGCAATATGTTCAAATATCTCTCCCAGTGGTCTTTCTCAGCTCTCCCTTTCTCACCGTTGAGGGGGTACTTGTGCACGGAGCCCATTGTTGTAAGCTGAAATTGTGTTTCACTGACATCAAATAATGCATTGTTTATTTATTACTGCTAGGTATAACCTCCATCTCTCAGCTGGGAAGCCTGGATGCTGGATTTGAGGCTGTGGCTCAGGCTCTTGGCTTACCATCTCGTCTAGTCTCGGCCACACCTTGCCCACCTGTGATCCAGCCTAGTCAGTCTGGAGGTAGGGACATTAGTATTGTCCCATGACCTGTATAAGGGCTTTAAGTTAATTTTGAGTGGTATTGGCTAATTGAGGTGCCCATTAGTGGGTTGGTTTCTTCATCACTGGGATGCCCTAAGCATCCAAAGCTTGCCTTGATAAGATTTCACACAATGCCTTCGCTTTCAGTGACATGTGTGAAGTGACATTTTCAAAGCTTTACAAAGCCCTTATGTAACTCAAAATCAGAGAACCATGCGATTGGCACTGGGGAGTGGAAGCCTTCCTGTAAATGTATAGACCATTATCATGTTGCGGCCATCGTGATTTTTTCCCATTCAAATCATTGTAACCAAAGCGAGGCTGGACAGAAAAATAGTCTGGAAAAATAGTCCTTTTTGCACAGAAAACATTATCATTCTTTTCTGTTATTGGACACAGGGAAATGACTGAAATGGTGGCAGTGAGATAAAGATAAGATCTATTAAGCTATCAAGAAATGTCAAAGTAGACCTAATGGCAAAGTGGATTTGTGTTTTCAAGTAGCTATCCTTTTTTCATTACCTGAAAGTCTTATGTTATCAACTGTATCCCCTATAATTATCTTTGTCTGTTTAGAAAAGAGAAAAGGGAGATCTTATTTGCAGTGGGAATCAAGGTGGCCATTTTTAACAAGAAGTATGTTTTAATAATTATTAAACTTCTGACATGAAATTACAAGCTAGACATCTCCCTTGGAGTGAATTAAAAATGGGAAACACTTTAATATCCCAAACACCTAAGTTTACTCACTAGGAGTGGAACTACTAAATGTCAGATGGCCTTTTTCCGAAAACTCCTGGATCTTCCACTCTAAAAGAATCCCCCAAGAGAAGAAAACAAAGAAGTTGTGCAATTTTACCTGTTGTTGTGCAATTTTTAACTTAACAAACTGTTTCAAAATCTTACAATCCTTTTTTTTCTTTTAGCCTGTCCACACTCCAAATTCCTTCAATTTTAATTTCACATTTCCATGAACTGGAATCAGGCCTCATGTTTCTCAGACAGTGAATAAACATTACAAAATTACACTTGTGATTCTCATTCAACTATCGTCAATGTCCCATTTTTCTCTCCTGTTTCCTGTAGTGTGTCCACACCTCCCCTCGCTGCCCACACTTCCATCAGGAGGTGTATGTCACTATTCAGATGCCTGCCTAGGGGTGGAGTGTTGTCTAGCAGTAGACCTCGGCATCATCAGTCGCACCCTGAGGGCTTGGCTGATTGTAGACCCCTGTGATTTCAAACTGAGTGTTGGATTTGAGAACTGGAGTTACAATGTCACCCTTTTAAGGTATGTAGTTTATTTTGTGGAATATTCAATTTAATCCAAACGAAATCATACTCTGTAGAAGGTCAATATTGAAGCCTGCTCTAAGGAAGTTTACTTTTCAAGTACTCCGTTTGTTTTAATGGACCCATTACTGGGTGTGATTGTAATGCAAGAGCTCTGAAATTTCTGCAGTTACAAGTGGGGCAAAGTGACAAGGGAAAGACTGAGTGATGCGGTCTTGCTCACCTTCACCATCGACAAGACCACAGACAACCGTAACTTCCTCCTCTCCTTCTCCCTGCAACTCTGCATCGCTGGAGGCTGTGCTCCTGACATTGTCATCCTTCAGGACTTCACAGCACCAATACCATTCTGTAACCCAAACGGAACTTTGGAGTGGGCTCAAGACTTGGGTAAGGGAAATAACACGATTTATAGAGAGCATTTTCGCAAGTTACAATGCGCGGCTAAGGACAACTCCCAGAGACAAAGTTACAGATTACGTGGAGAGAACAGATAAGTTTTCAATCTACCCTTAAATTTGTCAAGAGAACTGATGTTGCAGATGTTGTGATACTAGCATCGGGGACCAGACATTGGGAAGGCCCTGTCCCCTGCCCTTTTAAACCTGCTTGGAACTCTTAGGTTGTTACAATCCAGCAGGCACGGATCAAGGATTTATGGAAGGGGGATGGGGACCTTTAATGCTCCTGCCCTGGTGGAGTAAATTAATTTTGGAGGAGGTTAAAATGGCTTAATTGTTGGATGCATGAGGGAACTGCACATTGGGTGCGTGTGGAAGCATCTTTAAACTTGTTTGGCCAAAGAATAAGCCAGTTTGGTATCTCGATGAAGTAGTCCAGGTCAAAGGTCATTCAGGATAAATTTGCCGACTTGATGATACGCGATGTTATGCGGATGCCCATTCTGCTTGTATTTAACACGTGAGTGTTGTGCGCCCGTCTCCCTGCGCATTCATGCGCCTTCTATGAGCGTTTGATTATCCCGAATGACCTGTGACCCACATCATTGTGCGCATGCGCAGTTGAAATACCGAACTGGCTTATTGTGATCAAAAATAATTTCAGTACCCCCTTGACCACCCTGAATTTGCCTCTGTCTTGCAAATCAAACTTAATTTTGTGACAATTGTTTTAAATTGTTATAATTCACCTAGTCAGTTTTCCTATGTGGTTCATTTGAAAATTAATTTTGTGACCATAGAAAAGGCTTGTGATGTTTATGCAATCTAACACAGAATTTTATCACTATTTCTGAGTAGGTGATATCGGAGATTATGCTAGTAGCCTTGTGGTGAACCGTCTGAGTGTCAGCGCTGATGTTCTCCTACCTCAACCATGCAGCGGTCCACCAGAGCAAATCACACCAGCAACCACAGGCAAGTTAAGCTCCCAGTAGATTCCCAGTTTCCCCATGTCCAGTTTGAATGTTCGACAGTTTCTCTGGATGATTTGCCCATATTTTTTTCTTATATTTGTTTGGTGGTCGAGTGGTAAGACGTCTACACTAACAAGCAGGAGGTCGTGGGTTTGAGTCCCTCATGAGTGATTTTTCCAGCTTTCACTGGGAGGTAACACGTACACTGAGTATACAGTGTTTATACGTCAGTGAAGGGCAAAACCTAATATTGACCCAATTGTATAGTTTGAGCCAGAAATACAAGGGCAAAATTTTGATCGTTTTAACCATAAATGTTGTAATACGGCATAATTAGTTCCACCCCTTTTTTGCTTTTGTTTTTAAACAGGCTGCAGTTCACTTGCTGTACCATCAGCTGTTGCACCATTCTGTTCCCTGGATCAGTCATGTCTTGGGGTTGGTTGTTGCTTGAACTTTGACCTGGGCATAGTTCAGAGGTCATTTTCTGTCTGGGTCAAGCTGGATCCCTGTGCTCGCACTTTCTCATTTGGATTTGAGAAATGGAGTCATGTTGAGACGATTGACATACAACTACTGCAGAGTGAGAACAATTCCATTGTCAAGCTTTTTGCTTCCAAAGATGCACTTTTTCATTAACATTTTTAATGAGTGGTAACTAATAGTTTAGCAAACACTGATTATATATTAATTGAAACAGTGATATTTATGATCGCCCACTGATTTCCTATGAATATCCTGCTGGAAACGTTTAACAATAGTTGACTGCTGTGATTTTTTTGAATTTTTGTTGTTGTCGTTTTGAACACCTGAGGGGCGCATAGCACCCGAGGCGAATACCTCTGTCTTGGATTCTTTGTATTTTTTGTTAAAAATCACGAAAGCGGACAGCAGTAAACACAACAATCACGACGACAGTGGCGTATCCAGTAGGGGGGGGGGGGGGGGGGCAGGGGGGACACTTTGCCCCCCCCCCCGGCGGATTTTTTTGACAATTTTTTTTGTCAGCAATGATTTGAAGTGTTTATAGAGTTCTTCTGACATCAATCCCACCAAAGAAAACCCGCTCAGCAACCATTACAATGCGCCGTGAAATTGTCCATATAATAATATAGTATACATAATAATGGTAAGTTTTGAAGAGCGCCCCCATTTGGAAGATGGGTATCAGCCCCCCCCCCCCCCAGCTTTTTTATTTTACGGAGGGCAAGTGTCCGGAGAAAAAAACATGTCTACATTTCGGCGCAGATGTGCGGTTGCCCCCCCCCCCCCCCCCCCCCGACATCAAAAGCTGGATACGCTGCTGCATGACGATCAAACATCAATTCACATGCATGTTGCGTGCTCGAAACAGCTGATCGTCTGCTAGTTCACTGCTCCCACTCATGTGTGAAAACACGGTGAAAATAGCGTGGCACCAACGATACGAGCGTTTCACACAATACGTAACGTACGTACAAAGTCATAGCTCCGTGTGGGATATCCCACAGGAAGTGTGCCATGACTTAACACGTGATTGTTTTAGGCCAATGAAAATACGGTATTCAAGACAGAGGTATTTCTCCTGTCTGCCTGTTGTTGTCCTTTTTGGGAAATATTCCTGGCACTTCTGTTGCTCCCTTAACATTCCAACACTTTCAACCTGCATGCATTGACTCTGAGTCTGTTATTATTTTAGTTGGATATATGCAAGTGTTCCCAATGTTGTTTCTGTTCAAAGTGAACTTTTTCCAAAGAGAATCTTTCAGCCGGAACTTGCATATTGGTTTGAGATCCCTGCTAGAATTTTATGACTAGCTTTATGGTTATTTTGTTTCTTTTCTCCCCAGCTCATTCCTTTGAGAAAAACCTGGGAGTTCTGAAGATCAGGTAAGGTCAATCATCCCTAGGTTTTGTAAAAGAAGGCAGGTATACGTGCAATGAAGATGGGGAGTTGTCTGTACACAGTTGCAACATTCATGGCAGACCTGAGTGTCAAAATGCTTGAGATAAGATTAGCCTTTTTTAAGGGAATCACAAGCTTGAAAATGGGAGTTGGTCTGTGTGCATGGTAACAGATTACATTTAGATTCAACAGATGTGTCTCTGCAGCAGCTGCTCAAAAGCTAGGTTTCGCTCACCTGTGCTCTTTGTACAAACTTGATTTGTGATGTAGTGTTAGAGTTTAAAGATTGATTATTTTTATCACACGAGCGCTAGTGGGACACAGAATAATGTAATACGTCTGTGGCCCACAAGCCTAAGGCTGGTTGGGATTACAAATATATCTTGAAGCAAACATGATACACAGTAGAGATGCAACCTGCATGCTGTAATCACTTTTCAGTGGTCATCCAGTTACACACATGCAAACACACAGTTGTGAATTTCTATATGCCCTAGGACAATGCTTTGTGTTTCCCTTTGTCCCTGTAATATGTGACCAGCTCCACAAAAAAGAGTATTATGTCGCAAAAAGGTTATATTGAGTTATATACATGGTTGGAAAACCCACAATATAAGCTTTCATTTCGTATATAACAGAGCTCCATACCCCTCCCATCCTGGAGATATGACACATTCGCATATTAATTACTTCCTTGGAGCTCAAATTACACAACTGAGAAAACAGGCTTTGAAATAGCTGGCTTTGTTGTAGAACAACAGAACGATGCACACAAACTGGTTGTTTTCCATTTTGTTCATCAAAATCAACATTTCTGAGAATGAAACCTGACACTGTATGTCTTTAAGGTGTCATTCATGACCAAAAAATTAAAATCACATTTGACGAAATTTTCACCCTCTCAGTGTTGAGCGGGCCATTACCCAATAATGCTCAGTGCTACTTAATACCCTTTTTTGTGAAGCCGGTCACATATAACACTCTCCCATAGACTAAGCACATAACCATATGATCGAGGACCGTTTTCAGTAAAAGACCCATCGCTCGAGGACTGAAAGGCTCTTTTGTTCTCCCATTGTGTGTCTGTCCTCCATCGTAAAGCCATACATGTACACGTGCATCTTGGAATAGTTCGATACACAGAGTGCTATATTTACCATGGTATGAGGATAATTTTACACTACTCTTGCCATGGATCGACCAATCAGGATCTAGGATTCTAGTTCGTTTGAAAATAAAAACTTTTTCACACCTGCTGCATGAGTGACAGACTTCATTGCTGACACACTGTAATGTATATATATGCATGACAACAGCATATGCAAAAACAAAGAATCCTTAATGATGCAATACTCAACTGTTGTGATCTCAGCAATAAATATTCTTTCAATGCATTTCAAATTAGCAGCTAATCTGAAGCTCCTAAAGCTAAGCTTTTGTATGACATTACGGACCTTTTGGGGTGTTTTTTTTTTCACCACAAAAAGAAAACCTGGGGCCTTGGATTCCATGCTACATGTAACTTGAAATTTCCTCGACAATTGTCTATGTGCATGTAGGTATGATGTAGAGCGCCCCCACAATACTGTCTATGACGTGGATCTAGACATCAGCTTGTGCTGGCAGGGTGCGTGTGATGAACCCATCGTCATTCTCAGAGATGCAATGTTCTCAGGATCTCATTGTGCTGATCAAGGAGGAGGCAGCAGCACAAGGAGAAAGAGAAGAAGTGTGGACGACCTGTGAGTGGACTTAAAACCCAAAGTTTAATCCAGACTAAGCTCTTTCATTTCAAAACTGTCAGACAAAATGACACATCCCATGAGAGTACGTGTAAGGTTAAAGGTAGAGTAGATCCTTTGAAGCAACTACAGTGCTCGAAATCGAATGGCGGGTGCGTAAGAACTAACTGATGAAATGTTACCTCTGTGAATGCTGTATATGCTGAGAAGACAATATTATGGGATCTCGATTTCAATTCAAAAGTTGCCAAGTTACATTGTATATTTTGAACGATTGGTGGATTCGCCCAAATGGAAATTTCCAAAAATGTGTGATCACTTGACACATCTTTGGAAATGACCTTCTTTTATTGTTGTCTTCAAAATGACAGAATGGCAGAAGGAATACATTCACAGGGAGTTTAGTGCCATTACTATATTTAAACCAAGTAAACTTTTGAACAATAATTTGGTCATTACCTTCACTATCTCTCTGCAATCTTGTACTCTGACATGGGTTAAGACAAACACTTTTAGATGGCTTTAAATAGCCCATTATAACTTTTATTACACTGTATTACATTGTATTAATTCCCTGATGTATCCATCTGTTGCAAAGTGCTGGGAAGTTTTTTTTTCATTTTGCGGCAGAGGGAGTAACAGGCAGGGTGGTTTAGGGCGATATGTGGACTAATTATTGTTGTTGGCAGGTGATTAGTATTTAAGTCTCTTATTTTTGAAAAGTTTCAAATTTTATATTAAAAATTAAGATTTTCAAGAAATGGCCTTGATAATGTAACAAACTCAAGAATAACAGTCATTCACAAGCAGGCGCGTACGCAGGGGGGGTGTTTTGGCTGTTAAACACCCCCCTTTGCCATGTAAAAATATGGAGGGAAAAGAGAGTTATGTGACCGAGCGCGGAACAATTACAAATTATGGGCATGTTCTCAACTTTAAGCTTTGAATACAGAATACGCTTTATAAGAGCAAGAGTATATAGGCCTATATGTATTTGAAACAAATGAAACAAAATATCCCCTCATAATTTAAAAAACTTCTGCCAAAAAAATCAGGGGAAAGTGGCCAGAAAACGCCTCAGATTGCACCACAGAGCATCTACGATCCAAAATTTCCCGGGGCCCTTGAGCGGGCCCCGGAACCCACGCCGTAAGTGCTTCGCGCTCCGCGCCCGCATTAGTCCTCCGGCCAAATTCCCTCTATGCTATAATTTCACCCTAGCGGTGCCACCACCTTATTTGTACCTTCAGCAACGAATGGCTGAGGCGCGGACTACAAGTGGCCTAAATCCCTTTCCAAATTAGAAAATTGTGAAAAAATACGGAGAGGAACATGGTTCTCAACTTTGAGTACATAAGAAACTTTATAAAGAACAAAAAAAATAACAAATTTTAATGGAATTTTCGATGTTTAAAACGTTTTCTGAATGGTGGAAGTGGCCAGGAATCGCCTCAGATTGCACCACAGAGCATCTGAAATGCAAATTTTTCCGGGGCCCTTAAGCGGGCCCCGGACCCCACGCCATAAGGGCTTCGCGCTGCGCGCTCGCAGGTCCTGGACCCTTCATTACAATTCTAGCCCCCCCCCCCCGGCAAATGGCAGTCTGAATCCGCCCCTGTGACCAGAGCGCATATGTATCCTGTATCTGGAGTTTGGCCTTAGGGGTAGGGGCGGTTTACACAAAGATTCCCAACGGATGAGAATCATGAGATCCAGGGGACGAAGCTGAGTAATTTTAGCCAATTACAAGAACAGATCCTAGCACTTCCGCAGCCCGTGTCACTTTTTTTCTTGAATTTCTTCTTTTTTTGATAAAATGCTGTTGAGGGAGGGGACTGCCCACATTGACCCCTTTACTCATATGTTCATCGTATACTCTAAAGACCACAGAACATGTTTTTTTTTTTGTTTTTGTTTTATTTACTATGTTTTAGCTCAAAAAGATAACTGATGGTCGTGGGTTCCCGGCCCTTCGAGTTTAACCCGTCCAAATATACCCTCTTTTATTTCTGGCGCCAACACAAACTCCCGACTTTTATTTTAGCGTTAAGTTTAGCCCACTGATACTATCTTTTATTTCTGGCGCCAACACAATTTACCATCTTCATTTCTAGCGTCATAAATGATGACGTCCAATTTTGAAACACCCCCCTTGAAAAAATCCTGCGTACGCCACTGTTCACAAGGTAAAGGATGTCATTTCAGTGAAGTTTTAGGCAATTTTTGATAAGGTGGTTTCAGCTTTGTAGGTTCTTTACCTACTTCTACTTGAAAGCCTTTCACCATCACATCTCAAACCCATGGCCTGATTTGGATGTATTCAAGAGTCCATTAAATATCTTTCTTGTTTACTTATTTCTTTGGTGTACTCCATGTAATTTTAGTGAGTCTGCTGAGGAACTGGACAGCACAGAAGACCTGACAGCTAATCCTATAGACAAGGCCAGGGCCTACTTTAAGACCATTCTTAGTGGAGGCTCCACCTCGTATTCAGCAGAGGACAATGCCATGACTAAGCTGCAGCCGGAGAAAGCTGTCAAGCCCAGTGAGTTACATGCTTCTTATTAGTCTGAAATTAATTGAGGATAAAGCTACAAACGTTAGTTTTAATAACCAAGTGTTGAGCTCAGAGGGGTCCTAAAGAGGAACCTAACTTATTTGAGTTGAAGGTTTTGCCCATCACTATTACTGCTGCAATTTTGGTATCTTCTCAAATAGTCTTTATGAGAGGGAGCAAAAGTGAGAACCTGATTGCATTCCTAGAGTCTTGCCTGACAGCAGGGGTATGAATACGAGACATATATGGGAAAATGTGTTTGTTTCAATGGACTCCATGTATAAAAAATAGATGGTGCTTTTGGACCATTCGTGAGAGCTCCTTGGGTGAGGCACAGTGTGTGTACGTACTGGTTTCCGAGTGTATGATGCGAAGGAAGAATGATTAATTTTATTCCGAGTATACTCAAACCTATATACAGGTTGTCCCATGAAAAAACTTACAGTCGAATCGGGCATGTTTTTAGAAAAGTGGGGTAGTATCTAAAATCATGTCTAATGTATTGCTTGGTCTTCCAAATGCTTATTAGTTGGTTTCATTTGGATGTTTTGTTCAAAAGATACAGCAATCACAATACGGGACTTGAAAAACTGCTTGGGCCACTTTTTCTATTTATATCTCCTGGTCTTCTGGGAAAAAAACCACCCTTTGTCCAAATGATATACTGATAAGCCGCACTGACACTTTTGACCCCTCCTTTGTGTGTTTCTCTAACTGTGCTTTCTCAATTTCAAGGAAAGAGGCCCAAGATGATTTTCAACCCTTGAGTTCAGTGAAGCATAGGGTTTGTTCCAATGCATCGATTTGAATACAATAAAGTTTGTATGGTAGATTGGTTATCTGACTTTAAGCGGTAATTTGAAAATATTCCAAAACTCACATCCAAATATAACTTTATTAATTGGTTTTCGACTGTTAGGTTCTTTGAGGGACAAGCTGTATCTTCTTTTTGTGAGCACGAGGAGTATGGTAGCTATGCATTCAATATCCTCCACTTTTGATCTTTCCAAATCTGTCTATGTACGGAGCTCATATGGGGGATAAAAGTGCGATGAAGCAGTTGTAAACTTGAGGTTTGTATTACTGATGATTAAGCTGATGGTCCAACTGTCTGAGGTATGTATGGATATTTCAGTCGAGCTTTGTCATTGTTACAGGGATTGCTGAATCAGGTACAGCAAGCCGTCGCTCCATGGGTCTTTTCATCTTTGGTGATGAAGATGAAACTCCAGTTACCAGGAGAAGGAGAAGGGACCTGTCACTCTCAGTGACTACAGGTAATGCTACAAGATGAATGGACTAGTGATTGATAAAGATGTATTCATAAATACCTAAGACATTTTACCCATTCCTATGGGTTGAGAGCCCATCATGATAAAGACATAAACGGTTGATAAAGACATGGCTGGCTGGGCTAAAACATTTTTCCAGTGTCACAAGAAATTTTGACTCCTATTAAATCCGGTGCCAGCACCGTTTTATTCGTTGAACCCTCACAATCCTCACGTAGGCATACGCAACACACACATACGCATCAGTGAGTCAGTATTTCATGGTCCTAAATTCACACTACACCGGTACATCTGCGTTGTGTACAGGGTTCGACCTTAACTTTTTTTTTCACTATCCAGCCGGGCTACTGAAACAGACCGTTAACTAGCCCGCGGGCATTTTCACTAGCCGCATGTTGTATTTTATCTTCCTATCCTTCCATCTTTGTCGTATCCCAATAATTTTTTGACTCGCCAGCCTGGCTACTTAGGAATAGTTTGACTAGCCCGCCCCTGTTTTGACTAGCATTTGGCTAGCGGGTTTCCGCTAATTTCGAACCCTGGTTGTGTGCCACATCACGCAGTATGCGCGACGTACGCATCAATCTCCTGATAAGGAGTTGTTTACGAGAGGGCCTTGCCATTGTATAGCCAGAGGGGAGGTTTGTTGATCGAATTCGTTGAAAATTTATAATTTTTGACTTGTTTTGAATTTTGGACTGGAAAGGTTTGATTTTTTTTTTACCAAAAAGGGTAATGTTCTTGGTCGGTATTAAACACTACATTTAAGACAAGTTGAATTTGGATGCTGATAATTACCCTCGCCTTTGGCTCGGGCTATTATCAGCATCCAAACTTCGTCTTGGGTAATTATCAGCATCCAAACTCCAACCGGTCTTAAACAAAGTGTTTAAAGCCTCCAAAGCACACATTTATTCCCTTATTATATGGGGTTCATCTGTTAACCTCGGGCTTTGTCTCCAGTTTTGCTTCAGGAGATTTTAGACCCCTGACTTTGGAGATTCAGCTCAGTATGTATCCATGTTGTGCCCAAGCAACATCAAGTCCTATGAGACCACAGTTAAGACCATTTCCATTTGGTTTAGACATGAAGAGCTTTAAAATGATTCTCCAAACTGAGATGAAGCTGAAGCAGGCAATGAACCCGAAGTTTGGTAAATCCTATTAAGATGTATGACATCCGCTTGGAAGGTTACAGGTTCAATTCCACTCATGGCAGCACTTTTAATGATATACAGTGCAAGTGGTGTGCTTGTTTTGTTTCAGGGGGAGCTAGCTTGTTTGACCTTAGTCTTAGTCCTGGCGCTGACTCGGGCACATGGCAGGGCGATGTCATCATTGGTGGAGGATTAACACGTATGTATATTTCAGTCATAGGAGATCTACCCTCAAAAAAGTAACATGCATTTCTAGTTTACCAAACTGAGATTTTCCCTCCACAAGAAACTTCACAGAGACTCAGCTTGTTGCCAAAACATTTTTTCTTGTAACTGCATTTAAAGGACTATAGTTTGTCCCATAATGCCATACGTATCATCGCTCCATCATATCATCATGGCGTCACTCCATCTTTGGTTACATTCGTCGACTCCCTATCAACACCCCAGCACACGCTAACCTCAAGCTGGCTGTTGATGCCTCTACAGGAGTCAAGCTTGATCCTGGTTCGGGTCACGACCACGCGGCCGACCCCGAAATACCTGGGTGCGACAGCTTGAGGCTGACCATGCTCTGTCAGCCCCTGCCCTGTGGCTCATCTCGACTGATCGGTTGGCGTGGGTGGCTCAATGTCCCATAGTTGGATTTGGAGACTGATGATGATGATAATGCCATACATCACATTGATACATCCCTGCTATTCAGATTGATTAGTATTAGAAAAAAATGATAATTATTAAAGTACAGATTGAAATTTCACGGGTTTTTACCATGTTTCCTTTGAAATATTGACGTACTGATTATAAGGTGTGAATTTTTACTCAGAACATTTAAGAGGTTCCAATTGGATGGTCAGCCATTGCTCATCAAAACCAGTTGTGGGTTATCATTACAGAGTTTTTTCACAAGAGTATATTTATTTAAAGTTATTGCAGTATTGGAGTGCAGGTTATACATTGAAATGTCTTGTGATAGTATGTAATAAAGCTTTAAGGGATGTAGATTATTGGGAGTTTTTTTCACATCCTTACTAGTAGACACTTCCGCCTATGCTACATAATTTGGATTAATTTTGTTGACTCACTGACCTCCAACAGAGAAAGGTTTGGATGCTCTTGGCCGACGTATTGCCAACATGACCATAGGGGAGTTAGAAGCAATGCTGGATCTTCAGAATATCGACCCATTCACTGTGGTTCAGTTGATGAAGGACCTACGTGCTCTCTTTAGGACCTTTGTAAGTTAAAACCATAAGGGCAATTCCACGGTTACTGTAATTACCTTACTGAAAAGGTTTAATAACTGTTATCCCCATGGTAGATAGAGTAGACCTAGACCTACCTAAGCACCAAAGATGACATCCAGAAAAATGTGTTATGTATGATAAACAAGACGCACAGAATTGGTTACTCACGTTACGAAAATGTAACGTGACTAACCGTGGAATTGCTTGTAACCTTCCCAAATTCATCAAAAACAATTCCCCATTTTGGGGGATATTGGTAGGCGAGCCATGAGTACCAAGTAGTAGTGGTCTTGTGGTGGATTTCAGCGGATTTGGTCCTAATGCATTATGTGAAGCAGGGTCAGTGATGGATTTTGGCGGATTTGGTCCAGTCCTTAGTAAAAGACAGTAGGGAGTTAAGGTTACAGTTCATGTCTCTTTGTTTAGTGTCTGTAAACTGCATGAATCATTATTGGCTAAAACTTTCATTTAAAAATACTTCTGTGGTTTACTTTTGCTTAGCATTGAAAGTTCTGTGCTAACTCGTAAAGCACATAATCTTAAGTCATAGGTTGCACACCTACACAAAAGCCAAAATTCCTTCCAGTTTGCCTATAACTTGTTGCTGTTGTGAGCTTTGATTCTTAGCTAGGTCCAGCAAGTTGAAACCCTTATTTTGCAATCCTATTTTTCATTTCATTGGAAGATTGAGGAGTTCATTGATGTCATCATCAATGGCAAGGCAGATGACAAGTTTCAGCAATTTGATGTCGTTCTGAGTGGGACAATTCCTTTCCCAAGAAGACATGCTAAGTTTTTGCAAGCTAGCTGGGGCATACCAATCGGTGGATTCATCTACCTAGAATTTAGTAAGTACCATCATAGAGCATGTTTGAGACGTGATTAAGCAAAGATTGACTAATTATTTTGACTTTGAATTTTGATCCAAACCTAGCAAGTCAACCATGATTGGACTAGCCAAGTCACCTAGTTATAGGTCCTTATCCAACTAGCTCAAGTTCGAAAGAATATTAAAAAAAATCTCATTATTAGGCCCCCCCCCCCAAAAAAAGTCTCCGGTTTCTGGTATGCACGCGTGTCGCCGTAGCCATGCGCGTCAGCAAAATGAAAAAGTTTTTTTTTCAATGTAAAATGATGTCTCAAAACCGCCAAACTCACTGGTTTGACTGGAATCCTGCTGCTGCACAGTTTTAACGTGTTTTTAGATGGGTTACGATCGAGTATAAGTTTTATGTAGCCTCTCTGGACTCCCATATATTTTGGAGTAAATTTAGTCTGGCACCATTTGCAGTCATCAGCCGACATTTGAAGGAAAAAAAAGTCAAAAAAAAAAACCCCAGAAACCGGAGACTGGTTTTTTTTGGCCTTAGCTGTGTTACACTGGCTATTTCAACTATTTCAACAATATCTGTCTGATCACAAGTGGGCCAAAAATTAATATCTATATAATAATATGCAAGTCTCTGTTCGGATGTTTGTTTGGATGTTTGTCTGGGCGTTTGTCTGGGCTTATTCTCGGAAGTGGCAGGTCGCACGGCGCTCAAACTCTGTGGGTTGGTGAGGCAGATTTTGGCCCATGGCATACCTAGTCTGGTTATTTCGGTATTTGTATCAATCTTTCTGTTTGACAATCATTGATCCCCGAGTGGTGCTGCATATGCTGACACACACTGACTCTACAACATGGAATTAACATGGAAAAGGGCCTTTTTACAAATTTGAAGAATGAAATTCATGTAGAATTTCATGGTAGAAGTGCTAACATTTGTCTCATACTATTGATGTCTTTTCTGTCTTATTTCAGCCATTGAAGCAGGAGGATTCTTTGACATGGAGATACCAGTCTCTGTTGGCCTCGTGTCCATGAAAGCACAGGTAGTATTAGAAAATTGAGAACTATTTCATTCCCAGTCCATTATTACAAAGGTCTTGTCGTTAGATCCAAATTACACTTGAAAAGATAAATAAAATATTTCATATCAATCAGGGATGAACATCTTCCTACAACTTGAGGCTTCTTTTGAAATAGTAAATAACATATTGGCACCATGTATGTACTTTTTGTCTCGCCTGAACGAAGTTCAGGAAAGAGACCATGTAATCACTATGTATGTCCGTCCACATGTACGTATGTGGTATTTTGGTCTCATTCGAAAAGTTGAAGTCTAATTGGAACCAAATTTTGGTCGTAGATGCAACATGGCAACCTTCATATGATACTGATGTCAAAGGTCACATACCAAGGTCAAAGGTCTTCTGAGGTCAAGTTGTAAAACAGGCTGAAAATGTAAAATTGGTCTCATTTGAAAAGTTACATTCCAACTGGAACTAAACTTGAGTCATAGATGCAACATGGCAACCTTCATATGCTAATGATGTCAAAGGCCACATACCAAGGTCAAAGGTCATCTGAGGACACACCAAAGTCAGAGACGCGCGGTTCGAGAACTGCTTTGTCCTTAATGCCCCTAAATTCCAGGCAAAAATAGCTTGATAATTTTCAAACTTACCCCTACACTGCTTAGCTCGAATTTTGGTGTACGATCATTTGTTTCCTGTCCTATGTAACCAAAGAAGTTGAGGTGTGGTTCATATTGACATAAATGCAAACATGAATATGAAACATGTCTTCATGGTAAGTGTTGAATGCTGTTAGCAAAAGTTGAACACATTTCAACTTATGGAAATTTGTCTTTAAAGTCCAATTCACTTCACATTTGTATACAGGCCTATAACCTTAGGTGTCTTACAAGAGCCGCTGTTTTGAATAGCATTTGGCAAGCAGGCTTCCGCTAAAGTCAAACCCTGCCTTTGTACAGCCTACATTAGTACTGACCCAAAACTGTGGTCAGTGTAGCGTGTGCTAGCATGCTGAGCATATTAACAAGTTCCGTCTAATTGCTTCCAAGATGTCCAGGAACAGTTTTACTTTGACACAAAGGAGTTCATTTGAAGTGTTGGATATCCTTATAGGGTGGCATAACACCTATGGTGGGTGCATATGCACAGGCTACTGTTTCTATTGGATTCATCCTGTATGGTGAGATGCAACTGACTGCTGATATTCTACACACTAGCTTCCCGACTGTGGCCGAGATTCTCTTCTCCAAGTTCCCACTGGATGTTGGGTAAGTGAGGTGGGAATTAGCAATTTAAAAATCCTTTATAAGCCATGGGAAATTCAGATAAATTATTCCAACACGCCTGTCGGACCTCAGGATGATATATATTATTATTTATATCAGGCTTCCAGTGGTAAAAATAATCAGCGTATTGTATGCTTCCGTTAAAAAGTACCTGAATGACTGCTACATGTATATTTTGTCAATAAAGTACCCAGAGACTGCAATGTTATTGATATCGGAGTAATCCGGGCATTTTCGCTGGTTCCCGCACAATCTAGAGCGTAGAAAGTCACAGTCGACCAATAAACAGGGAGTAGAACGCAGACACAGTGCTAGCAAGGTGTACGCGCACTGTTGTCATCAGCCACAACTAGCTTCGAGCGGCGCAATAATTCAACAAAATTTGAGAAATAAAGGCAGTGTCCTGAAGGATACAAGAATATATTGCACTCTCTATAACAATATTGCACTCGTCTTCGACTTGTGCAGTATTGTTATAGCTCGTGCAATATCATAAGTTATCCCGCGAGCGCGAGTGGAACACGGAATAATGTAAAATGTGTTCGGCCTCGTGGTATGTGGGGCACAGATGCACTACATTATTCCGTGTTCCACGAACGCAAGCGTGATAACGAATTTATCTTCAAGCAAACTTGACGCACAGTAAAGATGGAACACGCACGCTGTACACCAACTTTTTAGCAGTTATCCTATTGCACGTGCGTGTTGTACGGAATGGCGCTCGCATCTTAGAAAAGCGCAATACGCGGAGTGCGGTATGGACCGAGGCCGTGCTACATGGTTATATGTAGCAGGGCTTGTTGCTATGGATCGACCAATCAGGATCGAGAATTCAAGTTTACCTGAAGATAAATTCTTATAGCCCCTCAAAGCCATCCAATATTGTATGAATGTTTGTTTAGGGGGTTTGACGGAAGGCCAGGGGTAAAAAGGGGACAGATTTGGAGTTTGACAGAAGTCAGTGACGGATAACACTAGCTCTTCTTTTAGAATGATTTATAATTTACCTATCCCTGCTTATCAAATCTAGGATTAATACAAAGTGAAAGCAATCCTTAAAAGTCCTGTAGAGGAAACGCAAATCACAGAAGTTCTTAGATTTTTGAAAGATATCAAATTCAATTCAATTCAATATATTCTTATCATGTAAAACATGAAACCTGTCTCCTCGTTCTGCACATTCACATGATGGTAGGAACACATGTGGTTCTGACTGAGATTGAAAATCCGATCCACATATCTGCAATGGTTAACTTCAAACCCATGCAAAAGTGGTTGAAGGGTAAGACACTAAACACTTGGTCATTGTGGTTTGGGAAAGCTTCAGATATTAACAATCATAAACAGTTTTGGATTCACCGAACATATTACAGGTGTCGAAATTGATATAATTATCGCTGATGCACTTTTGTACAGATATTTTCTGGCCTCGCTCCCTGCATGTTTATCCGTCATCCATTCCGAGTGCCGCAAAGCCTTTGCGGATATACACGTCATCCGGTGCGAACTGATTAAAGAAATTAAACAAAGAAGACAGGAACAAATATTGAGAATAACCTTTTCTTCCTTCCTTCCTTCACATTTTCAGATTGAAGATGGACATTGATATGATTCCTCTGGTCATTCGCCTGAAAGCTTTGGTGACGTTGAAAATCCCCTTCTTCGGAAGAAAAACTCTGTTCAAGAAGGAACTATGGCGCTACACAGCTCCTACTATACACAAAAATATATTTGATATTCACACCAAGCAGCCTGATACATCACCTCCGGAGATTGAAGCATACTCAACACCAGTGGTAAACAGTTATTATTACATCTGTGCTATTTTTTTTGGTCTTCCCTCTTGGTCAACTCAAAACCTTGATCTTCCTGTTCTCTTTTGAAAAGTCCAGAGTTGTACTCAACTCCTCATGTCACTCACATGTCAATAACAAATAAATGAAGTCCATCATTGTCAAGTCACAGCCTATTCAAGTGAATTGTGGCCAAAGGCATTCCCTTCTCAATTGTGTCCGTACTTGTGGCTTGACATGTGATTGACTTGTGATGTCCTGCCTGGAACAGGCTGTTTTTAAAGGTACAGTCCATCATTTGTTATTTGCGCATTTTGTTCGTTTGAAGCAACAAAAGAGTTCAAAATCTAAAGAAGGGTACTGCATAACTAACCTTATGAAGTTTCAGCTCAGCTTTAGCTGTCTATTCCGAGAAAAACAGCATTCTAGGATCTCAATTTCAAATCAAAAGTTGCTGAATCATGTTTTGAATTGGGCCTGAATTCAGCATCCGATACACGTTCTCACTGAGCTGATTGCAGCTACACGATGTCGCCTACTGATCCGACGAATTATAGCAACCACGCGCGCGTGTGCGTCGTGTCAACGCTTGCGCACGCTTCGCCGAAAAACAAAACGAACTACTAATTTAAATTTCCTACAGTGCGTCTTAAGAAGCACCGTTGGAAAGCCCTTCTTTTGCTGATTTCTTCAAATTGACAGCTTGCCAGAAAGAATACTTTCACAGGGAGTTTAGTCTTCTTACTATCTTTCAACCAAGTATGTTTTTCAACACTAATTACGTCAGTCACTTTCTGGATAGCTGCAAATGATGGACTCTTTAACCCTTTAGTCACTGTATTGCCAGAAACCACCAAGTCTATTGCTCCCTGTAGTGGCCAAAAAATGCCTAAAGCACTATTATTTTTTTATGAATTTATCATTGAATATGCTCATCCCATTACAATGTAGTACAGTTACTAATGTGTTAAATACACATGCACGTACAAGCTTATTATATGGGAACATCAGGCATTCCTAGACTGTTTCTATGCTTTAGTTGTTCCAGTTTGTACATTGGTGTCACTCTTGAAACATCGGTGTCTCTCTTGAAACATTCTAACTGTTCGTGGTTTCTCTGATTCTCCTTCAAACAATAACATCTTTGTCCCCGTATTATGTTTTTGAAGCTTTGCATGAGTAATTCCATTCAAAGTTATTCAAAATAAAAGTTCAAAGTACTTCCAAGTATTTACAGGGATGTAAGCCTCCTGCAATATGCGTAGCGGACATCATAGAGGGCATCTTTTGTTATTTCAGTTCAGTAACAGTGAATGCATACAATATTCATTCATTTGTGTATCCTAGCAAAAAAAGGCATTTCCCTCCTAAGATGGCTGTTAGGCATAAGGCTTATTGTTATGTGTACATATATACCTGTATACTGGTACCTCAAATTCCAGGCATAAATGTTAGAGTTCACTTTACATCGCTGTATTTAATTTATTGCCTCAACACTCATTCTTCTTTATTACAAAACTCAGTAAGACTAGGTTTACACTATGTTCCCGGCGGTCACGGCAGCCCCGTTTGCCCGAAACGTAGTGCGCCGTGGGATTTTGGCAATTTTTTTTCTCCGTAGTCAAGTTTTGTTAGGTTCTGCTAAGTTTTCTCATGGTCTAACACAGTATCTGTGATGGGCCGTGGGGGAAAGGGGCTGCTGAGTCCCGGAGGCTCAAAGGCGCACTACAGTTCGGCCCGCGGTCTACCACGGATGCCAGTACGTTCCCTCCCGGCCTGTCACGTTCTGATGGGGTCCCTCTGGGGTTCCTCACGTTCCTCACTTTCTAATCAAAGTCTGACACGTTTTTCGCGTTCTGTCAAGGCTTTCTACGGATGAAACATGTACGCCGGGCAGCTTTGGAGCAAGTTTGTGCCCATGGTCTGAAAAGAAGGCCTCCCAAGCAATTGCAATCATTGTATGCTTTTATACTCCCTCCCAGACCGCGCTCGCCGTATCAGACCGTAGTAGAACGCAACGCGCCGCATCGCACCGGGCCTGTTAACCGTCACACATCTGGACCTGCCGTGATTGAACGCGACGAATTGGCTACCGTACACCCTAGCTTGTCATGAGAAACGAAGCAAAACTTGCAGCAACCGTGACAAAACGCCCGCTAAACGCGGCAGAACGTGACAAAACTTTGAAGGACCGTTGAGAAGCCGGGAATGCACATGCCTCCCGTCCCACTACGGACCGTCTCCAAGTTTTGTTACGGCCTATCACGTACTGTCACGTTTTGTTGCGTTCACCCCGTTTTACTACGGCCTACTAGGTTTCTCATCCGCACCGTGACTGCCGTGGCAAATTTTTTGACAGTTTAAAAATCTGGCCCGGCATCCACGGCAATCACGGACTGTCACTTTTGCCCATTCCGTCCCCCGGCGTTGTCTCACGTCCATACTGTTTTGTCCACGGTGGCCAGAAACTTGATTGCTGTGGCCGCCGGGAACATAGTGTAAACCTAGCCTAAAGTTGTTTTAACATTTTTGTCCCATGAAGGACGCCTCTGGATCCACTAGGAGGAGTGCAGCAGGCACCAATCTGTGTGGTGTTGAGCAGGTTCCTGGATTAGACTACACAGAGCCAGCCTTCCAGCTGGAGATGGTAGCAGCTGATGACAAGAGCTTGGTGACGTTCTTCTATCAGGTTGGGACGGCACCTGGAGGCAGCGATGTGGTCTCTAAGACAGAGTTTGGTGGACCCTCAGCTATCATTTCACAAGTAAGAAGTACCGTAGGTCAAGGGAAAGTTTGTGCCCAAGGTCTTGAATCGTGATTTATTGACTGAGACATATGTCTTGGAATTTTGTATGGATAGTTATAGGTGTAGGAATATGTTGTTTTGAGATTATTTGATATTTGTCAACTTCATTCAATAGTTGTCATCTGCTCAATTTTGTAGTCTGGATTATAAAGTAGTACACTTTCTGCATGAATGTTTATTGAAAAAAAATGTTTATCTAGTATAATGTCGCTATGGGCTCCGTGCACCAATGAAACAGGGCGCCCTTTTACCTAGCAACACCGTTCCATGGGCGGGACATTTAGCTGGTTGATGCGCACCGTTCCTTGTGTGTGACGCACGTACACCAGGGGATTTGTACTATGTACACGCAGTGGTGCGGCGGCACGTCGCGGCAATATTGCAGTCAGGCAAGATGGCGTCGGTCGGTCACCCCCAACTGTACTTTCTTTGCCGGTGAGGGGGTACTTGTGAACGGAGCGGATAATGAGCACTACTATACTGAACATTTGGCTATACCAAACATCCCCATAGCTTCCATGCAGATTTGTACAATAATACCAAACGTTACCAAACTTTTAGAAAATGCATTCCATATTGTCAAATTGTCTTACTCAAAATGCTTCTAAACTACACTTGGATGTCAAAAGACGTTTATAAGCGTTGTGAAGAACTGCCTAAGAGCTATGTGAAGACCTAGCACTTCAACGTCACTTCAACGTCAAAGTCAGCACTGGTTGCTGCTGCCATAACTGCATTGGCTGCAATGATAAATGGAAGAATCGGTAACCAGTTTAAAACATTGGGCCAAAGATGATAACGACAACATTTTCACTAACATGATCCAAATTAAAGGGTTCAACGACTTAATTCACACAATAAAAACTTGGTTCCTATTCTGAAATAAACAAATGTTTTTCGGTTGTTTATTTTACAAGTTTTTATCGCTCGTATTTATAATGAAAGCACCTAGGGTGTTTTCTACTGACTGTAACTGGTGTGTGCATGTGGTATATGGCTGGTGGACATGCATGAAAGTGCATACTGATATCATGTAGTACCAACCGTGTTGGCAAATTTGCAGTGTTAAATTTACACCATTAGTGTCTATATAGGACCATCTGGTGTTAAATTTTACTGGTGTTGTCCTATATAGATACCAAATGGTGTTAAATTAACACTACAGTTTTTGCAGTGTGTACCCAGTACATGGATTGACTACTCCTCCAATTTAAGTCATTTCAGTTAATTAATTAATGGAAATTAATGGAAGCCCATTATGGGCTTCAATGAGTGACATGCTTGTGGTTTGAAGGGAAATGATATGGATGCTACATGTATCTTTGAAACTTGATGTAATGAAGCAGTGGAAAATCAATATAACAAATGACAGCTGTGCCATAAAATCTTTGATGGACACTGTTATGTTTCCTATGGCGATTTGCTATTTGCCCTCTGTACTTTACTATAGGAAAAAGTAATTAAAAATAAAAAATAGTATAAATGTACTCAAAAAATTGTAAATTGTACACAAATTAAACGTGTACATTTTTGGGGTATTAAAGTTTGAACGTTTTTCTTGAATGTTTTTGTTTCTGTCTATAGATTCTTCTAGGAGGACATCCTCTTTACTTCACTGTTTACGCCATGAACAACGGTGGAGGCACTTCCACGGCTACCTGCAGCCTGCCGACCTTTGACATCACCTTGCCAACGGGTCGCATCACGCCAGACTTCACCTCCACCAGTCACCCGTACATACTCCGCGCATCGGCCGTGGTGTATGATGATTCCGTCATCTTGATGCAGAAGGAAGGGGTTGGGTTAGGCTCTGAAATCTGGGGCGATCAGATTGTATCATGGAATACCATTGATATCACTGAGAGGGAGCACCTTGGATATTCAAGTGAGCAGAATCTACAAGATTTGATTCTTTCCTTCCACATGCAGGGGATATGAATTTATGATGCTTACCAACTCCTCTAAAATAGGTTTTGTGCTATGGCATTGAAATGTGGGGTGAAGTCAATTGTGCTGTGGTTTTTCCTTGAAAGTTAGAAGATACCAGTGTTGTAGTACTCGTACTCGGTACTCGTACTCAAGTAATTTTTTGTTGTTGAGTACTCGTACTCGATTGTCAAAGTACTCGTACTGGAAATGATGGTACTTGTACTCGAATAGCAGTACTTGAAAAAAAAATGGGCACGTCTGGACAAACACATTTAACAACTAGTCGTGAGTGGGTCTGTATATCGGTCTGACTGGGCCTGGGCCTATTACGCACAATGAACCATTTGCCGTATGACCGTAGTCGGAAATAGAAGTACTTCGCACTCATATTCGTACTTGCACTCGGAATACAAGTCCTCGTACTTGGAAGTACTTGTACTCGTACTCGGAGGTACAAGCACTCGTACTCGGTAACCTAAGTACTCGGCAGTACTCGGTACTCGGAAAAAAGTACCTGACTACAACACTGGAAGATACTGTAGCATACAATGAGAATAAAATACAAAGAGCAATATTTGAAAGAACTGCAGGGAAATGGTAACAGTAGTGTTTTGAGCCACTGTTGCTTCTTATTATTATCAAATCCAGCCAGAACACATTCCTTATTATATAAAGAGTTTCTAAAAAGTGAATTTCATTGGACACCTCCTAATTCCATTCTCAAATTAAACGTGCCTACCCTTGTCACCTGAAACAGTCAATGACTTTCACTACTTCACCGCTGCCAAGAAAGGCCGCCTCATCTCCAAGCCAACGTCGACCATCATCCATCGCAATCCCAACTTCTGTGCGCGGGACTGCCTGGCCCTCCCAGAAACCAAATGTCTGAGTATCAACTACGACTATCGGGACTTCACCTGTGAACTGCTGGAGGAGATTGAGGGTCATGGGGTCGAAGTTCATGAGGTAAAAATAAAGTGTTACACAATCATTTGTACCTGCCTGTGTGTAGTAATTCAGTCTGTTGAACACATAATGGACCAATGAGTAGTACAAGTATTATTGTGTTAAAATCATCGTGGCTTTTCATATATTTTGGCAAGTTTGGTTCTTTTCATTTTGTATCAGTTTCCTTTTCTTTAATTGCTTCTTGTTTTGCTTCCAAGCAATCCGATAGACTGACTGCGATGAGATTATTATTACAGTTTTGTTCTGATAATGAAACCATGGACCTCACAGGCAGTTTAGCTTCAACCAAATATTGCTTAACCCTAACCCCCTTGAGTGATTTACTACGAACCTTCCTCACTCTTGCAAATTCCAAGACCATATGGTAAACTGTACACAAAAACAGTTGAACTATGATTATCGGTGGTATGCCTTTGAACCCCATGTAAAGTAACATCAGTTTACTAGTACATTACTCCAACAGATTCCAACAAACCCCGGTGTTAGAGTTCGACTGGATGGGGATTGCTATTATTATTATATTTCTGGTAATGAAACCAAGGATTTCTCAAGAGCGCCCTAGGCACTGTAAGCTCGCAAGCCTGAAGAAACCTGTAGAGAGAAGAAGATGAGAAGACATTACAGTTTTAGCGGTGGGAGGAAAACCCCAGAAGAATAGTCTGGGGAACCCACGGAATCAGGTAGGGACTGAAAACCCAATCCACATGTTGGCCCAGGCTCAGTTTTACTACATGTTCAGTTCATTTCAGTCCCTTTTGCAGCATGGGCAGGCCTGTAACCCCAGATTACAAAGGTAGAAGAACAAGGACAATCTACCACATCCTTCTCATGTTGAGGATATGTATTCTTTTTGTGGATATTATCATTGACAATTCTCTTTAATTTCAGTCCGGACTCTTCACCCATTATGAGCGGCTTGGTGTTGGCCATGCTGTAGAGTTCAATCACGAATCACTCCAACTCGTCCACAACAACCTCTACTACTTCAACATAGAGCTCCTGAACTATGTGGGGTACGAGAACATCATTTCCTCTGTCGGCATCATAGCGGACTTCACGACACCAGAGCCGGGCTGATCGTGAATGGGACCAGGGATGAGGTGGTGCGTGAAGCGTGTGTGGAGTTCACACCAGAGGAATGGGAGAGACGATGCATTGAAGACACACCGTTGGATAACCATCGGTAGGTACTGCTTCATGTGATGCTTAGAGTAAAAATGTCACTAAGCAAAAAAAGTAAATGTCGACAAAGTTATGCTGAATAACAGTAACATAAATTCAGTTTACCTGACAAAGGCTTAAATCGTATATAAAACAGTAAAGTGCTTTTGTGTATGACAAAAGTGCATACCAGAGATGAAATTTGAAACATTCATAATTACCTGAAACTTTTTAAAATAGTCTTAGTTTTGAGTATTGACTAATCCTGTTCTGTGTGCCACTGTGCAATGACTTGTTAAAGGTACTTCATTTCATGAAAAATCATTCAAATTCTTCACTAATAATAATGTAGTGACAGGCTGATAACTCTTCCAAAATGTGAATGTTCAGTTGTACCTTGTATCTGGGCAGTGCAGTCTTGTGTATGTCTCGTCAAAGAAGGCGAGTCTTGTCATGAATGTACCCGTAGTTGTGTTTTGTGACATTTACTCTGTTCTTCATCATCTTGTGGCTTAATTACAGCTATATCACTGATGGTCCTGGTTCTATGACTGTGTTTAATGGTCATGAGGAACTTGTTGACATGCTGTATACAAGAAGCAATACCTTCATGGCAGGTAAGGGGTGGATGGGGCCTCATAGCAAAAAAAGGCAGACTTAATATTATGTCTTAGTTTAACCTGGTGTATAGTTTTTACATCAGTAATTTTACAATTTTTTAAATTATTATGAGGATCAAGTGTCCATTTCATATTTACCAGAAGCAACACCATTATGACCACTAAGCATGAAAGGAGCTTCATAAGAAAGGGATGGTACCTATGCTTTCTTGGTATAACCATAGGCTCTATTTTACGGCCTTGCAAACCATAGAATGCTACATGTACCGCAATACTTTGCTAGAGTGCTAGCCAAAGAATTCTGTGTTAACCATTTACCAGTTGAGGTCGGGTTTATTTTGACAAAATGGACACAGGCTCAGGTTTAATATTCACTCGATGACAATGCCAGGCAGGTCGAAGCCATCACCCTGGGGCTGCAGAGTCATATTTCCAGCCTTGGTCAGGGGCTGTGGCTTGCTGACAGATATTTTCCAGCCTCTGTCGTTGACTTTTGGAAATTTTTTGCGGTTATACACAGCCTCTGGCACGAACTGGTTAAGCAAAGAATCCTTAGTTATGGAATGCAGGCATGAGTACAAACCAATTACTCCATAAATTACTCTAACCTTGAGTTCGGAATTTTCTGCCGTAGTTAGCAGTGATTCTTCGCACATAGTAATTAAGCAGAGTCAATAAATTTGGCCCTACATGCTCACAGTGTCACAAAACCACTGTACTATCCTGCCAAACATGTCTCCAGAGCTGAACCTTGTCTTGACTGACATCCTGTGTAACATTTTCATTTCTTTACAGCCAACTGGGAAGGTATCCATGACAATGAGACTGGTATCCATGGCTACACCTGGTCCATTGGTAACGCTGTCTGTGATGATGATGTCAGCATGCATATTGATCCTCATGCTCATCTGTTTGATGAGTCCGAGTGGACCCACCAGGGACTGGTTGTCAATGTCAATCTGCCAGGTAAATCTTCATCAATGGTCAAAGTATTATGCATTGTTTTAGTGGACCTTGATGGAATACAGCTATTGACTGCTTTGAGTTGTGTAGTGAAACTATTTCCCTAAGGGGTTCCATTGCGTATTCTATATTGATCTGTTTGATGAGTCAGAGTGGACCCACCAGGGTTTGGTTGTCAATGTCAATCTGCCAAATACATCTTCATCAATTATCTAAGTATTATGCATTGTTTAATTGACCATGATATGTGACCCGCTCTGCAAAAATGAGTCTGATGTCGCATAGCTTGAATTCCAGCTTTCACCACTTTTAAATGGAAACAGTGAAAATTTGCTCAAAATTTGGATTTCTTGTTTTTGTTTTATTTTGTTTGTTTGATAGTTTTAGTTCAGATATCTTACACAGAAATTTAAATATTGTAAGAAAAAGACTAACAAATTTATGATTTTTGGTGCTTTTCTTGGTTAGTTACAGTGTATTTGTAATTTTTAAACCCTTTTTTCTTCATTGAGACATTTCTTGCTTTGCAAAAACTTGACAGAATTAAAAAAGGCACAACAGTGCAACCAAACGCCCTAGAGAGGTCCGTGATATACCAAATGAAAGCTTATTTCATTCCCATTTTATTAATGTAGTTAACTCAAAATGTCAGTTTTGCCACAACAGACTCATTTTTGTGGAGCGGGTCACATATATTACAACTATTGACCACTTATTTGAGTGGTATAGTGAAACTATCTCCCCAAGGGGTTCCATTGCGTGTTCTATGTTGATCCTCATGCTCATCTGTTTGATGAGTCAGAGTGGACTCACCAGGTTCTGGTTGTCAATCTGCCAGGTAAATCTTCATCAGTAGTCAAAGTATTATGCATTGTTTAATTTACTATGAGTCTACAACTATTGACTGTTTTGAGTGGTATAGTGAAACTATTTTCCCAAGAGGTCCCAGTGTTCTAAATTAGTATAATCCCCAACAGACCCATCAATGACTTCTTGTTAATGCCAATAATTGTTGTTAGTGTCTCCTAAATACTCCACAGGGGAGTTTTAACAGGAGGCCAGAAACACCGAGGCAAATCCCTTCTCTTAGCGATAAGTTTTACTTGGTTCATTCACGTGCATTGCATTACACAACACACGGGGCACACGGCTTTACGTCCCATCCAAAGGACGATGCAATAATGGTTAAGTGCCTTGCTTAAGGGCACAAGTGTCCAGACCTGGGCTCGAACCCACATTCTGCTGCCTCTGAAACACCAGAGCATGAGTCTGGTGCGGTGCTCTTAACCCCTAGGCCATGACACATCACACTGAACAACACTGCAATCACTGAATCACAGTGATACACTTTTCTTATTTGAAACAAACTTATATTTAAAGAGATATTTCATATGCTCCCCAGATTTTTGTGCTTGGGAGTTCAAAATGAAACTTTTCGTTGAAGCAAGCATTATTTTGATATTGAAAGTGCAAGAAAATTGCTTCTTACAATATAGTAATTGTTAATAGTCAGCTATATTAATGTCTCACAAACTAATGTTCAACTTCAGCCCAAAACATGCCAAAGGAAGTCCTATTGTTAACTCCTCAATCAAGTTTAAAACTTCAGACTCATTTCCACAATATGGGTCAAATAGTGAGTTATGCAAATTATCTTGCTCAACAGATGGCGCATATTACATCACAGTACGTGCTCTCAACAAGGTAGAGTTTGGCGGTCCAATGGCACTCACTGTGTGTCACAGCACCCCTCTGATTATTGACAATACTCCGCCCATCATTTATAGCATCGATGACATCACCTATGACTCGTCCATTGGTAGAATTGGATTGAAGGTTAACGCAACGTGAGTAACTTTTTTTTTCAACTTTGAACAAAACTTGAAGGTTAGTCCGGTGGTAAATCAAGTGGTGAATCAATCAGTTAGGAATTTGCAGTAGTACTATGAATGTGTATCTCTATTTTTTGACATGTAGTTGTGTATGGTACAGAGAAGAAGTGGTGAATTTAAATTCGGACACCTTGGGCTGTTCATCTTCAGAAGACCATTTCTTATTTTTCCCCCGGCGGCATGAAAACGCGCCTCGGGCCTGTGCTCGCTTTGTTGGTGGGTGGGTAAGTGGGTGGGTTGGTTGATGGACATTTTACTCGGCCCATTCTATCTGGGTGTGTTATACTGTTTCCATGCCACGCGTGTATCACAGCTTTGCAAGTGACGTTCTTTGAAATAGCCAGTATGATGACATGGATGTGCATGCGTCTAATTTGCATATTAAAACCCCCCCCCCCCATTGCATTGCAAAATTCTGCTCAGTTGTACGGTTTGTCGTGATGGTTGTGATTTCATGTACACCGAGTGACAAGTTTCAAAACACGGTACAAATTAAGAGTAAAAGAGTAAGATCCCACGAATCGTACATTTGTTTATTTTTGTGTTTATGACCAAGACTGTTGGTTGTGCGCGTGCACGGTTTTCGGTTTCTTTACTCTCGAAGTGTCATAACCCGTGTTAATGCGTTACTCGTGTTAACACGTTACCTGTCGTGGGCGCACTAAATCGGTACTTGTTGAAAGTTGTCGCTAAATTGAAAATGTGTTTATTCACGCCATCCCAAAATTAAATTACTCAAAACAATTCAACACTTGGTGTGGATATTCTGCACTATGCAGGAGGTTGTGGGTTTAAATCCGTCTGTGGTTTAGAAAAAGAAAGCCTGTTAAGGTTGTGTCCTTACATTAAGAACAAATGATAGAAGAAAGACTGTGATTACACTTCTTATAATACTGTCTGGAGATTGTCATCCAAATCCTGGTCCAACCAAGTATCCATGTGGTTTTTGTAAGGAACCTGTAGCAAAAAACCATAGAGCAGTACTATGTAACACATGTTCAAACTGGTCACATATCAAATGTGTAGACATCTCACAGGAGCAATACAAGGAACTGCAAAATTCAAAATCTGCTGATAGGTGGTACTGTTCTCTATGTTTGACCAAAGATGAATGCCCAATATGTGAACAACATGTAGCGGATAACCACCGGGGAATTCTCTGTGATAACTGTGATAAATGGTACCACACCAAGTGTTGCGACAACTCAAACAAACAGTATAAATAACTTCCACAAACGAACCCCAGTGTTGTGTGGATGTGTACTACTTGTGAACTGCCAAATTATTACATCACCCCAGTAGAACGACCACAAAGAAATAGACATAATCAGTGCTACGCTTCCTTGCAATGCCGCACACAAGCGTACCACAAAAGTTTTTTTCCCAAAGACTATTGAAGACTGGAACGAGCTCCCTGATGAACTTATCCATCAAACATCGTCATCCCAATTTAAAACAGCCCTAGGAAAACATCTTGCATCACAACCTTAATTTCACGCTTGCACGGCACCGGCGTGAAGTCAAACTGGATGATGATGCCTAGCAGCGATATCCAGTCAACTTTCTGAGAATTCTTAGAACAACAAAGTTGCACAACTAATTACTACGGCGGTGGCATTCAAGTGTTTGTCATATCTCTCCTTTTGTCAATGTTCAAGGGATTCTTTTGCTGGAGTCCATAATAATAACATTCTTTACTTTCTTTGTTTGAAATTGAGCAGCGATCCTGAGTCCCATCTGTTTGAGTATCACCTAGCAGCAGGCAGGACGCCCAGGGATAAATCACTGCGTGATTGGGAGGCTCACGTCTTGGCTGAACAGCTCTACATGGACTTTAAGATACCCAATGGCATACCCTGCTGGGTTAAAGTCAGAGCAGTCAACAATGGTAAGAAAACTTTCATGAGGTTAATCACTGCCATAATCTATGTAGATGATGATAATAAGGGAATAAATGTGTGCTCCACTTAGAGTCTGGGTGCTGATAATTACCCTCGCCTCCGGCTCGGGTAATTATCAGCACCCAGATTCTAAGTGGTCTTAAACAGAGTGATAAAAACCTCCGGAGCACACATTTATTCCCATTCAGAAATACCTTTTCGGTAAAAAAAAATCATATAATTCATTCAAAACATCCCGATTTTGTTCAACAAATTCACTCTATACTTTTTGAAACATCCCTCTTCCAAAATAATGGAGTGTTCAGCTGGCGAGTAAGATGTAAACAACCCTTTTATGGAGATTGACGCGCGCGTATCATGTTCTGCGTGATGTCGCGCAGAACGCACCTGGCGCGTTGCGTTTTGAATTTAGAACTATAAAATTCTGACTCCCTGGTAGTGTTGCACATGCCTACGTGAGGATTGTGAACATTCAACCAATGAAACGATAAGAGGCACTGGATTTTTAGGAGTCCACATTTTATTGTGACACTGGAAAAGTGTTTAAGACCAGCTAGCCATGTCTTTATCATCCGTTTAAGACCGGCCACGTGACGGGCTCTCGACCAATAGGAATGCGTAAACTGTCTTTAAGTATTTATGAATGTTGCTTTAAAGGGTTAAAGTACTCGTACTCGGTTCTTGTACTCGAGTACTACTTGAGTACCGTTTTTAGAGTACTCTTACTCGTAATTGTACTCGAATGTCAAAGTACTTGTTCTCAGACTGACGGTACTTGTATTCAGGCAGCAAAGTACTCGAACTTGACATGTCAAAATTGTACTCATGATTATCAAGGTACTCGTACTCCAATAGCAATACTCGATGAAAAAATATATGATAGGCCTATAAAGGTTGGCTTACCACGGCCATATTATACTTTATAAATGGTTGATTGCGGAAAAATCAAAGTTTCCTGTGTGCACGTCCTTTGGGCACGTCTTTTATCACAAGTACGTAACACTTAATTTTTGGCTTCAAGCACAATGTACTAGGACTTGTACCCATACTCTGAAATGCAAGTACTCGTACTCGTACTTGTAAATACAAGAACTCGTACTCATAGTCGTACTCATACTCATACTCGAGAGTACAAGTACTTGTACTCAGAGATTTGTACCTAGAAGTACGTATAATCGTACTCGGCAACGTAAGTACTTGGCAGTACTCGGTACTCGGAAAAAGTACTCGACTGCAACACTGGTTGCTTAGCATGGGATACCCATCCAGCTCTATTAACTTACTAGAGAGCTAACTCGCTGTACACAATGTAGCCTGCTCAACTTTCTACATGGCTTTTGAATGGCTATTTGCATATCTGGGTTTATATTTGAAACCAATGCATAAATGAAGCTGATACACTCAATATCTTGAATTTGGCCTGCATAAACAATGCATTTTTTCCATACTTATGAAACTGAGCTTGTGTTCGTTACTTTACAGGGCTCGAAATATCCACTGGACCGTGGACCGTGTCTAGTGATTTTAGCGTCGGTCTAGTGCTGTGTGAGACTGCACTAGTCCGGCTGTCTAGTGTTTTTTTCTTGCACTGTATAAACAAAATGATGCCCAAATGTATTAGCAGTTGAGGTCTGATTAATAGCGTGCTTTGAGTTCATTACTTGATTGATTAAAATTACCGAAAAAAACTCCCTGTGCCGTGCCGAAACGCAACGAAGCTGCCTGGCCAACGCGCCAGTCATACCATGCCAGTTGCAGACAAACGTACGTACATCCCATACAGTACATGTACGTTGATGCTCCGTTGGTACGATGTCGCGCACGATGTCGCGCCATCACAACTTAGATTGGTAGCAATACGTTTTTCCCTATGAAACGTCCATGTTCACTGCGGGAAGACAAGCAGAATCCCTGTACTGCATGGGAATTAGTTGTACGGTCTAGCTCCCAGACTTTTACGAAGCAAAAGACCGTGCCTGCTGGCAAGAGAATTAGACTAATTTTCCATTGGAACTAGCCAAGTGCACACACGAAACGGGTGACTCGTAAACTTTTTCTTGCAATCTGTGCTTCGTCTGTTCTTTGTTATATTCCTGTCACATAGTGGAAAATATTCTTTTTTCTTATTTATGACTCAGGTCTTGTAAAAATAGTTCAGGTCCAGTAAGATTCTTCCGTTACTAGACCTGCTGTCTAGTGCTTTTCGTGAAATTCGAGCCCTGCTTTAGCAGCATTGTTGTAGACTCATGTTGCATTTAGAGCATTCCATTCCATCTAATTTCAGTATATTCTACGAGCGTGCACATTTGTTCAAAATTTCTGTGCCCAGGACGTGTCCGAAAGGTATTCTATGCAAACGAATAAGGAGTTAATCTGTTAGTGTTTGATAAAAATCAATGGGGGAAGCTGTGTTATGGGACTAAAGTTTCTTTTGCTCCTTGTACCGGTAGAAATGCAAATTGTTTAGTACACGTGTAAGTCAAGCATTGTGCTTAACATGTACACAGTCTACATGACCAGCTTAAAGTGCATAGTCCAACGTCTCTCCACGGAATTATTGTGCATTTGTAAAAAGAAATCGGGTTATAAAATATTTGTTTATGTTAATACATGCCTTTGTCTTCTTTAGTTGACCTGCGCACCATAGACCATGCTGATGAGCCAATTCTCGTAGACGACACTCCGCCAATCGCAGGAGACTTGTTTGATGGACCCTACGCTGGTAAAGATCTCGTGTTTACCAAAGACAGAAATGAGGTAAATGGACTGACTGAGTGAATCTGAGTGAGGATCCTCTACACAAGGATAAAGGACTCATCTGTAGTTTGTGTACAAAATGTACGGAACGGATTGTCTACATATGCGTGATATGCCGCGTCCGCGCATAGAACAATGCATGGAACATGTACAATGCGCATGCGCCCAATAGCTAGCTGGCACCCTCATACCTGCCAACTGTTCCGATTTAGGCGGAACTGTTCCGATTTCGGAGATAAAAAGTGCCAGAAAATCGGAACGTCCCGATTTTCCGAGTTGCGAGAAGAAATAATACAAAAAATTAAAAAAAAAATTTAAAAATTAAAAAATGCCCCGGCCCCGGCCCCGGCCCGACGCACACTTGTCCGAGACAAATGTTTTATTGTATTGAGGGCGCTATTGCCGCTACCATAATGGTATAAAATCCGCCTCGCTCTTATGTACGACGAAAGGGACGTAAACCAGACTCAAACGTCAACGAACAGGCCATGTCCGAATAGGCTGCGGCTGCAGCCGTACGCACGCACAGGCTTGTGCGATCAGCTACAACCTAGCCGCAGCCAATACTGAGACCCGCTACGTCATCCGTCTGGTGTACTGCCTCTCTAGCTCTTGCGTGCTTACTGAATTAAGCGCGGGCCAGGCACGGCGCGGTGATGCCATGTTTGTTTTCCACACACGTTGTTTCTTCATAGTCTTCGGTGGTTTTTCGCCGTTGATATTTTGACCGTGCTGAGTCGCACTTTTTTTGTCAACGTTTTTGTATGAGCATCTCAACTGTAACATGGACCAGGAGGATGATACACTGAAGGCAAAAAAGCAGCGATGGAGTCAAAAATTCCGAGAGGAATATCGTGAAAAATTTAGAAATGGCAAATATGTAACAGGCCTATGTACACCGTACAATGATGTACGAACTTTTCCAAATAAAATTGTACTTGTCACTGCTTGTACAGTGTACTTGTAAAACTGTGACTGAATATCTATATGTGATTAACTGTGAAGCATGTAAGTCAACAGTCATTTATTCTTAAATTGTAAAAATTTTTGATCAGCAAAAACCGGCTGGAAAATTCAGAAAATTATCCACTGAATAAGATTAGTGTCTGTTGGGTCTGCTTCTGGATATCATGTAACATTTTAGGCACATGTACATGTACATGTACTTTGTATGACTGCCTCTGGACCCAGCCCATTAGCGCGCGCGCCTGCGCCGCTCACCGTGTGTGATGCGTAGGCACCCTGTTCCTCTTTCTGACTTTTCAATGTTGGCAGGTATGCACCCTGCAAATTCGACTGTGCAGTCGTGCCTGCGTGCACGTCTTGCATACGCCCATGCATGACGCCCTAGTGCTGTATCACGCATCTTACCAGAAATTTGGGGAAGTCGTTTATCCTTGTGTAGAGGATCCGTGACGATACTAATGTACAGATATGGAGTGCACATATCCACCCATAGTTGGACACAGACTAATGCCATAGGGAGTGTGTAATTAGAGAGTGATTGATTTGAACTTGAGTCCGGACAAAATATGAAGTGATTTCAATATTACGGACTGTATCTGCCATAAAAAAATACTAAGTTTTACTTGATTAGTGGATTATGTCAAATTTTCGTTATATTTTCCTGCTTTGTTGCTCAGATTTGTGCCAATTGGCACAATTGGTATGACCCCGAGTCTGGGATCTTCTCCTACCTGTGGGCGGTAGGCACTCAGCCTGGCCTGAGTAACGTGGTAGACTTTGTCAAAGTGTCTCGTCGAGAGCACGGTGCCTGCTCTGGCTATGTGACCCTGCAGCACGGGGAGATGTACTACTCAACACTTACAGCCTTCCATGGTGGATATGATAAACTCAACGTGTCAGCTTCATCAGATGGAGGTGATTGTCATTGTCAATACATTGTCGCTGTGACCATTGCCACAATTGTAATTATTGTCATTGTCATTAAATCATCATTGTCATTATCTTTGCCATTATTGTCACAGTCGCCGTTGTTACCACTCATCATTATCACCACCATCATTATCGTTAAAATCACAATCATTCTCATTACTATACCATTATTACCATTGCTGTCAAAATATTAAGAAATTGTCATCATTAAAATTGCCACTCTCACATGTTTTCAATCATTTACCTTTTCAGTGTACTGCCAATCTTAAACTGCTGATATAAGGATGTGTCTGTAATATGGTTTTAACATCATCATTTTCATAATTACAATCACAATCATCATAATCCTCATCAGTGATTTTTATCTCAATCCTGTATCCTCGCACAAATTGGTGAACTTAACCCACCCAAAAAATATAATCTTAGGGGCCATTCAGAATTTTCAATGTTTTAAAATTTCGACTTTTTTTCCAAATTATTTTGACCCACCCACCCACCCACCCCTAATTTCGATTAATAAAAACTGATTTGTTACGCAGTATTAAAAAACAAAACATGTACCGGTACATGTACATGTTCATGCACTTGCATGTACATCATATCCCACTGGCAGGCCTGTGCGGGTTGCGTGTCCTTTTGGAAAAAAAATTCATTGCTGCTGAGTGCTGGGCGGAGGCAAAAGCTGTCTCTTTGCAACTTTTCAACAGCAAACAAAAGTCAAAAGATCTAATTTATTTTTTTAGGCTCTTTTTTCCATGAAAAGTGAACTTCGATTTTCAATTATTTAGCTTGACCCACCCACCCACAATTTGGAAAAATAGTCGAAATTTTTAAAACATTGAAAATTCTGAATGGCCCCTTAGTGTGGCAGTGTCAGAAACATTTAGTTTGTGGCTAAGGCTTTGTTTTTTGACATGGACACAACACTGTGAATAGCCGTAGTTGCAAACAAATCACTTAATCCAGACACAGTCCATTGTCTTCATATTAATATAATCAGTCATATGGGTCATATATTGATGTCTCTTTTCATCTCCTCAGTGACTGTAGATCAGACTCCACGGATACAAGATAGTGTCTATGATGGCTTACTGCCAGGACCTGCAGATTTGGACGTCTCCTCAGGTATTGTGATCTGGATCATATATTGATATTTTGGTATCTTCTATCTCCTCAGTGACTGTGGATCTGACTCCACCGATACAAGGCAGTGTCTATGACGGCCTGCTGCCTGGACCTACAGATCTAGACTTCTCCTCAAGCCCAGCCACAGTGGAGGCTCAGTGGCAAGGATTCTCTGATCCCGAGTCTGGTATTGAAGACTACCAGGTTACTGTCTATCGCAAGCATGATGACAGGTGAAGATTAGCTTGAAAGGATTTGGACTTTCATTTGATGTTACAGAAAGTTGCTGTTCTTTGATATTGAATGAGAAAGTTACATGTATGTTTTGAGAAAATGTTTGAATTCACTGGCTACCCATGCGATAGATGTGTAGATACGCATCTAGCAGAAGATAGTTGCGATATAACAGATTGGAGCGCTGTGGTCTGATGGTTAGGGTGTCTGACTCGTGTGCCATGGTACATGTGTTCCAACCTTGATGGGGGAACATGCATGGTGCTTGTGTTCTTGGGCAAGACACTTCACTACAATTGCCTCACTCCACCAAGAAGTATAAATAGGTAACTGTGAAGGTAAGGACCGGATTGGGCTGAATGCAAGTTGCTACAGAAAAATTGTCTCATGGCCTGATGAACTGGGGTGATAATTATGAAGTGCTTTGAGACTTTGGTATAAAGCACTATGTAAGCACCACAGTATTGAGTTTTTGAGTGGTGAAATGAGCGATTTGTCATTTTGATAATTTCATTTTATTCACACTGTGTAGTGCCAATCACACAATTGACTTTGAAGTCATCCATGAGTCAGAGGCAGTGGGCATTGAGACATCCTCCATTGAGTGGCATCACTTCCATCTGCATCACAAGGACCAGGTCTATGTCAACCTACGCACCATCAACCAGGCACTGAATCACATCGATACTCCGACAAATGGGTTCTTGGTAGACCTGACTCCTCCAATGTTAAGAACTCTTGGAGATGGGCTGGTAGTGGGTCAAGATGCTGACTTCCAGGTGAGTCAACTTGACCTTGTAGATCCAGGTGTGAATCACATTGATACTCAAATGAATGGGTTCTTGGTAGACCTGACTTCCCGAATGCTGAGAACACTAGGAGATGGGCTGGTAGTGGGTCAAGATGCTGACTTCCAGGTAAGTCAACATGACCTTGTAGGTCCAGGTGTGAATCACATTGATAATCAAATGAATGGGTTCTTGGTAGACCTGACTCCTGCAATGTTGAGAACTCTCGGAGATGGGCTGGTGGTGGGTCAAGATGCTAACTTCCAGGTGAGTCAACATGACCTTGTATGTCCAGGTGGGAATCACATTGGTAGTCAAATGAATGGGTTCTTGGTAGACCTGACTCCTGCAATGCTGAGAACACTAGGAGATTGGCTGGTGGTGGGTCAAGATGCTGACTTCCAGGTGAGTCAATATGACCTTGTAGATCCAGGTGTGAATCACATTGATACTCCGACGAATGGGTTCTTGGTAGACCTGACTCCTCCAATGTTAAGAACTCTTGGAGATGGGCTGGTAGTGGGTCAAGATGCTGACTTCCAGGTGAGTCAACTTGACCTTGTAGATCCAGGTGTGAATCACATTGATACTCAAATGAATGGGTTCTTGGTAGACCTGACTTCCCGAATGCTGAGAACACTAGGAGATGGGCTGGTAGTGGGTCAAGATGCTGACTTCCAGGTAAGTCAACATGACCTTGTAGGTCCAGGTGTGAATCACATTGGTACTCAAATGAATGGGTTCTTGGTAGACCTGACTCCTGCAATGTTGAGAACTCTCGGAGATGGGCTGGTGGTGGGTCAAGATGCTGACATCTAGGTGAGTCAACATGACCTTGTAGATCCAGATGTGAATCACATTGATATTCAAATGAGTGGGTTCTTGGTAGACCTGACTCCTGCAATGCTGAGAACACTAGGAGATTGGCTGGTGGTGGGTAAAGATGCTGACTTCCAGGTGAGTCAACATGACCTTGTAGATCCAGATGTGAATCACATTGGTAGTCAAATGAATGGGTTCTTGGTAGACCTGACTCCTCCAATGCTGCAAATTCTTGGAGACGGGATGGAGGAGGTGAAAGATGCCGACTATCATCATTTAGATTAGGTTTAAAATGAAATTATGTGGTGAATGAGATCTTAATGGAGCTGACACCCAAACCCTTGACGGTTGGCTGGTGATTGGTCAAGATACTGACTTGCAGGTGAGTTGCATAATCATAATTGCAAGTTAAGACTTCCTTCCTGTACCAATTGGCTCTACCTTTTGTTAGTGAGTACATACAGTGATGAAGGTCAGTTACTGAAGTAGAAACCTTCATATAATGCACATTCTGTGAATCAGCGTTTGTTAAATGTTAATCAGCGTTTTCCTAAGTTCAATGATGCTGAACTGAATAATATGGTGGACTAAATAAGTTGTCCACAATGCAGTTGAAAGTCTTTGGAATTACTGCATTGTAAAAGAAGTGAAGTTTTTCTGAGGTTGAGCAATATTCTTCTGGTGGGTTGAACAAGTTTCTCCATAGATTTTATGCCGAGGCGCGTACTGCAACAGGAAAACTTGGCAACTGGATAGGTATGAGGTATAGTAAAACAAATATAACATGGTTTATTTCGGGTGGATAACTGATATTAGCTCCCGTCGGCATTGAAAGATGACCAACTAGTTCCCTTTGCTTAGTTTGTCTACTTCCAATACCTCGGGGAGCTAATGTTGACTGTCCATCCTCAAACCATGTTATATTCGTGTCATTTTTCTTCCTTCATCTTCCTTAGTCGCATTCTGACAATCTTGCTGTACATTGGGACTACTTTGATGATGAGTCTGGCATTGAGTCCTTTGAGTTGGCAATCTATGAGATGAAAGAAGGAAACAAACACAAGATCTTCCCGATGGGTAAGTCCTGCTTTCTGAGATCCAGTGAATACATTGCAGTATTAAATATTAGCTACTATTCCTTTTTGGTTTTTGCAGCAAGATGCGTGGTTGTAACCACAGATCCTCTACACAAGGATAAACGACTTCCCCAAATTTCTGGTTACATGCGTGATACGGCACTCGGCGTCGTGAGTGCGCATATGTAAGACGCGCATGCACGCACGACTGCACAGTCGAATTTGTAGGGCGCCAGCTAGCTGTAGGGCGTGTGCGCGCACATTGTTCTACATGTTCTATTCGTTGTTCTATGCGCGGACGCGGCATATCACGCATGTAATCCATTCCGTACATTTTGAACACAAGCTCAGATTAGTCGTTTATTTTTGTGTAGAGGATCCGTGGTGTAACACGGTATGGCATTTTCCCCTTTTTTCTTTCTTGTTATGCTTTTCAGACAAAAATCCAAATAGCTTTGAATTGATTACTGACATCACGGCTCGATCCCATGTACAAAATGGGCTGACACTGCAACCAGGGGCCCTGTACGTGACGCGAGTCAAGGCCAGGAACCAGGCCAAACTAGTTGCTTCTCATGAAACCAGTGGTATCAAGGTGGATCCTAGCCCTCCTTTGGTGAGTAGAGATAAGATAATAATAATGTGTATTTGTAAAGTGCAGCTTCCCACCACTATTGGTGCTCAAGGCGCTGCATAATTATTACCCTGCTCATTGGACCAACAAAACATTCCAAATTCCATCTCAGCTCCCTTGGGAGTATACAGCTCAATGCTGCCATTTTGGCGCAAAGCAGCTAAAATCAACCACAATAGCCATCTCTGCCCTCACAGGCACCCATTTACTCCCGGATGGGGAGAAGCAATTAGTGACAAAGTGCCTTGTGTAAGGGCACACACACCATAGCAGCAGGCTGGACTCAAACCCACAACCTGCAGAATTGCCCGCAGACCATGAATTCAATGCTCCAGACAACGATCGTGGGGCCACGGCACTCCACGTTATTAGTGGGAGTATCTGGAGGTGTTGGGTTCAGTGAAAAGTGTCTTTTAACAAATAATACTCTCATTATTTACAACAAAAATGGATTGGCCATTAGCTTAAGGGGGAACCGATTTCAAGTTTGAACACTGTATTTATATAATTATTGATAGAAGTAAGAGAAAGTTGCATCATCAGGACATTGTCAGGACACTAAACACATGTTGGACGCATTGACTTTTGCCGTTCACATGTTGGAATTTTGGTGTAAAAACTAATGCACATTGCTATTGGGAGATCTGTCAGAGCTAACTGACTTGTGCAGATTATGACTATAATTAGCTTTTGGTTGCCTACGTGACGAGCTTACAGCTCACAATGAATAGTTGTCATGAGAGGGAAACCTTGTTATTAATCTGGACACAAGAGACAACCATTTGGAAGTGATGATTATCATTTTCATTGTACTTGACGAGAGTCTTACATACTAATGTGTCTTTGCAGTTTGTAAACGATTTTGATCCATTTGATTTTGATTAAAGATGAGATATGTCCGTGGAGGCAATCTGGATGGAGAGGTGGAAGAAGTCATCAATGAATATTTGTATCAGAACAGTCTCAGCACCATCCAGGCCTCCTGGCTGGCTGTAGATGGACAGAGTGGCATCAAGAGCTACTGGGTGGCAGTGGGAACAGCTCCAAGTCAGTATAACGTTTTGGTGTACAGCTAGCTTTGTGAACAACAAGCTAGATATATTGGCTGAAAGTTGCTCAAGTTGGAGACGATGAGCTGTTATATATCAGCTTTGTGTTATTTGAACTCTGTTTTGTGTCCGTTTATTTGAGATAAAATAACATATTTTTTATAAGTTTATTTTAAGATAAAATGTGCCTGAAATGTTGTTCACATTCACGTTTTCCTTGTGATTGATATGATGAATGATCAGACAGGACAAGTCAAAAAGAAGGACACCCAAATAGTGCCCCCTAGTTTTTTGGAAGAAATTCTGCATTTAGTGCTTTTCAAGATATTTCCAATTAACAGGCTTTCTTTCAGTGAAAGAATCATTCAAATCACTCATGTCTTTTTCTAGTTATGGAATTTTTAACACAAACAGCATTTATTTTAACCTTGTCCACGGATCACAATAAGGGTAAGTGATACTTCAAACGGATGCCTTTTGTCATAGCTCAGTAGAATGGCTTGTGACTTGAAACTGAAGGACTTATGATCCTTGTGTGGGGAATTGTGAGGATGCTTGTCTGATGTTTTGATAAATTATATTTTTGTTCTAGATTCTGAAGACATCCAACATTTCACCTCCCTGGGCTCTAAGAGAAGCTGTGTCCTATTAGACCTGAATCTCCAACTAACTGACCCATCAACATGCAGTGATGAGGCAGTCACTGTGGATTGTCAGCCCGTCTACTACGTTTGTGTCAAGAGTCAGAATGGCGCAGGAACATTCAGTGACGTCATTTGCTCCTCACCAATCAGAGTGGTGGAGGAAGATCAGACAGGTTAGTTGTGGATATCTGTTTTCACTCTCAGGGCTCGAGAATAGTGCTTCATTATTAAATTTGAAGCTCTGGCAGACAAACACACAAACACATGTACACTTAGCATATGGGGTTTATGGGGTACCTCTTTTGTTCGATCCTAATCCCCTTCTTTTGTTCTCCTTTGTCCCCTTAGAAATCTCAAAACACATAGCGTTAGGGCTATGGGGTACTTCAATTTTTAAAGACAGATCTTGTGGGGTACCATTGTCCATATTGCTGCCCTTTGTTCTTGGTACCCCATAAGTGGCAATGTGTTCCTATTGTTCCTAAAAAAAACCCAATTATTTTTTGAAATGTCCCAACATATTGTTTCTCTGAACCAATACATGTTAATTAACTCTTTTCAAAATCTAACACGGTGTACTTTGATTGTCATGACTTAGATACATGTAGCTTAAAGGGAATATACAACATTTGCAGACATCAAAAAAACAAAACTTTCAAATTATTATGAAATACCTTACTGGACGGTTAGTGCATGACAGTCTAAAGTAGCTTGTAAAATCGTGGTATTTTTGTTTGAGTACAGTATATAACTCCGTCTGCCAATTTTTTTTAGGTTATGTGACTGATGGCCCAAGTATGGTACAGGATATAGATGCACAACATGAGAAAACAACAGTCTCCATCTGGTTTGATGACTTTGAGGTACAACCTTTCTCTTATGGCTGAACTTTTTATGTGTAGTTTTAAAGTCTAGTGAAGAAATTGGTTCCATACCTTTTTCATTTATGTATTTGAATAGTTCCCAACTTCATGTTGCTTTATGCACATTGTTATGTAAGCCAATTGTATAGCTCCTCGATTCCTCATTATGTGATCTAAGCTATAGACAAATCCGGCGGCAGCCATTTCTGCGGTGGCACAAGGTTCGCTCGAGTCTTTCGACCAATAGGAATACCACAATGCGTGTGCGCCACGTCTTTAATAATAATAATAATAATAAAGAGCATTTATAATGCGCCAAATCCATCTTGATTAGATGCTCGAGGCGCAGAGAAACAAACAAATAAACATGAACAGCAAAAACAGCAGGGAACAAAAGTACGCACAAATGAAAATACATGAATATGAAACAGTACATATGAGAGTGAAATCAAATTGGATGATTAATGAAATGCTGCTTGGAATAGGTGGGTCTTCAGAGCACATTTAAACTCATGGGAAGTAGCACTATCACGAATATTTTGAGGAAGTTTTTTCCATAACATAGGTCCAGCATGAGAAAATGAACGGTCCCCCCAAGATTTAATAGTTTTAAGAAAGCGTGCAGCATGCGCGTGAGCGTGACACCACCGCAGTTCCGCCCCAGTAAAAGCTTTTATTTCTTGTCGCCAGATTCCACGATATTGAACTGAATTTTCATCAAAGTGAATTTTCTGTGTTGATTTTAGTCCTTGAAACTGATTTTGCTCAGAAACATGTTGCTATTACAATTGTAATTACTAATTGCAGAGTTATCATTAGTATGCATCAATGGTGGAATTATCTATATAAAAAGAGTGATATTCTTATTTGTTAACCGCAGAGCCAATTGCATGGCATCTCTCACTATGAATGGGCAGTGGGTACTACCCCTGGGGGTGAGGACATCCAACCTATGACCTCTGATGGAATAGTGCCTGGCAGTGATGACGATGTGCAAGGTATGGTTGCCAATGTGTTGCCTGTTACTTACTTGGATGAGATGGATGTTTGTAGTTTACCTAGATGTCTGGTGCACTGGCTCATCTCCTTGAGTCCCTGTCACGTAACTCACTGAAGGGTTGACAGGTGGTAATTTAAGTTGTGAAGGATGTTTGATTCGCACACAATGTGTATCCTACTGGCAGTCTTTGTACATTGCGACGTAAGATGAAAACATAGATTGAGACATATTGGACGGGAAAAGTGAAGGTGGGATGGTTTGTTCAAAACTCAGCTTGGTCCACTCTTTGCAGCCTCTCTGGGAGGGCTAGGTCTCTCTTGACTCCAGCTTTGTTGGCAGAACACCACTATAACAAACACGACAGGTTCCATTAAAAATGTTCCATTTATCGGTTGTTTGTTTTAGTATGTTTAGCAATTGTAGTACCATCGGGAACACTTTTTTGGGGAATTTGTCCAATGTTTTCATGGGCCATTTCCATCAGTCGATCACCTCTCCACTGTTGTAGGTTCATTCCTGCTTTGTGCGTGGCTTCTTGGTCCACTAGTCTTTGCAGCCCCTCTGAGAGGTCTCCCTAGGTCTCTCTTTGAGTCCAGCTTTGTAGGCAGAGTGGGCCAATTCCGTCATACTTCAGAACGATGAGTAGAGAGGGAGTTGTTTTAGCTGGGTCAGCGGTTGGGCATCTGGTGGCAGCTGTGCATTCACGTATGGGCGGGTGTTATCGTAGATTTGAAAGATCGGCTCATACTGGGAAAACATGTTCTCGCACTTGTGTGCTGTTGCCGCAAGGAATTCCCCGCACTTCTCTCTAAACGGTCTCAAACACAATAAGATGATGTATCAGTCCGACCTCACCAGAAACTGCAAAAGTTATATTGCAATTGCGACCACGTTGACCACTCTTCTAGCTGGGGCTCCACAAAGGGCTTGTCCGAACGAACGTCTTGTCCGAACGTAGCCTGTCCCGTCGATGAAGACACAGTAGGCTAACACACCATGGTGTAGAAACCACTGTCTGTACTCAACGACCATGTTAAGTACATGTTGGGAGTTCCTTGCTTCAGGCACCTCCTCTGCTAGCTTCAGGGTCATCAACATGCCATCCAAAGTCGAGCAATAGTGTTGGAAGAAACAGGCGGCTTGTCAGGGAGGGCATGCTCTGGGTCTTCTTTCGTTTGCTTTAGAGTTAGAAGGGGTTGAAGTCTAGCAGGTGTTGAAGCTCATTCCTCATTTCTTCGTCCATCTTGATGTTGTGAGCCCCTCCTGTTGGCCATCTTTGACGGTGACCAGTGCGTAGATAATTGACCACGATGGATCTGGCAGTCTCTCTCTTGATTCCCAGAGTATCCGCTAGCTCTAGATAATCGGCGTTGTTGTTCTCAAACGCCTTGATCAGTCTCTCCCTATCCACATTTTGTACTCTACGGTAATTTTCACGGGCCGCCATCTTGTCCGCATGAACACTAAATTTAAGAGAGAGGTTTGCATATACGGATTGAAGATATTATATATGCTGAGATAGCCCAAACTTTTATTGGAACACAGATATGCAGGAATGTCTTAAAAGATGCTCGAAAGTATTTGAACTATGTTTACCCATTAATGAAAACAAATGCCCGATCAACCTCCTACTCCTGATTTAGACGAAATTGAATGAACATTGCGATTCTTTTAATTTGAATGCATCCTTTACAGAGAAGAGCGAAAAGGTGATGGCATACTCTGATCGTGAAATTGAATGATTTTTTTTTATTGTCGAATGACGATCTGTGTGATCTTTCAATTTCAATCTACATTGAATGAGCCAGGCGTTAAATTGAATGGAACTTGTTGAAATTGGCCGGGAAAATCTATAGAATTTGCTATTTTGGGAACGTTCGGGGAAAGGGGATGTTCATTATAGCCAATTGTTTGTTATAGCTGTGTTCGTTATAGCGGCGTTTCACTGTACTGAGACATCCAGTGTCATCTTTTGTTTGATTGTACATATAGGATTGGCAGGCAAAGGCAAGGCCCAGTCCCCTCTGCCCCTCCAGCACGGAGTGTCTTACTACAGCACACTACGAGCCATCACCAATGCAGACAATGTCCTAGAATCCACCTCCAATGGCTTCACAGTGGACATCACTCCACCAGAGATTATGATCACTGACCTGGGCCAGTATGATGCAAGCGTAGGCCTGGTGAGTGGATTATCTTGGCTGCCTGAAATCCAAAATCAACAACATTCTCACTTTTTGTGCAGAGTATGTCCTCCATGTAGCAGCATAGATGGTGCCTCATCACCACTTACTAGAGCCCCATTATTACACAAAGGACACACCACTTGGGTGAACAGTTTCCCACGTGAATTGTGCAAAGTTCACATGGCTTATTTTCATCCGAATATGCACGAACCCATAGCATCTTGGCATACATCAGGGCCCAATTTCATAGAGCTGCTTAAGCATACAATTTGCTTAAGCACAAAAAAGTTTGCTTAATATAATCAGATTACCCACCAAAACTCCATGCGATTGGTAAGCTAAGTAAACAACAGTTAAATACCAGTCACAAGCAATGTACATCGCATGCAGTTTTGGCTGATAACATGATTATGTTAAGCAAGGTTTTTTTTGTGCTTAAGCAAATTTCATGCTTACATGTAAGCAGAGATGAAATTGGGCCCAGGTGCCATCAGCAATTCATTCAAGAGTCCCTTCCGATGGCTTGAGCCCCATTTTTCTCATTGTGAACATTTAGGGGGTACTTGTGCATCAGTCAGTCATCTCTCTGAAGACCCCTCTCCCTCCACAACACTTCTTTCATCAATTTCACAGTTTCTGAAAGTTCACTAATTCCTCAGTAATAAAATGCACTTTTGGCCTGCAACAATTGGTATCTCTTAACCACCTGATGCAAGGATTGTATCTCTTAACCACCTGACTACAAGCTTGTTTTCTTTTTACTGCATCATATGTTTATCATTTTGTTTTACGTTGTAAAAAACTTTTCAAAAGGAGATCGACGACTCTTTGCTGAATATCCGACAACCTTTTAATGTGCATAGAATAAATACATATAATAGTCGTCGTGTTGTGCTGTAAATACACCTACAGCGCGTCACACTTGCGGCTTGTTTTGTGAAATGAATCGCAGGACGCATCGCTGCTGCGACACGCCGTAGGTATACGACATGTCACAGTGCTGCGATGCATTGTACGTTACGATGAGTTTAATGAAATCGGGTGCAGGTAAGCAAGGGCGGATCTGGGGGGGGGGGGGGCAACAGGGGCCATGCCCCCCCCCCCCCCCCAAAAAAGCGAACCCAATTTTTTTTTTTAGGTGGGCCCCGAACCCCTCACCATATTTTTTTGGACCCACTTTTTGGGGACCAACATTTTTTTGGCCCCCCCCCCCCCAAGAAAAAAATGTGTTCTGGATCCCCCCTTGCAGGTATGTATCAAATCTACAAACTAAACAGACACATTAAAAGTGTCCAAGGTTCACATTCAGCCATGGCATGTTTGTGCTTTTTGAACAGAGCTTAGACGGTGGACTTCACCTGTATCAGTCTAACACAGACTCCATCGATGCCATGTGGGATGTGAGTGAAGGAGAAAGTGACATCATGACTACCTATTTCTCCATGGGTCGCTATCCAGGGAGTGGAGATGTCTTCCCTGTGACTGCAACTAATAAATCCTACATTCCATCAGCGCTGATGACTCCTGCAAACATAGGTACAATTCAACAGTTCTTGCTGGTTGTCAAATCATTCAGCTGGCTTGAATCCTAAAAGTGGTTGTCATGGACCTTATTCATGAGGAAGCCGTTTTGGTCATGTTCCCTGCATGTATTTTATAAATTGTGATCTGTTGAATGGGATGGTGCCAGACTATTTATGCATTCTAGCCTCACTTCCATTTATTTTGAAATGTGGCTTAAAACATTAGGGTATGTTTAATCACAAATTTTTAATTATTCATCAGAGCAGACTGGTATCAATTTGTAAATTACTTTATGTCATTGCTTTCTTGTCTCTTCACGAGTTCCAAAATGGAATTTTTACCTCGCTTTCAGTTTAATATGGCCGACTCGTGAATACAGCCCATTCCAATTTGGAGCCAGATGGGAATGTATACATTTTTATTATCCAAAGGGTTTTTTTTGGGGGGGGGGGGGGTTTCCCCAACTAAATTCAAGTTGTTTATGCTTTATAGTGTACTTTTAGATTGAATTAAATGAATGCATATAGTTTCTTTGAGTCCACCTTATCATATCTTGTTTTCAATAAGGGAATAAATGTGTGCTCAAGAGGTTTTAATCACTCTGTTTAAGACCGCCTAGAGTCTGGGACTCTGGGTGCTGATAATTACCAGAGCCAGAGGCGAGGGTAATTATCAGCACCCAGACTCTAAGCAGTCTTAAACAGAGTGATTAATACCGACCGAGCACATATTTATTCCCATTCATAAATACCTTTTCGGTAAAAAAATCCCGATTTTGTTCAACAAAATCACTCCAGCTTTTTGAAACATCCCTCTAGCAAAATAATGGAGTGTTCAGCTGGCGAGTAAGATGTAAACCACCCTTTTATGGAGATTGACGCGCGCGTGGCACGTTCTGCGCGATGTCACGCAGAACGCACCTGGGGCGTTGCGTTTTGAATTTAGAACTATAAAATTCTGACTCACTAGTAGTGTTGCGCATGCCTATGTGAGGATTGTGAACGTTCAACCAATGAAATGGTTATTTGGCACTGGATTTTTAGGAGTCCACATTTTATGTGACACTGGAAAAGCGTTTAAGACCAGCTAGCTATGTCTTTATCATCCGTTTAAGACCGGCCACGTGACGGGCTCTCGACCAATAGGAATGGCTAAACTGTCTGAGGTATTTATGAATGATGTATAATTATTGTGTTGTGTGCAATACCCTATCTTCTTGTATCATACTATGATTTCATTGGATCTACTATTTGGTAATGTATGCAGGGCCCCAATGGAAACCAGTTTTTACTTGGTAGTACACTCCTTGGGTATACTATTGCAGTAAATGAAGTAATAAATATGTTACTTGTGCTGTCAGTCATTATGCTTTTGTAGACACATGATTACCATATTACGCACTTTAATTTCATTACATTTTTGTTCGAATTAGGAGTGCCTAATATTCTGAGTGTTCAAGCAGTCAACAGTGTTGGGCTGAGGAGAACTGTCTATGCCACCAGTTTGACCGTAGATAATACTCCACCTACTGTTGGACAGGTATGGATTAGTCAACTCTCTTGCTTATGACAATCAAAACACGGCGTAATACAGGATCTCACAGTTAACAATAAGATGTATCAAACTGAACGTTCTCCCACTAAACTTCAAGTAGACCACCATTAAATGCTCTAACAGTCTCCTTGTTTATAAGGAACAAGTGCTCAGTCTCCAGAAATATATATATATATCAGCTTCTGTGGACCACTTAGTATTCTGGGAGATGAGTTGATTTTAAACAAGAAAAGTGTATCGAAAATGTTTTTGATGTGATATAGAAAAACTAAAGGATGGGGGTGGATGAGTGCCGTTGGATCTGCAAAAAGAATGCCAGTCACAGTCTACTTCTGTCAACATGACCACCTAAAAGAGTTTTCGCCCTAAAAAGGGAATTGAGTACAGAAGAAAACCAGAGGCACGATGAAATTGATACTGCCGGGAATAGACAATTCCATTGTCTGGAACATGTCATGATTTCTCAATTCAGAACTCCCTCCCAGTAATACAAAGTTAGATAAGGATTGGTATATCACAGCCAATCCATATGAAATCTTGGAAGTACCTCCTCACCAGATGACTTGTTGTTAAACGCTGCATCATCCAACTAACAGCTGTCCTTTTCCTGTCTGCCATTACCATTCAGGTTCAGTGTCCTGCCTTCATCCATGCCAATAGCGCCCTCTTGTGTAGTTGGACTGGTTTCTTGGATGCTGAGTCTGGCATTGATCATGTGGTTTTTCTGGTTGGGACGGCCCAGGGACAAAAAGACGTGTTCCAGTCGGATGATCTGCCTGGCTACCTCACTCACTACAGTGTTACAGCAAGTGAGCAAGAGACATTTGAAACCAAACATTTGAATGGAAGCTTTCTGCGAGTACCTCCAAGAAAGTGCTGTCATCAATCACAGTTTTCCAAATTAGTGTTATTGATTTTCCCCAAATTGCTGAATGTCAGTAGTGTAGTTGAGCCATCTCAAGTCCTCACAAGTCATCCAGTACCAAGTTACAAGTTACAAGCTACTCAAATAAACTGTGACCTTTGTTGTAATCTATCCCCAGCTACATCATGCTGGATTTATAAATGGATTTATGAATCACTTGAGGCCATACTTGTGATGGTGTTCACTAAAATACCACTGGAAGTTGGTTCTCACCATCGAGCTATATTTACTTACTAGAGCGCTAACTCCTCATTCTTACTCGCGGAGATACTTTGAAGCCGTCCTGCGCGCAGAAATTTTGAATTCATGTGCATGTTTGTAAAACATAACGAAATGAGATGGATTGAATTTAGAAAGTGCACCCTAAATGCAACACGCAAGTAGAACATACGCAAACAACTTAAGCGCGGCATGATGGTTAAAAAACGTCACGGCAAAAATCATCTGCAGCGAATACGCGTACGCATTTGCATTGTTTTTGCAGAGCAAAATGAAACCCTCATTTGCTGATTGTTATATGGTATTCATGGTTATGTCTCAAATATATAAGCTGACAGTAATTGGATAACTTTGTACTTTGCAGATCTGAATCTGATTCACAACCGAGTCTACTATGTCACTGTGGAGGCCTTCAATGCTGTCAACCAAAGCACAATGGCATTCTCTGTCCCTATTGAGATTGATGATACACCTCCAGCATACGGCCTTGTAGTGGAGCTATCTGGTGTGTATAGCTTCAATTTCAGTGATGCTGTGAACCAACCAGAATGGGAGTGTGCAAGCGAAGAGGAATGCTTGAGCTTGGACAGAGAGTGTCTGGAATCGCTTACCCAGCTGCAGATCCTATGGCAGCCGTTCACTGACGAAGACACTCAGATCACAAAGTATGAGGTTGCCCTGGGCACCACACCAGGAGGGTCTCAGATCAGACCTTTCTATGAGGTGTCCAAGGACCAGACTTCAGTGCTTATTACCAACATTGATCTGAGTAGCATTCGTAGAGTCTACGCCACAGTGAGAGGCTACAACGAAGCCGGTCTGACCAGCACCGCCGTGTCCAATGGCATCTACGTCAGCCGGTTCAGTGCAGGACTTCAACCTCTCAGACCATTCCAGGTCAAAGATGGAGTCACCGATGTAGACTTGGAAGACTCAGACTTCCAGACCTCGCTGCATGAGATGAGTGCATCATGGGATTTCAGCGGGGATCCGTGCCCAATGAAGAAGTATGAATGGGCCATTTACAGAATTGATGGACAGGAGATTCAGCCATTTATCAACATTCTCGGTAATAACACAACTTTGCCATTGAAGTGAAATCGCTTTTTGCTTAAAGACCATTTCAGTATACATGTAAACAAATACGTTACCTCTCATGCTGTTTTACCATTACTTGCTGTTTTAATATTTTATTTTTAATTTTTTATTTTATTTTATTTATTACTTTTGGTAATGAAACCAAGGATTCCCCAAATAGCGCCCTAGGCACTGTAAGCTCGAAAGCCTGAAGAAACCTGCAGATAGAACTGAATGAGAAGAAATTACAGTTTTAGAGGTGGGAGGAAAAACTCAGACGAATGTTCTGGGGAAAACCCACGGATTCAGGCAGGGACTGAACACCCAATCCACATATTGGCCCGGGCGGGATTCGAACCCGGGTCACAGGTGAGGAAAGTACCGCTACGCCAACCTGACTCTCCCTATTACGTAATTTTTGATAAAGGAATTTTATGTCAATGTGATGAAAGAATAAGGGTCTGCAATGGAACCGGGTGCCCGGGTACCCGACTGCTGATGTCAGGAACTGGTTCCACATTATGGAATCAGGAACCCGTAACCAACTTTTCAAATAACTTAGTAATTTCTCAGACAATGAAAAAAAAAGGTGTTTAATGGGATTTGTGGGGAATTTTCAAAATGAAAATGAGATACATGGAAAAGCAAAACAGCAAGGACTTCTTCTAAAAAAGGTCTTGCTTAGGCCACTCTAATTTTTTTAAGCATTATCTTTTAGTTTTGGATGTCAATTGTTAGCATTTATTGCCACAAGCAGCCATATAGCCATGTCTCTTTAATATACGGCCCCTCTTTACAAAGTAAGTCTTAACCAGTTAACGCCGGGTTTATTTTGACAAGAACGGACCAAGGCACGGGTTTAATATTCACTCGACTGCAATGCCAGGGGGGTCGAAGCCATCACCCAGGGGCTAGAGAGTCATATTTCCGGCCTCGGTCGGAGGCTGTGGCTTGCTGACAGATATTTTCCGGCCTCGGTTGTTGCAGGTTTTTCAGTCATCCAATCTGACTTTCGGAAAACTTTTGCTTGTATACACAGCCTCCGGCGCAAACTGGTTAAGGCCATATTATTTTCACTCCTTCATTATCAGTATGCATTGGAATGAAAATACTTCATTTTATGTCACACAAAGTTTGACATTCAGAAGAAAATGGATGTTCAATGGGCGGAAATATTATTGACTTCTTTGTAGTTGTTTAATTAAGGCCGTAACTTCCTGGTCATAAATCTAAGTTTAATTTCTGCGTCTGCATGGATTTATTTTTGACTTAGAGCGAACTTCAGACACCAACACAGACATTCGAATGACCGATGGTGAGACCTACTACACCCTGGTGCGGGCTACTAACGCCCTGGGCCTGGCTGTCACGGTCCGATCTGATGGAATCACAGTCAAGCGTGATCCCTTGATACCTGGCCAGGTCTATGATGGCCTCTTAGTAGGCTATGATTTGACTTACCAGAAGGAGACTGATAGGATATCAGCAAGCTGGAAGGGCTTTGGACAAGGGATGCCGATTAAAGAAACTATCCATCACACAGGTAGGTGTTGACAGATTGAAGGTAGACAGTCTGCTGTTAGGGTTTGAATTTTAAGCTAAAGTCAACCGGATTAGATGGCTAGTAGCATGAAAAAAAAAAAAACTAGAACAGAAATAATTAAACTATACCCAGGCGCCAAACCAGAGGGGGGAGGGTGGTTTGGGGGTCGAAAGTTTCAAGGATTATTGACCTCCAAATTTAATCAAGAAGCATTTTGTGACAGACAAAATGGACAACAATTCTGAAATGTTTGGTATATATCTGTACCTCGAATTTATAGCTGAATGTTTGGTACAGTGATGTTCATTGTAGCAGTCTTCAACTGTAGTGATTTAGACTTTTTGACTTTTTACTTGATTTCCCTACATTCATTTCCATGAATCCCCTTCAGGCAATGCTGAAGTCACCAAAGACCACATCACAGAGCAAACTGTGGATTACTACGAGGCCGCAGTTGGAACTGACCGTCGCTACCCTAAGACCAGAGACAACGAAGTGCCCTTCACTTATGTCGGACAGAACACAACAGTCACTTTCACTAACCTCAACCTCATGGCACGAGACTCAACGTATTACGTAACAGTCAGGGGATATAGTGCTAGCTTTGCCACAGCTGAGGTGACATCAACAGGAATCAATGTTGGTATAGACAGCACAGTGCTTGGTAGGTTATTCTCCGTTTTGACTTTTCTTCTCTCATGTTTAGGATATCTAAGCTGAGGGTAAAATTGACACCGGACACCAGACATTCACTAACCTTGTATGAACAAGTTGGTAGTGCAAGCACTTTCTATGTTACATATGATGGAGCTCAAAATTGCTTGCTTGTATTTGTCTGAACCTTTACTTGTGTATGGGCTCCGTGTTCAAGTACTCCTTCAACGGCCAGAAAAGGAGAGTTGGGGAGACCTAGTCTGGTTCCAGTTTATCCACTGCGTATTTCGAATGATCCAAAGTTATTGGGGGTGGTCATTACATTGGGAGACCATAACAAGTTAAATTCAAAGGCCCTTTTGGACAGCAGTAAACTGTGGCCTTGCCATGGCTACTTTGAAATGTTCTGTCTAGCAGTGTGCTGGCCATTAAATAACTATCTCCTTCAAATATTAGGAAACATTGTGTTGGTAGTGTTTTTGGGTAGTCACAAAGAAAGGATCCTTTTCATGCATGGTTAAATATCAGTGAAGCTCTCGTACTGACTACAGTCAATATCCAGACCGACTGTTTGCTGAAGAGAAAAAGCTGGTAACATTTTCAATTTTTGTGGGAGATAAGGACTTGTCCAATGGGACATGTTATTTAACTCACCCTGAATGGTTTGTATATTTCTTTGTGGTTGGAAGATATAAATGTTGCATTGAAAAAGGAAAAAAAAAATTTCCCAAACTGAGAACTTGATTTCTCTAGTTCATGCTTTGATTTTTTTTCAGCATCCAGTGGGTAAGCTTATGATATTTTTTGTGTATCTGGTAATAATGCACACCAGCTTTAAATTTCTCTATTATTGGTTTTTACATCTGTTCAGGAAGTGAGGTGGAAGTCCCAGAGTATGTAAACTCTGTCTCTGAGGTGCAACTCATGTGGGCTAAATTTCAATCCACCTTCCCCATCCTGCTGTACTACGTTGGTCTGGGTGAACTATCCACTTCCTCCATCCTACCTGAAGATATGGACTGCCTGGATATGCTGTTGGGGACAACGAAGGCCCAGACTACATTCCATGAGAGGTCGATGCATTTTGTAGGCAAAGATACCTTTGTGGAGGTCAAGGGTCTGAATCTGACGCAGGAAGGATCCTACTATGTCACTGTTGTGGGTGGGTGAATATTGTAACTCTTTGTGCAGGGTAGATGGGTAGCTTGAGCGAGAACCTACGAGAGAGAGGTTGAGTTGTGAAATATTGGCTGTGCATCATAGGGCATTGTTTAACTTCTGTCTAATGAAAGCAAATTGTCTCAGAATGAAGCTGATCTCACTTGCCTCAACAATATCAACCCATTTCATGGCACATAATAACAATACTGGGCAGTTACCCAGCTTTGGCGGTTCGTAGGACGCATAGAGTTGCTGGATGTAGCGATTGATTACCATGAGAAGTTGTCCCCCTACTGCGATCTGTTTACGCCCGAAACCGACCGGAAATCGGTGCTCTTTTTGTCATACAGACCCATATGAACAGCGACCTCTATAGTCATACTTTAGTGCAGCTTGGGAGTTCCCCTTTCAGATACAACCACAGCGTTTGCATTCATGTACCTGAATGAATATATGTACATAATAATAATAATAATAATAATAATAATAATAACAGATTCTTATATAGCGCTTTTAACTAAGATCAAAGCGCTTTACATTATTATTACCCCAAATCATTGGGCCAATTAAACATTCCATATACCATCTCAGCTCCCTGGGGAGTATGCAGCTCGATGCTGCCTGTTAGGCGCAAGGAAGCTAATTCAATCACAATAACCATCACTGCCCTCATAGGTATCCATTTACTCCATTTACACGCTGTATGTACGTATACATTGTACGTAAGAGAGAGGACCCCTGGGAGGGGCCCCCAGGGTCGCAATCGCTTAACAAACGTTGACAAAATCTAAGTTGGACCAAGCCTCACCCACCCACAGAGATGGAGCGCTGTGTGACCTGTCACTTCCGAGAATAAGCCCGGACAAACATCCAAACAAACATCCAAACAGAGACTTGCGTATTATTATATAGGTAATATTTATTTCTTTGACATTTCCCCAATGAATTGCATATCTGGCGCCATGACTCATGAGGGAGTGTAGTTGGAAACAGGATGCGGGGGGGGGGGGGGGGGGGGGGGGGGGGGCCTCCCATATAGGGGCCATGGACCAACGCTGACCATGAGTTGTGTTCAATGCATTAATTCCACTTATACATGTATTCATATCCTTCCAAATCTCAAAACGAAAATCAAAACGTATTTCTGTAATTTAATAATAAACACCTGTTTTTCTTTTATATAAATAGCACAGAAAAAACATTTTTTGTTCATGCTCCTGTCTTTCTAGGAATGAACGAAGGAGGACAGTGTAACTCCTCCACTAGTTACTTCTCTGTGGATATCACACCACCTATTGAGGGTAGGCTGCGTGTTGGACCTTTCTATGACATGGTAAGTCATCAGGAGATCAGTGTATCATGTTGCTGCATTGTCGCATATCCTGCCATTAAGGCTTGGTTGCATGCTGGACCATTCTCTTACATGTTAGCATGAGGGTAATGAAAAGGCTTCTTTTTTTTTTCTCTCTCTTCTTTTGGGAGGGGTGGGGCTGGTTGGTTATTCTCAAATCTTCCAGAAGCTATATGCCCAGTTTCAATTTAAATTTGCCATGAGGTGATTTTTAAACAAGTGAAGTGTTTTTGATGCCCAGTGTGCATGAAATTTAACTTTCAAGGCGTTCCAATCATCTATCACCACTGCTGAACTCGAACGTTTAGTAATCAGTGACACACTTTTTAAGAAAAACAAGTGCAAGTGCACGATAAGCTCTTGGCCAAGTTTGGGCAAGGACCATCAGTCGACTAGTGGTTGATTTGTGATGTACCTTACGCCTGTGCACTGATAGCAGCGTGCGAACGTCTCTAGTCAAACGCTGGTCAAAATGTCATCGCAAAACTTCTGGATCCTGGCTCTCTGCTACTTTGCTAGCGTTATGAATGCGCACGGCTATTGGTTACCAGCGATGCAACCAGCCCCAGTAGGTTGGTTCCAAATAGTCGACTAGTGTAGTCAACCATCGTCAACTAGACAGAGTTCAGGCAAGCGTTAGTTGAACTATGGTTAACCATTGGTCAACTATAGTCCTTGCGCAAACTTGGCCCTGGCTGTCTGGCAGGAAAGTCTTGCATGAAATCTATCCTTGCCTGACACGGTCTGCGTTAACGTAGCCCGTACTAGGGTTTACATGTGTAGTGTGAATGTCGAATAAGTAACTGGCTACTTAATCAACGTTGAACGTCGGACGGGGCACCGGTCTCCTTTCTGCACCAGCGAATCACCAAAATAAGCCCCCTAAGTTTCAAAAAAAATATAATGCGCTATATACCACGTGAGATACCACGTGACTGTAACATTACTGCACATATCTCACCTACATTTACAACATTTTCATAAATGGCTTCACGAAGTGTTACAAAAAAATTTTGTTAAAGATATAGTCCATCATTTGTAATTTGTGCATTTTGTTCGTTTGAAGTAACAAAAGTGTTCAAAATCTAATGAAGGATACTGAACAACTAACCTGATGAAGTTTCAGCTAAGCTTCAGCTGTATATTCCGAGAAAAACAGCATTCTAGGATCTCAATTTCAAATCAAAAGTTACTGAATCATGTTTTAAATTGTTTTGAATTGCAGCTATACGCGACGTCGGGCACTAATCCGACGAATTATAGCAACCGCGCGCGCATGTGCGTCGTGCCAATGCTTGCGCCCGCTTCGCCGAATAACAAAACGAACTACTAATATAAACGGTGCGTCTTAAGACGCACCGTTGGAAAGGCCTTCTGTCGTTGATTACTTCAAAATGACAGCTTCCAAGAAAGGATAATTTCACAGGGAGTTTAGTTCCCTTACTATCTTTCAACCAAGTTTGTTTTTCAACAATAATTACGCCAGTTACTTTTGGGATGGCTGCAAATGATGGACTATAGCTTTAAGTATTTAATTTATTTTGTTTGCATTTTTGTGAAGATTAAAATTTGGTAGGAGGTTCGTTTTTTGGTCAATTTTGCGGGGACCGACCAACCACAGAGTGACATGTAGAAGCTCTGGTGCCAGAACTTAATAAATCCTTATGTAATAAGAACATCAATGTCTCATGCATCATCATCTAGAATCATGTAGAAATTGGCAGCATCATTCAGCGCCTGTTTGTTGACACTTAAAACAGCAGTTGCTTTATTCCTTGCCAATATTTCATGCAACTGACTAAAACCCACCAATCACACTCGCACTGAATTACCTGTCTGTGAGTTTTGAATCTTGTATTTGCAGCCTGTTGCCTATACTGACAGTACTGAGTCTGTCTCTGTGGTGTGGGAGGATTACAGAGATGATGAGAGTGGAATCAAGTCCTACAACCTCCGCCTTGTGCAAGCAGCATCATGTAATGAGGATGAGGATAACCTTACTGCGGTAGCCAACCAAGACTGGCTGGTACTCGGCCCAGGCATTAACGATTTCACATTCGTGGACTTGAACCTAATTGTGAGTTAAATTTTAAAAAAACACATTAGGGTTTGTAACTATGGAATTGTGTTCTGTTGACCATGTTTTTGGCATAAACGTCGATCTGGTCAATTAACGCGCGAGCATTCTGCGCCCATGTCCCTGCACATTCATGCACCTTCGATGAGCATTTGATTGTCCTGAATGACCCGTAACTCGACAAACCAGCCCTATGTTGTTCAGCTATCGGTAGTTAACCATGCAGGAGACTGTACTATCCCAAGTAGTACGCATCTTTGTACTCGTCTGAGCCGACAGCAAGTTTAAACGTGACCTGTGGTTAAGCGTACATTATCCATGAGCAGTTGATTTGAATTGGAACTTGAGGATTCGTGATTGACTTGCAGGGACATGTGAAGGACTGGACTACATCCCTGACATTGAAACAATTGTCAAGGGCTTGATTTAGGTTGTACTTGCAAAGTTCAGCATTAAATCATTACCACTGATCATATACCATTTCCTTTCTGCACAGACAAACCAGCCCTATTTTGTTCAGCTGTCAGTCATTAACCATGCAGGAGACAGTGTCCTATCCCAAGTAGGACCCATCTTTGTTGACTCGTCTGAGCCGACAGCAGGACTGGTAGTTGATGGAATGGACTTCAAGATGGACATGACAGACAGCGGCGACAGAACCCAAGTTACCGGTAAATGGAAATTGCTACATAATTTTAGTTAATGTTCTTGCATGAATAGTTCAGCAAGTTTAAACGTGAACCATGGTTAAGCATAGTTTGACTAACTTCATTTAACCCGGGTTTGACCGCTCAACTTTGGAATGTGCTCCACAGCATGCATGGTTGCATTGCTTGTTGCCATGCATATCATTATGTACAGCAGGGAGCCAGCACCGGATTTCACGAAGCGCTGCAACTCGGGAAGCGTCGTATCATCCATTTCACGAAAGTTGCGATGTGTTGAACGCGTTGTAAGTTCCTTGACAACGGCTTAAAACACGTTGCAAGTTACGACGTGTCTAGTGGTCATCGCAATATAAGAAGAGTCTCTTTCTTAGCCAGTTTGATGCCATTAACATTGCATAAACGAGATTATAGTACCAAGGCAATGTGTGTAAAGTTGTAAATAGAAAATTCATTGAATAATTATGAATTAGACTGGAATATTGCAATTGAAATTTTAAAGTAGCTATACAGTCCACTGAAAGCTTGTTTTCCTTCAAAATTGCAGCACGGCCGCCATTTTGTTTTACGTTTTAACAAATTTCGAGCTGAGATCCAATGACTCTTTGTTGAATATCAGACGACTATTTACTGTACGCTGACTAAATACATAAAACAGTCACCAAGTTGTGCTATAAATACACCTACGACACGTCGCACTTCCGACATGTTTTGTGAAATGGATGACAGGACGCGTCGCAGCTGCGACGCATCGTAAGTTACGAAGAGTTTCATGAAATCAGGTGCTGGACCGAGAAGCATTGAGATGACTTTTTGAGGCACATCGACTCAACTTCTGATCGGAATGTGCACAAACGTAGCATCTTTGTGTCAACCCTGTAGGGCTCGAGTCCAGGGTTCGGAGTCAAGTCAGTCTCGAGTCACAATCGGCAGAAGATTCATACTCAGACTCAACCATCATGACTCAGACTTGACGCTAATGAGTACGTGACTCACGAGTCATGCATTTTTCTACCAAAACAAAATTTACTTTAAAAAACATAATTCTGGGCCCAATTTCATGGTTCTGCTAACCACAGCATTCCGCACTTGCGATCACCACTTTGTGCTAACCGGGCTAGCAGAAAAATTCTGTGCTAACCATGTAAGCACAAGATCCTTAGTTACAGGATGTACACATGCGCAGAAGCCAAAATTCCTTGCTAACCCGTGCAGTATGCTTACCGTAAGCAAGGAATTTTCGGCTGCTTTCACTAACAGTAAGCATGAAATGGGCCCTGATGTATATTTTCTGGAAGTAACGTTAAAGCAATGCTAGAGAACGTTAAGCGCAGGAACTGTATCAACACTACTTTCTAGGTGGTGTTATTTTTGTTTAAAATCATCCCTCCCAGACTTCCCACAACAGTGCGCCACTTACGTATCACTTACATGTGTGTCCATGTCTATGCACATCTATTTCACACAACATACATGTACAAACCTTGAGTAAACATACTTTCAACAAGCATACGTCACGTCGCATGGACCTATTTCTGCAAGATCATTATTGGGCAGAGCACCAAGAAATAATGCTGGTATTCTGTGCCACCTTAGGCAATGGTTGATGCAATGAACCAGCGAATCTGGCTCTGAGCTGATGGTTCCGCTGCGACTATGGCCAGATCCCTGCATAGGCCTATAGGCGGACGTGCTGATATGGCCATAGACATGTGTACCACGTTGGCTTTGAGGATGTTGCACGTTGTTTGCAGTTTCCATGCTTCATGTTTTAGCACTTTGAAATTCAAACAGCTAAGGCCAGACTCGGAGACAGATTTGAACCAAATGGCTCAAGTCTTGGACTCTGACTCAAAGTGACTCGAGACTCAGACGCAACTCGACTATAACATTGCTGTCATATCTCTGTCTTTTCATCAGTGAGGGGAAGTTTGTGAGTCTATAAGATTCATAAACAGACAGTATCTAACATCCTTACTAAAATTTTTAATCTATAAACTTATGTTGACTTGACTTCTACAGGCACAATCCTACACTTGCCCAACCCAGAGGGCCCACCCTGTCCACTGAGAGACATTCCCTTCACTGATCCACAGTGGTCAGCGATGGACTTCAAGGGACTCTGGAACATGAAGAGGGAGCAGTGGGACCTGGAGTATCAGTCACAGCAGGTAGGCTCAAGAAACTTCTTTCTGATAGTAATTGTATGAACTCAGTGGGGGAACAGAAGTTATTGCGACCACTTACTAATGCTCAATATGTGGGGCACACTGCACATGCACTAAACTTTGGGCAATGTCACGCGTACGTGAGCTTCTCCAATGCCACACTGCATGACGAAAAATGTACATGCATGTCGGACATTAATCATGTTTGTGATTGGTCGAAAATGCATAGGGCAGAGCTTAGTAATTGGTCTCTTATCCCTCCCCTCAAGAATTTCCCTTGTGGCACACTGTCAAATAAAGCTTGTCATGTGAGGTACCGTTCTTTCATTTCTTTCGGACAGATACCCTCTTACAAAAATAACATTGTGATCAGTAAACTCTGTTTCTCATCTAGAGACTGCTGAATTCCAACAAGTTGTGGGGTTTACGTAGCTGGAGGCATTAAAGCACAGATGTGTGAAATTTGGAACTCTAAACGTTAACTTGAAACACAAAGTTCACAAAAGAGATATTTCGTCACACAGTGTCACTGCTAACTTCACTTTTTATTGACTTCACGATGTAAATCTTGAAATGTTTAAGTATATGTATTTATTTATCAATAGAAAATCCTGAGGTGTTTTCAGGCAAACAGCCCAAAACCCGTTCATTTTAACCCCTTTGCTGTTGGTAACCAGGTACATGCATCTGATGAGAATGTGATGCTGATTATGGAGAGAGATACAAGAGGGCCTCGTATGCTGTCTGGAGCCTACGTCACCAATGCACAGATTGTAAGAAGCTCAGAATATGAGGTCAGTACTCCGCCAGAAACCTTGAGATATCAGCCCCTCACAGCTATGACATCAGTGGCGTGCTTAATGCATGTGAATCAGTAATGCCATCCAGGATGTTCATTTTGTCCCCAACAATTCCTGCAAAGAATTTGCTTCAATTTCAATTCATTTCAATGTATGAACAAAATGCTATTGAATTCATTTATATTTCTGTTTTCGCATACATTTTCTTTTATACTGACCTTATCTTACCTTTCCCCTTCGTGCCTGGTGGCACATAAGGCTTCCACGCTCATTTTCCATCTTCTTTTATCCCGTGCTTGTCCCCTGACTTTATTCCATGTTTTCCTTCTGGATTCGTTTCTCTCTTTTTCAACTGTCCTCCTCCATGTTGTTTCCCGTCTTCCAACTTTTCTTCTGCCTTCAGGTTGCCAAGTCAAGGCTGTCATGCAGTGGTGATCAGTTTTTCTTCCTCATTACGTGACCTATCCAGTTCCAACTTCTTTGTTTTACTTTTGGGTTATTTTTTGAGATTTGGTTACGTTATTGAGTCTTTCATTGATATGATATTTGACCACCATATTTGCATTATGTTCTTCAGGCATTGATATTGGAAGGAGTTTAGTTCGTTTTTGTCACTTTTGTTCGTTTTCCACTTCTCGTATCCGTACAAGAGAACTGGTCTTGGTATGGTTTTAAAAACTTTAATTTCTTTTAAGCTTAGTATGTTTAATTTCTGCATATATTTCCGTTTATACGTCGGTGAAGGGGAAACTTAATTGGATTTTCATCACCTCGACGCAAAACTCCCATCTGATGCATATTTTCCCATGGCACATTTACTCTGAATACTAGAGTTATTGTCAAATTATTCATCATTCACATAAGGTCACAAGAAACTTGATAACCAGAGACCAAGGAATGCCTTTGTTGCAGTTCATGTAAAAAGCTTGTGACTCAACCAAAGACTGAATGACTTGATTGAGTTGTGAAGAGTTGACTTTAACTCTCACATACACACAATGGATATGACCTGCTTACTGCCAAGTACCTCAGAAGACTTCCTTTGCCTTTTTCTCTGAAATGATAGTTTGACTTGAAAGCTGCCCCACCTGACCTGCACAGTGTGACCAGCATTCTATTCTGGGATGGCCCGGATGGAGCAATAGGGGAATATGACTTTGGTGGACGGGAGAACTGGCAAGAAGGGATCTGTCAGTGCTGTTATGACCAACCCTTCAACCAGGTAAGTGAGGCAACCAGATAGAGGGGGCATGACTGCAACAGTGTTTATTAGTACCATGGTTTAAAGGTAGAGTACATCATTTGTAATTTGCACATTATGTTCGTTTGAAGCAACAAAATGCTCAAAATCTAAAGAAGGGTGCTGAACAACTAACCTGATGATCTTTTAGCTCAGTGAATGCTGTATATTCCGAGAAAAACAATATTCTAGGATCTTGATTTTAAGTCAAAAGTTGCTGAGTCATGTTTTGAATTGCGCCCAAATTCAGCGTTCGTTCACGTTCTCGTTCAGCCGATTGCAGCTACTTGATGTCGCGAACTGAACCGCCGAATTGTAGCAACTTTTGAAGCAACAAAAGTGCTCAAAATCTTAAGAAGGGTGCTGAACAACTAACCTGATGAAGTTTAGTTGTGTCAATGCTTGCGGGTGCTTTGCCGAATTAAAAACGATTTCTCCAAAATCACAGCTTGCCAGAAAGAATTATTTCACAGGGAGTTAAGTCCCATTACTATCTTTAAACCGAGTATGCTTTTCAACCATTGTCAACACTAATAACGTCAGTTACTTTCTGGATAACTGCAAAGGATGGACTGTAGCTTTAAGATTGTGAAATTTCATTGGTTGATGACTTTTCATATGACATATTTCATAAGTTAATGTCTGACAACCTGATAGATTCCGCAGAGCACATCATGTACCCTGGGTATATCACCTTGATGTTCTTAAAAACAGTTGAATATTTTTATCCCTGCGCACAAGGTAGGTAATGTACCTCAGCGTTTGTTTATGGTGTAAATCGAGGACACACACGTGCAACATCATCGATGAATCGAGGTCAGAAACCAAATTGAGGACTCCGCGGTTGGAAAATGTGTACAAAACCAATGAGAGCTGTTGCGAAAAAGGAAAAGGGAAGAGGATCAAAAGAAAATTCTCGATTGACACCATAAAAAACGTGCTAGGGTGTGCGCGTGTATATGCAGACCAGTACACATGTATATGTAATGCAGACAAGCATACCAATGTCCAAAGCATTGGACTCCAGAATTATAAATGCATTGGAGTGTCAAAAACAAAAATATAGTTTTTACAAATAAATACTGAATTTGTTTTATCCTTTTATTATTTCTTAAAACCTTTTTTCTTTTCAACAGTCTATGTGTCCTCAGTGTGACTGCCAGGATTTCTTGGGGATATTGGATTCATCTGAAGACAACTCAACATTTGCCAGCACCACAAATAGGTCACTTGAAGCCACACCAACCAACGAGGTCACAATCAGTAAGATGACTGAAGTAACCAGCGCTTCATTGACCACAATGGGTTCCGTCCCTTGGACTATCCAGAAACTGGACGAAGATGGGGACAGTGTGTCTGATGATGAGAGTGGGAGATGGATATCACAACGAGGTTGCGGCATCCAACTCTATCCAAGTAAGATAATAGACCGATCCATTGAGCCCCACCTCATGGTGTTCTGACCAATCACATCTGTGATTTATGTCTGACATGTCCTACTCTATCCAAGTAAGATAATAGACCGATCCATTGAGCCCCACCCCATGGTGATCTGACCAATCGCAGCTGTGATTTATGTCTGACATGTCCTACTCTATCCAAGTAAGATAATAGACCGATCCATTGAGCCCCACCTCATGGTGTTCTGACCAATCACATCTGTGATTTATGTCTGACATGTCCTACTCTATCCAAGTAAGATAATAGACCGATCCATTGAGCCCCACCCCATGGTGATCTGACCAATCGCAGCTGTGATTTATGTCTGACATGTCCAACTCTATCCAAGTAAGATAATAGACCGATCCATTGAGCCCCACCTCATGGTGTTCTGACCAATCACATCTGTGATTTATGTCTGACATGTCCTACTCTATCCAAGTAAGATAATAGACCGATCCATTAAGCCCCGCCCCATGGTGTTCTGTCCAATCGCGGCTGTGATTTATGTCGGACATGTCCCACTGTATCCAAGTAAGACAATAGACCGATCCATTGAGCCCCACCCCATGGTGTTCTGACCAATCACAGCTTTGATTTATGTCTGACATGTCCTACTCTATCCAAGTAAGATAATAGACCGATCCATTAAGCCCCGCCCCATGGTGTTCTGTCCAATCGCGGCTGTGATTTATGTCTGACATGTCCAACTCTATCCAAGTAAGATAATAGACCGATCCATTGAGCCCCACCTCATGGTGTTCTGACCAATCACATCTGTGATTTATGTCTGACATGTCCTACTCTATCCAAGTAAGATAATAGACCGATCCATTGAGCCCCACCCCATGGTGATCTGACCAATCGCAGCTGTGATTTATGTCTGACATGTCCAACTCTATCCAAGTAAGATAATAGACCGATCCATTGAGCCCCACCTCATGGTGTTCTGACCAATCACATCTGTGATTTATGTCTGACATGTCCTACTCTATCCAAGTAAGATAATAGACCGATCCATTAAGCCCCGCCCCATGGTGTTCTGTCCAATCGCGGCTGTGATTTATGTCGGACATGTCCAACTGTATCCAAGTAAGACAATAGACCGATCCATTGAGCCCCACCCCATGGTGTTCTGACCAATCACAGCTTTGATTTATGTCTGACATGTCCTACTCTATCCAAGTAAGATAATAGACCGATCCATTAAGCCCCGCCCCATGGTGTTCTGTCCAATCGCGGCTGTGATTTATGTCGGACATGTCCAACTGTATCCAAGTAAGATAATAGACCGATCCATTGAGCCCCGCCTCATGGTGTTCTGACCAATCACAGCCATGATTTATGTCTGAAATCTATCCAGGTAAGATAATAGACCAATCCATTAAGCCCCACCCCATGGTGTTCTGACCAATCACAGCTGTGATTTATGTCTGAAATCTATCCAGGTAAGATAATAGACCAATCCATTAAGCCCCACCCCATGGTGTTCTGACCAATCACAGCTGTGATTTATGTCTGACATGTCCAACTCTAATCCATTAAGCCCTTCCGCATTTTTCCTATTCACTTTTTTGGCCCCCTTTATCTGTAAACTCTAATAGCTCTAAGGCTATTACAAACCTAAACTATCTAGTTATTGTCTACATTTCTTGTTGTGCTCTTGTGATCCTCACCATCAGTAATGACTATCTACTCTTTTTTGTTCATTTTTTCTGTCTCTTCATTCTTGTGAGCTCCTACCTCAAGTAACAATTTGACCTTCATGGACAATTTCCATAATGACATGGGGATCAATGTACCACACACCAAGTTGAAACAGAGTCTGCCTATTCTTTTCTAGATGGTAGTGCATCTCAAGCTGTTCTGTGGTGTCGTTATTTGAAGGATGCCTGGCGAATGACATCGGAGGTCATAGATCTTGACTTTGATCCATCAATAGAGGAGCATCATTTCTCAGTCCACATCAGAGTCATGCCGTTTGATGCAAATGAGGTATTTTAACTGTGCTTCATAGAGACTTTTTCATGCTTTTAAGGAACATCGATTTCACAAATGAACATTAGAATTGTATATTTCTGTCCATCAACATGCTCATCATTTCTTTCTGAGACCTTGTGTGAAGAAATGCACGAACTTGTTTGGATGGGACTTTAACCCACAACGTCCTGCTTAACCCCTTAAGGACGGTGTGTAATGGGGACATTCCTCCACACATAGAGCAAGTGGCCCGCATGACTGAACAGCCTTTGTGTGGTAGCGGGACTGCACAAAAGCAGCAGCTGTGGAACTACCCACTAGCTGTGTGCCACGGCATACCACAGCTGGCAACTGCATTCCAATGAGGATTAGCAGCCGTGGCCATGACCGCTTCCCGTACGCATGGGGTTAATTATACAAACAATGAGTATACTGGGGTCAGCTGGCTAATTGCAATCCTACAGAGTAGATACATATTTAACAATTGTGCAACAAAAATATTATCACACACATTTTTTTTAAACCCTTGTTCCTGACAAACTGAAATTCCTTGTGGTTTTTTATTCAAAGAACATAATTCAATCTTGAAAATCTCAGTTGTGATGGATTTCTATTGTTACAGGATGAATGGTCCTTTGAAGTGTACGTTGATGGTAAACTCCTCTCTTCACTGACTGGCATACCAGTCCTGTCCTCATCTACTAAGCTCATCCTTCATGTCTTCAATCGAGACAGCTACATCGCTGAGCTACAAGACCCCTTCAATCCTCCAGCTGTTGCAGCAACACTTAGAAATTTGAGGTCTGTACAACTTTCTTGTTCTGTTTCAAACAATTTTGTCATTTTCTGGGTTTTCTAAAGTGTGCTTTGAATAACACATTTACGGGTCATTTGGGTCAAAATTTTGTTCATGTCCCTGTTACATCTTATTAAAAAAAGAAATAGGACACATTCTGTGCCTTCTATCTTCAAGAGTGATTATAAAGACCTAAAAAAATAAAGAATAGTTGGAAGTCAATTTTAATTTTACGGTGTTCGACTCGTGTGATGTGGTACATGGGTTTGAATCCTGACCGTGGGAAAATGTTGCTTGCACTCCTGAGCAAGGCGCTTTACCATTATTGCTTCGTCCTTCGGATGGGACGTGAAGCCGTAGGTCCCGTGTGTTGTGTAATGCACGTTAAAGAACCCAGTAACACTTATCGCTAGAGAAGGGGTTTGCCCCGGTGTTTCTGGCAGTGGCTGCTTAATGCGCCGCAGCACCTTGTAAACCATTATAAAGGTGCTACATAATGGTTCTCATATTTCTCATGTACATGTACTTCATTTACCTGTCTCTAATAATCGACATAATTTCCAGCGCCTTGAGTACCTAATTGTTGGTAGATACGTGCGCTATATAAGACTTCAGTATTATTATTATTATTATTATTCCTTTAAAGGTTTTGCTGTACTGGAAGGGTCAGCATATAGTCATCCTACAAAGCAATGGTCCAGCTTGACTCAGGAAGCCTAGTCTTGTTGTTAATTGGTTTTACCACAGCATTTATGACCATTACATTCATTAGAATACTCTGTCGGTTTCTTCTGTTATAGGATGTCGCCTGATCAGAGCAACCTGTGTCGTTACGGAGCACCATTCAGGGCTGGAACCAGTCCTGTCTCACGCTACTTTGCTGGTGTTGGCTCAGTAGCAGGAGCCACAGATATTGTGCCATTTGAAGAGGTAAGGCCAGGCGTGACCTTTACCCTTTTCAATAGATGTTTTGTTTCTCCAGACAATTTCCAGTTTTAGTATTTCTGAGTATTATAAAGGGTTTTGTAATGGATATGTCTCCAGCTTCAAGTCTGTCGCTCTGCAGGTGATAAAACTTTATACATTTAATAAGGGAATAAATGTGTGCTTGGCCGCTTTTAAACGCTATGTTTAAGACCGGTTGGAGTCTGGATGCTGATAATTACCTGAGCCAAAGGCGAGGGTAACTATCAGCATCCAGACTCCAACTGGTCTTACACATGGTGTTTAGTACCGACCAAGCACGTATTTATTCCCATTAATAATTTTGGGTCAAAAATCTAAACTTTTTGGTCCAAAAGTCAAAAATTATAAATTTACAACGTTATTGTTCGACAATTATACTTCATGAACACCCCTCTAGCTATATAATGGAGTGTCCAACTCCTTTTATTGAGAGTGGCGTGCTCGTCACGCCTACTGTGCGATGACGCGCAGATGCAGCTGTGGCGAGTGCATTGTGAATTTAGGATTATGAAATACTGACTCACTGGTAGTTGTGCGCATGTCTAACGAGGATTATGAACGTTCCACCAATAAAATGGTTAAAGGCATTAGATTTTATGAGGAGTCCAAATTTCATGTGAAAAGTGTTTAATAAGACCATGTCTTCGCCAGCCATGTCTTTATGACAGGGGTGTGAAATCTCCGCTATTTAGCGGATTTCCGCTTTTTTGTTCAGCGTGCCACATTTTGTTTTCCGCTTTTTTTCTTCCGATGGTCCAGATTTCCCCCCGCTTTTTTCCCTGCGCGTAAGCATTGATTTTATTTCTGTTTATTTTATTTTCCGCCGCCGCCGAACGTACGCGATCCGCTCTCTACAACATACACGTAGTTCTGGGATGGGGTGCGTGCAAGCGAGTATTCAATGTACATATACATGTACCGTACATGTACTGTGTGTACGTACGTGTGTACTATACGATGCCATGTGCATGCATTTTTCAGCTCGAAGCCGCGTGTGTACACAACGTGTAAACAGCATCCGGGGAACCAGCAGTCATTGCGCTGTGATTGACTGCAGATAAATATGAATATTCACACATGCGCCATGAAGCGCGTTGGGACTCTTTGCGGCCGTTCCTGTGTCTATGCATGTAGTGACACGCGATGATCTCCACAATAACTCGCTGTAAACATCGTCTTGTTGCAAATATAAAGCCTTGAAATAAGACTAGTAAATTGTCGCCGTGCCGTGCCGGTAGAGGGCATCATGCGGGGCAAAGTTCATGTGTGCATTTCAATTCATTGCATGCACGCAGGCCTGCTGCGTATTCCGCTAGTGCTGATACGTACGTACGTACGTTAGTGTGTCGTTTCAAATGTTTCGAACGTATTTTGACATTATTAATTCCGCAAGATGTCAGTGCAACACAAATGTGTTATTATCCAAAGAGGTTTGGAGTTTGATACGGACATTGACAAGACCGATCCTCAGGTTACGAATCCGTGGAAATGGATTTGGATGGAACATATGGTTAATGGGCAGAAATTAGGGGACTCGATCAGAAGCCGGGACACGCGACGACGATGTGTATCATCTGCAGTAAGGAGTTAAAATATGGAAAACGTGGTCGAATTTCAAAGTTTTCATATACAAGTTGGCCATTTAGGCAGTTTCAAGCCAATATGAAGGAAAAGTTAACTTAAAAACATGCATAAATTGCAAAACATTTTCGACCAATACTTGGCCCAGGCATACCATGGAGAAATCCATGGGCATACCAGGAGGCTTTAAAATGCACCACAGAGCATCTACATTTCAAAATTTTTCCCGGGCCCTTGGGCGGGCCCCGGACCCCACGCCACGTGACAGGCTCGAGATCAATAGGAATTGTTAAACTATCTTAGGCATTTATGAATGGTGCTTTATAGCCGTTTTTAAGACATTAGAGCATAGAGGCCCTTATCATAGGTCAGGTTGATAAACCTGTAGCTTGTTTCAGTAACCAACCCCATATATCAGCAATCAACGTTCTTGTTACTCATGGAATGACTGTCTTGGAAACACTCGCTGTTTGTACAGATTGTCAGGCCATGCGTTCCTTGCATCCATCCGTGTGATCGTTACCAGTGTGATCCCTCATGTTCCCTGGATGCTGTTCCCATCACCTTCACATTGACCAACCTGACTCTGCCAAGACTGGAGCTATCCAATACCACCCTTGACAACGAGGCTAATGCAACAACGCCACCTTCAAACCAAGATGAGGGATCACTCCCATTCTTCCTGACAGGTGAGATAAATGGAATAATCCTCAAATTGAGAGATTTTTCCCAAATGGTAATACAACTTCCCTGTGACTGTTTACAGCGAGAGTCACATACTTACTCAAGAACATGTTTTGTAACCAAACTGTACTTATCCATCACATGTTGTTTAGAGACTGTTTCTTATCATAGTTTACCTATCTAGTGCAGTGCCTGTTCCAAACGTGCCTGTTTGGAACTGGCAAATTGCTTGGCCTCTGGTAGACCCGCAAACATGGCGGTATAGATCGCAGTGCCCGTATAACATCGCACCTTATCTACACCTCCCAGTTGTGCGATCGTCCCCTTCAAAAAATGGTTGAGGCCCACCTCACCGTTGCGCAATCTTCCCCCTTCAAGAAATGGTCAAGCCCATACAGCCAACCACCATTTGCACGTGTGTTTACCCGTGTCCGTGGCGCAGTGTAGAGTACATCAGTGCCCATTCAAAATGTGCAGCGGTGCAGGTCTGTATATTATACACATTTGTATGGTCTAGCACTCCGAAAATGCTGCTTTTTTTTGCAGCTTCTTTGAGAATCGCTCATCCACTTGACACTGCATATTCTTGGGTGCTGAGCAATATACCTGCCGATTTTCAACTTCATATAGTGCCCGGTTCAGGAGATAATGGAAACACAGATTGATGCACAGAGATTCCGGGAATTATAGTAAGATGCAGTAGATTTTTTTTTTGTTGACTATTTCTGATACCATATTTTACATGAGCCAATTTTAGTAGATGATTTTTTTTTGGCAACCCCCCAGTGAAAACTTTCTTAGGAAATGGGAAATCGGTGTCAGCATCCTCCAATGGTTTCTACATTGATGACACACCACCAAAGCTGGATCTCTTTTTCTATTTGGATGTCAATCTTAACCAGTCTGCGCCAACATCATTCCAGTCTTCAGACTCTACCATCAGTGTGCTGTGGAGTTTCATCGACATGGAGAGCATGGTCAAGGTAAAATGATCAGCGGATACCACTTCATGAATTTCATAGTGTATTTACAAATGCATTTGCTTAGGGATATAAGTTTAAGCAAAGAAATTGGCCGGAGCAGAGTTTGAAGCTCCAACCTCCAGAAGACTGCACTGATGGCAATCTTTCCATCACTCACTGTCTGTTGATGGGATGCTACTCAGAAGTCATAATGTCATGTTTCCATGTACCCAGGGATCACACCCATGCTGGAAGCTCATACCGTTGCTGTTCTAGAGTCAGGCCTTGCAAACAATTAGTACTTGGTACTTGGTTGGTTCTTCTCCTAAGGACTTCTACAAGGGAGTATAACTAGGAGGCCAGAAATACCGGGGCAAACCCCTTCTCTTAGTGATGAGTGTTACTGGGTTCTTTTACGGCCTTAAACAACCCCCCGGGACCTCCGGCTTAATGTCCCATCCAAAGGACGAAGCAATAATGGTTAAGTGCCTTGCTTAAGTGCACAAGTGTCCGGGCCCGGGCTCGAACCCATGCCATGGTTGCCTCTGAAACACCAGAGCATGAGTCTGGTGCTCTTAACCGCTAGGCCATGACACTCCTAATTAGTACATAGTGCAAAACTTAGAAAACTTTGCGCGCCATTCACTGTAAAAATTGGTACTTTTGCCAAAAGAGGACCACTATATGCATGCATGGATCCCATCGTAATAGTATCTGAAATTGTGTTTTTAGGAGCATCACTGGGCGATAGGAACATCCAAAGGGGCAACAGACTTGCAAGACTTTGTCAACATTGGGTTGAACCAGACAGCTACTAACAGTGGTCTGACGGGATTACTGCATCACAACACTACATACTATGTGACTCTGAAGGCTATCAATGGAGCAGGCTTGGAAACCATAGTAGAATGTGATGGTAGGTAGAGTTAGACTGACATACAGACAAACAAACAGACAAAATGACAGTGATCTAACAGGATTACTGCATCACAACACTACATACTATGTGACTCTGAAGGCTATCAATGGAGCAGGCTTGGAAACCATAGTAGAATGTGATGGTAGGTAGAGATAGACTGACATGCAGACAAACAGACCAACAATCAGCTACGCTGGCAGCTATATATCTAATGAGGTACTCCATCTCAGTAGGTACGTACTCCGAAGGTTATCAATATTTGAAACCGAAATTCCATCAATAATGAAGGCCTCGATACACATCATCAGAATTTGGTGATACTTTATATTTCATGCATATCCAATGCAAATAAAGTTCAGGAAGACAGCCTGGTATCCTTTTTGCTTTATTGTCGACACGGTAGTGAGGGAGCTTTTTGTTTTGTTAATATGGTTTTTTTGATTCATCCTTAACCAAATAGCACTCTCCTATTGTGTCCATCATATATCAAATGCTAATTGTCCAGACTGGACCACACATGTATTGATTTACTAAGGAGACCTTTGTTGATGGCCGTACATGTTTGTATTCCCTAGGCGTGACTGTCCTTATGGAAGAGCCAACTGCAGATGATGTCAACACCACCTCCATGTTTAGCAAGAAGTTTGAGGAGGATGTTTACCCACCCGATGTGGAGAAAAGCGAAGACCCAACAAAGACTGGTACCTCCTGGTCCAAACCACAGGATGAGTCCATTAATCGCTACGGTAGGACGTCTTGCAATTAATAATGAATAATAATAATGTGCTTATATAGCGCTTTATACCAAAGGTCTCAAAGTGCTTTACAATTATTTTTGACCTTGGTGATATGTATGTGGCCTATTTTCGAGTAGTAAAATAGGGGTGCAAGTGGCGCCACCAACAACAAAAAAGTCCACCTACAAAAAAAAGAAAACCCAATTTTTTTCTGCGGCCAAAGTTTCGGAAACATTTTTGGAAAAAAATTAAACTTCTACAAAATTTGAACAAAAAATTGAGCCTCCCCCCCCAAAAAGCCAAATCCTGGGTGCGCCACTGATCAGTTTTGCAGCAGCTCGAGATCAGCGCAGTCTAGTCTCTACCTTCACAGGTACCCATTTATACACCTAGGTGAAGAGAGGCAATTGTAGTAAAGTGTCTTGCCCAAGAACACAAGCACCATTTTCCCCGTCAGGGTTTGAACCCATGTACCATGGAACGTGAGTCAAACACCATAACCAGTGGACCACAGCGCAATTGGTAGACTGTCACATTTATATCAGTTGAAAAAATGGGATCTAACTTGTATGATACTAGAGAAAATAACAATATACCTATAGCAATACCGAACACCTCTTTGAATTAATGTCATACTCTTTACAATTGTAACGATGTAATTTCCCCCCCCCCACCAGTCGAGCAATTCAGAACAAGATTCCTTTATCAATCAATGTCAGCATTGTAGTAAAGTACATCACAAATCCTTACAACTCCGTTGCAAGTCGGTACAAAGTCATATAGACACAAGTCAAGTCACAAGCTATTCAAAGGCACTGTGACAAAAGATATTTCTTTGAAACTGTTCATCCCATTCTTACTTGAAGTCATGATGAAGTGACTTCAAATTGATTTGACCTGGACTAGTGTTGGACTTGTGATTGACTTGACTTATGAGACAACGAGGTACCTGTTTTCCCTCGTAGCGGGTGTCAACAATCCTAATGTCTCGTAGTACATGCAGTGGCCCCCATGTCTCCCCCTCTGCAATTAAACCTCCTCAAGGTTTCCTCAAGGTTTCAATATCTCCTTCCACACTACCTTATAGAATACTGTGTGAGTAGTTCAGCGTCGCTCCTAGATGATGTTGTGCCCTGCATGGTGGTTGGAGGCAACTCCTCTGGCTCAGTAACCATAGAGGAAGGAATGATCATCGTCCGTGCTGGTGACAATGAAGAAAGGTTCAACATCACTGACTTCAAGGCACCAAAGGACTCCAGCCAGGGGGAAGTGATTGAGAAAGCTGCCAAGTTCAATATGGAACCTGGGAAGTAAGTCTGTGGGCCGGTTACATTTGAATCAAAGAATGATACATGATCAAGACTTTATTCAAGAAATCTACTTGTAAGGTTTTATGAAATGCCATAAATATCAATGAAACCTTGTCATGCCGGTTCAGACAGGCCTTATAGAGTCGCACTGAACAAAATAAAAGGTAAGATTGAATTAAGTACATGAAAAGTTTGACGTCTGAAACAATTAGGAGTGGCTAGACGCGCCAGATGGCGAAGGATCGACTGTCGGAGTCGTTCAGAGCGACACAGGAGTGACTTGATTTCAGACGTCGCTCTAGTTATGAGCCGTACTCAATGCAAATATATGTAAATGTGTGTATATATTAGTGACCTTCATAAATTAGGACTGCAGTCGATGTGTTTAACACGCGATGCAGTGCTTAAAATTTGAAAGTTTTCTGTTTGCAGAATCAATCCTTTTAAACACGAGATTTCGACGTCGTGTTATAGAGCAAGAACTTATATTAAATGTACGTACCTCTGTTGTCCCTATACAACACAATATACAATTTGTCAGCGAAAAACCGAGACATCCAGTATTAATATGGTACAGGCATCACGCAGTCTTGAAAAAAACAAACATTCATGCGTGACGTGACGTGCAAAAGATAACGAGAGCTAGTACGCTCTGAAAAGTCAATCAGCGTCGTAATACGCATTCTTCATACACGGCCAGGCGTTTATTGAAGGAACGCGCTCGCAGCCCATATGCATCGACAACGCTGCACAATGTCAGCTTGTTGCTAAGGTCATGTGTTTGTTTTTTTGTGTAATATACTCCAATGTATTAAGTTTGCCTGTCTTAAACCAAAATCTAATTGGGTCGTCCTCAAGTCGCTCCTAATCTATTTGGTTCAGTGCGACTCTGGAACGCTTGTCTGAACAGGGGGTCAGACTGCTAATAAGACAACATCCGAATGTTGTGGCATGGTCAGTGTAGACTTCATTTAGCACAGATTCTTGTATACTCAATGTTAGTGGTCAGGTGTAATGTAGGTGTTGCTAACTTTTCTTGATGCTTGTTACACTGTACAAGTTTCACAAATTCTGCTGATTGGGACTTTACTTTAATGAATCAAGTGGTACAAATATATGTGTGAAATGACATCTACTTTTATTCACTTAAACCCAAAATTATAAATGAAAATATTTTTGCAAAAGTTCTTTATGATTTGAGGATCATCATCAAACTACGTGACTTGAGATTGTGACTTGGACTTGAAGCATTTGACCCCAGACTCAAGCCGTATCCAAATGACTTGGCTATGGCTTACGATCACACATGCACCTATGCAAGCAGCTGAAGCTTCTACCTATAGACATGTGTTTACCTGCCATAGCCACTGTGGAAGCAGCCTTAAACTGTGGGCTTTGATGGAAGGACTTCACTAAACATGGACTTGTTTAAACCATTGCTGTGCCTGTTCTGTATTTTACTGCTATTTTAGGTCCCTGTATACCTGGACAAAGATGTGCAACCCAGCTATGTTATGTGTCACAGTATCAGCAGGAACTACTATGGTGTTAGGTCAGTATTTGTACATCAGTATGAGAGATATCAGGCCATTGCCATTGCTGCATGCATGTGGAAAACAAAACATTAGCTAAGAACTTCCGGAGTAACTTGAGGTTTAAGGAATATCCTTTAACAGGAAAGCAATGTTTGAGGTGGATGGAGAAGAAAGATCTTTACTTGGCAATGTAAAGTATCAATTTGTTGTTGTGGAAAGCCCCCTCATCAGACAAATAATTGCAAGACTCACTTCCCGGCAGAATGTGACTCGTATAATAGTCTTTGGGAAAATTACTTCTTTGTTTAGTTTGTTTATATTTCATTTGAGAGTTTTAGTGAAGTAAGTCAGCTTAATGATTTCTGCCAGATAATGATCAAAAATAGTTTATATTACTTAAAAATGTTGAAAACATTCATCAAACTTGCATTATCCTGATCAACAGGAGACAGTGATATGATGATGACATCACCCAATGGCACAGACCTTGTTCTGGCATCACCAACAAGCCAGAGGAGGAGGAAGAGGGCCATTGATGAAAACCACTTTGATTTCACTGTGGCTACAAAGGGAGGTAGGTATTATACAACATGGTTTGACTGGTCCCATGGTGTTGACTGATGTGAGCTACCTCCTGGGCCAACTTTCTTGGCTCTGCTTTTACCATTAGCGAAAAATCCCTGCATATTGTAATCATAATGAAAAGTAGCACGCATCTGCTCAACCAGAAAGCTTTAACGTGGGGAAAAGACCACAAAGATTTTTACACTAAATTCCTTGTATCTTCAGAACGGATGGTCGCACAATCTGGGGGTTGCAGATTATGAAAATTCATTCTTCTGGCTTTAAGTCTATCTATGTCTGGCTTGGAAAGGCAGAAAAACCACTGATCATTTTTTTATTGAAAACGTGGGGTATGAGGCAATTGCCTATGGAGCGGAACAGAAAATGACCGTTTGTGACAGACCTTTGGTTGTTTATCTCAACGTATCTCGAGAACCCAATGTCAGAGCACACTGGGGGTAGCGGTTTTGTAAAGAAGATGAAGTTCTCTTTCCATTCATATAAGACTCGATTTCATTGGTTAAGAAACCACTGATCATTTTTTCGTCAAAGTTTTCCCCCAATGACTGGATTTCTTGCAGAGGTCAGTTGTGTGAGTGCACGTAGCCAGCATGTTGCATGTGGTATGCAAATCGCAAGGTAATTGGGCAAGCTGTGGAACTGTCTCACACACATTGATCTTTTGCGCGTTTGGACCCCAAACTTTTCATTATGAATAATAATGAACATTTATAAGGCGCCGGTATCCACCAAGCAAGACACTCATGGCGCACAATACAAAAAAAACCAAGAAAATTACAATTTAAAATGAAATTAAATTTGATTAACAAAAATCAGCAACAAAATAATGAATACCAACTCATTAAACACAAAAATGAAAGGCAAACATTTGGGATTTCAGAAAAGATTTAAATACAGACAATGATGACGACTGACGAATTTCAAGGGTTAGATTGTTCCAGAGTTCGGGAGCGGCGCGTGAGAAAGACCAGTCTCCCCAAGAGTGATTGGTGCAGGGAACAGCAAGCTGTAGCGCTCTGAGTGGTGCGTCTGGATAAGGTGATGAGGCGAGCAGTGGCATTTTGGTGGCGCTGAGGTTTGATGATTTGGTGTTGTGACAGGTTATACATGAGGGAGTTACAAAAATCTAAGCGTGCAGTTATAAATGCATGGGTGAGTTGCTCAGTGGCCGTATGATTGAGATATTTAGGAATGCAGCCAACATTACAGAGATGAAATCTGACTAGTGATTTTGACTCTGCCATAAAATTGGGCCCTGATGTGAAAGGGAGGGAATATATCCAAATCAGCCAACACTGCGATTAACTAAGTTGTACATGTATTTGTTTTATTACACCTTGTACATAGTTAGTGCCATTATTGTACTGAGAAATGTTCTGAGGAACTATCTGCCATAGAATGCGTAGCACATACAAGGTGTGATGTCAGATGCAACTGTGCAAGGGGTCCATACTGTTATCTGCTTCACCTGCTATCACAGTGTAACCTATAACCACCTATGGCATCAGTGGAGTGTCATGGCCTAGCGGTTAAGAGCACCGGACTCATGTTCTGGTGTTTCAGAGGCAACAGTGACGTGGGTTCGAGCCCGCCGGCGGACACTTGTGCTCTTAAGCAAGGCACTTAACCATTATTGCTTCGTCCTTCGGATGGGACGTTAAGCCGTAGGTCCCGTGTGTTGCATAAATGCACGTAAAAGAACCCAGTAAACACTTATCACTAAGAGAAGGGGTTTGCCCCGGTGTTTCTGGCCTCCTGTATAAACTTGCACGCGGAGTATTAAGGAGAAGAACCAACCAAGAACCAAGAACCAAGAACAAAATGAGCATTGAGGACTGTCAATGGTGGTAGAGGACTATCTGCACTTCCACCTTACTTGTGTTGTTGCAGGTCTGCACCAGGGTGGTTCACTCATCCTAGGTCTGCTGGATGTCAATAGAACCAACCAGGAATTCACATCGGATGCTGCCCTGGATTATAAACCATACATCACCAATCCACTCTACACCATCCCGTATACATCAAGACTGCTTAGACACAGGTTGGTTTGCTGCACACTATGTGTTTTCCCTTCAAAAGTGATCAGACAAATTCAATACAACTTAAGAATGAAATTTTCTCAAAACTAGTCTCATATTTGTTTGTTTCTTTTTCTTTAATAATTGTCTGCGTTCTTGTTCTTGTATGGGTATAGAAAATGTCCTCTTAGTATTGAACTGTTAATTTTTGTAAGCAGACTGTTCATGGAAATAACTGCAAAGACTTTATTCAGAAAATCAGGTAAATTATACAATTGTCCTATGGGCTCCGTGCGCCAACGAAAGAGGGCGCCCTTTTACCTAGCAACAACATACAGGCGGGACATGTAGCTGGTGGACGCGCACCGTTTCCTGTGTGTGACGCACGTGTACACGCAGTGGTACGGCCGCGCGTCGCCGCAAAATTGCAGTCAGGCAAGATGGCATCGGTCAGTCACCCCCAACTGTACTTTCTTTGCCGGTGAGGGGGTACTTGTGAACGGAGCGGATAGAAAGCCAGTAGTCATTTTGGTTGCATACTTTACCATCGATTTGCTTTTTCCTGTGACACTTAACATAAACATATATAATTACCACCTAAAAGACACTGGACAATAAGGATTGAAAACAGATGTGTCAACACCATTTGAAATAAGAAATACAATGTAATTTTTAATTCCAGGATACGTTTTGTGTATGAGCCAACCTACTATCTCACCAGTCTTGGTCAGACAGAGTTGCAGGGACCATTAATGATCAACATGAGCCTAAGCTCACCGGGAAACTGGACAGAAGCAAAACCTAGACTTATCTACTGGGACAAAGGTGAGTCCTAGCACACCAGGGAACTGGACAGAGACAAGACCTGGACTTAACTTCTGGGACAAATGTGAGTCTAAGCACACCAGGGAACTGGACAGAGACAAGACCTAGACTTAACTTCTGGGACAAAGGTGAGTCTTAGCTCACCGGGGAACTGAAAAGAGACAAGACCTGGACTTATCTACTGGGACAAAGGTGAGTCTAAGCACACCAGGGAACTGGACAGAGACAAGACCTAGACTTAACTTCTGGGACAAAGGTGAGTCTTAGCTCACCGGGGAACTGAAAAGAGACAAGACCTGAACTTATCTACTGGGACAAATGTGAGTCTAAGCACACCAGGGAACTGGACAGAGACAAGACCTGGACTTAACTTCTGGGACAAAGGTGAGTCTAAGCACACCAGGGAACTGGACAGAGACAAGACCTAGACTAATCTACTGGGACAAAGGTGAGTCTAAGCACACCTGGGAACTGAACAGAGGCAAAACCTAGACTTATATACTGGGACAAATGTGAGTCTCAGCACACCAGGGAACTGGACAGAGACAAAACCTAGACGTATCTACTGGGACAAAGGTGAGTCTTAGCACACTGGGGAACTGGACAGAGACAAGACCTGGACTTATCTTCTGGGACAAAGGTGAGTCTAAGCTCACCGGGGAACTGAAAAGAGACAAGACCTGGACTTATCTACTGGGACAAATGTGAGTCTAAGCACAAAGGGTGACTGTACGGAGACAAGAACTAGACTTATCCACTGGGACAAAGGTGAGTCTTAGCACATTGATCTTTATTGATAAATGCTGTTTAAATGTTGAAGTCAAGGATTGATTTATGTACATTCCTTTTTCCAGTTTTTACATAAGAAATAAAAGCTGCTGCAGCAATCTCCTACACAGCTGTCATGCCCTGACATACTTCATAGAAATCAGAGGGCCTGAAGTTTCCACCCTAGAGTTCCCTTGTCATTGAGGACATCTCTCTAATGATTCCTTTGAGCTTTGGACTCGTGAACGTGATGTCCACTTTTCACATTTGTACTAATATTATTGATTTGCTTACTTCTTTTATTTGTTAATAATATTAAACAAATGTTTGTAATGATTCCTTGAGTCACCTCCTCACCCTGCTTTGTGGTATATGCAATTATGAGTTCTATTTAAGTGTTATCTCATATCTTTGCGTAGATCACTCTAAATGGCAAGATGCAGCTAAGACATGCAGTGATGTGGATCAAATTACATACCTTGATGATGGGAACCAAGTCAATGTTCAGGTTGGTCTTGCAGTTTAAAGGTTTCACTCGGTTATTCTTACTTCAAGTAGTCTTGGCCCAAGTCAGGCAGCCGTGGCACGTGCAGACATCCCACCATGGCAAAGTTAGTTCCGCGGACCGCTTGTCCTTATTTCAAGAAGTCTAGGCCCAAGTCAGGCATCCAGGCCAGGCATCCAGGCCATGGCAAGTGTAGACAACCCACCATGGCGGTAGATGAATCAAATCTAGTTCCAGGAGTTTCGGCACTCTGACAGACTATGCCCTTTGTAATGTGCGCTTGAGGTTTACTTAGAAATTCTCAGGTTTGAGTGCCAATTCCCCAACTGGAAGGGGTTCATCTTGTTTATAGCTTGCTGTTGGGTTTGTAGGCATTTGCCAGGGATTGGCTACATTAGTGCAACATGATCCAAAATCCAGTCTTTTGCCAAGACAGCAAGACTATTTCAAAAGACGAAATGGAACACCTCTCTTTAGAACCTTTCAGGACTTTGAATTTCAGTTGAAAAAGGTATAATTTGATTTCATTTGTACAATCCAGACAAACGGAGTTGGAGCAAAAACAGCTGTTGAACCATTAATTATTCTCTCCATACCAATGTGCATGTGTGATAGCTGTCTGCTTGAACAACCAGTCTACAGACTTATGTCACATTCGACATTATCAAGGCTGGTCCATACCCGGCGCAAAAGCGAACGGGAATGCGAATTTGTGACATCAGTGCACATTTTCACACTGCAAATTCCCAGAAGTTGAACACATTTCAACTGCAGTTTGCAGCAGTCCTATTAATTTTCACATTTCGTCTCCGATGAATTTCGCAGGGAACGCTTTGTGACGTCAAATTCCCATCGCATTCGTATTCGCATGAAGTATGAACCGACCTTCACTTAGATTTACTGATATTTTACGTCAGTGGCATCTCTCTCTGCTTTTGCTGGTTGTTGCATTTTGCACAGTTTGTCAAGGCTATCGAAAGCATGATATCAGGGATGTGATTTCTTCGTTTTTTTCCGGAAATCCGTTTTTTTGGGCCTCAAAAGTCCACCAACGCGAATCGTGTGAATCCGTTGAGAAAATAGGGGGGTAGAATGTGCTAATTAATTATTCATAATGAGTTTTGCTTGCCGAAATATCCGAAATTTACTTACGGACATAAACTTCGTTGATCGATATGTATGCCACACGCACATATTGAACACCCAATGTGAGAACGAAGTTGAAGACCATGCGTTGCCATTAGTGCGATTATGTGATTTTTCGCTCGGGGCCGAGGTTGTGGTTATGTAGGTCTAGTTCCTGTGTCGGTACTTGAGATGCACGTGTAGCACTGGTCAGCAGGTGTGCAGACGAGTGCAACATGGTACACTGGTACCCTTCGCGTGCTAACAGAATCAATGCTATGATGAAGGACCGGAACCAGTGACTACTGCAAGTACTCACAGGTTCGTTTTCCGTGTGTAATCGGCCGAAGTTGGATCGTAAAAATAGTAAAAATACCAAACAACCATCGATGGAAAAAGAGGATTTCTGCAAATTAATTCACAGAACGTGATCTTCATTTTCTGTGTATGTATTTTCCATTGAAATGACGAGATTGCAAAACTCAAACCTGTGGAGAAACATCGTAGCGTGTTTCTGCAGTCCTGCAGAAACACGCTATATTTTTAATTAGGCGAGGCAAGTTTTAATCACTTTTGATGGCTAGTCTTGATAATTTTTGTGGCGCAAATGAGAATAATCCTGGCACAAAATACATGAAATATAAACGATTCCTTGCTTTACTACAAATATAGAAATGGTGAAATATTTTTTTCAACAATACTACCGACGCTATTTTGAAAGGCATGTTATCGGAAGCAGAAGTGATTTAAGTTTACAATTTGATTTTGTTTTACAAAAATATTACAAGATCTCCTCTGAAATGCTCTAAAATGCACCAGAAAGCTTCTAAAGTTCAACATTTTTCGGGGCCCTTAAGCGGCCGGCCGGGCCCCGAACCCACGCCGTGGCTTCGCAGGTTGTTGTATCACAACAAAAATTCCCCCACAGGTTTGAACAAATCCTGGGGAGAACAGCATGGTTCTCAACTTTGAGTACAGAAAAAACTTTATTAGAACAGGAGTACATTTTAACAAATAAAGGAAAATTCTTCATAAAATTAAAACAATTCTGCTTCAGAATTTCAGAGGAAAGTCCCCAGTAATTGCCTCAGATTGCACCACAGAGCATCTAAAATCAAAAATTTTACGGGGCCCTTAAGCGGGCCCCGAACCCCACGCCGTAATGGCTTCGCGCTCGCCGGAGTTTGCACTTCATGCATAAATTTTCAGGTTTTTTTGTCACAGACCAATCACATCCCTGTGATATGCAAACATGCCTGGATTCCAGTTCCACATTATGGAGTACCAAAGTGTGACGTCATTTAGAACCAGAAAGTGTAGTGCAAACGAATGGAGTACGCGCGTGCTAGTTCACGGGCTGAATCACGCGCTAATGTCTTGAACACACGTTTTGTGCGCGTGACGTATTCACTTCGGTACTCCATAGTTGAACTATGGTAACTGATGTAGTTCACGCTCCAACTTGCTATAGAATGCAAGAGTCAGAGGATTCCCAACTCGGGACTTTAATGTAGCCCCTTTAATTACCCTACCATTTCCATTCTAGAGATAACACAAGCAAATATCAATATTGAGTGTTCACCTACTGGTTCTTAGATGCACTTTGTTACCCTTCAAAAATGCCAGAGACCTTCCACAATATGCATCACTATGCAATGCTCGCATATCTGATCCATCTCTGTCAATATCTGTTTTAAGAAGCATATGGCTAACACAATGTGTTTTTACTTTCTCATTGTAGGTTTGTTCCACACAGGCTCCAGCCTTGTCATCCTCAGAGCCAGGTCGCAAGCGACGTGCTTTGCAAGAAGAGTCGATTCCTTCCAACACGACATACTTCAGCCATGAGACTCATTTTGCATTGGCTGTTGTCTTAGATTCCATCCCCAATAACCCACCAGTTATCACAAACTTGGTAGAGAATATGTTCATGAATGAGGATGAAGGTAACTTTACCTTTTTTATCAATTTAATGTTTCCACCATATTTATAAAAACTTACATCTAATATTTTCATTGTATTAGTATTGATTATCACATAGCAACGTGAGATTTATAAAAAAAAACTAAATCAAATTGTTTTCATAATGGTTCATTTGTTGTCTGAATGATGTCATAGCAATACAGTGTGTATAAACAAAAATACGTTTAGAGAATTTTTTTTTTTAATTGAAGCTCCTATTTTGCTTAATACTAACTTATATAAGCTTATTAGAATGATTATTTCTCAACCCAATGTTGTTCTCCCTATCTCAATTGGACACTTACATCCAGAGATATACATGTAGACATTTAAAGGTACAATGTATAGTCCATCATTTGTAATCTGTGCATTTTGTTCGTTTAAAGCAACAAAAGTGCTCAAGATCTAAAGAAGGGTACTAAACAACTAACCTGATGAAGTTTCAGCTCAGCTTCAGCTGTATATTTCAAGAAAAACAACATTCTAGGATCTCGATTTCAAATCAAAAGTTGCTGAATCATGTTATTAATTGGGCTTGAATTCAGCGTCCGAGACACGTTCTTACTGAGCCGATTGCAGCTACGCGATGTGGCGCACCGATCCGACGACTTATAGCAACCACGTGCATTGTGTCAACGCTTGCGCGCTCTTCGCCGAATGAAAAAAACGAACTACTAACGGAAATTTCCAACGGTGCTTCTTAAGACGCACCGTTGGAAAGCACTTCTTTCGTTGATTTCTTCAAAATGACAGCTTCCCATAAGGAATAATTTCACAGGGAGTTTAGTCCCCTTACTATATTTCAACCAAGTATGTTTTTCAACAATAATTAGGCCAGTTACTTTTTGGATAGCTGCAAATGATGGACTATAGCTTTAATTGAAAGGAATGTCAATGTGGTCCAATTGCAGCAAAGTGGATGAAAGGAGATTAACATGCCAGCAGTCTCTCTGTTGGCCAGCTTACCTATTGTTCTTTGCCATCAATATTGAGTTGAACAACCTAAACTTATGCTCCAATGATTATATAAACGAGTTACATAATCAATTATTCATAAATACCTCAGACAGTTTAACCATTCCTATTGGTCGAGAGCCCGTCACGTGGCCGGTCTTAAACGGATGATAAAGACATGGCTAACTGGTCTTAAATACTTTTCCAGTGTCACATAAAATGTGGACTCCTAAAAATCCAGTGCCTCTTACCGTTTTATTGGTTGAATGTTCACAGTCCTCACGTAGGCATGCGCAACACTACCAGTGAGTCAGAATTTTATAGTTCTAAATTCAAAACGCAACGCCCCAGGTGCGTTCTGCGCGACAACGCACAGAACGTGCCACGCGCGCGTCAATCTCCATAAAAGGGTTGTTAACATCTTAATCGCCAGCTGAACACTCCATTATTTAGGTAGAGGGATGTTTCAAAAAGCATGAAGTACGTGAACTTGTTGAACAAAATCAAGATTTTTTGACCGAAATATTATATTTTTTGACCGCAAAGGTATTTATGAATGGGAATAAATATGTGCTCGGTCGGTATTAATCACTCTGTTTAAGACTGCTTAGAGTCTGGGTGCTGATAATTACCCTCGCCTCCGGCTCGGGTAATTATCAGCATCCAGACTCCAAGCAGTCTTAAACAGAGTGATTAAAACCTCTCGAGCACACATTTATTCCCTTAATCATACATGTAGGTTCCAACTCAATATCATTGGCAAAGAACAATTGGTAAGTTGGCCAACATTGCTGGCATGTTAATTACCTTTCATCCATGTTGCTGCAACTTGGACCACATTGACATATCATCCCTTTCAATTAACTGTCTATATCTCTGGATGTTGGTGTTCTAATGAGATAGGAAAAACAGCATTGTATTGAGAAACAATCATTCTTTAAGCATATATAAGTTATTATTAAAATAGGTGCTGGTATTTCAAATATTTTTTTCTCTAAATGTATTTTTTGTTTTGATACAGACTGTATATCTCAAATGTTCTGTTGTATTATTTTACTTGGGTTATTTAAAGATATATGTACATGAAATATATGTGGTAGTCATTTTGTCACCTTTTCTGATTTCAGATTTGACGTCTTATCTTCAAGCAAATTTGAATCCTCGATCCTGATTGGTCGTTCCATGGCAACAACAGTGTGATATGAGGCTGTATTGCACGGTCCATATCGCACCCTGCGTATTGCGCTATTGCAAGATGCGAGCGACATTCCAGCTGCATACGCTAAATTGCTGAATGTCCGTGTAATGTGTGCTCATTCCGACTGTACTGTACCTCAAATTTGCTTGAAGATAAATTCGTTATCACGCTCGAGCTCGTGGAACACGGAAAATGCAGTGCGTCTGTGTCCCACATACCACTCGGCCTTCGGCCTCGAATACATTGTTCCGTGTTCCACTCGCGCTCGCGGGATAACTAATAATATACTGTATAAACAATGCAAATATTACACATCACTGGCAGAGCAAATGTTAGTGAATGTCAAATATCGATTGTTGTTATTTTTCTTGTTTTTATATTCTATTCCAGGAACTCTGTCGTACACATTCCAGGCCACTGATCTTGAAGATGACATTTTGGTCTTTGAGCTTGGTAGTCACAGTGACAAGCAAGGTACAGCAATGATCACAGAGACCGGTGACTTCAGCTATACACCTTGTACTGATTGCTACGGTACTGTCACTCTGCAAATCACTGGTAAGAGTCTCTGCAAGATTTTGTTTTCTGAAAGATAATATCTGCCAAAACAATTTGCCAAGACTTTTTCTGGATAATGTGTATTTTTATCAATGCGAAATGTGCAAAACACAGGGAAAAATTATAAGTAATTCGAAAATACGTTATAAAAGGAAAAGTCATTGGAATGTATATTTGTTTTTAGACACATTTCTCTCCGATGTCAGATTAAATAATTTCATGACAGGTTTTATGACTACGGTTATCAGGCGCGGTTCTAGAGCCTATATTTTTGGGGGGGCTAGCAGGGGTGGATCCAGAAATGTTTGCAGGGAGGCGTGCTGAAATGTAAACTGGTTTTTTTTCTTAGGCCTTTTGAAAATCAATTTTTTTTGGGGGGGGGGGCTCATACCACATTTTCAATGGGGAGCACTGATGAAATCTTACAATCATGTACACTGTATAACCTAATAGTGTACAAATGCCCCTCCTCACGAGTACTACTTTTTTGAATTTTTTTTTTTGGGGGGGGCCTAGACATAAATCCCCCCTCCCCTGTAGAATTGCGCTTGAAGGTTTATGTGTACTGAATTGGTGATTTTGCTCAGTAATTTGTGGTATAAATTTTTAGATAATTATAAATGGTGCTATACAAGTGATGCATTTACTGACTTTTTTTCTATCTCTCTTTTCTTTTTATTGTTTATTCAGTGAGGGAGGTACAGACATTCCATGAGATAGAACCTCTATCTACCACTGTCAATCTCACCATTGAAGTCCGACCAGTCAATGATAATCCTGTGTTATACAGTGCACATAATGGCCAAGTTGTTGGCAATGGACGCATTGCTTTGGTAAATTAAATTCTGATAATGTTTGCTTTTTTATTTCACATGTTTTTGTGGTGTTGCTCCTAATGATCAGATGGGGGTTTATGGGATTCATCACATATGCGTTCCTTTACATTTAAACTTTTTTATGCTTCCTAAAGGCCCTGTCACACTGTCTGCGATCTTATATGCGCTCTCACTGCGTCCTTGAAAAGTAGCTGGGGCGCAACAACAACTACTACATCACAGCGACAACTACATAGGTCGCCAGATGGGCGCCAGAGGGTCTTAATGGTCTCCGATGAGCGCAAAGGTCTTTGAACATGCTCAAAACAATCGCAACACCTCTGCGCTCTGGCCAGGGCGCCGTAATGACGCAACTCGGGCGCTGTGCGAGCGTGAATCGTGTGACATTGAAGTGGCATTGAGGCAGCTTAGGCGCAAGGCAGTCGATGTAGTCTCCATGAGAAAGTAACTCGACTGCGATGAACTTGTAGAATAATTTTGAAACTGGACTGTGTATTGATCGTTTTGTCGTGGTATTTATACAGCGCAAGTGACGTCACATGAGCGTATTTTGGTCGAATAGAGAGCACGACGCGAGCTACTAGGACGTATCAACAGCGAGCAGAGCGTAGTGTGAGTGCAGTGACAGCGCAGCGGCAGCGACTAGATCGAGTAATTGGGCTTGGCAGGGGCGCATAGAGAGTGAGTTGAGCACATCGTAAGCGCGGGAAGAGCACAGTATGAGCGTAGCTTGAGCTTCTTTGAGACAGAAAGTTGTCATTTTCTTGCGTCCTCGCTGCGATTGTTAAATTTATGAAATATTTTTGGTTGCCGTAAGGTCTTCTATGAGATCGTATATAATGTGACAGGCCCTTTACAGAAATTCATACAGTTGTAAACAAATAATGCAAAAGCCATGATCTCATCTTATAGCTCACACCTATATTTTGACAACCCTCATTTTCTAGCCCCAAACTTTTAGCATGGTCCGCATGTCCATTGTCCCCATGATCACATCAACTAAAAGAGGCCATTGGGAAATGGACAGTGACGCACACGTCATTTGTCAATTTGATTTATTGCTGATTTTTTTTTACAATTTTTAATACATATCTATTAAAATTTGATTGAGTTCACTCGTCTCCACAGCAAAATATGGCATTTAACGCGCAAATCACTGCAGACTCTTATATTTACATAGCCCAGGTTGGACAACGTCTTCATTGCATTATGACTGATGTCTAGGGTATTAATTCTACTACCATAGCCAAACAAATTATTGTTACCTGATGGAGGAAGCTGAAATTTTTTTTTTATTCCTTGTGTCCGGAATTATGTCTACGCTGGTTATAGAAAAGGTAAATATGTCCATGGAGGACGTGTTGACTCAAAATAAACTGCAGATCCATGCTCTTGTCAGAAACATTTTCAGTACGAACTCCCCGTGTGAAGAATTACGTGTGCGTGCAGCACAGTTACTATGCCATGTACGCAGCCGCGCGCGTAAGTGTTCACACAACATGCTCATACTGAGGATGTTTTCAACGAAAGCGTGGATCTGCGATTTATTTTCTTTAAACACTAAACACATCGCCCATTGACATATCTACCTTGTCTAAACCCAGCGTATGCATAATTCTGGACACAAGGACTATTGAAACAAAACTTCAGCTTCCTCCATCAGGTTAAAAATATGAAAAAAATGTGTTATAATTTTTTTCGCTATGGCAGCAGACATTCATACCCTGGACTCCGTCCCGTGTACACAACAGGGGGTTCCAACATGGGCTAATTTTAACAGTTTGACTTTACAAATACACTTGTAGCAATTTATGTAAAATTGTGAAGAGATTTATGCAAATTTTATGATATTAAAGGGAATGTACATCATTGGCTTTTGCCATGATTTTCAGAAATGAACTATTTGAGAGGTTAGTATAATAGATCAAATATTGTTACACTGACATTTTTTAAGTTTTGTGTTCAGAAAGGTTGGGAAAAACCAAGAAAAACAAAAATGTTCAAGTAGTCTGGTTTCCTGACTCCACAAAAGATAAAATGGATCAATTTATAGATGATGGAAAATTGTAAGGCAAGGGAACCAGTCTAGCTGACCTGCACCTGTTCATAACATGTAACCAATAGCAAACAAAATTTGGACTGAAAAAATGGTAAATTTGGAGCAGTAGTTGAAAAATAGTTAGGTTTTTCCAACGCTGGTTGGCCGACCACCGTTGGAAATGTATACAAAAATACCATTTTCTTGAAATGACTTCACACCAGGTGCCATAATTTTACAAGATGCTTGAGACTGTCATTTACCAACATCCTAGTAAGGTATTTCGTAAAAACTTGGTAGTTTTATTTTTCGATGTTTGCAAATGTTGTATATTCCCTTTAAGATTTGCCTTTCCACATTTACTCATGATATGAAAGTTTACCCGTATGTTTTTACTTTTATAAATGCAGTTAACTGTTGAGCAGAACACAGGGACCAATGTTGCCTACAAGGATCTGAGTGCTGTGCTAGGAGCATACGATGTTGACACCAATGATGAACTGACCATTATGACCAGGCCCCCGACTTATGGCACCCTGACACTGACAGGCCAAAACAAGACTGTGCCGTCCAGGCAGAATTGCAGTGAGCCCTCTGTAGGCAGCGAAGAGCCAGTCATTCCTTGTGGGATTGAGTTGCCTCATAGTGAGGTAGAAGTTGTGATATTAAAGAGGTTGTTGAAACCTTGGCCTCACCTCCAGCTTTGGTTTATAGCCACTGGTTCCAGAATTACATAAAAGCCTCCAATGTCCAAACTATTAACTTGGATCTCATGATACACAATCTGATGTTCCTGAGGCCAAACACCAGACCTATATAAAGCCGTTGTCCCCAAGAATAAGGGGCATACAATTTCCTGCTGATGCTGGAGACAATGTCAAGGTTTCAAAGACCTCTAGGTTTGTCTGTCACGTTGTTGTGCTTAAAGTAAAATTTATTTGCCAGCGGTACCTTACTGATACATGTACCTCACTGATTCTTACCGAGCACTAGAGACTTTTTGGTGCAGTTGTTGAATTGAATAGTTCCTGGGGTAGCTTAAACCAGGCTGAACCTCTGTACTTAGACAGGTGTCCATGACTTGCCTGATAACTCCTATTACACGATATAAAGGTACGCTGCTCATGGGTTATTGTTGCTGCTCTAGCAACATACCGGTAGTTGGTGCCGTCTAACTAAAGCCCCATTGAATCACCCTCAACAATCACTCTGTCATCAAGTTATGCAATCACAATTGTTGCTCATCGAACTTGTTGAGTCGCGTCACCAATCTTATTTTGTAAGTCCCACATGTTTGTCTACTTACCGAGTAAAAAAAATCAAGTCTGGTCTCATCCCCTATCAATGCAGTTAAGGCCGCCTCTGAATCACAGAGCTCTCACAAGTACTCACAAGTCATACCAAGTCAATCACAAGTCAGGCTTTCTGAGGTCAAGCCACACATTTATCAAAAACATTCCTATTTCAATGTTCATCACCTGAGACATGTGAGTTTTGGTTTCAGAGTCATTGTAACATTGGAATGAGAACTTCTTTATATTTAGGAGGACTTGAGCTGGACGACATCCACATTCACCTATGCTCCAAACCCCAACTATCATGGCAGGGATAGTTTCCTTGTCTTAGCAGAGGACCTGTCTGGAGCCGTGTCTCAGCTACTGGAGGTACAGCTTGCTGTGCTGGTCAACCCTTGCATCCATGAGGGGGTCTGCAGAGGTGGGTGGCTCACACAAAACTTCAGCCATTTCTGTTTATTTCCTTTTGCTTATATTGCTTCATGAGTACAGCTTGTCCTGTCCTCCTTGTAGTAGACTGAGGGAATTCTGTCACTATGCAATGAAACAACAGGACACGAATGAGACTCAAATAACATTTTCAAGGCACAGCATTCCATATGGGAGGCTCTACAATAGAAAGTAGATATGTCAACTTGGAATTGCTTGTACTTGTAGATTATTAAATAAGATCAGTAGCCGATTTTATGAAACTTTACTTTGTGTTGCAGTTCAATAAATTACTTAACCCTAACCCTGCCAGACGCAATACAGTACATCAGGTAGAAAAGAACTGGTGCTCTTTGATGCATTCAGCTACCAACACCAGTGCATGAATGGCTAGCTCTGAGACAGTGAGAGCTAGTCCCATTGAACAATGCCACGGTTGTGTGCTGCTGCGTGCAGCGACCACGGACTCTGAGGCAGTGTGGCCTTGAGAATTTTCCCCAGATGGATCTTGCTGCATTTGGCAGGCTTGTCACTTAGTCAAGTGTTGCATGTTGCTACATTGGCAGGGTTCTAGCAAACATACCCTGGAGGGTTAGGGATAAATTGCACAAATTATTGAATTATGACAAATTTCACAAGAAATTATGATGTACTTAAACATTCACTTCGGGTGGCATAAGTTATGGCTTCAAGCCAAAAGTAATTCATTTTACTGACTAATTATGATTATTGTGCCCTCATTGTTAAAAAATATCAAGATTTATACAAGAAATTCACAGCTTTATTTGTTTTAAGACAGTAATGGAAAGCTATTTTACCTGTAACAGAACTTTGAAAGTAAGACATAACTATTTTCAAAATGACGGGCAGAACTGATTCAGTGACTGTTGTGTTACTGATGTGAAATCGTACCTAACAGCCATCTTCAAACCTGTAACTATCTTCACCAATATGGTTGAAAAACTTCAAACATGTGTAGCTACCTCTAATTTCATGAAATTGATCAAACATATGTTAATTTGTTGAATTGATCGTACTCCTGACATAAGTTGCACATTGATTTGTAAAATCAGCGGCAGGTTTCAAATCAATCACTGATCAGACATAGTGATTCTTCTTATTTGTGTTGCTACATGTACCTCTCTACACACAGGACCTGTTGAGGATCCTGATTGTACCTCCCCTGTACGTAGCAGTGGGTTCGAATCCTACTCCTGCCACTGTCAGCCCGGCTGGGTTGGTGACATCTGCGAGATTGATTATGATGAGTGCCAGTCCACGCCGTGTGCATACCCATACGTCTGCTATGATCGCCTCAATGGATTTGAATGCGCTTGTCCATTGTCTGATCCACTGTGTGATGACCTCAACTGGAGGTCAGCATTATTGATATCAAACAAATTATTTGTGTTTTACTGTTCTTATTTTGTGATGTGATAGCATGGGTACTGCAATTGTATCCAGCAGTATTTTCAAAAACCAGTGTTTAAATTTCGGAGAGTAAATACACACAAAGATTTTTTTAATTCAATTTCTGTGTGAGTACGTTTACAGAACTTTAAGTTCTCTCTGTCCTTCAAGTTTAATAAACAAATATATTATCAAGTCAAGAAGTTGAATTCTAAACTCCAGAAATTTCAATTTTTGTGATAAATTCAGACCAAGAACCTGATCAAAGCAATCATGTAAATAAACATCGTCAGGATGCTGTTTTGTACTTTTTATTCACTATTTTATTTTCTGGCATTTCACTCAAAAGAAGGATGCTTTTGGTGTTTTTGTCATTGTTTTCCCTAAGAGAAGGGCATGTCAAGAATGACCTTTTTTTCAGTTCTGATTTTGTTTTTGGCCTTTTTGCTTTAAAACATTGCTCTCAATCACTCTGACTTGGTTTAAGAAGCAAAAGTTGCGTAGCATCTTAATGACATTAATGTTGTAAGGGGCAAAAATCTTCATAATTGCATTTTGCGTTTTCACAAAGAGACGCTATCATGCTGTGCACGAAATGTATTGACCGTAAGGTAGTAAATGCAGAATAAGTGAGATTTCCATTTTCACAAAGGGACAGACATCTTTGATACATTTCAGTCGCGTGCACCCAAACATGCGTGCCCTCTCCCCATGGCAAAACACACTGCACAGTAGATTGTAAAAGTAGGTCAACTAGAATTTTCGTTTTCACAAAGAGACGGGCAACTTTGCTGATACTTATTCGCGGAATAACCACAGTTTCAATGATTATTGCTAGGTTCATTAGAAAGTTAAGCTCTCTAAGAATCATGTGGGCATTTTGTATACTGCATAGAGTAGATGCATTGTGGTACATTTTGCACTTCTAACATATGAAAACCTATGTTGCGATTATCTCGAAATGGGGTTTTCTTCCGAATTGAGATGCCCGTCCCTTCGTGAAACGATGACTATTTGCCAGTTTATGATTCCACTGAAACTGATGATTTTGACCGTTCATGACAGTTTAAGCCTTACCAATGTATTCATTTATCATTTTGTGTATTTTCTTCAGAGTCAAAGTTATAATAGGTGTGGTAAGCTGTCTGGTTGGTTTGTTCATCGTTGCTGCTGTGGTCTTCTACTTGTACAAGAAAAAGTACAGCAAAAAGTAAGTGCAAAGTGCTGTAAGTCTTGTTGACAGTCACTATTTTGACCTCCAGGTGTTGTATGCCATACCTCCAGGTTCCATGTACTTACTCATGAATAATTTTGTCCAATATACACTAAAATTGAAATTTTGAGATTCTTTGTAAACCAAGCAATTCCTGGGGGGAAGACCACGGATGAGATCCTTTGCTGTTGATAGGTCTCCCCTTCTTTCCTCTTTAATCGCAACTTACCAGTTTGTACTCTTTTACAACAGATTACAAATCCATCCATTAGAGGATGCAGATGATGATCAACTGGTGCCATACATAAGTGGCAATTACACTCAGCAAGCCTTTGACAATCCTGTGTTTGAAGATGACAGTGGAGATCAGACAGATTCTGACGAGAAAGACGAGCGCCAGGCTAGCCACAGTCATCCGGATGACTCTTCAACAGGAAGACCACTCTCTGTCATCTCAAATCGCTCTCAAAGCTCCTCTTCATCAGGCCTCAAGAAGAACAGGCCCTGGTCGGGTCTTGCACGTTCTAATGCTGTTTCAGATGCTTGGCCTGCACTGGCTGAAGCTTCCTCCGTGGGTGGTAAATCATGTGATGAACCTCCCCCTGCCAGTCCAACAGTGAGCCCTGCCGATGCTGAGATGTGGGCACAGCCAACCATGCTCATGAAGAGTTCTGCAGCTCTCAAGAAGGACGCTGAGATTGGTGATCCAGAGCAGATGCAGATGTTCCAAAAGAGGACTCCGCCAACTACCACAGAGGAAACCCCTAACTGTGTAACAGAGGTAGGTGTCATAACCTAGGCCTAATCTCATGAAACTATTCAGCAGAGACAAAAAAAATGTTGCTTTGTATATTTATAGGCTGAGAAAAGCTTATTATTACTTGTAATGGAACTAAGGGTTCCACAAGAGTGCCCTATACACTGTAATATGCCAGCCTGAAAAAATATTGAGAAGATGAAGAAGAAGTGTTAGCTTGTAGAGGTGGGGCAACCTCAGATAATTGTATGAACACAATCAGGTAGGGACTAAAGCAAGTCTTCATGGGTTGGACTCAAACTTGACTTCCCTGCAGGTAAGTGTAGTTGAGAATGAATCAGGAGCCCTAAATATGGCATGACATTTCGGTCAGTAACCTGTTCAAATTCTGGTTCAAATTCTTTGGTGAGTCACTGTCCTTGTTTAAGCAAATATTTTGTGAAATTACACGAAACTGTGAAGGTTTCTGCTTTCCTTTTATCATCCAGCTTCCAGGATCCCTTGTGAGCTTCACAGATGATGCACAACTCAATGACGTCAACGAAACAGTGATGTAATGATGCAACACAAATATCTGTTTACCCTCTGCACTAAAGTTATTGTAGCATTTCAGTGAAGATCATCTGCTAAGATTGGACTGAATATCTGAATTTTTAAATAATTACCTTACTAAAGTACATATCTGGAAAGGATATTGGATGTTGTATCTTACAAACACAAGCAAAAGGCTTTTAACATGTTCACGACTATTTTTAAAGTATAAGCTTGGATTTGCACAAGCATCGTGCATGTCCCCTGAAGCCCCATGTCACAGAAAACCGAAATCAGTTGAAACTGACACAATTGTCCTGATTTAGTTTTCCCCAAGGAAGTGGGCAGCAAGTTTAATTAGCCGGCCATAAATATGCATTAATTCATACTTTGAAACACATTTCCATTAATTTGGCAATTGGTTCTAGTAACATGATGTGTATCTTTTTTATAGTGTTTTCTCTGTTTATGCAAGAGTTCCTGAAGTTGCCTAGATAATGAGTTCGTCCTCAGACAAAAACTTAACTATGAACTTAACTATTTTTTGTTAACTCTTTTTAGGGTCTGCCATAATTAGGCACGAAATCGCAAGTGCAAACAAATTTCTTATGATTTGGCAAGTTTTTCTAGCATAGACTTGTTGTTTTTTTTACTATTTTCTGTGTGTAATCAAGAAAGTTTTCGAGTTGCGTAGATATTAAGCTTAGACAAAAGATTGGCTGAGCTTTTATATTTGAAGGTTTTTACCCAGATTATATTCACTCTTGTTATAAGTACTTTTGCTAATGTAATGATTTTAATGAAGTTTGCAGTGTGAGTGACACCCTTTATGAAACCTGAAAATATGAAATTGGTAGTTCCATGGTGTTGGACGTACATTTTGGACAATTCAAAAGTGTGCATAATAAATGTTATAATCATAGAGTGGATTTTAATTATGAAAAAAAAGTCTTAAAAACGTCTAGTTACTACAGTGATTTTAAAATTAAATTCTTCATCCATCATTTTTTGCCGTACTAAAAATATCGACTCGAAACACCATGGTGTCAGACGTCTCAGACAAATAGATGTTTTTGTGTACTTTTGTCAATAAAATAACAGCTGAACTGTTGAACATTGTTAGAAATAAGCTATATTTCAGTGAAATACAGCTAGTAAGCTTAATTACTGTTAATGTACCCTCAAGGAGACATTATTTCGTCATAAGTTATACCTTAGGGAGACACCGGACATTAGGGAGACATTTCAATGTCTCCCTCATGTTACAACTCCAATTTAGAGGCTCATGGTCCAAAACGTAAATATACCAGAATTCATGTGGGTAGGATAAGGGAAATTGGGGTATTGGGTCATTGAAGTTGGAAACCTTTTGACAATGTGCACAAACCCTATGGGAATATCCCCCAAAGGTACCATTCCCCGTAATAATAAAAATGATGTATATGATTCATTGCTGGCATTTGGATAATTGAAGTTTTTTTCATTGAGACTTACAATTCTGTGGAATTGCCCAAATGTCAACCTGAAAGAATGTAAGCAATGTGGTTTTATAACTTTACGTGATCACACAGGTATGCATGTCGATTTGTTGCTATAAAAAAATAATAACCAAGAAAAGAACCTTTATTCTTCACCAAATGTACACTTTTGTATTTAAGGTGAAGAATAACACGACAGAATATATTTAGGTTCTTGGACTTTTGTATGTCCCCCAGGAAACGGAATATACAAAGGTATGAAGGAGGCCGATATATGATGATCGAGAAACCAATCCTCATCAATTAATCCCCTATTTTGTTGCGAAGACATTTGTTAATGAGATTCCAAATTCACAGATCAGCTACAAAAATTAAAGTGACTTCTAGCCCTGAATGATATTTTTGAGAGCTGTTCATAAGTTTTTATTGTTATGTTAGTGTAGTGTCCGATCACATTAATACCCAGATTTCCTTTGGAAATGAATGAAGTGTCCAATGTATGGTACTCAGATTGAGAGAATAAAATTTGTTTCTGCAAATATTCCTAGTTAACGTGCAGTCTGTTTGTTGTAGGCACAACTGGGAGCCAGGATTTTGACCATCGTCTGACTAGAGGCGTTTGCAAGTTGCTGATAGTGCGCAGGCGCAAGTTACGTCACAAATCAACCAACTACTAGTTGTCTAATGGTCCTCGCCCGAACTTGCTGGCCTTCGTACTTACTCAAAATTTGCCCACTTGTAATACTTTCTTGCTCTCAGTTTTTAAACATGTTTAAATACTGAACATGTTAGAATAATGATGGATTATGTTTCGCACTTGAACATTGGTAGCTTTCTAAACATGTTTACAAATTGAAAGCAAGGTTGTTTTGAATAACTGAACTTACTTTTTACAGTGTATACAATGTTAACTTGCCTTTAAGAAAAAATAAATAACCTCCCTAAATCGAGCGTGAAATCAAACAAAACTCTCTGTTTATACAAAGTGCATTCAGTTATATCAATTTATTGCTGAAAAAGAAAACAAAACGAACGAAATGCCAAAGAGCATTGTTATGTTAGGACACATTGTATTTTTTATCCGCGTGCACAAGTTTCTATTTTTACTTTATGTGACTGAGTGGCAAAAGGAAAAGCTGTGACACTATCACAACATAAGCACCAAGTTACAAGTTTTAAAGAGGAAACGATGAATAACTGGGTGACTTGATATAATAGTGTTACTTATTTGCGCCACGTACAGCAGTTAATTTAAAGGGAATGTACAGCATTTGCTTTTGCTGCAATTTTCAGAAATAAATGGATTTGGAGGATTAGTATGTTATATAAAATATTGTTAAACTGACTTGTTTCATGTTTTGGGCTTGTAGATGCTGGAAAAACCAAGAAAAGTTTCCCATTGCAACTCGCTCGTTTGGCGAGCATAGTGCATATTCTTTGCAAATAACCGACATCACCACATCTGATACTGGAAGGTACACGTGTCACGTCGAGTGGGGAGATGCCAACTTGATGAGATTGACGAGGGGAAAGGTTTACGGATGCATCATGTGAAGCAACTTTTCCTAATAAGAGAAGTGACTCTATCTGATAAGAACTTGCAGTATTGTTTCTGATTAATTAGAACAGGGGCCTCAATGACTTTGCATTAGACTCTTTGACGGGCGACTATGTTCCCATACACTGCTTGCGTTGCAACTTCCAAAAACATGTCATTAATTTATAGGCTGTGCGAAACGCAGGATGCAAAGGTTCCAGGACCAGTTTGGTGTTCTGAAAAAAAAATATGGGACTTTTTGTTACACGGCTGCGAATTGGCACAGAATCAAGGGATGTCATCACAGCACAGTGCTGCAACAACCCACAACAATTAATGAAGCACATAAAAGAAACAATAACTGGAAAAAAAATGGATCGACACCAACAAAGTGAAACAAAGAAATAAACACAAAAATAATAAGTCCATATCTCAATCTAACGTTTTTGAACCGAGCAAATTGTATTGGCGCAATCATACCATCCCTGCAAAACGCAAACTGAATACGTAGGCCTATGATCAAGCGCTAAAGCAAAACCAGGAATATATGCATATAAAAATAGACATCAATAATCATTTCAAAAGAGAAAGCTCTCCGACCACTTCATGTTCAGACCTGAGGTATTGTCTTAATTGAAAGTTTTTGAATCGAGAAAATTGTATTGGCTCAATCATACCATCTGTGCAAAAAAGCAAACTGAATTCGTAGGCCTACGATCAAACCCCACATCAAAATCATGTATACATGTACATAAAAATAGTAATTAGATCATTTCAAATGAGAAACCTTTCCGACCACTTCATGTTCAGAAATAAAGGAAATGCCGGCCAGCCCGACGTGAACACAGTCCAAAACCAGCTCATGCGAACGGATGTCATAACATGACAAAGAGAAATCCAAAGAGAGCAGGGAGCCACTTTCTTCCTGGACAGTCGCGGCTCCAGCCATTAACAATGACTTGAAACCGTGTAAACATTCCCAACATCTCAACGTTCTCTGCGTTGGCTCCAAATCAGCTGCCAAATATGGAGCTTAACCATCGATTCATGCTTGATTTATCTTTTGTCGAATTGGTTTTGATGTGTTTTCTGTTGATGAGTATTGTCAGCCTAGGTGAAGGCTTGGGAGACGGCGTTGTGATACTGACACGATGCTCGGAGGAACCACCAACTGAATCTGTAACGGCTGTGGATGGTGGGACATTAGTTCTGCATTGTTGTGTCTCAACGTACATTTTGTGGAAAGTTTGGTGGGAAAAAAGAGCGAAAGCAGTGATGATGTTTATCTGACAAAAAACAAAGGTACACTTGATGATTACCTACTGCTTGCCCGTCGTAGGGGCGCGACATGGATGAGCGTTGAATCAATTGGTGCCACCTCTCTCAGCAACCCAATGTGCTGTTTTCGTGATTTTTTTTTCAGTATTTGAAAGAAAAAACTCTCAGATTTAATCCGATATCTCAACATAAAAGCATTACAGATCGCGTTTTTGAAAAACCAGGTAATTGTTTCAGAGTTGCATTTTAGGACATCCTGTATAAAAGGTTGTTCAACCATTTCTTTGACCGGGGGCGGGCGGGGGGGGGGGGGGCGAGGTAAGACCGTAAAGGATACACTGAGATTAACACGATATATACATTTATATGTAAATAAATATGAAATCAAAAATAAAACGAATATGAAATCCAACATTGAAAAAGTGTGTTTACAAAGTAGCCCGTAGCTGAATAAATAAAATAAATTAAATAATAACAAAACGAAAGAAATGCTGAAATGCATCGTTCTGTTATGACACATTTTGTTTTTCATTCGCGTGCACAAGTTTCTTTTCTACATTTATTTATATGACTGAGTGGCAAAAGGAAAACCTGTGACACTATCACAACATGCCAGCCGCAAGTTACAAGTTATAAAGAGGAAACGATGAATAACTGGGTGACTCAATATCAAATTCGAATAGGTATACATGTGTATATTGTTACTTATTCGCGCCACGGCAGCTAATCTAAGTTGAGAGCACACAAAAAACCACGAGACACATCATGATGCTACTCAAGCAACAGCAGGTACAATCTCAGCCAGCGTCTTGGAGGTACGTGTACTTCCTTCTGATGAGTGTGGTTTTGCTGAGTTGCATTCCTCGAGAAGTGACTCCTTTGTTTCTGATTAAAGGCTCAGCTAGTCCAGCCAGCGAGTTCATTAATATCACAGAAGGCAAGACACTGTCTATGAACTGCTCTGCCTCGGGCCCAGAGTTACATCGAGTTTGGTGGGGTAAGTCCATTGGATCCGAAGCCACTAATTGGCTCACCCAGAATTCCATCGTTGAGACAAATGATCCCCGAGTTTCCATTGCAAATCGCTCGTTTGGCGAGCACAATGCATATTCTTTGCAAATAACTGACATCACCGAATCGGATGCTGGAAGGTACAAGTGTCACGCTGAGTGGGGAGGTGCTAGTTTGTTTGGATACATCTTCGTATCGGTGCAGTACTTTCCGGCAGAAAACCCATTCTATGGCACGAATGAAAGCGATCGGATTCCTACCGAAAGCGTCGCCGTGTGGTGCGATACTGCGATCGGCAACCCTGGGGTGACCATCACTTGGAGAGTGGACCATTCTGACAAGGAAGTCACATGCAGCGTCTACAGCACGGAACTACCGCAGAACGAACGAGTAAGGTGTGTTGTTAAGCTCGGGGAGCACCTGCAGAATCAAGTCTTTTTATGCACGGTGACTAGTTCTGCATTTCCAGGACAGAATCAGAGCTGCTCTGTCAGCCCCATCCTGCTAAATACCCCGAACACATCTAGTCGAGCTCTAACAATTGTGGAGGTATGCTCAACGCAAACCATACCAGGCATTTTCGTAGACGGAACCAACACATCAACGGGCTTGCTTCCTACCTGCGCAGTCACCAGTGAAACTCACACGGGGTACATCGTGGCTGCAGTGGGAATCCCTGCAGCGTTCGTTGTCGGCTTTCTGGTTTCCCTGGCGTGCATAAGGAAGCGTCAACAGACAGTCAAGAGGCGAGGGAACGATCCAAAGGGGGAAACGGCCGCACCCGTCGAGGGAAATCAACCACCAGACACGGAACTTTCGGTCATTCCGTACTTGGTAACAACAATGCGAGACGATGACGTCACGGGGACCAGAGTCTCTGATCAAGCGTACGAAACGCGGATCGGACACGGAAAAGACACTGACAACGCCGCCTACCAGCAGGTGGATCGTGATATCGGCGAGAATGAAGTGACGAGTAGTTACCTGGAACTGCAATAGACCGATCCACTAATAAGCCCCTCCCCACAGTAATTTGACCAATTACAGCCACGATTTATGTTTGACATGCTTGCAAATGCGTATGAGACGCACACGTCTGGAACACGCAGTAAGGCATCGGTGCACGTGCGCGGTGGGCGGGCCTAAATATTTGGTATATTAATGAAGTCATCAACATAACACACCCAAAAGGACTTGTTACTCATTGTTCGGTTCTGGTATGAATTTGTGAACCTTTGAAGTTACATTCTTTTCAAAAGATTCTTCGTAGTGGTGCGGCATAGGGACATAATTGTGCATTTTGTGATAAAAGCATGAAACTTGGCATGTGAGGTCTTCATACCATGACAACACATTCAGATATGGAGGCATTGCATATCTGACCCCTGGTAACCTTTGAGGGGTCAATGACATTTGAATACCTATTGGTTTTGAAAACATCACTTTCCTATGACCTAAGCCTGTGCATAGTCTTCATACAATGTAAATAACGACCAAATGTAAAAAAAATCACAATTGACCTCTGATGAACTGCACTTACTCTATTTATAGTTATTAATACGATTTACCCTTTAAACCCCAACTTTTTCAAGACCCGAGTCATAATGTTAAGTGGCTTATGCTATGAGAAGAATTTAATATGTAGGGAATCTCCTATCTGACCTGTGATGATCTTCAAGGGGTCAATGAACTTTAATTGCGTATCCTATTTAAGGATAATATTAAGAGGAGTAACTATTCCAAACACCACTTTTTTATTACCCATATCTAAATTGTGGGAGTATTCTTGGCATGGTGTGAATTTTCAGATATTCACACATTTCATATTTGACCTC